CTTTACAGATTTAAGTATGATGTCTTACAGGCAGTTTTCATCATTATTTGATTACCATAACTTACAGAGTTCTTATGGTGCCAAACTGATGCTACATACATAACTAAATTTCATTTTTCTGGGCTCGGCTGAGATTCGGCATTTGATGAGTCGAGAGTCACAAAGTTTGATAGAATAAAAAATTATTTTGTCTAATTTGAGTCAAGCTTTGATCAACAGATGCTGTGTGATTGTGACTTTTGAAAGATTAAATAATAAAGAAAAGGTACATACATATCAATACAAAACACAGTGTTTCATTGCCAGACTCATACTTAATTAAATATAAAATATATGGTTGCTGATAACCTGCCTTAGAGGGAAAGCATCTTCAGAGGCCTTTGTTGGGTTTCCAACTTCTCCTGCACATTATTTTAGCTTTTGTTGGTCTTGATTGTCTTTTTTAGTGATATGAAAATAAACTAAACTCATTTTTGGTTAACAGTGTCAAAATCAAAGCTCATATGAGAACCTATATATTCATGTCAATTCGGGCAACCCCTGAGGATAAAATGATGTCTTTTTGATAAAGGAAAACCTCATGGGAACCATCCCCCTTGACACACATAGTAACACATGTTTGACCCATATATGCATCCATAACACCAGTGACTCCAATCTGGGACACCATTTCAGAACGTGTCAGGGTCAAAGGTCAAATAGTAATCGTATGTAATAATAGTATCAGTCTGAAACTGTGTCGTTCATAGGTGGAGTATAGGGTGACAGAAGTCTGAAATACACTCTGAAAAAGCTGTGCGTCCTCCATGCTGGCTTCCCAGAATCCCTCACCTGTTGCCTCAAAGCTTTGTCACTCTATAATGAGCCAACAACACAAGTCATCATTTACTGCTTGTGACCATGTGATCTCTTCTCTGGGTCGCCCTTGTCGACTGGGCGGGTTTAATAATAACCTGCTTTTAGTGGCAGATTTATAGCAGTGTAGGAGGTGATTGTGGGAAATGATGTGACTGTATGTCAATTAAAACCTCGCACTGCATCCTGCACTGGATTAGTATTACCCAGGGACCTCTGATAATTAGCAAACTACCCCTGGTGTAAGTGTTTGGTGTGATGCATTCCAGATGAATAACCAAAGTTGTAATTTCTTCCAGTTTACTTACATGTCAGATTGAAACACTGGAGAGCTGCATTACATCCACCTTATCTCTTTCAAAGTGTCTGTATGAGCGGTTTAGGTGCCAGGCAGCAATTAAGAAAAGGCTGTGCTCATTAATTCTATACAAAGAAGATAAGTGGTATATCTTGGGTTTTGTGCGCAACATGGCACCTATGTCAGTTCAACAAAGACATCGACCTGTTTCACTTTTTCTTTAAGTACACAAACAACAAATAAAGCTACTGTAGTCTGCTTTAAACCAATTCAACATCTACTGCCCCGCACAAAAAAAGCTCAAACACACAGCCCCCTTTCTTAGCTTCAATGAAGTTTTGTCTTACTGTAGCAGTGTATGGCCTATTAATCCGCCCCATCAATCAAACTAATCAGTCTATCTCTAATTTCACGTGCTTGAGTTGTGTTTATATCGTGCATTTCTGTAAATTACCATCAATTCATAATAAATACATAAAGAGGAAGACAGATGTGCAAAGGAATAAAAGTAAAATGAAGGCAGACAGTGTATGACAAACTTCAGCATGTTTGACTGATAGCTGAGCACACGTCAGCAGTAAAAACCGTGTACAGTAAATGTGTCTAGATGACAGGAAGTCAACCACAACAACATGCCAGTGCCGTGGATCACTCACGCCAGAGACTTAAATATAGTCGTGCTGACATATTATAACAGATGATGGATTGTGCATGTGTGTGTTTGCCTCAGCTAAAACAACCTTGATTCCTCTTCTCAACCTTTCCAAGAAGAAGCTCAATGCTACATTTAATTGTTGTTTTAGTCTCTATCGGCTGGTAGTTTCAGGGATGAATTGGAGGGTGTACATGAGGCAGTGATGGCCGCTCAGAAGCACATGCCCATCGAGCCTGGCTTCCCTCGGACGCGGGGGGCGAGGCAGGGCAGAAATGGGTTGGTAGTGTCAAAAGCAGAGAAGCCGGCAGGGGTCAGGCTGGTGGGCAGCCAGGGTTGGTTACACTAATTCATCCTGGCAGTGTGAGCTTTTTCTGTCAAACTCTGAAGTACACATACACTATGTTCCCAAACAAACACATGCAGTTATAACATCCCTCCTCTCACTCTCCATCTCTCTGTATCACATTCAATCCTCATCCTTGAACTGCTGAGAAGCTGCAGCGCTGAGATTAAGTAAAGTCAGAGAACAACTTTTTTTTGTCACAGATCACTTCATGCTGTGATTATGTACACATGCTGTTCCACTTCTAAATCCAGTCTGATGAGCTGCACAATGGAAACATCAGAGTAGACTTTAAACCGAGGAGAGCTGCCTAATGAGGAATTAGCAACAGCTTTCCCATCCTTAAATACTCCATTAAACAGTGGCACTGACTGAGGCCTGAGGAAATGTTAAGAATCCATGGGCTTTTGTTTGGAGAAATTTGGAAATCACAAGCGACCCTTTCAAACTGCTGATGGAAAAAAAGGTGTTTTGTTTCGGCGTAAAGTTAACTCCAAGACACTGTCCTCTTTTTAGACTGTCGATGTTTGTAAGGTGCATTTTGGAGTGACATTAAATGTAATTACCGCAAGTTCATCATGACCTGATGCAACGTTCGTGGAGATACAGCAGAGACGTTGATGTTGCTGGGTCATAGCTCCGAGCTCCTGGCTGGAGATCTTACAAGGTCTGTCATATGAGCATTATCACTGCTTCCTCCTGCTATGAACACACATAAAAGCACTCTCTCTGCACGGTGGTCAAAGGCGCTCCTGTTTGAGAGAAGAATCAAGCTTTTTTAGCCTGCCGTTAGACCACAATATAAAATGAAATGTGAGAGGGTTTGAGTAAACGAGTGTAAGAGAATAAAAGGCATCTTTGACCTCTGAAAGCAGGAGTTTGTTAAAAATAGGATTTAAAAATATCACCTCAATGTGACAGTGAATAAGAAAAGCAAGTTCACTCTTATTTGAGAACATGAAATTTTGTACATTTGCTCAAATAATCTGTTAATTTATAGACCAATTCTAAAAGCCTAACTGAGTAACAAATAGCATACATCTTCTGTTGGATTTATACCAAACAGGAAATGAAAGAGGTCGTCATATTTTGCGCTGTATGGTTATATGCTACTGGTTGATGCGGTTACTTTTTAACTTTGACATTAGAGTTACTGGTCTTTGGTTGTGTCTGAAATCACAAAGTCATTTCCAATTCACTTCTCTGTAAAAAGTGAGTTGGATCCACTGGGCTGTGTTGTGAACTTGATGGTAATCATAATAAAAACATTTCAGACACGACTTTCTTCCATTTCACTAAATAAGGAGACCATCACTGCTGAACCCAGCTGGTGATTGATGATAAATAACAGTATTATTTTAGCCATTACAAGCCATCTACTTAGTGTATTTTCACCAAAAAAAATATATTTATTAATCCTGTAATAAAATCCTTCATTTAATTCAGCAAAGTGAATGGATTTTCTGGTACAGAGTACTCCCATCTATCACTTAGGTCTGTCATCATTATGAGGAAAAACTCGTGTTTACCAAAAGAAAGTCTTTTTCTCCTTAAATTAGCTTCAGTTTTGTAATATGCCTCTAAAAAAGTTCTTCTTGGTTTTATTAAAATCGTTAAGTTGTTAGGAAGGATTGTAATGAGAACAGGGAGAACTAACCACATTCCTGTTATGATTAATCTACTATTACTTTCCTACTATTTTTATTATATTATGGTTTAAAAAGAGACAGCTGCTAACATGAAGCCTTTCAGATGGAGTAATTGTGTTTTAATACACCAGTGTGAGAACCACGAGGCTTTTTTTTAATCCGATAAGTGTTGTTATTCCTCATGTCTAAACCTTTTCTGGAAAACCAGCAAATTAGATTGTGTGGTCTAGTCCTTTAAACCCAAAGGGTTTGATTCAAAGACAGAGGATAGGTGTAGCATTGGTGAAGGAGTGATGCAAACATGGGATCACATCTTTCAGTGAGTATACATGAGAATCATCTGCAGTGTGTGTCAGTGCTCATGCATATTGTATGCCCTCTCTGCATAATTACATGTATTTAATTGGATTTGGATGAGCACTGGCCCTTTGGCAAAGTGGAATCAACCTGAAAGATCCTCATGATATGAGGTTGCACGTGTGAAGTTTGTCATGTGTTTATACTCGCACCTCGAACAAAAAAAAAAACAAAAAAAATGAAAGTAAGGCAGAGTAGGCTGACGTGTTTTTGGAGTTTTTCTATGACTCTTTGTTCAAATCAAACCCCAAACCCAAAGCAAAAGCTGCGAGAGGAGGAGTAACACCAGACGGATGAAGAGATGAACAAAGTTTGTACTGTATTTCTACCAAAGGCCTTAAAGGTATCATGTGACTTTATGACTGTTTCTTCTGTATACTGGTCTTTTTTTTTATGAGTTTCCAAAATAAGAATAAATCAAATTTCTTGTGAATTATTTAATTGTGTGTTTCTATAGGAGGACTTTGGTCTAATAAACTAAAACATGGTTAAGCAGATAAGGGCTGGCTCACTCTTAAGACTCTTTATATGGAATTAAAAAGATAAAATCTTGTGTGAAGGATGGATGTATGAATTGCTTCTTGACTGAGGAACAACAGAGCTTTTTAGTGTTTAAGGACCTCACAGTAAATAAGAGAGCTGTGGAAGTTGACTGTGAGCGGAATTGCCATTGATCCCAGAAAACAATTCCACTTCCCCTCCTGTTGCCGGAGAAAGCTTCCCAGCAAAAAATAGAGCACCAGGGATGTAAGAAGACGGGGGGAGTTGTGGGGTAGAAAGAGGAGGAGGAGGAGGAGAGACCAAAGGGAGGGCCACTCTTGTGATGCCCTCGCTTTTCTTCTCGTGCCCCATGTGTGGACTAACAGTTTGGTGTTTGGACGCTAAGCTCAGCCAACATCATCAGGAATCAGCCCCTTAAGAATTCTGTCCCACCCTCAAAGAGAGCACTGCGGTCGTCTACTCTTCTCTCCATCATCTACTTCAGCCTCTCCACTGACTTTACGGAAGATCTCCCTCACAAACTTGGAAGATAAGGAGCCTCAAGTTGATCAGAAAGAATCTTCCAGACATCTTCCCTCTCTCAGGATAAACAGGTGAGCTACAAAATGATCATCAGATGTGGAAAAGTTAAAGCTCTTACAGGTTTAAGTCTCTATGGGTTAACACGATGAGCATCAAGGAAGATTTAGGAAGAAATGATGTTTTGTAGAGATTGGGGTGATGGATTGAGAGGCCCAGGGTGTTAAGACCCTCTCCTGTCCTGGCAGGTACTGTTGTCCCCCTACTTGCTCTGACTTTCTCCCTCTCCCTCATAACTCTCATCAGAGACAAATATTTCCAAACAAAGAGCAGCTCTGGAGAGCTTAAAACATCATCAACAGCCTCCAGCTATGTGCTCAGACTGAATGAGGGGTTTGAGGAGTTTTTCTGTCTCTGTGGTGTCTTTATCTTATGGGCACAGGGGGTAAAATTTTGATTTCATGCCATCCAAGTATTGCTTGTCTTTAAAAAGAAATGACAGAATAAACATGAGATGAGGCTGATACAACTTTCCAATCCAGGCTGCTGCTTAATACACTAAACTTGATATACTGAATGTTAAAAATACAAATGAAAGCGAATGTATCAGGTAAGACTTAATGAAATCTTTGAAAAACTGAGAAATTAAACTCCAGAAAGTGTCTTCATTTGTTTGTGCGCCTACATAAACATGCCTTACACACAAACTCTCAGACAGAGAAAGACGTTAAATTTAGCAGAGTGGTGTTGTTGTGTTTTTAACTTATGGCGCTCTAACACCAAACTTAACAGGTATAATGATGTCTCAACTATCACAACAGCCTTAAAAAGCTTTAGTGGAATCATTCGGTGAAATGAAACAAGCCAAATATCTGATCCACCATCGTCAGGGTATCCGGGAATCTGAATCAGGAGTGTGTTAGTCAGAATTTGCGTCCATGGTGCATCTTGCAGCTGTCCCATCTGACGGTACCAGTGTAATGCAACTAAACAATAGATCATAACAAGGCTGCAGGTCTGTGTACAATAGTGGGCAGATGAAGAGCCATTTAAGGTAGCAGGGAGCACAACGGCTTGCCAGGTTTGGCTGCTGTGACTGATGTATGGCAGTTGAGGTCCATGCTGGACCTTTGGTGGTTGCAACAGGTGACTCACATGAGTGGGAAGTATTCGTCCCCTCATCCCGCATCAGATCCACTCTGTATGTCACTCTATACCTACCTCACCCTTCCTCTGAGCCAGTAATGCTAAACTTAAATACGCTCATCCTTGATTGTAATCCTGGCACTCATGGGAATGGTTTGCACGACGCGCGCCATCCCTGCAAGTCCAGAACATAAACAGCTGCTGCATACTGGGACTGACCTTTAACCTTGGTCAACATTCAGGCTCGAAATCCATAATTTAAATTCATGTCCCATAAGATGATACAATGAAAGTTGTTCCGATCAGACAGAAAATCCTTTTTTAATTCCTATATCAATCACTCTGCTGAATCTAAATCAGCTCATTAAACTACTTCAAACTCAGAGAGAGTAAAAATAACAGCCCCTGATCTAAATAACCTCTGGCTGAGTATGTTTGGCATCCTGTGTGCAGCTCTGTTGATGTCAGCTGAGACAAATGATAGTGTCGTGTTGGCGCAGAACAGTTGTCTGGCTGGTGTGATATTTTCCTAATGCGCTCTTGTGACTGTGGATGCAAGCTTCAGAAAATTAGGGAGTCGCCGTTAAACGAGAAAACTACTAACAAAGTACCGAAGTCAGATAACAAAGAATCAAATCAAGTTATTATCAGGTAATGGTGCATTTATGATTACAGAGGGAAAAATTACAAGTCTAGCTCTAAAGATATAAGATAATATTGAAACCTTGTCATTGTAGGGCTGTAATTAAAAAAATGGACACAGACATAGAGCATTAAAAATTTATTACATGGGCAGCAAATAAAACCGTAAATGCTGTAATAAAGCTGTCCTAAACTTGTCTCTCCAGAATATTTTGGGAAACTCACCCTTGTCCCCTCGAGTGTGAGCCTGTGTGGCCAAATTTGTCCCTCTAGAGCATGTCAAATACTGCAGACATTTCAAGTAAATAAATGAGTTCCTTTCTGTGTTTTACTTTGAAACTTTACTCTAAATCTGCTCTCACTGAAAAATGTACTCCTTTTCCGGCATAACTCTTGCAGCATGGTTGTACCACATGATCCAAACATGCCCCACTAGAGGGAAACAGGCCAAAAAAATGTACACCTACTGGCTAATTGCCTCCTGTGTTTATGAGGACGGAGCGGACAGTGTATTCTGGTCTTCTATGAGGATCCAGAGTCTGTCAAACATGGATTAGAGCTGAAAAGAGCAGATAGCTGAAGGAAAGTTTCAATCAACCCCGCCCCCTGTTGTTTCTAATCTGGGGCTACAAGGCAGCCTGAAGGGGAACCAGACTAATGTTGGATGATAATGAAAAAAGACTGGCAGACAGACCGAGAGGACTTCTGTATTTCAAATCATTTACCCGAACAGAAAGGAGAAATTAGCTTTGAAGTTCAGTTTTCTATTCTGAGCATTAAATATAACAGCTACGAATTTAAAAATATATTCAATATGAATCATAGGGACACTAATCTAAACTAAAAAATGCTCTGTGTGCCATCATACAACAACTAAACCATCTTTCCAGTGAAATAAATTTCTATCCAAGGGGTGGCATCAGCCTGAAGTGCTGCCTCAGTCCTAACGCCTCTTGAAATGAACTCATTACCCTCTAAGGCAACAGTGAGGCTGGTCTAACAGACCTGAGGATTAATTGTTGCGTGGCAGCATGGATAAAACATGTAGCATTTTATTCATGTTGCTCTGCAGCAGCCGTCACTGCACAGCAATGCTGTTTCATAACTGCTATTTCTTTATGTACTCCTCGGAGCTTACTGGCTGCTGTCCAGATCTACTCAGTGTCACTGCATGCACGCCGGTCTGTAAGTTATATTATAGCAACATTCAGTCCAACACTTGGGTGGTGGAACGATTGGCAAACAGAGAATAATTTTTCTTTTTTTTTTTTACAGTATCTCTACTTTAAATAGGCTACACTGTATTTCCACAGGAATATGTAACTTGCCAACACTTTCCCTTGCTGCAGTAACAGATGCACATCCACATTATGAACTAATATGGCAAATATGATGATCAGCAGGAGAACATCTGCAGCAACCCTGTTCATCACCAGACTTAGACATTACAGAACCGATATGATAGACAGCTAAGAGCATAAAGTGATTTTACGGAGTCGAAGTTTACTGGAGAAGTCTGACAACAACCTCTCTGCCCCTCCACTTCCCCACTCTTTATGATACCTTGTTCCTTTTGTCTTTCGGAAACCATATTGTTCGAAATTACTTCCTCTGAGAACAGGAAGAGGGAGTCGCGGTTAGGAGACAAAGACTCACAACGCTGCGTTTCCACAGCTGATCCATACTCTCTTAGACGTCTGTTCATTTCCACCACTTTGTGTGAATACCAGGTTGTTTACTGTGAGCGTTTGTTCCTTGACCAACCACAATACTACACTGGTGGTGGAAATTACACTGAAATAAATATTTAATTGTGATATTTGGCTGCTTTTGGTTTTCTGATGTAACTCCTCAATATTTAAAGTGAACAGATTTACTAAGCACTTAACTAAATGTATTTTACAAGTAAAGTTTCTACTTTCATTATAGATTTCTATTTTATAAACTGCTTTACATCTGAGCCACCCTACCAGGATGGTTTAGATGCACTTTGGTCCAAACTAATTAACTAAAGGGATGACACTTTGCCTCAACATTTATGGTCCTCAGAGGATGAATCCTACTTACAAAATTTTCATCTGCGTTTTCAAATAAATGAAGCTCAAAATATTCCAGTCCCCCTCAGTTCAGGATAGCTTATCAAAATTGTCTTGTAGCCATCAATAATTTTCTTTTATCCTTTAATGACTGGATAACAACAAGGACCTAGCTTAAAATGTACTGCACATGGTTTTTGTACGCTGCCTCATACATATAACGTAAATTCAAGTATGTTAACATGTTAAATGAAAAAAATAAAAACAATTAGTTTAAAATGAACGAGTTAGCCATGTTAATATCGGCATGTTAGCATGCTTTAGCGCCTGACGGCTCTGAGCTAAATGCTCAATCATTGCTGCAAGTTTGTAAAAATTCATAGACTGAGCTGATCCAAATCAACAACACAAAACAACATCATTCCCTCATTTTAGCAGATGGAGGGATGGTCGCACCATTAAATTCACAAACACGTCAAATGAATCTTTCTTAAACATAGCTCCAATTGTTATAGTTTGTTCTTGTTATGCTGATTTATATCCAAGTGCTTTACTGTATTTAAATTGGTTATTTGATTTTAATACAAGAGGAAGATGTAACATCATGATTGACAGCTCTGTTGACAAATGTCAGCATCAAATCAACACAACAGTTTTTTTCTGTGGTGGACTGAACCCACAACAGTCATGCTGTCAGTCAGGTCACTTCTTCACATGCACTGACTGCGCCATTGCTAAACGATGGCGCCATAGACTGTATGTAGTATATACATCCATATATCTATGGATGTATATACTATATATTGGGGTGGTCTTTTGGCTTCATCTCTACAATGGTTGGGAATGAAGTGATGTTGTTCATTCTTCATAAAATCAATGGGTTAAATCAGAGTAGTTGCAAATTTTGGATGTCCAAGTTAGTGTGGAGCAGCTGGCAACCCCAATAAGTGATAAGATGATCCAATAGTTGTACTTTCATGACTTCCTGTGAAAAATTAAAGTAGTGCTACTTTTTATGATAAAAGATTTTGAAAGCAATATCAGGCGTAACAGATATCGTTTCAAAGAAGGACCTTTGTTTCCTACCACCATGACATACTAGGATTTATGATCATTTCAAACACCTGGAGGCATTTCATGATACAGATTTTAAATGATAAAACAACTATCTAAGGTTTAAATTAGTCTTATAAGAAAGATGTATCATGAGCAGGGTCTGATCAGGTGACTGAAGTCTGCTGTCAGTGTTAACTGGTAAGAGCATGGCTGTTGTAACATGTACCTCCTGCCATTGTCCTCTCTGGACTTTACTCCCTTCCTCCTCCACTGAACTCTGCCTGTTTGTGATTTACTTCCTGTAAAGATCATCAACTTTTACTGAGGAGGGCTTTCAGCCAGCTCCTTGAGTTGGATCCATTTTACTGACTGATGATCCAGTGTGAGACCAGTCTGACGTTGCTGGGTATTAAGTCCACAGTGGAAAACAAGTGTCAGTCCACACACTCCCACATGTTGTCAAGTGGGTGCTTTGTATCCTGCCTCTCCCTGCTTTACAGATAAAGAGCACAGGGCTCTGATTTCTCATCTTTTTACCTTATATATACTCAACCGAGGCGCTGAGAGAGGGGGAGAGACGGACAGAGGGACACATGGTCATGGTCATTTGGACTGACTCTCTCTCTCTCTCTCTTGTGCATAACCGGTGTCAGTGTCAGCCAGGCATTAAAAGCCCTCCACAGTGGACTGCAAAATGGAAGTAACTTCTAACAGAAGTGACCGCTCATGGATCACACTTGAGGAAAGATGAGGGATGGTAAGAAGGAATTTTACCTCCTTGTTTGGCTTTTTTAACAGGCAGTGATTGTGGAGATTATACTGTATATTCTACCTGGCTCACCGTTGAAATAACAGTTTGTGTTAACGCACAGCTTCTGAGGAATGTGTACGTTTTCTGGATCCTAAAGGGGCACCGGCTTCAGACTCGTGACGTGTTGGAAAATGCCTGTCAAAGTGTTACTTTCAGCCATTCTTCTTGAATGCTATAACTCACAGGCTTTGATGTCTAATTGCATAGTAAAAGCTGACAGCAGGCATACTTAGATACACAGCGCGTATAGATGTTGGAGGTCATCCCCTGATGGAGATTGATGGGTTTTCTTACCCTCACAGTGACAGGGGTCATTTATTGCACTTATAAAGCTGTCTGGTGAACCGCCCTTATAGGGTCTGCCTTGGCCGAGACTTTCCGGCCTCTTACTGCCATGTTTGGGTCTCTCTAATGCTGCAGTCAAGAGGTGAAGAGATGGAGAGATGTGATTGACAGATAGGTCCAGATTAGCAGCATGTAGGATGGTTTTCTTTTCTTTTTGCAGAGAAGGGGGAGGACATGAAAGCAGCCTTTCTGTCACCGCGAGTGAAGCACGCTGGTGATGGTCCAGAGGCAAGATGGGGACTGTGGGGCTCAGGCCAGGTCACACAGTATTGAAAGGACAGAGTCTCCTAGCTTTGACTTGCCCTGTGGTGGCCTGTTTGCCTCTCTGTCTGTTTGTCATACATAAAAAGGAGCTGGACATGGGGAATGTAAACACACAGAACAAAATATTGTGATATTTTTTCTTAAAACGACCTCTGTATTTACTTTGACGTGACTCCTGAACTTCCTCTCCTCTCTCTCCCTCTCTGAGCGTCTCTCTTTCTCTGGGAAAATGGTTGTTCTCATGCCAACATCCAGTCCTCAAGCAATTCACAGACAGAGCGGCTATTTTTATGATGCCACGCTAACACCCAGGTCATTTCATCATCAGAGGACCTACAGTTGACTGTGTTTCTCTTCTTTGTCTTTTTTTCCCTCCTCTCTTTTCCTTCCATCTCAGCGCCCTCACCTTTTCACCCCTAGCTCCACCCTCCCTCTCTACTCTTCTTGTCTCAGGTGTGTTTTTGACCTGTGAGCAGCGATGGGGGACTGGAGTCTTCTGGGGAATTTCCTTGAAGAGGTCCAAGAACACTCGACCTCAGTTGGGAAGGTCTGGCTCACCGTCCTCTTCATCTTTCGTATCCTGGTGCTGGGCACAGCGGCTGAGTCATCCTGGGGCGACGAGCAGAGCGACTTCATGTGCGACACCCAACAACCCGGTTGTACCAACGTGTGTTACGACAGCGCCTTCCCCATCGCCCACATACGCTACTGGGTGCTGCAGATTGTTTTTGTCTCCACGCCTTCACTCATCTACATGGGCCATGCTATGCACACAGTGCGCAGGGAGGAGAAGGAGCGGAGGAGAGAGCAGGAGGAGAGGGAGGCCAGAGGGGAAAACGGAGGAGACCTGGAGGCGGAGAAGGAGTATCTGCAGCAGAAGGAGAGTGCCAGAGTTACGAGTGATGGGGGCAGTCGTGTTCACCTGAAAGGAGCGCTGCTGCAAACGTACATGCTGAGCATCATGATCCGCCTAGTGATGGAGGTCACATTCATTGTGGTGCAGTATCTGATTTACGGGATCTTCCTGAAAGCGTTGTACCACTGCAAGGAATGGCCCTGCCCAAACCCAGTCAACTGCTACATGTCCAGACCCACAGAGAAGAACGTCTTCATCATCTTCATGCTGGTGGTGGCCGGTGTGTCTCTTTTCCTCTCTGTGCTGGAGCTCTACCACCTCGGCTATAAGAGCATCAGGAGGTATGTTCGCGAAAAAGGGGCAAAGAAGAGCAGCCACAGATCAGTGACGGTGGCTGTGTCTGCAGCCCTGGAGCCCAACAGCCCCCCTCGGCCCTCAGCCTCCTGCACCCCACCTCCAGACTTCAGCCAGTGCCTGACAGCCCCGAGCTCCATGACGCCCATGGCCTCAATGGCCTCTCATCCTTTCAACAACAGGATGGCGCACCAGCAGAACTCAGTCAACTTAGCCACTGAACGGCACCACAGCTGCGATAACCTGGAGGACGAGGAGGACTTCCTGAGGATGAGATACGACCAGATGCCCACAGAGCTGCCCAACACCTGCTCGCAGTCACCACTGCTGCACACCGGCTTTGTGAGGGAGAAACGCCGCCTGAGCAAGACCAGTGGGAGCAGCAGCCGTGCTCGACAAGATGACCTTGCAGTTTAGACTCATGATGAGTAGGCGTGTCCGTTAAGGGATGAGGAGATCAGTAAAGGAGGCCCAAAGATGTGTCTGATCGTGGCTACAAAGACTATACATGCAAACTTTAATACTGAAGCCAGACACCGGACTCTTTCACCTCAGAGAGAAACACTGTGATCTGTCTGTGGACTATGCACACATTACATGCAAGAACTCTGAGAACAAATGAAGTGTCCAAGAGCTTGAAAATCAAACAACCAAACTGCAAAAAGAAAAATAATTTTAAGATGAGAACAGGGTAACAGGTTTGACACCTGGCTATTGCACAAGAGTTGAAGCCAAAGAACGAGAAAGGCAACAACAGTGAATGAGGAAATGTGACAAAAGCTCTCATTTATGCTGTCAGCTGACCATTTTTCTTCCCTTCACAAACACACATCCATAAATGAGACAAATCAGGGACTAAATATGCAGTATTTTTAAATGAATCAAGGTAAAGTGCCTTAAAAAAGAAGTAAGAATTTATTTTATATGAAACAGACTTTCCAAAAACCATGGGGAAAAACTGCAAATTATTTTCCAAATCCAGCTTTTAACTTTTCAGACCACTGTGACAGGTCAAACAGCCATAAAATGTAGCTCAGCAGTGATCTAAGAGACGACCTGTATGCAGAGGTTGTGTATCAAAGAGGGAGAGAGATGTGCAGCAGTGATGAGAGAATGTTGTCTGTGTCAGGATTTTCCTTTTGAAAGGGATTCAAGGGAAAAGAAAAAACAAGCTCCTGTGAGGATGCTGTTATGAGGAGATTTGGCCACTGGGTGGCAGCATTGCACTTACATTTTTTTCTAGTTTCTCTGTATCGCCGTTGTGTAAATACTCCAAATGTGTCCCTATGTAATGTATCAGTGTATGATTTTTTTTTCTTTCATTTCTTGTCTTTTTCTCTGTATGTGCATAATAACACAACATGTAATGTGTGAACAGTTTCAACATGAGCATCCACTACCACTGGGTTTTTATTTATTCTACAGCAAATGTTAACCAAAGTCCTGTATAGTCATGGTAGGTTTTCTTTCTTTCTTTCTTTCTTTCTTTCTTTCTTTCTTTCTTTCTTTCTTTCTTTCACAGAGACCTTTATGCAACAAATTTCAACACAATCCATGAACGAGCTATTAAAAATCCTCAACTGTACAATCTCATCTGTTGTCAAGTGCTTCTTTGACCTCTGTGCTTCAATAAGAAAGGGGAAATACTGTTTGTTGAGGATTTATTTAATGTTTTATCTTATAATTTTTCCCAAGTAAACCTTTATTTAAACAGGAGAAACTCAATGAGAATAAAATCTTTTCCAAGGCTGTCTTAGCCAAAATAGGCAGTAGCACAGCTGACAAAGGTCCCAGTAAAATTAAAGACAGCCATTCAAACAAATGTATTAGGCTACATAAAGGGGTTATGTTACAAGACAAGCACAGCATATTACGGCATATTTATTCAATTAAAGCAAGTAAGGAACTATTTTAGATGCATCAAGCAGAACATCTACAGCCAGATGTGTCTGTCTTCATGTCATTTAAAAGCATCTAAAAGTATCCAGTGAGATCAGATCATTTAGCTTCAGCTCTCTCACTAATTCAATTCAAGTACTGAGCTCAGAAATTCACGAAGTCTGACAGCAATTTATTCAAACATTCAAACATGCTAAACAAAATTAAGAAATTAATGAAATAAGATGCTATTACCACCTATACACTTATAAAATGTGAAACTAAGAGTGTTCTGCATTTTTAGATCCATTTCCTTTTTACCGTTTGCATATTTCAGTCTGTTCTGAGCAGAAAGGACCTGCAGGAGACAGACTGGGGGAGATAAACAGTATTTACACAAACACAGACTGTCACACCATCTCTGCCAGGAGCTGGGCGGCTAACATCCAACAATTTGGTCTGTCTCAAGCAGAGGAGCTGAAAGCTGCAGTAGATGCTGCCATTTTTCTGCTTGTTTCAGAGCATATTCAGATGATATGATAAAAAGAGCTTATACTTTCATCATTAATACATAAGATTATACCATCTAGGTCCCAGATCTTATAGAAATATTCAGTGATTCATCAGCGGCTGAGGGTGATGGCTGGGAGGATATTCATCGGTTGTCTCCTGTTTTTACTAATTCAAAAATGCCATCAGCACACATGTACAAGATGGAAATATATTACAGTTTCAGCTCTCAGTCTCTTGTGGTGTCATGTTTTGAAACACCACATTGAAACTAAATTATTTAAATGAATTTAGTATGAAGGTTAGTATTCACAGATAACTTACCTGAGTGTGAGTGACAGAATCTGTTTTTAAAGGTGAGAACTCCCCAAAATATCCCTAATTTCATTGTCTCATCTGATTCATAAATTGTTTCTGTTGCATTAAAGCAGATGATTCTCACTTTGTCATATACGACACATACAACTTTATTTATTTTTCCAATCAAATCATTCTCATATTTTAAAGAAACATACATAAATTTGAGTCTGACATGTCTTTCTTTATTTTATAAAGAAATATAATAAATGGTGTAAAAGCTGAAACTCCTGAGGGACCCAGGAGAGTTCAAGCTGCAAATTCTGTGAAGACAGGAAAGACTGAGGCTACTTGGTATTTCATTTATTTTTATTTTTTTTCAAACATGTGCGTCACAACAAAGTAAAATAAAAAATAAAAAATAAAAAACACAGAGAATACACAAAACAACAATAACAGTAATCAAAGCAAAAAATAAAAATATAAATAATAATAATAATGAAAAAAATTATATATATATATATATATATATATATATATATATATATATATATATATATATATAATTTTTTTTTTTTTTTTTTTAATTATTATTTTTTTTTTTTATATGGAAAGCAGCCTATTTTCATTCTGTTTTCTTAGTGGGGCAACCTTCTGGAGGAAAATAGAGGTCTTTTCAAATAAACTAGTGCTATTTGCAATTAAGTTAAGTAAAGTACTTTAATTTTAGTAGTTCTTTCGAATAAAAAAACTCTTTGATAGGATATTTAATACTCTTTATTTTGCCTTGGTCATTGAGTTTCAGCAGTCTTGTGACCGGCCTTTGGTTATGACATGCAAAAACACTTTTATCCTGCAGAGGTCGCTAGCGCACTTAAACATATCTCCTCAATCGGAAACCTGTAAAAGAAGAATAAAGCTCCCGCTCTCCAGTGACTGCTGGGAAATGTAGTTATTTCTTGTTAGCTTTAGCCTTAACTCCTGCTGCAGAGCGGCGTTTGTTCCTACAGTTCCCAACATGTCCCTGAACTTGTGATAGCAGCAAAGAGTTGCCAAATGACAGGTGAATGTATCACTTACCTAACGCTTTGTAATTTTTATTTAGAGTAGCAAAAGGACTTCGTTTCAGGAAGTAAGTATTTTTGAAATGTTAAGCCTGTGAAACTGGTTAGTTACAGTGAAGTGGGTTGACTTAGCAGCCCAGACGGAGGTTAAACTTTAGCTTGTAGCGAGCCGGTACAGAAAGGGTCCGTTAGCACCAAGTTGTGTGTTGCTAACGTGCCGAGGATCAGAAATGACCATATTGAACGAATTGGGCAACCTACTATTTAATCAGCGTATCCGGATTATCGGATGTGCAAATAGAGCTTATCTGAAGGTGTTTGGGGCTTTAATATCAGCCTGAATGAGCGGATAAAGGTTATTGCAGCATAGAGAAGTTTTGACGCAGTCAGTGTTGAGTTTGGCCCCCTGAGTGAGGAGAGTCTCTGCAGGAGTCACGATGACTTATGTGACAGCCTTTATTTGCTACAATGCAGCTCTACTTCACTGAAATATAATCTCTATACTGTCTTTGTACAGCGGTCACTTCTGTCTTACCTCAGCAACACGTACTGCTACTGCACCTCTTCACCATCATCATCATCACTGGATTTAGCTGCAAACTTGTACATGTCAGAGCAGGTTAGTGCTGTTTATATTCTCCTGTGAAAGTCCTGGGGCTATTTTGATCATTTGTAACTCTTGATTGATACCTTTTGGAGTTTGAAATGCTGGATCACAACAAAATATCTGCACACGATCTGGAGACCACTGATCCGTGTTGTTATATATATATTATAACCTTTTTCTGTCAGCCTGTAAACAATAATTACATAAACTAACAAACAATAGTTTTACTCAACATCTTTGTATCATTAACTTTGGTCACTTTGTTGTTTGTAGTTTGATTGTTTTATGAAATGTAAGAAAGGGTACATACTGATGTTCCCTTTTTTCAGTTTCATAGTTTACTATCAGAGGATGATCATGAGTACACATTTTGAATAATTTTTTAAAGGTGGAAATCAGTGAGCATTTTAACTCTCAAAGTTACACAAGCTTTACTTTTTATGCAACCTGTCCGCCTCAAGAGTTAGGAAGCTGTGTAAAATATTGTTAAAAAACAACACATGAGATGTCTATGTGCTCATTTTAAATTTCATTCTAGAACATGGCTCTAAAAAGTTGAGTCAGTTTGATATTGGGTTGCAGCACTTTGTCTCTTACAACTCTCAAAATGATTGAGGACACAGGAAACCAGTTTCTGGAGTTTTGAAAGTCAAATGATGTCATGTTCTTGTCTGATGTAGGGTTCAAGCTGCTCATAGGTTGAAGTTCACATTTACTGTATTTTCTGTCACATGATAAGCCAAATTTCTTAATGGGTGACAAGTTCAGACTGCAAGAAAGCCAGTGGTACTGCACTCTTCCACTACTGGGCCAAACGTAGTGTAACGTGCATTGTGCAGTTTTGTACATTTGCGGATTAAGTGACTTTTATTTATTTAAATATTTTTTTCATTTCACTTTTTTTTTTCCAGTGTTGTGTTGTCCCAGTCTCAACTAAACATTCTGCAGTTATCAAACATAAAATGATTACATTTCTCATCAGGAGACTGTGATGATTTTGTTTTATACGAAAAAGGATTAGGGCCACAAGAAGAGAAAAAATAATTACAGGAGGGAGATTTTTTTTAATTTCCATTTTGGGATTAAAGTCGAAATTTAAAAAAAAAAGTCAAAATTTCCACTTTATTCATGTCAACTTTAATCTCAAAATTTCAACTTTAATCTCAAAATTTTAATCTCGAAATGTCAACATTATTCATGACATTTCGAGATTATGTAATCTCAAAATTTCGACCTTAAATTTCAATTTTGAAATTTTAATTTTTAATCTCAAAATTTCGACTTTTTTGACATAGTTTTGATTTTTTTTTAAATGATTTTTTACTTTTATGTTGAAATTTCAACTTAAAACTCCTTCCTGTAATGACTTTTTTCCTCTTCATGTGGCCCTAATCCTCTGTAGTTTTACATCATCATTTGAATGAATGAATTTATTTATAGAATATTTTTCATTAAATTATAGCAAACGACTGTAACTGTGCCCAATTCATCTGCCTTCTATCATAGACCACCACGCATGTGGAGTTAACTCAAACATCTTTAATATTTCCTGTGTCCACAGCACCATCATGAGGTACCTGTGGCCCAGAGTATGTGTTTTAGGATCAGCAGCTTTTGGTTCCCTCCTGTGGTCGCAGAAGAAGACTGAATCAGACCAGGATACATCTAGTAGCTCCTGTGCTGAAACAAATCCCAGCTCTCCTTACGAGCTAAAATTAGTCCAAGTCTTGTTCCGTCATGGTGCACGAACACCGCTAAAGTCTATACCTGATGTGATTGAGGTAAAAATATATTTATGTTCTCATTTACTGCTTTAAAAAAAAAGAAGATGCTTCAGACATAATGTGCTTCCGTTACTTTTAAGGCCGAGTGGGTCCCAACACTTCTGGAGCCTCCTGCACACTGCCATATTAACTATGTGGTGACAGATCTTCATGGTGGCCCCAAGCCCCCCGCTCCTGTAGAGGACAGCTATCGAAAGAACACACTAACCGTGAGTAGGTGTGTCTTGTGATGCTGAGTGTAGTTGTAAAAGAAAAGAGTCAAAGGGATGAATTCAAGGCGAGAAACTAGTGTTGTTGTGTTCTGTGGGAGTGACACCAATTTCTGTAGAAAAACAGTTAAAAAAAAGAAAGAAATGTATGTAAGAAAACAGTTTACTACAGGTTCCTTTTGATAAAATAGTTACTTCTCTCAAGTTTTCCTTCAGTCAGCCTTTCTCCCTCTAGTGGTCACTTTGATTCATTACAAAGTCACACAAACGACACTGACGCAGGTCCTTTCATTCACCTTTTCTCTATCGTACAGCTGAGCTGTGTGCAGGGTTTCCCAGTAAGAAACTGTGTCCCATTTGGCAGCCGTGTAAATGAAAGTTTCCTGTGCAGTTAGCTCCTTCGCTAAAGAGGTTTACTGCACAGGATTTAGCTCAGAAAAACCAAATCCCACAACGTGGACTCTTGCCATCCTGGAGTTTGGCAAGAGTGTGTCTTTTTGGGCACATCTGTGAGTTAAACTCGATCCTGTTTGTCGTACTTGACAGGGTGGCACGTTCCCTGGTCAGCTGACCACAGTGGGCATGCAGCAGCTGTATGAGCTGGGCAAGAGGCTGAGGAGGAAATACATTGAGGAGACCCATTTCCTCAGCTCCACCTTTAGCCCAGCAGAGGTCTAGTAAGTGGTGCATATCATGGCTAAAATACTTCCCTGAACTCTAGGGTTGCAAAACACTGGATTTAGGAGAGCAGTACAAAGAATATCAGGCCTTACTCTTTTCTAGCTGGCTGCCTTCCATGACCTATTTTTTCCATTTTTAGTGTGCGCTCCACTAACATTGTGAGGACCATTGAATCTGCCAAATGCCTTGTAGCAGGGCTCTTCCAGCAAAAACAGAAAGGTAGGCTTAAAATCCATATGGGTATGTTATTTATTCCATTCCGGGTCTCATCTAATCTGTTTTTCTGCTCTACATGAAGACCCTGTTCCAATATTAACAACAGAGGCAGAATCTGAGATCCTGTATCCTAACTACTATGGATGCAAGCTGCTTAAAATCCTTGGCAGGTAAGTGAGAAATATTTTCCTCCATCATCCTTTGCAATTGTTAGCCAGAAGTGGAGAATTGATTTGTGTTTTTGTGCAAAATTTCAAGCCGAGTTCAGCCAACTCTGACAGGTTGTCATAGCATGTTTGCGTTCAGTGCTCCTGACGCTGTGTGTGCTCTTTGCAGCCACCGCTGGGCAGAGTCATCCACTCTGCCAGACATTGCAGCAGACCTGCAGAGCATCCAGAGCGCACTGGGCATCCCTGCTCACCAGCACGTCGACTTCATCCTCATTAGGGACGACATGGTCGCCAGAGAGGTGACAGCTCTGCATCATGATTTACATGACTTTTCTTAGGTCTCACCACAAACTATCATACAACATACCACTGAATATCAACACTAAGCCTGGACTGGGGCGACAGCTAGACAGCCGCTGGTTATGTGAGAAGAAGCGCTGTAAAACAGAATCATCCCATCAAATTTCTACAGATTTACAAACTGAAATAGAAGATTGCGACGAGTTTGAAATGGCTGTGTTTACTCCTTGTAATAACTGAAGATATTCAAAATGAACTACCATTTAATTCATAATTACACCGATGGCAAATCTAAAGACTCCTAATTTTGTCTGATGGGGATTCATTACTGGAGAGAGTCTGAAATAAGTTTCGCCTTGGTGAATCAGAGGGGTAATATTAGACTTCAGAGGGGCATTTTTTCCTGCAGACATTCAAACAACTCTTTAAGCATGTGCCCTGGGGCCACTACAAGATCTGAAACAAGGCAGCGGGGGCTTTTTTATTTCATAAGTTACTTAATTTTCTTTCCCCCAAGCAGCCAGAATAGAAGAAGCTAAAAACAGACGCCTTAATGAACACTGTTGTTGCGTCGGTCACATCAGCCTGTTCCCAGTTACATTTGAACTCAGAGAAATTTAAGCAACACATTTTGAGTTAGTACAGCTATAATCAGCTGTAACAGAAAATTAAGCTACAGATCGTTAATACTAATGAGGCTCTTTGCTGAAGGGTGCAAACAATAGAAACGTGGAAAACCAACGTGTTTGAAAAATAATCTGTATCACTGAACAGCAAAAATAAATTACGACTACTAACTGTATCAAATCTCTGCACAGACACACGGCCTGCCTTGCCCCGCAGTGCTGGACACCTGGAGGAATAAAGTGGAGAAGAGAGCTGTGGACATGATTTGCCATGTGTATGAACCCAGCAAGAGGTTAGATTAAACAGAATGAAACAGAGAAAGTGCTTTACAAAAGGGTTTCAACTCTTACAATAGTGCTAACCAGGAGGCATGGCTTATCTCTAAAGGTTTGAGTCAACATTCTAACCATCAGATTTGATGTCTTTTCAGGGAGAACTTGCAGCTGTGTGTAGGCCCCCTCTTGCACATATTATTGTCCAATATTGATGAGAAAGTTCAGGCCACCTCATCGGAGCCAAACAGGTTCGTCACTTGCATCTTGCATTCGCTCATTTGTTGCACTTAGTTGTACTTGGTCTCATTTAAAAATTCTTCTCTCAAACAGAAAGTTGTTTTTGTACTCCGCACATGACACCACTTTGATTCCCTGTCTGATGGCTCTGGGGGTTTTTGACATGATGTGGCCACCGTATGCTGCTGACCTCACCTTTGAGCTGCACCAACACCGGCAAACCAACCAGTCTTATGTGAAAGTCTCATATGTAGGCCAGGTAAGAATCAAACTGTGACTATAAACATATCAAAAACTTGTGCATCCTCATGCTTCCCTCTTCATTGCTTGTCTCTCTGTAGGATCTCCTCATACCTGGCTGCAGTGGAGTCTACTGCCCCCTGGAGGAGTTCAAACAGGCTCTCTCAGGGTACACACTGAGCTCTGAACTCTACAAGTCACTCTGTGACAGCACTGAGGAGTTGAGCAAACCTTAAACCAGCAACAATGCATCACAGCTACACAGTTATCATGCATCATGTATCTCCATCCTCACTTTGCACTCCATCTGGCCACCATCAGTCATTATACCTCACTGTCGGACTCAAGCAGAGAAACAGACACACACACACGTCCTGGATTACAGTGCGTTTTACAGCTCTTTTAGTTTACATGACTTTTGTTTCGTTATTCCAGATCTTAATACAAGTATGGCAATAAAACGTTCCATATAGGTGAATTAATTGTTCATTGCATATTGAAGTGTATTAAGTTTTATCTCAGATGCTTTGTAGGTATGAAAAAAGTGGCTTTATGACAAAGACGAGTCAGTCCGTGTTTGCCTGATGACAAATTATCTTTTTTTAATGGCTGAACATAATGTTGAGGACTATTTATAGCTGTGGATGAAATTCTATAAGTATTGTAAGAAACAGGAGAATGAGAAGTATTTTTGATTCCAAAGACACTAATATTGTGAGCAAAGAAGGCACAGTAGGAAAAATGATATCCCTGTATCTGGAGAAAGAGCCCCCTCTTTAGGAAAAAGCACTGAATTATATGCTACTTTAAACAATAGACATCTTAAAGCTTGACTATGTGGCATCATCAGGTCTCGCATCTGCTTCTGCATTTATTCTGCCAGTTTGGTTTTGTTTACGATAAAGTCTGTCACCTCCGATCATTTCATTCCTCAGGGGAGCACTTTTCATTTCAAGTACTGTATTTAGTGTTAATTAACAAGTGGGAACAGGAACTTGGGTGTACATTAGGATATAGATAAATGTTTTCATAACCATGTGTAAAAAAAGGGAATAAATCTGAATCATTTGGTTGCCTTAATGTGGGGGTCATATTACAGTTTTTTTCAGACTGCATGGAAACCTGCTCATTCATGAGTTTAGACCTGAGTATCACTATGTTACAATAACACACCATACTGCATCAGGAGGACTTGTTGCTCATCATGTTATGGTTTGAACTAGTAAAAAATTAAAAAGGATTTTGATCAGTTTTGTCTCTTTGACTCATGTTGACATGACTCTGGTATTACCTGTAAATACAAGTTCAACACTTTTTACTTGCTCGTATCTGTTTGGAGAGTGCCAGGTCCTCTGAAAATAGCTCCCAGTAAGCACTTGATAGTAAGTACCCGATAAAATGTCAACTTGGCAGAGCTGCTTAGTTTGCCTCACTCTCTTTGTTTAAGCCAAATGCTGATAAGCTGGTTTGACATGTAAAATAACAAAGATGACACCTGTCTGCTGAAGTGACTCGTTAATAGTCTGAAGCCATGTGGACACACATACCTGCGCATGCACACACATACGTCATAGACAACATGTATATACCAAAACAATATCTTTTATTTGTAGTCCATCACCACAGCCCTGGTAGGCTATTTTTGCACCAAAGCCAATGGAGAAACACATGACAAGCTTATACAATAGAGAAAAGAGAGGAAGTCAACTGGATGGTAAGCAGTACGTGTTTACATTTCTGTGTCTCACTTTGGACACCACACCTGCCTCGCTAAATTTTACCAGATCTACCTATCTCTAGTTCTATAACACCTGGCATACCTGCTGTGCCACTCCTGTCGCATTCTGCTGACCTTTGGGGATTATTGCTGTGGGAATGATTATTACCCAGAGTCAACAAGAGAGTCAAAACAAAACAGGAACACAACAGGAACAAGAAGAACACACATAGCACATCTGGGTATTAGCAGTACTATTCACGCTAGCGAAAGTCGAGTCCTGAAAGTAGGATCCTCACACTTGATGTGTTGCTCTCAATGGTAAAAATAGAGAAAGAAGACGCTTTCGGCAGACGGTCCATGTTTGTGCTTTTTTAATAATACTATTATCTTAATGAGGTCATAGTTTGGTTTGTTATACACTGGAGTTACAAAGGAAATTAAAATAGACTAAAATTCGAATAGCCCACCAATGGTAAACAGTACAGTATTTTTAGGGGGCATTCCTCCCCCAATGAAAGTTGGGTAAGAGGAGTTGAGAGGTCACTGATAGAATGCCTATACATACAGACACATACATACGTACCACACAAACATACAGTCTGTCAAGCACGCACACGCACTCTCACACGTATATACTGTACAGAAACAGTCAAAACGATGGAGCGAGAGACAAGATGGAGTTCCACTAAAGTCTTCACAAAGCACAAATTCTTATTCCTTTCTCTTGTTCCACACCACTTTTGTGACAATTTTTGTTTTTTTTTAATTTGAAAAACGTAGACATATACTGTAGCATCTCCACGCTGACTTGTTAGGTTGATTCCTCTTTGATGTTGAAGTCATCTTTACAGTCAGATAATCAAAAAACACAAGAACAGTTTTTTTTTTTTGTTTTTTTTTGCAAAAAAATGATGCACAACAATCCCATACATTCTGAAGTTCATGAGTCAAAATTTCATGTTCTTGTGGCAAAAAGTACTCTGATCTGGGCCAGTCCGAGTCTCCACTGGAATAGTTCCCACAGGACATTACTAGGTGACTGGTAAGCTCCGTTTTGTTTATTTCTGTGTACATCCTCTTCTAGTATTATACTTCCTTTGTTAAAGTCCACCAAGAGTTTTGTCTCCACACACTGTGACCTTAACTCCATCCACCATACTGTCCAAGAACATTCTAGATACAAGGTTTCTGTTGGATTAGAACATTCCAGGGCCCGGACTGAACCCCATGTCCATGTCACGAGGCCTCATCTGACCCCCCATCATCATTGTCTGCTGAGGGGGGCCGCCCATGCCCTGCAGTGACATCATCATGTTAGGTGAGCCGCCAGGGCCTGGGTGGGACATTTGTCTCCCCTGCATCATCCCTCCCGGACCCCCAGGGGACATCATCCGGTGCTGGGGGCCCATCATTCCTTGGCCCATGAATCCTGGTGGCCGCATGGAGTTGTGGCCAGGGTTGCCCATTGGCATGTCTTGGGGGCCCATTCCCCCACCAGGTCCCCCAGGCATTCCCCCCATCCCCTGCATGGACATCCCCATTCTAGGCGGACCGTCGCCCATCATGCCCTGCATGGGGAAGCCAGAAGGGTGTGGCGGTTTCCCCCCGGGGTTATCTCCTCCACCTCGGGGGAAATATGACAGAGTCTGGCTGGGCTTCTCTGACGGGATTATCCTGGACAGGTCAAACTCAGGAATGCCGGATGCTCCCGGCCGCATCACCTCATGAAGGTCTGCTTCACTGAATCCACCTTGCATGTTGTTAAACTCTGGCCCTCCTGGAGTATTAGGCTTGCACATACCCCCATCACCCCCACCTCCATGGGGCATGTTCCCCATCCGTCCCCCCATAGGCCCTCCCTCTCCCTGGAAGCCCATCGGATGTCCGGGGAAGCCTTGGGGACCAGGACCGTTGTGCGGGGAGAAAGGTCCTTGCTGGGAGGGGGACTGGGTGAGGGGGTATGCTTGGCCTCGATGAGGGTAACCCATGCGTCCCTGGGGCATCATTTGAGGGTTTCCCATACCGGGGTCTTGGGGATTTGGTGGTATCATCATGCCATGGGGCATCATGCCTGGACCCATGTTTGGAGCATTGGGAGAGGGCATCTGTGGAGGCATGCCATGGGAGAGGGGCTGGGACCCCATCGGATTCATCCCTAGAGGGCTGAGGGCAGACATGGGTCCTGGGTTTCCCGGTCCCATCATACGAGGATTTCCTTGGTGGTTCATTGCCATACCTGTGGAACAAACAGAAGAGGTGATGATGACATCGGTTAAGTAATGGGCGCAGCATATCACAGGCATCAAGTTGAAAAAAAAAAAAACAGGATCAAAGGAGGATCCTAGAATACAAATCACACTACTACACACAAAGTCTCTGAAAGTGTCTCACCATTGTTGTTCGCTGATGGCAGGTTTGGAGAGCGGGCCGGGGGCGAGTCATCATCAGAGCTGGCGACAGTCTTAATGGCATCATGGTAGAGTGGGGTGGAGCTGGGCATTGCAAACTTGGACATGCGTGACATCATGATGGAGAGAGGATTCTGGGAGAGAGTTGGCTCAGGGGGGATGGTGTATGGACTGCCAGACGGGACGTTGCCTGGGTGGGACATGGAGCCAGATGGAGCTCCTGATGAAGGAGGGGCTGAGGGAGGACCATTACCACCTGGAAGATGACACGATGAGAGAGAGATGACATAAAACTGAGATGTTGACACGTAGAAGAAAAGACTTTTAATATAGTGCAGACTTTTTTGTGATGATACCAGCAACAGTGTGGCAGTCACAGATTTAAGAGATCCAAATCCAGCTGCCACAAGAGGGAGCCACTGGACCATTACCAACCCAACCCCACCCCTCAAACAGATGAGTTGTTTTTTAAAGATAACATTTTCTGCTCTTTTATTGACTTAAAATTATTTGTTTTGATATCGAACTGATTTTAGAGTATACAAGGGACACAGTCAGACATCAACGGGATCAGTGACTAAAACAAAGCCCAAAAATATTCAAAGAAAAACCACTCAGGGAGGAAAGAAAGATTTCATTTAAGAGCGTAGTAAAGATGAAGTTTAAATGATAAGGAGTGAAGTATTAAGCAGAGAATCAAGGACAGAGGCAGACAAAGACAGATTTACACAGACAGAAATGTACCTTGCTCCATGCCCCCCATCATGTTGGGTGAGGTTATACTGAGGGGAGGCTTGCCACCCTGAGGTGGAACTCCAGGACTCTGCATTGGTGGTTTTGGAGAGGAAGCCCATCCTGGAGAAGGATTAGGAAGAGAAGGAGACCTCATATGAACCGGAGAGGCACCAGCTGAGCCCATCATGGAGTGGGGGGACTTCATTGGTGCTGAAGATGGAGGAGCTGGAGGGGCGCTTGGACCTGTGGGACCAGTGAGCATGCCAGCCAGCTGGGACGGTGTCTGTGGGGATTTAAGGTTTCCAGAAGGAGAGCCCATCATGGGAGACTGCACTTGCCTCAGAGGAGGTGACTTTAGTGGATTGACGCTGGGAGAGTTCCCCCCTCCTGCCTGGACATTCAGATCTGCTGGTTTGCGTCCCCTCTGACCTTGTGAAGGGCCGCCTGCAGGAGGGAGGTGGTTCATACGGCCATTACCTCCTGTTGGTGTAGATCTGTGCTCTGGACCAAAGGCTGGGTCTGCATGTGGACCCCTCATTCCACCAGGACCCCCTGGGAAGGGCCTCCCAGGCCCCATGGGAAAGTCTCCAGGTTGTCCCTGCTCAGGGAAGGGAGGGCCCTGCATGGGTCTGCCCTGAGGACCCATGCTCTCCATTGGAGGTCCTCCACCGCCTCTCATTCTCATCATCTCATCAGGACTCATATTCATGGGGGCATCTCGTAGTTTGGAAGGGTGCATATGAGGCCCTGGTCCAGGTCCAGGCCCCATGCCAAACTCAGGGCCCATTTCCCTGCCCCCCATTCCCTGGAGCCTAGAAGAGGGACTCATAGGCCCATCTCCAGGCATTCTGGGAAAAATACCCATGCCATTACCAGGTTCCATTCCTCCTCTTTGGTGACCCATCATCCTTTGCATGTCCATCATCATTCCAGGAGGGAGGCCCTTGTCTCCACCCATACCTTGGTGAAACATTGCCTCTTGGACTGACTGAGGGTTTGGGAAACGCTCGCCACGACCCCCTGGACCAGCAAACATCCCCCCAGGCCCTCCTGGAAAGCCTCGTGCATCTCCCATTCTGGGTGGCATATCATCTGGCCAGCCCATACCAGGCCTTGGAGGTCCCTCCATCTCGGGATTCATCATACCAGAGAAACCAGGCATCCTCTGCATATGTGGGGGCATTCCTCTGGGGCCAGGACCCATGCCCATGCGCTCCTGGTAGGGCTCTGGTGGACCACCTGGCCCTCCCCATATCTCCCCTGGGCCCATCTGGTAGGGAGGCGGGGGCCCTCGCATCATGCCACGTGGCCCATGGGGGTGCATCATCATGTCTGGAGGAAGAGGTCGGTGTTGCAACTCCTGCTTCTTCCTCTTCTCTTCATAAAACTCCTGTTGTAGCTTCAACCACGCCACCTGTTCTGGAGTCATCTGATCTCCATCTCCACAGCCCCCAGGGCCCCCCATGTGTGCACCCATTTCATCTTGTGGAAATGGGGGCATGTCCCTCGGGCCATGAGGTGGGCCAAAGGGTGGACCTTGTGGACGAGGTCCTACTGGCCCACCAGGTGGTCCGAGACTCTGAGACTGTGCCATCATAGCTTGGAGAGGTCCCTGCTCAGACCTTCGTGGTGCACCATCAGGACCTCCATCATGGGGTCCACCGTGAGACTGCGGGGGCCCTGTTGGTGGCGCATCACGGTCATCAGGGAAAAGCATGCGCTGGATATCTCGCAGGGTCTGCAGGGAGCGCTGGCGATGCTCTAACTGTTCCTGGGATAAACCCTCTGTGTTGGCCTCCATGTTCAACAGTTCCTGGGCCAGTTGCTGCTGTTGTTGCTGCTGCTGTGGTGTCAGACCTGCTCCACCAGAGCCTCCAGCCTGCCCTCCTTCACCTGCTGTTGGAGGGTTGAGGCCCGCCTCAGGCTGGGTAACAGGGGCCTGGTCAACTGGGGCATTCGTGTTACTGGGGCTACTGCCAGGAAGATTTTTGGATTCCATGCCTGCAGAGGATGACCCCTCCTGGGGAAGAACACCAGCCTGCCCCCCTTGGTTTGAAGACTGGTTTGGTGCTGGCTCTGCCATGCCAGGCAAGGACGGCTTGGATCCAGGCTGGTGACTCTGATCCTGGGCATGGGATGAAGGCTGCTGGGGAGGCTTGGAGTCATTTCGAAGGGCGCTTGCTGTATTGTTCTGAAACACAGAGAAACAGGATTTAGCAATGACTTCTTCGTGAGAGATGACAGGAAAAGGGGGCCTTTATTTGTATTTACCAGGAGGAGGTGAGCTTTGTCCTTGCTGTTGGAGATGTTTTTCATGTGGAAGGCAATGATGTTTTCTGTGTGGCCAGTTAGAACCGCATCAGCTGCCCTGAGGACAAGAAGGCAGACAGTCAGATATCAGTCATCAGACACAATAAATGTGTGTGTGTGTGTTTGTGTTTGTGTGTGAAACCATGAGCTGGATGAATGGGTACTAGATGGGACCATGAAGGTAAATCCAAGGTCAATAGTCTAAGTAAACTATTGCACCCACACACGCGCACACACACCTTCCACATCTTTGATCTCTAATTCCCAACAGAGTGTAAATCTAAGCCAAGTTTGTGCTCCCACTGTGAAACACACACGCCTGTGCAGCTACACACAATGGATTCAGACCATAACTGGAATAGTTTGGGGAAGGAAGAGAAAGGGTGGGATGCAAGTGTCTCAGAACCATACACATTAACAACTTCAACAAACATTAAAGACAACAACCATCACTTATGACAGGGGCGCAGGGAAAGAGAAATGGACATTGTAAGTAAATCTACTGAATATTAAAGTGCTCCCACAGAAAGAATGTATGTTACCTTTGTAAAACTGAGTCTGAGTGAGGAGATTTAAATATGTAGTAATTAAACTGATTAGCTTGTCTAAAGACACTGAAATTTAAAACTGCAAAGATCAGCCAAGTAATCAAAACTAAAAATGTTACTAGATGCAAAATGTTGTCAAAGGGGTACCATTTATAAACTCTTAAATGTTAGCTTCCTTACTTGTTGGCCATCTCAGTTGTGAAGACATAAACAAGTTTTGAGCCTGGTTTCTGGCCACTAGCTGGTTCTGTGGTGGAGCCCTGGCCTCCCAGCGTATTGTGAGAGGGCGTGGAGGAGCGGCTGAGTCCAGCGTTGGAGGTAGAATGTGTGACAGAATCCTGGGGCTTCACATCACTGGAGTTACAGTCTATTGGAAAACAAGAGGGGAATGCGCTGTTTTAGGAGTAGTGCAAGCTTATGGGTATTGTAGTTCAACTGCAGAGCTGTCATAAACCAAGATGATCGACGGAGGGGCTGCTACACATGCTTGGATGCCCGCGTTAACACACTTACTGAAGAATCCTTTGTCATCTTCGTCACTTTCACCCCCAGAGCACCAGTCAGCTCCACTGTACGGCTGCCTCCTCTCTGCCACGCACATCCTCTTCACCCTGCTGCTGTCTGCACACACAAACACTCACAGTGAGTGACAAGAGAGGGACTGAAAAGAATATTTTTCAGACACACTTTGAGAAAAAAAAATCATTCTTTTTGGGGGGATTTATTTTACCTGTCTCTTAAGGTACCTTAGTCAAGCATTTTACAATTGTTCATTTCTACCAAGAACTCCATAAACTTCATATTTGACTTTTTGAACGGATTATGTAGGATACTCCAGGGGCTATAAAAGGATCCACACAGCACACTGCTGAGTAAGGGATAATGTAAAGTGAGTAGGTTGTTATCGTGGATATGAACCCCAGGATGACAAGGACCCACGAGCCGGGCAAAAGGTTCCCATCTCACCTTTAAGATGTACCCCAGCAAATACATCCCATTCATTTTACATTGTCCCACTTACTTAATAAATCAATGACTATTCAATAAATGTTCTGAAAAGATTTTATTGATATGAGAACGGGGATATTTCATCTGCGTTTACAGTAGCACTTAACTGTGTCGCCTCCTTGAAATGAGAACACCTCGCTGTAATTACTTAACATTTCAACTGATGGTGAAGTAAAACAAGGAAGACAGGAACGCAAGATTCAGTGCCACACCTGGTTATGTTTTTGTGTCTCGTCTCTGTCAGAGTCTGTCACATTACTCTTCAATCAATCAGTCCTCAAACACCGCTGTATACCATTTTACTGAGTGTCTGCCTCATGTGCCATCTTCAGTTTTGTAGACTTTTCTGTCAAGGTCTTTTAGGTTCTTGTTGATGACCGCTCCTAATTTTTCTATGCTGTTTTTCTTTTTTATTTTCCACTTTGCAACCAGTTAAAAAAAAGAAAAACTGCATCAGATGTAACAGTCTACAACAGAGAGCCATGAATCTATTCTTCATAGCAACAGTCTGTTGTCAAGCAATAACAGACCGTTGCTATGGGATGTAACTATGTTGTGGTCAATCAGTATCAAGTATTTAACTCAGCCATGGAATAATAAAGTTATGCAGAGGATAACTACAAAATTAAATGACCAATGGGACGTAATGAGGTAGAATTTGTGCACAATTTGCCATCAGTTTAGTCTAAATATTTATTGTTACTTGCTGGACTAAAAATTGTTCATATGAATATGAAGCACAACCATTTCAGACATGACACTGTCTTTTCTATAATCAGCGCTCCAATGCATTTCATGCCAAAAGGGCAGACCTTCAGGGGAGAAGTATAACCCCACAGCTTTGCCAAAGCAGTATCTGAAAACCGTCACAGAAATGGATATTTAATACCGAAGTTGAACTGATTTTTAGTGCTGGTTTACATCGGAAACAACACAGACCTGTATCAATAAATCTAAGACTGAGCGTAACACTTTACAAAGATGCTTTCAGCCTCCAGCTGGACAACAGATGAGTTGGTATAAAGAAGATGTCCCAGGAAGTTCTTACCTTTTTCCTCACTGGTGGGTGTGCCTCCCTCTGGTTGTTCAAACGACTCCACTGAGGTGCTTCTCTCCCTTTTGACTTTAACTTTCGAGCTCGGACCGGAGCTTAGACCCTGCCCGTTCTTTAGCCCCATGCCCCCTGCCACATTTTGAGCCCCTTTGGTACCCAGGGTCTTGGCATCGCAGGGTGAGGGCTGTGATTGGCTGCCAGTGCTCCCTGGTTTACTTTGATTGGGCATTTTAGAGTCCATCTGGGTGGCAGTGGAGGGGGACATGACGGGAGGTGAGCGTACCATGGCCTCCGTCTTCGGTTTAGGGCTGATAGAGAAAGAATAGTGGACACAATTAACACGTTTGCGCCTTTGGTAAAGATCAGAACAAAAGACATGACTGATTTCTCAAACCCTGCAAAACAACTAATATATATACATAACTTTAATCACAATGGTCTATTTATAGGAACCTTAAATGACACAATGTACACATAAACTCCCAAAATGTGATCTTTTGTCTTCTAAAATACATTTGAGTTCTTGTGTGACTTATGAAACACATAACAGGAAGGAAATGGGGCATATCGCACAAAAAGCCTGGGGCTTGAAGTTGGGTTACCCAGCAGTCATGCTCTAAAACAGGGTAAAAACCAAAAGAGGGGAGGGGGTACAGACTTAGCCAGCTTTAGGTCTGATATCTCCATTAAATCTACCAATTATGTATGACTGGTTAAACTGTTTGGAGGAGTGGAGGAACGGATGAGGAAATGTGATTGTTCTTCCCCCTCTCTTTTTCTTTCACTCCTAAACACAATTTGATTATGGCATCCAGCAGTTGGCATGGAGGTCTATGAACACAAGATTAGGTTACGGCTATTGGGAAATTCCTTTCGGTTAGACAGAAAAACCTAAAAGGAACAGAATATTGAAACACAGGCCATCTTCAAATGACTGCTGCTTACAAGTTATGAGTTCAGTTCAGGCAAGCAGGACACTTCCAACTGGCAGAGAGCACCCTTACCACACCCTAATCTCTTTCTCTCTCTTTCTCTCTCTCTCTGTCTGTCTCTCATACACACACACACACACACACACACTCGTACAAGTAGCATTAAACAAATGCCAACATGTCCAAAATGCGCAGCCACAGCTGAGCACACTTCATGTGCACACTCACACAGACAGGACCCACAGCTCACAGAAAAAAAAGGGCAAAGCCAAAATTTTGGCAGTCCAGGCAGCCGTTTCCAGAGGCTCCAGAACCATGAGTCAGCAGGGGAAAAAACTTCCAAACTCAGTGTACTCTCTGACCCTGGAACAGCTATGGATCACACATTGAGACCACTCAGGTAAAAAGACAGGAAAAGAGAACTGATCCCAGATCTGCTTTGTGCGCCTCTGGTGCTTTTGAATAGCAGGGCTCCAAAATAAGGCCAAGGTGACATGAACAGATTTATCATACAGCCAAGACTTAAGCTGATTACACATATTTATGCATTATTTATGACTTCCAATACCTGCACAACATCTAAATAGTTAACACAGACAATTAAAAACATTTGTGTGTCCTGATTGAGTATCTTAAAAATGTAGTGAACCTCTCAGCCAATTCAAACACATGCAGGACCCTGAAAATTCCTCTGCATCATATCAGCATCAGCCCTCACAAGTCCAATATCACCATTATCTTTTTTTAAATTGAAAAAAAATCATTCTTATCATCACCCATTTGCAGCATATCAAATACAAAACTGTCACTTGTTCAGGTTTTAATTTAAATCCGGTTATGCTGCGTAGAATAACAATTTAAGATTGCTGGACAGAAATCCAAAAGATCCTCATGGGACTATTTTACTGAGCCAAACATTATTCCATCCTCATTTCTTTGATTAAATGTTCCCCCAAGTGAAGTGTACTTTTGTTTTTCACTTGTTAGTATTGTTAAATTATTATTTTTTTGTCAAATGCAAGGAAAAAACAAGCAAAAAAAAAATAAAAATACATACATACAGTGTGATATCAGCACAGTGTATCAGCCTGTGGTCAACCTGCTCTCAGAATCAGTATTGGTCGTTGAAAAACCCTGATCAGTCAACCCCTGACCATCTTTTCTACTAATTGAAATGGAACTTATTATGCACCTTTAAAACAGTGTTGTGACTAAAATGTAACCAAGCTGCATGTTAATATAACTCAAGTACAACATCAAGAAACTAGCGGTGTATGTCGTTACATTTCAAACTCATAAAAAATGTATAAAAGCCTTGTTACTTGTAACTCAAGAACAACCAAGGGCAAACTTTGTCAAAGGCAAGTTTAGTAATCCTAATCTCATGAAGCATCTATCTGAATAACACAGTTCTACCAGGTAGGTTGACAGAAAGTCCGGGTCTGCAAACACCAACGAGGAACCACTCCATCCAAAGAATCAAAGACTGATGCAAAACTACCACCAGAGTCATAATCTGTAAACCAGGACACATGCTTCCCTCAACAACAACTCTTGAGTCTGACGCAATCAGAGAGCCAAAGGGCAAAATACCAGTGAGACGAGACGATCAACGGAGTCATCCAGTAACTTATGATAGAGGTAACAGCTAAATATAAATGACTGCAAATAGAGTGATAAAACGCGAGAGTTCACAACATGGCAAACACAAGTTTAGGGGGTACAACGATCATGCGACAACCATCTCCATTCGAGACAGAAGATGCCTTAAGCTCAAACTGCAGTGCTGCCGGAAAACAAATAAGAGTCCTGTCATATTTACTGAAAATCTGTCCATACATTGTGGATTTGTGACAGCTTCTTTCCCACTTCATCCTGTTTTTAACAGTTTTTAAATGGTCTGTGTCTGCTCCCTCTTCACAACTGTTAATAAACACTGACAGCTAATGTTTATTCATTCCTGATATTGTGTGATGATTCTTTAATTCCTCCAAACACATTCATGTGCCGGACAAAAGCTCGTTTCTATTTATGTTAATTGATGTGGAGGGACAGAAGCTACTTAGTGTTTCAATCATCAGCTGTTAGTAGAACATAAGAACAATCCCAGTGATGAAAACTTGATTTAGAGCCACTTACTGACAACCACAATGTTGTGCGGCCATAAAAACAATCTGCTTAACATGGAGGGGGTGAAGTTTTTACTTCTGTGCTCTCTGCAGTTTGCTGCCGATTATAGAACGTTTGAATTAGATGCATAAATTTAATCAACATACAGATCAGTGTGGAGCTCATAAGGCTGTTGAAACAATCATCAGGACCTCACATCTTCACACAAACACACACTATAGCCTTGCGTAACTGCACTACCCACAGGTTGTCGGTGTGTAAGTCCACTCACCTCTGTGTGTTGGTGGACGGGGAGTTCTTTAGCCTATTGGAGTGCATTGATGGGGCTCCCAGAACTACAGAACAGGGTGGAGTGATGAGCTGGTGAGGACTGCCTGTGTGTGAAAGAGGTGCTTTCGTGCGCACGTTCCTGGATCCAGGAACAGGATTCCCGATGTTGGAGAGGTTTCCTCGACCGTCCTTGGCCTCCTCTCGCTCTTTCTTCCCTCGCTCCTTCTTGTTGAAATGTGTCGCTGCTGTACCTGCCGCCGCTGGCCTCTCCTCTTGGACCTCCAACATCCTCTTTATGTCCTTGTGTATGGGTGTGGGTGTGTGCGCCTGTGTGTGCAAATGTGTATGTATGTGTGTGTGGGGTGGGAGAAAGTGTGTAAAAACAATAACAATAGTCCAGGAGCCTTTTCTTGTTCGGAGTGTATTTATGAAACTCCCCCAAGGGGGCTTTCAACGGCCCTTGGGCACACTGTTGAGAGAGAGCAGAGTGAAAAAAAAAGAGTGTTAACAAAACTGGAAAAAAAGGCAGCAGTCAGAACATATTTAAAGTCACAATACACCCATTTTTAATTCAATTAAACCTACAAATGTGGGCTTGAATGCTGCTCATTTTGAACGGTTGGTGTTTTTTTAGATCTGCATTAATCCATGTCAGCAGGATTGGATTCAGAATGGCCGTATAACATAACAAATGGTACTGAATACAATAAATACAATACAAATGGTCAAAGAACTCCTGTATATTACTCCTAGAAAAAGTCCAACACACTGTATCTTTCATTTTACGCTGTTTTATTTGTCTCTGTTCCTGTTCTTTGCGAGTTATGTTTATTGTTCAGCTGTATGCAAGATATTAAGAAGAATGATGATAAAAATAGGAGTTAAGTTGAAGTCAAATATCAGCAAAGGCAGAGAGCCAAAATGCATCCAGACAGATTTTTAAAAAACTCTCCCTCAGCTTAATCTCAGTTTACACTTTTCAACTTTGTTTGTCCAGTCTGACAAGTCCTCGTAAACATTTACTGGCTTGACCCAGAGCATTATACTGAATCTCCATCTATCAATTCTCTACACCGCTGTATTGAGAGTAGACTGACAACCAGACGCAGTCACATTTAGTGTGACCAATAACCTGAAGAGCATGTCTTTGTAATGTGGGTGACAGCTGAAGTACCCAGAGGAACATGCAAACTCCTCACAACCCCTGTGCCTCTATACAACCCTTCTGTAGAACTTTGACACGACCCCTGGGCTGACGACTGGAGGACACAACAAGTCCCTCTGTAGCCACAGGTTGATTCACTTGGCTAGCGTTAGAATCGGGCCCCAAGTGTGAAAGAGCTGGAGGAGGATTGTGCACATGTTGCAGGATGACAACGTCTGATTTACTACATGAATGTTTAGGTGATTTTATTGCAGGTGAGACAAACTCTTTCTACAAAAGTTCTGCTGAATCCGGACAGCTTTATATTGACACACTGCAGCCTGAAACGTTTTTCACATCTGTGTCTTTGTGTGTTACTTCACGTAGCTTTACTGTGTTGCTGGAGCACGAGAGGCGTGGCCCCGTAAACACACTGTGTAAGCACGATGCACAAACACACAGCGTTGTTCTGCCATGCTATCTCCTAATGCTACACAGCGGCACCACCTTCCCCTCATTTCACCTCCAAAGAAAAGTCAAAAGGCAGAAAGACTTCACCCCACCATTGCACCTGTGTTACACCTGGCAGATAAGACAGGGGCCTAAATTTCCTGCATTAAAACAGCAGTATGTAAGAGCTACGCATCACTGAGGCATCTGTGGGGTGACGTGCTGTGATTATAAATGTAAAAATAAAGTAAATTATATTGATTTCTTGATGTTTTTCTAACTATTACAGTAAAAGGGAGCTGTTTTGAGTCATTTTCATTCATTTTTATGCTTTAAACTACTCTTGCAACCAAAATTTCAGGACTTGGTGTCAAACTGGCTCTGTGCTTTAAATTAAAAGTGTCATATTTGATCTTTGTTTATGATTTCTTAAACTTATGGTAACATCTGAATGAGTATGAGCCTCAAATCAGGTCAGGCTTTAATTCTGTGGATTTCTTTGGTTTGGACGTCGTGATTAAATATCTAAGAAGAAGCAGGACACTGAAACTTTGGCGATCATAAATGTTCTGGTGAGGTTGGAGAGGTGTGATTGTAGTCCAAACCATCACTGTGTGTTTCTGTTTGTTTGTGTGTGTGTGTGTGTGTGTGTGTGTGTGTGTGCTGCTCAGAGAGCACAGGAATCGCATGAGAATCCTGTTCGCGAGACAGCAGCCCAGTCAGTCAGATTACATTGTCATCCTGAAAATATTTAGGAGCTCTTCCAAAACACTCAACATTGTAACTGGCTCCAGAGTCTCCCTGGGGAGAAGGAGGTGGAGTGTTTGGGGGGTTGAGGGGAGGAGGGAGGGGGGCTTTACTGGGAACCAGACACATATACTGACTCCTGCTTCAGCAGCAGCAGCACTCGTCTCTCGCTGGTCTACGAGAGAGGAGATTTACAACCACCGGGGCCACAGATCACTACTGCACACGAGCAGAGGCTGGCTTCTAAACAGGGACCGAGGAGCACGCAGGAGTCTGTGTATCTCAGCTACTCGGATTAGACTGCTAGTAAAATGTAAAAATAAACACAGGAGCGGACACTCTCTGGGAAAGTAGTGGGCTGGTTATTGACGATGAATTTGTGATTTGACTCCATATTTATTTACAACAGAAAAATGCACAACTTACATGTTTGGATTTTCTGTCAAAATAATTAAACAATTAAAGCAACGACTCTTCCACAACCCCTCTACACAGAGTGTCTGGGGTTTTTTTTTTAAGTTTTTATTGAGGAGTGAAATGATGGAGGACAAGATTTTTTAAAAAGTGGGGAACACGGGGATGCAGTTTGTTTTTGCTGTTGACTCTGATTTGTTTATCAAAGAGAAGCACCGGCTTTTGTAAGTCACAGTGGAAGAGACAAGCAGACAGATGCTTCAAACCAAAACACTTAATAATGACAAAAATATGGAGGAAAAGTAGGTGAAGTGGACAAACATCCAAAATCCTTTAAATACACATTAGAGAAGTGAGCATTAAAACACATACTAAAGTCCTGTTCCTACATTATACTTAAATCTGAGGTTCTTCAGCCAAGGTCACTTTAAATCAATCAATTTTAACAACAAATGTCATCTTCAGACTCTACGCAAACACTCTTTTTGGGAAATAGCAAGGCATCCCACACACAGACGCCGTTGCTGGTTCAACTCCCAGCCGTGTCTCTTTCCTACATGTTCACCCCGACTCTCTGCTACCCACATTTCCGACCTCTCTTCAGTTCCCCTATCTAAAAAGTGAAAATGCCGCAGAATATAATTTTAAAAAGAGGAAACATCAAATATATTTTAAGAAGGGAGGAACTTTCTTCTTAAACCAACAAAAGCTGCACAAACTGTCAGGGGAGAGCTTGGAGTTTTCTTGTTTTGTTGCTGAAATATCGCTCAGTGTGGTTCGTGAAGTTGGGTCAGAGACCTGACACTTCATACAACTTGGACTGAGCCCAAAATGTTGACAAGGCGGAGATCACTCAGACACCATCGGATCTAGAAACACACTAAATTTCATAACCTGTCCACACCTTGCGTGAAGTGTTGCTTATTTCTGGATTCAAACTGTTGCAAAATCTGAACGCTATAGTCTCAAAAGAAGGAAACAGGAATCAAGGAGACATGAAGGCCAATCAGCTTTTACGGTCCACAAAGGTATGCAGCTCATCGAGGATGATCTTATTTTACTCAATCAAAAGAGCCTGGCTCCCATCTCAATCAGCCCGTCTGTCATATTTACCTCAGGGAGGTGTTATCAAACCTAATCTCTGATTATACCTAAATGCATGTAAAGTGAGTAAACGTACACATAGAGACACAAACAGCAGGACCTGTCAATCACCCATTCTCTCCAATCACACATTAACGAGACACTAATTGGTGAGCTTGCTGTCATGAAGAATACTCCCACACACGAACCCACTTCAGGAGTGCACACTAGAGCCAACTGTGCACGTGCACACACACACAAACACACACACAACAAAGCAGTGTGGAGGTAATCACAGAGATTTTTCCTCTTCTATCTGCGCTAAAGATGCTGAACTGTCTATCACAGCGCACATGAGGAGCTGCAGTGCATGCAAGTTAATGGGAAAACAGTATAATGAGGCTCTAAAAATGAGCTTTTTGCCTCTGATATAAATACGAGGTTCCACATGAAAAGAGGGCAGAAAATAGTTCAATTCAATTAGATTTGGGGTTTCAAATGCGGGTGGCACTAAAAGGGAGCGTTTCATTTCATGCTTATGTAACAGCCGTCGTATGCTGGCTGAGCGCAGAGTAGAGAGTAGACCCTTCCCTGCTACGTCACCCAAATTCCTCTGTAGGGGAGATGGGAGCTTAATGCCAGTGGAGTATGTATTATTCTATGGAGGGGGAGTGGGGGGGGGGTCCAAACCTTAAGGATAAATCAGAGAAGAGGACCCATGACCTTCCTACCAACCAAGGCCGCTCGCTTAAATTTTAACGCAACAATGCTCCGACGATTATCTAAAAAAGGGGGAAAAACATACTGGAGTGCAACACACACAGACACACACACACAACTCTCTCCCCTCGTCTCAGCCCTGCAGTTGGCTGTAAAAAAGGCCTGCTGATGTTTCAGCCTTATTTATGCAAATCCCATTTTGCAGTTCAGTCACAATGGAGTATAGCTCTCTCTTCCTTGCTCTCCAGCTTCCCCTATGCTCTCTGTCTGCCTGAGCTCCATCTAAAGATTTCTTTCAGTCCCTTATATGTTTAGGGTAACATCAGGCACATTATCTCGACCTCTTCTCTCAGTTTTCTGTGGGAATACTTTAAAAATGCACCGCCACAGGAAGCGAGTATGCCCAGCAAGAGTTTTCAGACGGCTCTCTCAAACAGATCTCACACAAGCCGACGACATGCATGCGTCTCAAATGCATACAAATCAAATCAAATAACTTGTGTTAAAAAGCGGCTGCAGCCAATAATTACGCCACAATGGCACGGTGAAAGTGTATACTCTGCTTGATAACTCAAAGCAAACATGAGTGTTTTCACTGTGAGGACGAGGACAAGAAGCAGCGCAGTCAAGTCATCCTGCAGACTGTTTTTTTTTTTCTAACTTCCTCCAACTTCTCCTGCACACTGGTGTTAGCATTGCTAATGAATTTCGCTGATGTGGGTGTAACAGATGACAGTGTAGTAGAGTATCTAGAGTATCCTGGCTGTTTCCCTGAGGAGTTTGTGTTGCAGTGTTTTCAGTCATCTCAAAATAGGACAATTAAATTTGGAGATTTTTGAGCAGTGTAAGCTGTTCACGAATGTGCCAAGACACAAAACAACACAAAACTACAGCAAAGAAATAAACAGATGTTGTATCATTCTATATCATTTTCGTGTTACGTCGCTGGTCTCTTCATGAGTTTAAAAGGAGGTGAAACAAATCAGGAGAAACAGTGACACTTAAAACAAGTTCATGGCTAAACTTCTTTCAGCAACCACTTTCCTCAGAACAGCCAGTCCCTCCACATTCATGTTAGACTGCTAGTAAAGCTGTAACTAACAGCTGATAAACACTACCTTAGTACAAAAAAAAACAAAAGTACAAAAACAAGCGTCATTTCCTCCGCTCATTAAGCAGAGACTTTTTATAGACACTCTATACCAGTGTGTCTAAGAGGAAAATAACCACCTGTATGCTCACCTGTTGAGGTGGCCTCCTTAAAAGCACTCCACATGCCACACCCTGCAGATAGCGCTCATGACTCACGCTCGGTACATATACAGAATGTGAGGAATGCCGAGTGTCACTAAACATAGAGCTGTGACGACACTGATCCAACATTTGACATAATGCATCTACCGTGACGGGGAACAAGGGTGATCCAGCGTGAGCTACACCCACACACACACACACGGGTTCGACGGAGCACGCGTCTCTGTTGAAACTGAAAAGGACAAATATTCATATTGAACTTTAAAGCACGAAAGCTTGATACGTCTATGAAGTATTCTCATCCATTCACCTGTTTGTTTTTCCCCTCACACACAGTCATTCCCCCACCCTCTGTTCATCCTCTCCTGTGGTCAGCAGACGTTGCTCCTCCATCCCCAGGGAGGCGACATGTGTGTAATGTCACATTTCCTCATATCATGTCAGGGTGACAGAAGCCTCTCTGTGTCCGTCACAGTGATGGAAGCCGCAATCAAAGCAGGAGGATGGGTAAGGGGGTGATACAGATATACCCCCAGGAGGGAGGGGGGGGTTTACACAAGTCGCCCTCTTCACACAGAGAGCGGGTGGGTGTCTGTGTCTCAGACACACGCGCGCACACACACAGCTGACTCACTAGTGACACATCTGCTGGCGTAGTCTGGGCACGGTGCCATGTGTGGCGGCCAGCTCCAGCAGCAGGACTGGCACTCAGCACTCAAGCCTGCTGTGATCTCCGTCGTACACACACAATTCACCCCGCGCTGCCGTCTCTGTCGATCTGTTTCCGTCTGTCTCTGCATCTCTGGCTAAGTGGGTGTGTCTGGCTTCTACACCCACATGCTCACCTTTCTGCTCAATACGAGACAAAGAGACTGAGTAACTGGCAACAATGTGCCATGACACAGCATGGCGGCGAATAAGAGGAGTGCCAGTATCAACTGCTTACATAAAACACATAAAATCGAGCCTCACTTTGGCTCAATTATGCTTAAAACTGGACAGTAAAGCAAGCTTCTTTGAAACTTTTCAACTTAAACATACTTAAAAGACAAATCTCTTTCACAAGAGTGGTTATACAACGTTTCACTGGATTCATATGAGCCACCCAAAGGATCATTAGAAGGATGCAGAAAATGAGAAGCACAAATCAAATCACTGAAAAACACACAAAAAGGACAAATGTGGTACGTGCAGCAGACTAACAACAACCCTCCAGCATGTCAAATCCTGCCATCTTTAGCTTAGCATTAAAACTTCACACCAACGTAGCTGCCGCACTTTTATACTTTTTATCCAGCAAAAGTGAGCGTGCCTGAGGGAGCTGTAGCTCACGCTAAAAGGCGTCTGCGTCACCAGAGAGGTCTTAAAAAGGTCTACTAAGGTATAAAATCAAGCAAGAGTCAAGGCTGCACTCAAAGCTGGGCGAGGAGGTTTGGTTCAGGTTCAACAAAATCTAGTTTGAATATGAATTTATTTAACAAATAGGTCGATTAAATGAAAGGATCCTGGTGAAAGTCTGATTTTGTTCGTATCGAACAGCAGAAAAGGAGCTATAATGTTATGAACGGTTTCACAATCATGTCAGAATATGGTTCCTGATTTAGTCTCCTCCATGACTAATAGCATCATGTATCTCAGGTCCTAGAAAATAACAGTCTGAGGAGCTCTCTTTTTAGGGTATGCTGAGGTCTACTGTACTCTTGATCCAGTCTTAACTGTTCCCTGATCACTCACTCACTTTTGGAGGCCTCTTTTTTATTCTTTTACATAAATTAAGTCATACCAGATAAAAGAAAGGCTTTCCAAAAGATGAAAAAATCTGAACCCATGAGTAAGAGGGCACTTCCTTGTGGTTGAAAGCACTGAAACTTGGAACAAAGGCAGTAGCACTGCTCTGAAATCACTGAACCACTGAAACAGTCACTGCAGTGAGTATGAGACACTCTACGTGTTTAAATGCATGCACAGACAACAAAAATGCAAATGCCAAACTCCAGTAGTTTTGTGGCTCAAATAAAACGCTGGGCAGAGACTCCCTTTGCTTGAAAGAAACTCTGCTGCCCTCTGTGTAGACCCCTTCTTTCCTCCCTTCTCTTGACCATGCTCTCTGGTCCGTGACTCCCTCCCTCCATCCCGACGGTCGCTCCCACACTCAGGCCACATTCCTCCCTTGCTCATGCTGGGAGGACGTCTCCCTGTGGCTAAAAGCATTGTGGGAAATCCCAACAGCCAGGCCCTCCAGAGGCCGTACAGACCATTGTGGTAAAGCGTAGAGAAGGCTTGCGTTCCTGTGCTTGCTGGTGGAAGGCTCTCCTTGCATGCAACTTGCAAACATAATACGCAGTAACCACAAGTAAAAGACACTCGCACATGACTGTCGTTAAGGTCTTGATTTGGGGCCTCACAACAAACGGCACAGAAATATCAGCTATCCACATTTGAAGCAAGAGTCAGTCGAACCCACGCTGTGCGAAACCTCAATTTATCGCTCCAAGAACATCAGGGCGGAAAGGATTTAAATGTCAAATATGCTCTAAAATATTCCTCCATATATCCTCTTTGTGCGTTACCAATCAGCACCCAACAGAAACAGAGTGACACCTCAACCTGTCAGACCATGTGACACAGCTCAGGCATCTGTACTGACCTGGCAGGACTACAAACAGGTAGAAACATGTTCTACCTAAAGCAGAACACAATACATGTGCCTTCTCTGCTGCAGGATCCTCCGACTAAATTAGCAGTGGAGAGAGAATATGAGCCAGATTGTGTCCCTGAATTACCCCAGATTGCAACTCATGTGTCATTCCCATGGAATTTTAAACACACTGGCTAAGACCTGCCCAATTAAATATACAGGCAGAGAGCAATATACTGTACGTGCGCATACTCATGCCATTGCACATAGAAGTGCCCACATGCTGCAGCACTTAGCTGTCCTTATAATGTCTGGGATTCACTGAAGACGGGGCTGCGAGTTTATGGCATCTTCTGCTCCCATGAGTCCCAGTCTGCTTACTGGTGCGCATTTCTGTCTGGTCCTCTGTTCTGCTAAGAGCATGAATCGCCTTTAACAAGAAGCGCCTCCTCCGCTGTCATCCACATGGTTAAATGTCTAAGGGATGCAGTGTAACACCCAAAGAAAACCAGGTAAATTGGCTTTAAATGTAATCTGCCAATTAATCCTGATAAAAGAGACACAATGAACTTCCACTCTGCCTCTAATCAGCGTTTATTTCCAGGCAAGAGAAGCGCACGGTGTTCGCACTCTCTCTTTGTTGTTACACTCTTTTTTTATATAGTATAATTATGACCCCAGAATCAAATTGTTTAGCTCGACATGTTGGAGGTATATAACTGTGTCTTCATCGCAGTCAGTGTGGGCAAAACTGATGATATAAGAAGTGCCAAACACAAATGCACTCTCCTCGAATGCAAGCAAAGCAAGCAGCTTCAATTACTCCACACTGTGCAAAAACAAACATGAGTTTAGGAGCGACTCCAAACTAATGTGCGGCTCTATTATGGACATCACAGTCTTAAAACAATGACATGAACTTTGACAGGTGTGTGAAAACAAAACAAGCCCTGCCAAAAACAATCAGCAGGTCAAGGCTTACGTAATTTAAAAAGACACTCACAAAGAAGGAAATGATTTTTTCCCAACAGACACCAAACACACCTCAGTACTTCATTTGGCTGGCTTTGATGAGATTCACCTGAGATGCCTTCATGTTTATCACCCTACTTCACGAAACAGTCACTTCTACTATGTGGATTTTGTTACAGGATATTTGAGTTCGATTAGGTTCAGACAAGCGCAGACATGTGAGTGAAAAAAGTTCATACAGTTTTAGTTTAGTCAGCCAAAAGAAGTGGTGGAGGCTTCAATCAACTTGAAACTACAAAAGCTACAACTCACAGGGGATCCGTCCACCCTGGAAAGAAGTCTGTTTCGCATAACCAGCCACTTACTTTACATGACCAACTTAAGGTGCAAACACGCTGGCACTGAATATTGATTGATTCAAAGAGGATTTCCTTGATTTCAAATGTTTTTTTTACACAGCTTTAAAAGTAGTCCCATGGCAACGGTTTCATATCTACTACCTGTAGCGGGTTGAGTGAACACTACACTTAACATTTCACATCCAAACATTAGCCCTGTTTTTTGTTATGATTCACATTAAAGTCAACATTTTCATTCAAAAGTTAAGTTCGACAAGGTGAGCTGGTGTTCTGCAAGAATATAAATGTTGACTTTTGTCCTTATCCAGCTCTGAGCTTCATAGTTGACACACCTTAAAATTTAACTTCTAGCGCTGTCTGAATTGCAGAACCGGATTCAACATTAAAATATCTGTGGTGTTTAGAAGTAGAAATTAACATTTTTGCCACAATGCTAACCTACACGCTGCTGACAGCAACTTATACTCTTGTTGAGAGTCAACAAGCAGAAGTAAAATGTGCAGGAACTCTTTTTCTGTGGAGTGATTTGACACCAGGTGTGTGATGAGGTTTGTCTCTAGAGTTGCTTTTGTTAGTCAGAGTTGATAAGTGTGGTCAGGGGGGTTTGAACAAACAGAATTAAGTATTTCACACAGCAAGGTGATTAGTAAGAAAGTGGAGTAGTGCATCTTAAAGAAAATCCAATATTCACCGAATCAACCCATTTATCATTTGTAGTTTTTGTTTCCAAAAGAACTACAAAAATGGAACCGATGAAAATTCCTGATTCGGTTTCCATCAATCATGATGCATTTGAGCCGGGATGGCAAAACTCTTTTGTGACAGTGTCTGAAAGTTTATCAGCTGGTGTATTTATGCACAAATTTAGGTATCATGTTTAGTTCTATTCTATTGTATTTCTCAGTGAGAAATACTCCAACAAGGATGCACATGCACATAATGTATTATAAGGGGCAAATCTGGTTACATTGCATAAATGTGATCTTTGTGAGTTAGTAACATCTCGTCACATTTTGATGTTAGATACGCATGATTTGGTTCAAACTACAGCAGCTTTTAAGATCTCAGCACCCCTATCACTGTGGAAATAAGCTTCAAGTTTGAGAATAGGAGGTTTTCCCTTTCTACCAGGATTCGATGGGATTGTAAAAATGCTTAAATCTGCAAAAACAGCATCCTCAATTTCTAGACTCCTAGACCGGGTCCTAAACCGCCAATTTAGGTTTGTAACTACTTTAGATTTAATAAAGATGCCAAACCCTACCAACAATTAGGTGCACAGTTGTTGAAAACAGAAAGGTCTGTAGAGAGGAGATGAAGTGGTTGACATTTTCAGCCCTGCTCATCTACGAGGACACACACACAGCTTCATTTATGAGAAGTCCAACATAAAACCGGACAGATTTAGCCCTGAAGTAGCTCCCCCCTATTTCCCCAGAGTGAGCAGTCAAAGAACTTTTGATTAGTTCGAATTGATGCTGTTGATGCATGCTTTACTTCTGGCTAATTCCATTAGATTTAAACTGATTCTGGATTACAAGCAAGCTCTATGACTTGAGTCACATGCAGCAGGTTTTATGGTTCATTTAAAAAAACAGGGAAATCTCAGTCATTCACTTCCTTTGGGAAAACTACGAGGACAAAAATAGATGCATGAAAATGTATGTTTTTAGTCTGTGACTGAAATCAATCGAGGAAACACTGACTTCATTAACAACACTTCAATAACACGTCATCCCACGTGCACGTTTCTGTCAAGTTTCATAGGAAGGAGTTAAAGGAACAGTTCCTCTCAGCAGCTTTTGCTCTCTACATCTTATCCTTTATCATCAGGTGTGTATAAAAGAAAATCATATCATGTCTTAAAAAGTGTGAAATTATCTGCCCTCATGTCAATGTCAGCAACAGGGAACTAAAAGTTAAGGCTATCGAGAAAACACAGATCTTTTAACTTTTTTGTCAAATATGACGCAGTAGATAAAATCTCAACTATTATCTTTCTTAAGCTGGTTTTGCGGGACAGACCATCGTTGTTCAGAGCTTCTGTCTGTATAACTGACTTGTAAATTTACAGTAAAAATTAAATACATGTTGCACTCCAAACCTCTCCAGGTAAGAATTGTGTCACAGTGCTACAGTAAACAACACTAACTGGCGACAACAGTCAATCTTCTAGATGAGCAGGACCTCCGCCTGGCTGGCAGCTTTAAAACATGGTTAGCTGAGTTGACTGCGGGTCACTGCCGCCCCCAGGTTCCACCTGAGGGCAGCTTTGTTGGAGAGGACCCCTCCCCTCCGGGCAGAAGGGGCAGCCTGTCTGTACAATAACTGTCAATCACAGCAGAGGAACATGAAAGAAGAATTATAGGTGCATTCTGACTCAGCCAGACACTTCCCTGAGGATCCTGAACGAGCAACAACCCCACCACATAGAAAAACTGAGACCTCCTACGCACAAAAAAGGAAAAAAAAAAACACTTTTAGATGTGAAACTGTCAGAGAAAAAAACACCAAGCTGTAAAATACAATACAAGAAGCAACCTTTCTTAAAACACTTTTCCATTATTCCCCTTAGTGCTTCATGGCTCGTATTATTTCAGTTAATCATTTTTTTTTCTAACTGGTTCATATTTGTCAAATGAGTAAATGAGGAATACAGCTGATGCTCTTATTCTTGTACCGACGGTTTGAGAGCTTGAAGGACACCTGAGTCCCCTTATGACCTTATCACCGCCATATAAATTTCCATCCATCAGAACTTTGAGTAAACTTTGTAAATTTGCGTATAACCTCCCAATTTTCATGATCTCTTTGAGTTTTCTATTTTCAGTGATCATAAAAATCATCTGAACTTTGTTGACTAGCCCTCCTTGAAAGCAGGAAAAATGATTACGTGAAGGGATTCACGGGAGTTCTCTCCCTGTGTCTGTCCCTTTCTCTAAATACTAAATCTGATCCTAAACTCGTGGTAACGGGGCTCAAAAAGTACCTTTCCTTTCCTTCTGAATTAAATTCTCTCTACCTCTCTTACTTATTTGTAAGACTGACCCTGATTGAGTTTGTGATGAACTGTGTGGTCACAATTTCACCAAAGCGGTGGACTGATGACGTTTGGCAAATAGTCAGATACTTCATTCATTGAATTAGTTGCTGTGTGAACTGATACCAACCAAATGTATCAGATGACTACTGAATAGCAAGACAGGACAATTGGCACAGTCAAAGTTCAAATCAGCCCATTATTGTGGAATATTACAGATATTTTTTATGTGTTAAACAAGCCAATAAATGAAAAATGTCCTCTATGAAATTTAAGTATCAATAAACTAGGAAAGAAGTCCATCAAAATCTGAGAAAATTGGGATTTCTGTTCCTTTTTTTAATAAACTAGCATATTTTGGATGTTGTCAGAATCATGAAGCTAGACTGTAATGACAATTTTGTGTTAGTGTTTGAGTTTTCCTTACATTACACCGGTAGTTCAGCGTTTTTGTAACCTTCATAGGAGGGCTGAGTGTTAATCTGTGGGCCAACAATGTTTGAAACCTCACAGTTCTCTCTCGAGGATAATATATAATTACCATACTGTGAATGTCTGACGATTGTAAGAGTCAGTCGGCAGACGAACTTAAATCCCTAATTAACTGGGAAGTTTTAAGTAGAAGTTGATAAATGGGAAACTGAAGCATTTTCTGCTAAATGTAAATAATGCTTCATTCTGCTAAATGACAGATCAGACAGAGGCCAAAGAGTGAGGATAAATAAAATTTAAAGAAAAAAAAAAGCAGACACTCTTGGGTCTAACCAACTGGATGAAGTAGAGAGGGGAGCTCCTGCTACCCACTACAAAGATGATGAGACAACCGCCCCCCTCCCCAACACTATGTCATCTCTCCATGTCATACACAACACACGCCTTGCGAGTTTTAATTAGAAAACCCATGAAGCAAACAAATGCTCGGAAACATGAGGAGCCAATCCACAGAGGGGAAAATAAATCCTTTTCCACTTCACATCAATATCCATTTCCGTGTGTCCTTCACCTCGCTGTGGTTTTTGGTTAACACGCTCCGGATTAGATAGCAGATAAATAAACAGTGTGGACAGTGTTCTCAGGACCAGAGCTCTAATCGAGTCGTGTCCTCAGTATGTGCAGATCAGAGAATCCGACCAAACATCGCACTGATAGTCCAAAGCAGAGCAGCCCTTTCAGCTAAACATCAAGAGAGGATGTGGAGGAGGGTGGGGGGGGACTCAAGGCCTCTCTCATCACAATGCACCAATCAACACAGCACTAATACAGATAAATGTCAAAGAGGAGATAGTGACTAATTCTGCATCAGAGCAGTGTTCAGCTATCAAGTTTTGGCACCAGAGTGTCTTCCAGTGTTTGCCGCCTTCTTGACAATAAAACTAAAGTTAGTCTTAAGTTTGAGAAACAGGAAATGACGGAAGTTAAAAATACCGGACAAAATAAAAGGGCATGAAGGCAGCATTTCATATTCTCCGTCTTTTTCCTTACTTCTAGGTCAAATTTGAGGGAAAACAAAAACTTGCTTAGCTGGTAATTTATGACATGGAATCATAAATCACAACCTCTCACTCACTGATCCCTTCAAGAGAAAAACAGCTCACTAAATATGTAACTTGAATTTCAGACATTTACGATTTTCTCTCAAGTGTTGTGTGACATTACATATTTTAGCATCAGTGAAATATGTTACTCTGCATTTGTGGGATTCATAGTAGAAAGTGTGGAGGAGCAGAGGCGTAAAAGTGCACATATTTGTATTCCGGTGTGGTGCACATGCGTACTAACCTAAATACGTGCAGAACTAAAGGTAATTCAAATCCAAGGTCCCCACACTGACCTGAAAATGAAAGCACACCATACGCACAGCATGTGCAGCCCTTCATGTAAGGATTTCTCAGCGTATCACCTCACGACTTAGTGAATTTTGATTCTTATTTTCTGTGATACGTTTTCTGCTCAGAGCTTGATCAGCGGTTACCTGTGATCATCGCAGTGTTTCTGTCACAGCGAGGAGAGGGACAAGCAGAATGAGCAGAGGCTGCACTCATTAACTGAGCATAGATCACGTCATCTCTCAGGAACAAAATACATATCAAGCCTTGAGCAGAGCTGAAAAAAAACTAAACTAAAATGGACCTGGAGTCGGTGACCCTGTCTTTAAGTCCTGAGCCTGGAAACCCAGTTTTATCAGAGTAACTGATGTCCAGTGCAGCAAACAGTGACGTATGGTATTTACGTGCGTGTGTGTGTGCGTCTTTGTCAGCTCATCCCTGTGAAGCTCTGTCATGCAGAAAGCAAAGGAAAAAGCTGAAGAAACTCAGAATAGTCAGACAATTATAAACTATTCTGGTTTGAATGTATACTCTGAAATTTGACAGACGAACGCAAGTCTGCCTCGATTAAGCGAATGTCAGTTTCAGACGCTGCATTATTCTGTTTTCCTGTTTTTTTTTTTTCTTTATTATTTTAAGTGTAAAAGGTTATCAAGGTGTCCTGTACCATATCCTCAATGTACCAAGCTAGTTTCTGTTCCCAACCAGACTCTTCAGTATGGGTACACCCTCACCATGGATGCTGCTTTTAAACGATGTGTGGATCTAGGTAGGGGGCTATAAGGGGCAGAATTTGACTTCTTAAAAGAATTCAGACCCTCTAAAAACGATCTGAATCAGGCAGCTTCTTTTAAATCTGACACAAACCACTACTTTTTACAAAGTAGATACTTTGCATGCGGTATGCATACAAGTCTGACATACTGGCTATCATAACATCAAGCCTTGAACTTTGACCTAATTGCTTATACATCTGTTTTTGCCCACGATCCAAATTCGAATATCATAAAAATACTGATGGCATTAGAGACACACATTCTCCAAGTTTGCCCGGTGAGGCATATCTTCGACTTTGCAAAGGGGCAGGGTCAGGGTAGTAAAATTTAAGTTGTTGCATGTTGCAATATATGACAGGAAGTGATAGGACATCCTATTTATGGCATGCTAGATTTGACTTGCATGTATAGGGACGTTCTAAATCTATTATAGTAGTATAGTTTGGCAGTATTGGAACACAGCCAAGGAGTGATTATAGACACAGCTCTTATGGATCGTCATAGCTTACTGTAGTTGTCTCTCAGCATTTCCATAGTAATGCTCACAAAGGCAATAAATGATGACAGCAGTTTTGATACGTGCAAGCAGCAAGCTATGAATGTGTAGATGTCTGAGAGAAACGGTGTGATGAGATGTGTCAAAGACAAAAAAAGAGAGTTAAGGATTGAGCTGGGTTACCTCAGAAGCCCCCCTGCCCTTTCAGCAGGGCCTCATATGGAGAACCAGGTCTCAGGTCCCCTGGGCACTGATGTCTGCTCTCCACTTGACTCCTCCCAGTCAGCCACGGAGGCTGTGAAGGAACCTGGCCCACTCACGACACCCTACAGCCACAAGTCATTCACACCTGGAACAGAGGGGGAGAACTTTGGTCATCGAGCGAAACACAAACAAGCAAAACGGCAAGAAAAAGCACTCAGCCACTCATGTTAACAAGATCCACATGTTGCAAACACATAACCAGTGCAAAGCTTAGGTCATTAGGGGCTACAGTAACAGTGTGTACTGGCCTTTTTAACCCAGACACTCATTTAGACTTCAGTTATCGACCAGTGTGCACATAAGGGACCTCAAGACTGTATGATACTCAATGTTAAGGTTTTTTTCCCTCTATAATAATAGCCGTGGGGGCATTTTCACTTCTCCTTAAATTAAAATAAAACAGGGCAGAAGTAGTGGCCATAGGATAGATAAATATGAAGCAGCCTTTAGACTATGCAATAGATAAACACTCAATGCAGACAGCATTGTTGCCTAGCAATTGGAGAGACCAGACTCCTGTAAGAGGGAGATTTGCAGTTCAGGGTTTGCAACTAACAGGTATACTTGGACCCCCTACCTGCCAGGTGAGAACTAGCTGTGGATAGCAGCATCAGCAACAAGGCACAAACTATCAAAACCAGCATGGATTCAATTAGATGGTATTTTTTGATTATCTAATAAGGTGGGAAATAAATTACTTGAGAATAACTACTAATTGAAAGGTAAAAAGTAGAGGCTTCATTTATCACATGGTGTTCACCAAACACTCTTTGTACAGCAGGATTGGGGCTTTTTTCAGTAACAAGTCAAGTTTTGAAAAAAAGGAAAACCTTAAAACAGTGAACACATTCTTTGCCATGTTTAGCTCTCTAGTCTTCACCAGAATAAGACTGCACAATGGTACACAAGTTACTCAAAAACGGGCCTACTCGAGGAAGTCGTCCTAAAATATACACCGACATCCACAAAGCTCAAAACTCTGCAAATGAACGTAAAGCACACAACAACTACAGAGACTTAGACTTCCCCCCTTATGAAATCTCAGCGCCTCACTGGACTACTCTTGGCGGACAAAGTAATTCCATGGCGCTTGAAACTCCAGGAACTTTTTTTCTTTTTCCTAAAAGAAGTTGTTCCTGTTTCGCCAGAGAAGTGGGGGGGAAGGGAGGACTTCAGCACTTGCATTCATGGAGCGTCGGCCAGCGCAAACAAAGTCTTCCCCGAAGAGGGAGGCACTGGACGGCGGCGGAGAGTGAGAACAACGACGTCGGCCGGCCACAAGCACACAAATAAAAACACACACTCACTCACTCACTCACACACACAACAAAATGAGATTCATTTGAGGGCTTTGTCTGTGGATAAAGAATGCGGGCCCTCCTTGGGCAAACGTTCATTTTCAAGTTCTGCTAGCTCCGTTAACAATGTAACAATTAAATCGCTCGGCAGATGATAGGGCTGGCCGACACAATCACCAGCCGAGGCCTATAATCTCCCTACGCGTTTATAAATCATATCACAAACATTTCTGATAAAGCAAATACAATACCAGCGGTGTAGTACTCCCGAAGAATGCACAACATGCATGCGGCAGTGTATCCTTTTTTCATTTTCACCAAGCACGGGCGGTCCTCCAGTATAATGGGGTAAAAACCAATATTTCTCCGCGGGTTTTACACCACGCTGAAAACATCGTGAATAATCCGCTTTCGGTGCGCTGGAAAAATTCGGCATTCACGCTCGAAAAGGTGCTCACTGTCTGCCAGGCCAGACACGACGTGGGTTTGCTAGCCAGCCTTCGGGGACAGAGGCGAAGAAGAACGGATACCGGAGTGAGATGTCCCCGGGAGGAGGACCCGCGTGTGCCCGTTGCCAGGAGGCGAGCTGTGGTAGCGACACTTTCCACCTGGATTTGAATAAAAGAGCACTCACCTGGAATGTTAGCTTAATTCCCGATTTTCCTCGAACGACAGATTCATGGCGCACGCTTATCAAATCACAACATTTTCACGGTAACATTATAAAATAGAAATGTGTCTCCCCCCCTCTCGCCCGAGCTTCCAGTGGTCCTACTCCATTACATCCCAGTCAAGATTTCCTGTCGTCTCCCCCCTCCGTTCCAGCGAGATGGTTCAGCCCGAATTCTAAGTAGCAATTCTAGGTCAGGTCTGTGTGCCAGTGAGAATGTAACTGTCGGACAGCGAAGAGACACCAATGTCCACCACACTTTACACTGTAAACACCGACTAACACACTCAGATAACGTTCAAAAGCAGCAAAAACTGACGAGCTTTGCATTGAGAAGAGCCATACCCTCGTCTTTGGGTGGTGAAAGTTCCTGGTAGTTGTTTCGACTCGAACTCGTGTGAGCCAGCAGGAAAAGTTTTTCAGCACAAGTCCAAGTAACTTATCCGCCTGAAATAGCTGCTCAGCAGTGAATGGCTGAAACAAACTAAACCATTGAAAAAAAGAAGTTTGCCGCCAAAAGATAAAAATAACTACAAAAAGATAAAATGCTTGACCAACATTTAAGGATGTCTCCTTTTTAATTCAGGCACCAACATCCTCTGATGAAAATAACCACATTTATGCTGAATGGGTTAAGAAAAAAAGCTCTATTAATTGGCTACTTCATAGATTTCTCAAAGATTTCTGATTATCTTCTGTCCAGATGTTTTTCTCCCCTAATGAAGGTGTCAGTCAAACAGCGGCTTTGTTACAGTTTTCTCTTTTATTTAATGTAATAAAGCCCTACAGAGCCCTGCTTAACCACATCTGCATTTTATTAGCCCAAAACGAGGACTTCTTTTTAATTAAGCAGCCTACTTCTAAGATAGCAGTAAAATTAGATACAAGGAACAAAGGTTTACCCAAAGGTGCAAGCATCTTTCCTTCCCTGCCTGTGATTTTTTTTAACATTCACAATTTCTTATTATTATATTATTTCTTATTACTATCTCAAGACACTTTTAAATGTCATCAAGTTAGTTTACTAGTTGTGTAGTCTGTATTCATAGTTCTTAAATTATTATATTAGACACATTTCATGCTAACAACAGGAGAAATAAAGAAAACAAAGCTCATGTTTTACTAGCTCTTGTTTTCATCCATACCTGATCCAGATATGGAGGGCTAGGCCAATCCCAAATTCTTTTGCAATTTAGGACGGGTTAAAGCACCTATGTGGATTTTTTAACTATCAACTTGTTTGGTGCTGATGTTGAAAGTTCTGAATCTGCTATTGCGTCAGTATGAAGTGTTTGGACATTGGTCTCTGTATGACTGTTGACTACCACATGAAACCAGATTAAAGCTGTTGTGAGGAACTTTCCGATAGATTCAATTTTGGTGCCCCCTGTGGACAAAAAACTCTCTGCTTATCTCATCAAGTGTAAAATGTTATCCTGCTGAATTATGATTGTCAAGTGTATCATAAAATGTGAATATTTTACATGACAATAAAAAAAGAAAGTTATTTTCCGTTAACCAGTTGAATCCCCCCACACTACTGCTTTCAGTCATAAAAAATAACAACAAAAATCTCATCAGTTCTGTTGCTGATGGTCTTGTTTGCTTTTAGATATCATGAAAAGGCACTAACATAAATTTCAGCCATTTTCAGAAACATAAAAAAATTCTTTGCAGGAGTTTTAAGTCATGCCAAGAGCAGTGTTGTATTTTTCCGTATGCAACGTGATTCGGTTGTCAGGGTTAGCTCCCATAGCCCAGCGGCTAAGGATGGAGAAAATGTGAAGTGAGGCCATGCACCTGTTTACATAGATGCAGGATTACATGATATAAAAGATTAGCATACCACTGCTTGTATTTGATACGTAATCCCCCATCTATAAACTCAGCAGAGCTTAAGTCTATATTATTGTGTTTTTTGTGTTTCAGAAGACTATAGGACTGCTTTGAATCTGAAGAATTTTTCCAGCTGTTTCATATCATTAGGGGTTTGATCCTAACAAAACACAGGGGCTGTTCTTTGATGGTACAAAATGTATCTAAAAGAATACCCTCATCTCAGAGGTTTAAACAGTGTATCTGAGCCTTAAATATGTTCCTACTGTACTCTGCAGGGGACCTAATAAAATAAAAAAAAATCAACAGTTGCCACTTGAAAATACAATAATGTTTAATTACATCAAACACACACACACACACACGTGCACAACCACACGCACAACCACACTAATTTAACAGAATATCACAAGCCTCGGAGGAAGAGTGAAACATTAAGGACATGCAATATGAGAGCGGTCCTTCTTAATATTTAATCAAGTTACATTTCAAATCTAACCCAAATGTATAATCATGACAACTGGGGATTGGATGAATTGGTGTTTAAGTGCATGCATTATTAGCTGGCCTGATTGTGTGTGTGTGTGTGTGTGTGTGTGTGTGTGTGTGTGTGTGTGTGTGTGTGTGTGTGTGTGTGTGTGTGTGTGTGTGTGTGTGTGTGTGTGTGTGTGTGTGTGCCTGTGTTTCGCTGTACTTAACTGAGAACTAATTCGGACTCTTGAAGTAAGGATGCTTTTGCAAGCTGCACATTCTTCATTAAGATGCTGTTTATTGAATGAGTGCTCGGCTGAAATGTGCAAGGACAGGTTTTTGTGTGTGTTCAATCTTTTGAATCTCAAGATGAGTTGAGTCACTACATTCGAGTTAGTAACAGGGCGTCTTTTGCTCACCGTTTATAAAACTGCCCGTGCTAACTGCAGATCTGGAACTAAAGGGGACAAAAAAATGGGTTACATTTAACACCATTCCCAAGTGTTCCAGTTGATGTGTCTCGCTTGTTTTGTCTTCTCAGCCCAATTTGTCACAAAAGACAAAGAAAACTAACAGATGCAAAGTTTTGATGTATTATTTTTGCTTAACAGGTACTTAAAACCTATTTCCGTCTTCTTGAACAGTCCATCAAGTGGCTCTTAAATTCTACGTGAACAAAATTGATAAGACTTAGTTGTAACTTGCTTTCTGTCTTTATCACTCCTGCTCACATACAGTTCATGTCTGTCTTCCTATGTCGCACAGGGCTGCAGAGCATCAGTAACATTGAAGCCTTGTACGGCAGTGAGCAGTGTGGGATGACAAACTGTATGTAGGACACAAAATCACGGGATGGGAGCTGCATATTTGTGACTTTTGACAAGCAGACCATGGCTACGTCGGACATGTTTGTGCATGCTAGCAGAGATCAGTGACACACCACAAAGCTTTCTCTCTCTTTCTGTCTCACTCTCTCTCTCACGCACACACATACACTCCCTCCCCGCTCTGGGTTTGCGTGTGTGTGTGTGTGGGTGTGTGCATGTGAGTGTGATAAACCCCACTGGTGGAGTAACAGTAGACTGGCAGTATTCCCAGACTGGGTTGCATTAGACATGCACACTAGTAAAGCTCTTCAGGTCGATGTTCTGGCTTTCCAGCACTGCAACTCTGTGGCATGACTAACCCAGAATACTTTGGTAACAGAGAAACCAAAAATCCACTTTCTGCCCAGTGTTACATTTAAAGAAGTGGAGAAAAACTGAATCATATTACTTGCACCTTGAGCACTATAAATGTGATTCTTTTAGGCCATCTGTCTGCCTGCATGCCTGGGGCTGTGCATCATGCGTGTGTGCGTCTGTGTGTTTAAGCAGGACACCAACATTGACTGTTCACTTATCATATTACCATCTGCATTATTTAAAGCTTCGATAAACAGTCTAGCGCTTGGGTGAGACACTGTAAATGCAGAGAGGAGGAGGTGGGCTGGAGGTGTGAAGCATGTAATTGATAAGGACTAAATCTTACAAATTCACATGTTGATTATTTGCAGTAAAACAGCTGGCCTCACACTCAATCCTGTGGGAGTCCTGGGCTGTTTTCTGCATCTTCGTGTCACTTGTTTAGTCCTACAGCGATGGCACACTGGTTCTATTTGGGTTTACTAATTAAAAGGCTTGGTGGCGGTTCTGCAAAGAGCGCCAGGACCAACTCGGTTATCAAAATACTAAGACAGTGAGCTCACTCACACAGCGGTGAGGTCACTTACCAGAGAGTGGCAGCCTGACCAATCATCAGTCAGCCTATTATCATGGTATGCAGTGTTGCTATGAGTAACAGAGGCAAGCAGCGCCTTGCAGATCCCTAATGATGCTTGATGCACGGAGATGCTACCACTTGGCCTCTTCTTTTCTCTGATTTTCTCTGTTTTGCAACCACTCCCTTTGTACCAATCTTATCATCTTTCTTGTGTTACTTTTATTCCAGTTAAGCTTAGATTTCAGGCAAGGTATAATCAAGTTTCAACATCATCTCCCCTCGTTTCCTTCTTTCATTTCCTCCCTCCTCCCCCTTGTTTACTGTCCCCTGCAGCAGTGTTTTCTGACTCTTCCACGTGGCAGGTGAGTGTAAACAAGCAGGAGGACTAAAACAATGTTATAATTAACTGATCATTAATGAGTCAAGGCAAACCCCAGAGATCTGAGCAGTTGCCCACCCACCTGCGTCTCACCATTTCACTAACCGGACCGTTAATGACTAATCAGAGACGAGAGCGATTAGATCGCCTCCTAATGAGAAGGATTTATGATTGCAAGAGTCTATTACGCTTGTATGGCTGAGGCTTTTATTGTGATGACAGGAAGTGAGCCCAGACCCAATGGAAGTCTTTTTACTTGAGTGGAATTAACTACTTATGCCAGATAAACACTTTTTAACAAGCAGGAGTCACACATTTAAAATTAAACGATGCATCAGTGTTACCGGTTAAATATACCTTAAAGTCTCACAAGTAAAATTAACTCGTATATTAATCCATAAATATTTAATGATGCATACATTTGTTTAAAACAGTCACAGTTTGTGTGTGATCTAACAGCACAATCTTTTAAAGGATGATCATTTATAGTACGAAAAGACTGAGACATTTATTGGGATATATGTAAAGATTAGTAAGGAATTGGCTCTTTGTAAAGCTCTTAAAAATCTTAAATCAGAAGGGTTTATATGAAACATGATGCTTGCAAAATATCATTTTTTGATATACAGAATGGCGTAAAGTTCTGAAGGTCGTTTTTGACCAATGTTTGCATTATCCTATTGGTGGTGTCAGTATTATTTAACCAGAGACAATTCACCTTTTCTTCAACCCTTGAGTTTTTACATGGAGATTTCATCTCTTGTGCATCAAAAAGAAAGCAGAGGTAGTGGTACATAAGAATAAAATGTTCACTAGTGTAATCTTTCCCTATGGCTAATTGAACAATGCAGTATCTGCTTGTTACTACAGTTTTACTGTTCATCCACTCAGTTATTCAATAATTCATTTGCTGGACATTATCTGGACAGTAAGCACATGTTTGACATTACTGCTTTAAAAAAGAGCTTTACAATTTATAAATATATACTTTATTTACAGATATGCAACATTAATCCACCATGAGGAAAGACTTTTTTTCTGACAGACATAAACCTCAATCAGAACCAGACTCACTGTAAACCGCATCAGCAAATGGACTGAGTGAGGAAATAAAAAGAGAGAGAGCGAGAGACAGGGAAGGACATGCTACCATTTCAGCAATGACTACAATACAGACTTGTGGCTACAATGCTAAAAATAGTGAAAATATAAGTACTTTTAGCAAGAACAAGTAAAGTTTTGATAATAATATTACCTGGCATTCTTATCAATCACCCTGCTGTGTTCAATACTTTATTCTCATTGGTTAAAACCCCCATGATAACCCTTTGATAATGGTTATTAACTGAGACTACCATGGGCAACGACAGAGACACACATATTGTATTGAATTAACCTACATTGAAAAAGGCCTGGCACCATTTTTTTCTGTTTGGTGACAGCAAGGCAAAAACATCCTATAGGCAGTAATTGGGATAAAAATGTTAGGTTTTGCAAGCATGCTAAATTAGTTAGCTAAACAATATGGACAGTTTCACATCAGACCCTGTATCACAATCCAAGCAACAGCAGCAGAGCTGGTGAGAGCGTGTTGATAGTAGTTGCAGTGATAAAAGCTGTGCCATTTCCTTCGTTAATTTTAAAGCTGTGTCAACTGCAAAACTCTGAATCGGGACAAATACCAATAACTGCTGTATATTCACATGAATGCTTGAATGTGTGCTTGACTCCCGAATCAAGAAAATCATCTTATCAACATTTTGGGTTGCTTGTCTGTATCTTTTGCTGGTAGCCAGGTGATAAGTGTTAAAATGTATAGTTAGTGGGTGGTTTGTGTTTGGGTCTTGTCTCACCCTGTCAGGATTTTATTTGCCAGAACTATATCTAAACTATGGGCAACATTATCCCCTCTATAAACAGGTCTAATATCATTGAAAACTACAATGCTAAATTAAGACTGATAATAATATCTCAAACAAGTCATGGAGCTCTAAGATAAATCATAGTTTTAGCCATAGGTGTATGACGTAAATAAGAGTGATGTGTAATAGTTGTAGCAGATGGAGTCAAGCTCATCCATGGCAGCAGGTGGTCTCCAGCGCTGATCCACAGGACAGCTCAACACCTCCCAACATTTAGAGATGCATTGTTTGTTAAAATAGGAGTAAAACTTGATAAGGGAGAGAATTACAAGCAGTTTTTGTCTGATTAAATTCAATGAAATGCATTTTAAATCTATGCTTACCCTTATTCTACAAGCAGTAGGCTATTTTATTGTGAATTGAGCAGAGATACCATTCATCACCGCCGTCCACATGCTTACGTAAAGGAGTAAAGGTTGGAAAAGTGGATCCTTTTAAACTGCTTTAGTGTCTTTGAATTGTAATCCTAACCCATATTTTAATCCTCAATTCAATACTTACATTTATGATCTAAGTCACTCTCAACCTCTCCTCAGATCTTGCTGGGAGGGGGGCTGAGATGGGAGGTGTAGGTTTCAACAGTTGTTAGCGAGCACCCACCTTCAAACGCCACCACCCAAACAGACAAACAGCCTGACTCACAGAGCGTACTCTCTCTTCCTCTCTGCTATCTCTCTGTGTGAATGCTTACCGAGAGGAAACGATAGATGCAGACATTCCTCTACCCATATTCCCCCTCACTCTATCTTGTTGCCATGGGAACCAAAGCAGACGGGAGACAGGTTCATATCGGCCTCCCTCAGGTCTCCAGTCACAGTCTCCTTCTCTCTCTCTCTCTCTCTCTCTCTCTCTCTTTCCCTTTGCTCTCTTTCGCTCTGTGTTTCTCTCCGTGCTGTCAGAGCCGGCTGCTCCTGTGTGGGCCACTGATACTCGCTGATTAAAGGAAGTTATAATTTGATTTTCTCAGCAGGCGCCGTTTAATAGAGCAGTTTAACTAAAGCTGTGCCATCCCCAGGGCTTATAGAAGGAGAGGGGAGAAAGAGAGAAAGAAAGAAAAAAAAAGACAGAGAGACAGAGAGAGAGTTGTAGAGAGAAGGATAGAGAGAGAGAGAGGGAGAGAGAGTGGGTGAGGGAGTCATGCTAATCCCAAACACTGAGCAATCACCCCGCCACTAAACTCTCCCACTCACTCTCCCATTCTAATTCTGTTTGCCTATTTTGCCGTCTTCCTCCCCCCCCTTCTTCTCTGCCTCCCCTTTCTGTCTTTTTCTCTCTGTTTCTCCTGCTCTTCCTCCGCCTATTAATCTCCCTCCCTCTTCCCTCATTCCTTCCTCCCTCCTTTTAGTGAGGCAAACATGGGAGGGCTGGCTCCTCTATGTACAAACTATAGCTGTATTACTGGCCCATTGTGATAATAGCGTTTAATTATCCTCTCAGCTAAAATCAGCCCCATCACTCTCACTCCATCCCCCCTCCTCCTCCTCCTCTTCCTTCTTCCCCCAGTCTGTGCTGTGTCTTATACTTCCCCTCTCCTCCTCTTCTTCTTCTTCTTCTTCACTCCCCTACTACCCCACACACCCCCCACCCCCCATTCTCCAGCTATTTCAGACCCATTTAGCGGGATAAGCATCTTGAGACAGACAGAGGGGTTTTTTGCTCCCTTTCAGAGGAGAAGCGAGGAGAGGATATGGAGACTGGCATCCACGGTGCCCGCCTCGGAATACCAAACAGGGGGGCCCGGGCATCTTAATATGCAGTGTGGGACAGAGGCTGAGATCAAAGAGAGAGGCACAGACAGACAGAGAGATGGGTTAGAGGAGGAGGAGGAGGGGTAAGAGAGGTGAGAAAGAAAGGGAGGGAGTGAGTCCTCTCATTTCTCCTCATCTGAGCATCCTTTTCCTTCACATCATCATTTCTACTCTGCTCTCCTGCGTCACTCCCTTGACCCTAAGAAAAATCGACGGCTTAATTACCTCGGCGTGGAAATCTGCATGCCTGACCATGCATTGCCGCTGGAGTGAATATATATGTGTATTTTTGTGCATGTTTGTGTCTTCCTCCTTGTTTGGGGGGATGGGGGATAGCAGGTAGCGGGGGTGTTGGATACCTTTGCCACCCACCTCAGCCCCTCCATCCCCTCAGTCAATTAAGATCGTGAGTAGCTGTCCCTGAAGCGGTGTAGACAGGCTAAATGAAAAGGCAGTGGATGTGAAATATGAATCATTAGAATACTGCAAGGACGGGGCTGGGGGTGGTGAGGCGGGGGGTTGGAGGAGGTTGGATGTAGGGGGGGTCTGGTGGAGAGATAAGGAGAAAAAGGAATAGACGAGAAAGGAAGAGAGAGGAAGAATGAGGGAGCAGATAATAAAAGATTAACGTCACGCCTCTCAGAGTGGTGGAATTTCAAAAAGCCCTCCAGATCAAATTATTTATCCCTGTCTATAAAGAGAGGAGGAAGAGGAGGGCTGGAAGAGAGGCAGAGAAAGAAGAAGTGAGGAGAGGGAAGTGGAGGAGAATGGAAGAATAGCGCCAAGACCTCTCTCACTCTCTTTGATGACGCTGCTGACAGCAAAACAAATATGTGTGCGAGCGTGTGTGTGCGTGTGTGTTGGTTCTAACACAGAAAAAAGAGGGAGAGACAGAGAGAGGAAGAGCAGGCAGATGTCTGCGCTCACTCTGTGGGAGGCTCAAGGCTGTTTGCCGAGGACGAAGAGAGAGAAAGAGAGGGACACACAAAAAAAGGAGAAAAAAGAAAGAAAGAAAGATAGAGGGTAGGATTAAATGAAACCTGTTTCCCTTTGATTCTTCACTAATTTGCAGTGAGATGGAGAGCACACAGAACAAACCACCTACGCAGCGCAGTGCCACACCAAAACCACACACATCACTTGTCTCAATAGAGTTCTTACACAAACACACACACGCTCTCACACACACACACACACACGCGTAGAGTTACATTCATCTTCCGTGTGCCCTTCTCACCAATGACACTGACATTTCTCTACATGTTCAGTGTAACCCCTGCTTGACTTCTGCTCTCCTCTATTTTTAATTTCCTCACTCATCCCTGCGTGCTTCACTGGATATTTATTTCCTTATTTATTTATTTCCCGAGCCATTATACCACCAATAAACTCCAGAATACCAGCAGACCGTGTTGCTCAGATACACATTGAACACACTTGCACGCACACACACACTCACACACGCACACGCAGGCGCAAAGTCCTTCCTCATTAGCCCTGATTCCCCCTGAGTGACATCTTTAACAAAAGGATGCAGCCTCTGCCGCCATGGCAACAGCCTCCTCCATCTCTATGCAGTGCTTCAGACTGTTTACATGATGGGATCTCACTCTCTTCTTTCCCGTTCACTACATCTCTCCTCCTGCACTCTATCACCCCATCTCCTGTTTTTTAAAAAATCTTATTACCCTTCTTCTCTCTCACTTCTGTCACTTTTCTCTCCTTTCTTTTTCCGCTTGCTTCTTTTTCGCCACTGTTATCTCTGCCAGGCAAAGTTTTCTTCCATGCTCAAACCCTTGAGGATGTACAGTAGAGACCACCTGCTTGCCAATCAGAGTTTTATGTAGGTCTAAAAAGGAGAGGAGGGGGGGGGGGGGCAAAAAGAAGAAAAAAAGAAAAAAGGGACACAGATGAGTGTGTGTGTTTGATTTAATGTGTGTGTGCGTGAAGGGGCTTCCAGGAGACTCTGATATCTAGGCCACGGGAGTCCAAGGCAGCCAGTGTGTCTGGTGTCACAGCAAATCAACTGTCAGCTGTACACCACCTGCCTGCCCACACACGCACACACACACTAACACACACACACGCACACACAAAGTCTGAGGAGCAGAGACTAAGAATAGAACACCCGGAGAGTGTTGCTGTTTCTCCCTCCACCTCCTCTTCCCTCTCTCTCTCTTTTTGCTCTCCTCCTGCCACTGTGTTTTTCGCAAGAGGCCTCCAACACGATACATGCAATCTTCTTCTCCTTTTTTTTGTTTGTCTTCCACCCCTTTTCCCCCCATAGCTTGGCCCAGCCCAGCCTATCTCTCCCACAGTGAAATGAGTCACCTGCACTCTTCTCTCCTCTCTCCTCTCCTCTTCTGTAGGTACACTCACGGTTAGCCGATGAGGTAAAAAGGAAAATCAACATCTACAGATCCCCGGCTTGTTCTTTGCTTTTATTGACAGAGCAGTAGGCAGGAAGAGGGGATGCGAAGTGGTGAAAACACAGGAGAGACGCTTCTGACGGTGGGATTCGATCCGAGGCCGGCAGGGGTGCGTGTGGTTTCAGAGGCCTCAACCGCTAAAGCATCCCCAGGGAGGAATTTTGAGGGCCTGTGTGCGCGTTAATGTGTGTAAACCTGCAGATATAAGACAAGATGGAGCACACAAAGAGTGCTTCAACCCTCAGCAGCATCTAAATCCACATATTACATGTATAGTGTGATTGTGTGTATGTGAGTGTGTGTGTGCGTTTGCAGCCATGCAGTGTTTGTGAGTGTGTGTGGTATGCTGCTCTCAGTCTGGTCCCTCTGTTTCTCTGCTGTCTGTGGCCTCCTCTTCCCCATGAATACTAATGTGCTTCAAACCCCAGAGATCAACCCTCCTCCCTCCCTCCCTTCTCCGCCTCCCTCCCTCCCTTCCTCTCTCCATCCCTGCCTTCCTTCCTTCCCTCGCCACAGTCTCCATTCGTTTCTCCTCCCCCCTTTTACCTTTCAACTTTCCCTCTCTTTCATCTTCCCTTTTACGCCCCATCTTTTTTCTCCTCCCCTCACTTCCTCTTTCCCTGCCTTATTTCCTCCTCCTTCCCTCCCTCTTCATTTGGTCTTTCCCTCCCCTTTTTTCTTCCTCCTCCTCTTCTTTTCATCCTCTCCTCTCCCCCTTCTTTTTGTCATCTTCTCTCATTTGTCTTTACATCTTTGTCTTTCATCCCTTCCATTTCATGTCACATTGCACAACTCTTCCTCTCTTAGTTTCTCTTTTCATTCTCCTCTCCTTTCCTTCTCTTTACCTCTTCTCTTCTGTCCTCTCTCTTTTCCCTCTCCTCTTTCTGTCATGTTCTCTCCACACCTCTCATTTTATCTCCTACTTCATTCTCTCATCATCTCTCCTTGCACTGCTTCCCCTGTTTCCTGTCCTCCTCTTTTTTTCCCTCATCTCTTCTCGCCTTACCTTTCCTCTTCACCTCACCGCTTCTGTCATTTCCTCTTTCCATTCCCTCTCTTTGCTTACCTCTCCTTTGCCCCCTCGTCCCCTTTCCCTCCTCTGCCCTCCTTTTCTGCACCTCTTTCCTACTCTCCTTCTCCTCCTCTCCTGTCTCCTTCGTTGCCTTGTCCCCTCACTTTTTTTTCATCGCACCTCCTCGAGAGGACATGTAAATGAGGTCAGCTCAGTCTAGAACATCATCTGCATCACTCAGGTGTACGCGTAGGTGCACCGACGCATGCATGCACAAATTAAACATCTTAGTCTGTGTTTGTGTGTGTGTGTATTTATTATATGTGTGTGTATATGTGTATTGAGCTCCAGCCTTAGGACAGAACTTCCTCTCTTAAGCTGTATACCAGCACACCAAGCGTTCCAATTACATAAACGCCTTCACCCCGATACATGTTGACATCCTGAACATTTTTTCACGGCCTAATTCATTTCAAATTGCATCCCATTTCTTGGCCTCCTTTTTTTTTACAACAAGCCCTGGAAACAGATGATGAGGGGAGCTTTCACTTTCCTGTGTAATATGAAGGCTGCTGCTGCTGCTGCTGAGTGGACATTCTCAAACTTAGACACACACAAAGGATGAGAGTGGAGGTAAAAACTGGGAGGAGAGAAGAGAAAGAGTCGTGTAGTGATATTAGAGAAGAAAGTTCACTTTTTTGGGGTGAAGAAAAGATCTGAGATGCATTATTAAGGCCAGTCACTTCAGGTGGTGTGCAATACTCCTGTTTGTGTTGGCAAATGAGCAGAAATGTGTGTGTGTGCCTGTGTGTCTGTGTGTGTTTGGCGTGTGTTTGTTCAGCAGCAGCAGCAGCAGTGGCGGCAGCAGAGGGAATAATGAAGCCAGAGAGGAGGAATCCTGCAGGAATCCATCTCTGTCTGCATTCCTCCTGATGAAGAGCGAAGTCAGAAGCAAGAAAGCAACAGGCTACTGGAGACTGACCCCACGCACACACACGCACACACATATATACACATGCACAGAAACACACACATTCTTAGGACAATAACAGCCTCTACTGGGGAGAAAACACATAACATGACCACACTCGAATGCACGCAGACACCCACCCACAGACTGGGCTCCACACACACACACACACGCACGCACGCACACACAGTCATAGCCCAAACAGGATACACACACGATTGTTGGTAAACAGATTAAATTGAAGAAGCTATTCACACTGGCATGCGTGCAGAGACACACGTACACAGACACACATATACAAAAATTCAGATACACATATGAGCAAACACACAATTCACACTGCAGGACCACTTCAGGTTTCATCATCTTCTTTTCCTCTTTTTTTTTTTTTTTTGCTTTCTTTCTCTTGAGAGCTGGGGAGAGGAGGAGTAGGAGGAGGAAGGGAGAGAGTAGGGGGGTGGCGGGGGGTGTCTCATTCCCTCTCTTTTGTTGCTGCTAGAGAGAGAGAGAGAGAGAGAGAAGGGAGAGAGAGGAGAGAGAGAGAGTACATATCCATACAGAAACGCTCTCTCCAGCCCCATTCACACCCACACACACATACACACACACTCACAGAGCGCCCTCCCTCCTCTCCCCGCACACACACACACGCATACACACGCACACACACACATCCACAAAGATACAACATCAAAGAGCCGACACCGCCGAAGGATTACTTCAGCCACACACTGGCTCTTCAATCCGGGGTCTGTTTCTCCTGCTGAACCCCCCTCTTGCCTGGCTGCACTTGGTACGGTCCAAGCATTCCTGCCAAGTAGCTTTCACACATGGAGGGGAAGCTTGTCTCAAGCAATTGCTGACAAGCTACAAACAAGACAGCCTCCCTTTCCCTGTCTCCCCCCCTTTTTTTCTTTTTCTTCACCCCTCTCTCTCTCTCTTTCTCTCTCTCTCTTTCGCTCTCCCAATCCTGTCTGCTGTCTCCAGCCATCTTTTTTCATCCTCTCTCTCTCTCTCTCTCTCTCTTTCTCCCTCCCCTTCTCCCCCTCTCTCTCCTCTCTCTCTCTCTCTCTCTCTCTGAGAATGTGGGGGCCCCACTAGCATAAATTGTCAGCTGTTCCTGGGCGTACTCTCCATGGCTCCCTAAACTCACATAAGCCCACATATGCAGTCACTGGTGGGACAAGGGTAACCCAAGTAAGCCCTGTTGGTTATGAGTCTGAAAAAGTATACCCAGGCCCCCTGGATAATACTGCAGTGTGAAGGCACTGAGAGTTTGACTCTATAATAAGCTGCAACAGATACCCCGGCTAATGGTATTGGTGGGTTAACAACTATATTTCTTCTTTCATGACTTTAATTCATCAAACTCAGCACACATCAATTACTCAAAAACTTATTCATGAACAGTATTTTGATAAAAAGTCATGTTGCCTTTGTGTTTTCTAACTTGCATTTAAATAATATTTATAGACCAAACTCCTCAACAAGGTGGGAGCTCACAGGGATCATATGAAAAGTTTGTTTTTTCATACAGTTTTAACTTTTTATGTTCTTGTATGACTAAAATCAAATTTAAAGATTTATGATCTTTATGAAATTCATTTTTATGCTTTTTTAATGATGAAAGCAGACAAGACCATCAGCGACAAGACTGAAGATTTTTCAAACTATATATTTACCGTTTGAAACTGATTCAAGAAAACAGTCAATTTTTTACAATATCCACGCAAGATATTCACATTAAATGATATATTTAACTTCAGAAGTTAGAAAAATTAGATTTGTTGTCTTAAATCAATACTCAAGCACTCAGCGAGAAGCACAGACTCTTTGTCCACAGGGGGCACCAAAATAGGCACAAACTAAAAATTTCTTACAGGACCTTTAGTGACATCAACAAAGGTTAAAGCTCATATGAGGAGGTATTTTACTTTTATGTAATAGACTAAAAATCATATGGATGCTCTTCATGATATACAAAAGCAAACAAGACCATTATCAACTGAAACTGCATTTTTAATCGTAATTTTTAATGCCTGAAACAAGCGCAAGGGGTTATGTGTCAGCCAAGCGGCTCAGGAAACTGACCTTTTTGTGCAATTCTCACATTTGACTGTCAAAACATCAGCAGGATGAGGTTTTTTGGTCAAAAATCAACACTTATGCATGTAGAGGACAAAGTGAGAAAAAGCTGCGTTGTCAGGAGGGGTGACAAACAAAAAGTTCCTCACAGGAGCTTTAAACAAAGATTCAAATTCATCACCTTAAGGACTTTAAAGGTTGTTAGAAGTGGGACAAATGTGACCGTTTCACACTGCAATGCCATTGTCACTTGCTGGTGTGTTGTCATTGAGCCATGCAGAGGTCACAATTACATTTGTGTGCTTGCTCAGATGGAAAGTGGATAAATTGGCTTTATCTCTCTGAATCAGTTCTTATAATTAAAACCTATCCATTGCAGGTCTCAGATGTGAAATGTTCCTATAACAACACTGTTTGAGTGACACAGTCAGTGGAGATAAAAATATAACATAGGGCAGCATTAAACACAGGGCTGGAAGTGTAGGCATGGTGACACACACAGAGAGCTGAGTGAATGAGGGAAAAGGAGGAACAGCAATCAAAGTGGAGCCACTGCAGTGTTGTTTTTAAGACAATACTGCCACCTACTGGACATTTTTTAGAGTCCAGTTTTGCCTTAAAAAGATTTAGAGGTCCTTATGGCTGAAGTGCAGACTATACTCGACCTTTGAATGAAGTAGGTTTGTATTTGATTTTCTGTTTAATAAGTGCAGTTGATCATAATCTGTATGAAGTCTTGTTAAAGCCTCAGTGACTAAATTTAAACAATAATATTTTAGATTACAGGGCCAGAGTAACAGTGCTGTGAATTGCTGAGACAAATCAAGTCAAGACAAGTCAATGTTTATATATGTGACACATTTGAGCACCAACTGCAGTTGAACCAACATGCTGTACAAGCCTAAAAACATACTATCATAGACAAATATGAGTTAAAAGACACCAAAATCACAAAAAATAACACAGTAGGAGCTCAATGAATAAAACAAATTAATAATGTCAAAAATGGTCACACTTAAATGGTATTAGAAGCCAACACAAAGAGACGAGAATAAAGCAATGACTGAAAACCTTCAAAGGACTAGGCAGCTCATATATTTAAGGGTAGACTGTTTTACACAGAGGAAGCAGCCACTGCAAAGGCTCTGACATCTCTGGTTTTCAGCCTGGGTAGCATGATCATACAATATTTATTTCACTAAAGCAGTAACTATGCTGAGAACCTAACTGCCACACTCATATGATAGGCATCAGGATTTTCTCTGCCTTTGTTTTGTCTCTCACTTCTATTTTTGGGGCTGTTCTCTCTATGTTCGTGTGAAATGCTCCCTCAGCCATTAGTTAAGACCTGGTAACTGGATAAATTTGCTTTGTAATCCAGGATAACTCATCAACTTTTTAGTTCTTGATTTAGAAAACTGCAGTCTATTTTGCTGCTCTGTCTCTAACAAATCATCTTCATGTAAGTCAAAAAGAGTTCCTAAACCCAGAAAATCAGAACTGAAAATCCTCTTTATGTTAGGGTGGACTATTGAAACAATCACTTCACTTATATTTATTCTGCATCCTTTATGAGCATGGACATTATTGTATGAAAATTCTTTAGCAATGCCATTTCATAACTTCTGATAATAAAAAGGCCAGATTTGGTAGAGGTGTGCTCAGCAGATCAGAAGTTGAGACAGTTTCAGTTCACCACTTCACCCTTCAAATGTTTGATACTCCTCTATGTATGATGATTTTGGATGACCAGTGTGAAATGTAATGAGTGTGAAAAGACATCCATAACACCAATTTTCTCTTTTCAATTCAATTGTAATTTCAGGTTTCCACAAAATTGTTCTGAATAGTGCAAATGAAATTAATGTTTTTAATTCCAGATAACTTTCTATTCCAAATGAACATTTTGAATATCTGCAATAGAATTTCTTCCCTGAAAAGATCTTGTTTGACATCTACAAACATATTGTAACCATTTATTATTTTATCCAAAATAAATCTCATTACCTAAATCCAACATTTTCATTCCTAACAATTGGAGTTTTTTCTTGGATAAGTTACATAGTAGGTATCCAAAATGTTCATAGAGGAAAAAGTAAAAACAGAGAAACTAGAAAAGTTAACAGCATTTCAAAGTGTGTATGAAAACCTGAAATTTGACTCTTGTAAAGGTTATGCTCGCTGGTGATACGTAATTGCTAGTAGAAAGTTGTTTTGTGAAAACTGAGTCTGGTGATTTAAAAAAGAACTTGGGCTGCGAGGTGTTAAGAGTCTCTTATCTCTTGATTCAAATCACACAATGACAATCAGATAAACTTTGTTCATACACTGAAAAAAAACTGTTTTGCTTTGTTTTTCAATTTCTGTAAAGTAAATATTTCATCACACACATAATAAAAAATAAAAAAAACGACAAGATTTAAAAAGCAAAAATTTATTCAGTCTTTTTACAGATAGGAAGAGACAGCTTGTTTATTTCTAAAATCAATCTGTGAAACATAAGCATCTCTGTGAGAACACGTTGCATTTATTCAGTAGGAGGGGAGTTTGAATTTCATGTCTTGGATTAAAGTGGAAGAGATCAATAAAACATCTGTAATGACACAGCCGTGTTGATTACTATTGAAAAATTCACATTAAAAACGAGACACGATTCCCTTTTTCAAACAGGCAGACTTAGAAAAGACAGTGGACTACAAACAGCCTGCAAATACACATGCAGTGGTGTCACCATACCCGAGTCAAATATCCAACTCGAGAATTTTGAGAGACTAGCACTTCACAAAAGGAGGGAGGCTATTCAGGTTGTTTAAAAGTTAGCACACCAAAAGGGAAAAATAAAAAAATCCACTTTAACACCCAAAAGGACCGTCTCTCTCTCCGAGGACCCCCCCAGCAACTTCAAGTATTCCCTCCAGCACTTGCATCACTTCAAGTATTCCGGCCATGGACTCAACACCTTCAGTTTAATCACCACTTCTTAGGTTTACCACAAAGCTATGATATAAGTGCACTCAAAATTCATCTATACATAGAAAAATAACAATAAAGTAGCAGTAATAGTTATAACAATCACTTTACATTTCAATTTACACACAACTGTGATGTTAAATACCGTGGCATCAGAAACCCGCCCCCTGAGTGTAATGTTCAAGTTTAACCTTCTGTATTAACGCAAACTGGACAAGGAACCTTGGTTGGGTTATTAAAATGAAAGTAGCAATCACTGACTGCAACAATGATTAGAATCAGAGTGATCATCCTCTCCCGCGGACCCTTGTGCTTGTGTGTGACGGATTTATTTTGTACAAGCTGCTGATCTATCAGCCTCTTCGCTGGTGTCAGACTCTGACAGTCTTCATCCTAGAAAATAAACACCGCATTTAAGAAACACATAATTTCAATGCAAATGTTGAGCACATGTGATCACGATGTTCTTACTTAAATGGACCTTGAAGGGTGTGACATTCACCCACCTCAGTATCGCTGATTTAGTTGACCCTCCAGCTGCCTCAGGATCCAGACACGATGCAGCTCCGGCATTTGTACAACTTGGGGTCATGGGTGCGAATGTGGTTCCGTACATTTCTTAGTCGAAAGAACGTCTTACTGCAGAGCTACACAGTAGGGAGGGTGAGATTAAGAGTTAACACCAACAAAGTGAACCACAGACACTGAAATACCGAAGATTAGCTAGAACATCTAAACACAGTCGCTTTAATATATTTGAAATCACATATTTCCTCTGACATTGTTTTTATTTTAAGCTGACCAATATGTCCTGAAAAGAAAATTCTGGATTAATGGTATAATACAGATCACCAGGGTTAAGGTTAAAACAGATAAAGTAACTAAGTCTGTATCAAATATTCCTAATTTCAATTTACTTTACACTGTAGAATCAAAGCCAAAGAATCATTTGACGTTTTTTTAACACAGCTTTTGCATAATGTAACTAAATGAGAGGAAAATCACAGTTTTATTGGCACTCTAGGCTATTATTTTTTGACCTGTCAGTGCTCACCAGACATGGCCAGTGCTTGCCCTCGATGTGCCTGAGGCGATGCATGATTAGAGCATCACAGTCCTTGTAAGAAGCCGCACACTGCAAACAGGCATGGGCTGCCTTTGGCTGTTTCGGGACTTGACTACGAGGCCCTCGGAGCTGCTTTAGCCTTGCCCGGCGCACTGCATCCATCATGACACAACTCTTGCGGCTCAGGGGGAGGGGCTTACCTTGTTGCTAGGGATACAAGGTAAAGACAATTATTAATGAGCTCACCCATTTTTTTAGGTCATGTATGTAGTGTATGCTATTAAAACAGAAATTATATCGAAATGTACAGATGTCAAAACTTGATAAATAATTCCAACTGCTTATATATATTAAATTAGTCTCCAGATAAATAGAATTGAGATTATATCATCACATATCTACAGTGTTCTTCCTCATGAAGGTCTCTAAAAAAGCCTTTCATCAAAGAGAAGTGAAACCCTTATGATCTACCTTTGGCATGGTGGGTTTGGCCTTTGGGTGGATATGCTTGGACGTGTGATGGGCGTTGTTCTGGGAGTTTGGCCTGGGTCTCTGCACCTTGTTTTGGTTCACACTCCTCTCCTCCCTCTCCTTCTTTACCACAGACAGAGTGGGCGGCACTCTTGCTCTAAGCGTCCTGTGAGGGGAGTCCTTCACTCCAAATCTCTCCCCAACTTGTGAGACAGAGCGGGTGAGGCAGATATCGACGCTCTCCTCCTCTTTTTTCAGCACGGCCATCGCTCCTCCTGCCGGCCGACAGAAGCTGAACAGAAAACCGGAATCCAGCAGCTTTATGGGGGGCTTGCTCTGACGCTTGCCCAGGTCAGGTGACGGAGGATCAGAGAAAGGTCCACCTACTGGCACGGGGTCAGCTGGCTCCTCTTTGATGACTTTGTACAGAGGGTGGTTGTAGATGGAGGGTGGAGGTGCCTGCTCTGAAAACTGGAGCCCACAGGGTTCGTTACCCTTCGTTCTCGGTCTGGCGTCCAAGACCCCCTTCTGTCCTGGGCTGCCCCCCTTCCTCCCTTCCTCTTTAGGCTTACACTTTGTCTTCTCCACCTCCCTCATCGAGCCCCGTCTTAGCTTCACCTTGGTCGCTGTTCGGCCACTGTTGTAACGCAGTGCTCTAACCGCCTCTACGGTTGCTTTTGTTCTGACCTGTGACGTCTGAGTGAGTGGGGATTTTTGAGGCGGGTTGCCACGGGGATGGTTTGATTTCTGTGAAAGACCTGAGATGGAGTAGTCAACTGGTTCTTGCTTTATCCTGACAATGTTACTCGCTATCACTTTTGTTTTACGTCGTAGAGGCTGCTGGGGGGGAAGGTGCACGCAGTCAGCCTTCCTCACTGACCGTCTCAACTCCCTTCCACCCAGAGACAACCTGGATGCAGGCGCAAACATGTCTGGTAACACCACTTTACTTCGCATGCTCCTGTCACTTGGAGGGATGTGTCGGGAGACGATCTTTGGCCTCTTCACTGTCATCTGGTCTGTACTGACTAGACTCACAGGCTTGGACTTTCCTGACTTAAGGAGACGGGAGTTAACGGGGTTACAGAGGGGAAGGGACAGCGTCACGTGCCCAAATGGCAAACCTGGGGAGCTGGAGCGAGGTTTACGCCTCTTAGTTAGGGAATAGTTATTCGCCTTCAGCTTCCTCAGTCGTTTCTTTTGCCGCCATCCAATTAGATCTTCTGGTCTAGGAAGCAGAGCGGTCCTCTGTAACCCAAGCACAGTCATCAGCTTGTACTTCTCCTGTGCCCTTGCATAATCCTCCTCATCCTCTGCAACCTCCTCTACCTCCTGCTTCACCCTCACAGGGCTACATGCAGCTCCTGGTCTCAACCTGGATGGGCACGATAGCCGGCTGATTGGGTGAGGCTTTTTGCTTCTCCGCGGGGTCTCTGGCTTTGGTAGAAATCTCTGAATCTCCTTGGCGGCTCCAGGAGTGGAGCGCAGGAGGCGGGTGTTTGTTGGTGACATGGGTGAGTAGTTATGAGACTGTGGGGAGTTTGTGTGTCGAGGTGTTGTGGCCTTCTTAGAAGAGGGAGATTTAAAGTCCATGAGCTTCATCCTGTGTGTGGGACTCAGAGGGAGACCGTTATGGCTTTGGGATTTCGGTGTCCTTCGCAAACTGCGCCTTGGACTTCCTTCGAATGACTCATCTGATGCCTCCAGAGTTAGACTGAAGTCATCCTCAAATCCAGAAACTCCTTTCCTGTTGCTTTCTCTCTGCTGTCGCTGGCAGATCAGGTTAAGTTCTTTGCCGTGATGGAGTTTCTGTTCCTGCTCTTTTATGAGAGCGGAGCAGGCCTCCACTGCAGGCCACATGCCCAGATGGCGGGCCATAGCGATGACCTCAGGTAAGTCCTCCTGGCGTACGCACAGAGTGGAAGAGTAGGAGAACTCCAGCAGGGATAGAAGGTTCTCCTCACTAAAACCTGGGGGTGAAAAGAAGAGCCTTTCATTAAATATGCCAAACCCTGCTGGCCAATCAGTAAGTGAGATAAAAGAGACTCAGTAGAAACAGTAGATCAGAGAGACAAAGTGTAAACATGATGGTGAAGACTATAATAGCCGCTTTAATCAGAGCCTTTTCTGCCACAATCTGATGACACACATCAAACACATGCCTATATGAGAACACAGAATCCTAAACTGGTATAATAACTGGTCTCATCACAAACTGTGGAGACAGATCCTTTCTGAAAAGATTACTAAATGCAGCCTCCTTCACCTGAATGACGACTACATCGTCACTCAATTTACAGCAAACCATTGTTTGCATGACAACAGCTGATGATGTCAACTCAAGCCAGGAACAGTCATGTGACTGCATTGAAAGGGTGACTAATCACATATATCACTATTTTTATTATTACATCAATGGGAAACCCAGCATACAAGCACAACAAATCAAAGTGAGCGTTACTTGTGATGGATTATTGTGTTCATTTCAGACACACTGTTGCTCATATTGAACTTATTGTTTCATTAGCTATCACCATGTTACCACCTTTGAAAAAAGGTTTTAAACTTCATCATGAGCCTGGACAGAAATAACTCTCTCTACTTTACCAACATAAAAACAATTTGCAGTATTGTGTCTCTGGGCTCATTCATTTTTAGAGAGGACAATCTGGTTCAACTTAAGAGTTGGGCCAGTGATCATAGGAGCCCCCTCAACAGTGTCAACAGTGTTTGTGAAAAGCAGGTTTTGGTTTGGGACAAGCTGGATGAGGAATTCTTAAGATGCAGTGCTTCAAATTATTCATAGGAAAGTGAAGTCTGCAGACTATTGGCTCACAGTGTTTGGTATTGAGTGTCTGTTTTTAATAATAATAATAATAATAATAATAATAATAATAATAATAATAATAATAATAAGGGATGAACAATTTTAGATTTTTGCTGATATCAGATATGCTGAAATTGTCAAACTCACATTGGCCAACACTGATAATAGATACGATAAATACAAATATTTTTTCATCTCCTGAATTAGAACTTACCTCTAACTTACCTATTATTATTCCCTTTGGGGATCAATACAATTTTTCTTCTTATCTTATCTTTCTGCTAGTGTGACAGTGTATTTGTTTTAGAAATTTACATGCGATGATTAATATTTGATTCTACTGTTAATGATTAATTTATTCTGTTGGTGCTGCTTATAAGAAACACAATTAGATTGATATTTTGCTCCTCCTCATCAACTTTCCTTCACAGCATTGCTTGTAGCTTTTTTGGGAGTATGCTGTTAGCATGTGTCGGCTGTCATTGTGCTCACACAATAATGAGCCACTTTATCATCAGTGTATATTTGCAGATTTAGTTTATACCTGCTGATACCCTTAATTTACTTTTTAAGTTTTTATCTGACAAAGCAAATATTGTGCCGATAACTTCCTACATTTCTATTTTTTATTCTGTCACTTGGGACAGTGCTGGTGTATACTGCTATGCCAAACTCGCATGGACTGAGTCAATCTGTGGACACAGTGTGGGCTTATTCAGGAATTTACATCAGTATCTAACCTTTAAACGAGCAAAAGCACAAGCAGTGATTTTTGACCTCTGTCCTTACCAGTGAGATCTATGTCTGCTCCTGTGCTCGAGCCCAAGTCTGTGAAGATTTCCTGGAAGTGATCACTGACTGCTGCCAGGACTGCTCTATGGGCCGAGTAGGATCGTCCATTTGTCCGCAGGGTGATATCACAGAAGAGCCCCGCCTCCCGCTGACTCCTCAGCTTGCTCAGCATGTCGGCGCTGTGTGATGCCATCGTCTTTGTGACACATCCTCTCCCACCCTGCTCCTAGTATACATTGACAGGGCAGATAAAGAGGCAGTATTATGCGAAAGAGAGTATTATGTGTGAGAAAGTGCTTCTTGGAGACCAAGTGCTATTTAGTAAGACTGGAAGTGAGATCAGGTAACTGTAAATGCAAATGTGAGAGACGCAATAAAACAAGGTGTTGATAAAAGCCAAATGGATTTGAAAGAGTTTGATGGGAGGGTGAAAGAAATGATAATATCGCAGAGACATTTGTCAGCTCAGACTGACTGTGAGAAAACTAGTCATTTGCGAACGATCCGTTCCAAAGAACCGAATCTTTAAAGTAAACGTACTAAACCAAATCACTTCCTCGAGTGATTCGTTCATTTCTATCTTCAGTTGAGCTGAAGTGAGAAATGAACGAACAAGGTACTGCATGCACCGACACCTAAATCACTTAGTAAATTACGCTTTGAACTACACTCTCTGGAATAATTTTTGTCCGACAAACCTACCCTTTTTTTTTACTGCTAAATTGCCACCACAACAACTTACATACAATAAGACACAGCATGTTACAAGTAGTGCATAAAACCTGCAGCATCCTATCGTTGCAGCGGTTTGCGAGGGAACGATGCATGTTAAATGAACAAATCACTCACCCAATTTACCAAGCAGATCTGATAAATAGCATACCATAGGACAGTACACTTAAAACATCATGAGTTATAAACAAGTTCATTTTTACAAAACCTGTTTGCCAAAGCAACAGAGCCAAACACTCTCGTCTCCCGGTCCCAGGGGCTATGAATTTAACTGAATCCTGAACCATTCAGCTGTGTATCAGTTCAGGAGGTCAGAGTCGCAGGCTTCTCCCGACAAACGCTACATGATTCGGTGATTTAGTGAACAAATCTTTTGAAGGAATCTTTTTAGTGAACTGATTCTAGTGATTCAGTACCAGTGGTGGACAGTAACGGAGTAAATTTGCTTGAGTACTGTACTTAAGTACAGATTCTGAGGATTTGTACTTTACTCAAATACTAGGATTCTTTGATACTTATTACTCTTACTCAAATACATTTCCAAGGTAAAGATTTTTACTCTTACTAGAGTTACTTTCTGGGAAGGCTCATGGGTACTCGTTATTTTTAGGTTCGCAGTATTTTTTTTTCTTTCCCTAAAACGCAATTGGCCACACCCAGTGTTCGTCAAAGAAGGAAACCTATCACAGTACACGTTCTCCACTGGGATGTACGTAAAAGCGGAAATACGCGCCCTCTTGTTTATCAGCTCAAAACAAGACCGCAGTGGCAATGGCGGTGGCAGGAGAAGAACGCTACGATGAATCCTCAGGCTCAGAGTCTGAACATGATGAGGCGGAGGAACCTGAAGAAAACCCATGGCCTTATCTGAAGGCTATGTTCGAGTTTGCAGGAGTAAATAAGAAAAACGCAGATACAGACAAGAAAAAGTACATTTTCAAATGCTTATTGTGTTGGTACAGTATAACATAATGGTTCTACAGGCAAGCACATCAGTGCAGGTGGTTTCAAAGAGTTAATTCTCTGAAACAAGAGTTACAAGGTACTATAAATAAAATTGTAAAATGACAGTAACTTAATTTATGTGGAAAAAATAGGAATTTACTCTTACTTTAAGTACATTTAAAAGCATTTACTCTTGAATACTTGAGTACATTTTAAAGCAAGTACTTTTTTACTCTTACTCGAATAACGTATTGACTGGGCTATTCTTACTTGTAGCAGAGTAAACTTTGACCAGGAGTATTTGTACTCTTACTCAAGTACTGGGGTTAAGTACTCTGTCCATCTCTGTTCAGTACATCTAAAAGAACTGCCGTGCCCATCACTAGAGAAAACCTTACCTTTGTTTTCTTGGTGCGTTGGCTCTGACACTCTTCACAGGCCAAGACAAAATCTCTTATCTGGAAGTACATACCTATTGAGAAAACAGACATGCAAACATCAGACAACATGGGGGAAGAATGGACAGGTATTGATCAACTTTGTATCTTCATGAGTTTTCAGATCTTTGTTTCAGTGAACAGAGACCCCATCCTGTCCTGTTAAGTCAGATGTAAGGCAGTCAGAGATGTTCATACCCTCCCACCAGTAGTTTTCAGCCACGCATTTGTAAGTCTCCTCCAAGGAGAGGTGGTGCCGGCCAGGCCCCCGCCTCCGGTGAAAGGTGGAGAGGGCCTCATGTCTCCTGTCTTCCTCCAAAACCTCTCTGTAGTTGATGAAACCTCTTTCCAGCTTCTTTCGGTACAGCATCCCGTCTATCACTTCAAAGTTTGGCGACCAGCGAGCAGGGGGTCCACGCCCTTCGGAGTTCCTGGCAGCATCCATCTCCCCGTCTCCATCCGACCAGGGCTTGGACGGACACAACGTCTCTGCGCTCGAGTAGTGCGCGTTGGTGTGGGTGCAGTCACCGGCCATTAGAACCGCTTTTATTCCCCTTGAATTATACTATGAGGGGGTACAGCTTTCAAGTAATCCTTTGGCCTTTCTTTGCTCGCCTCTCGCGCGTCACGGCGGAGAGAGCGAGCCAAACTTCACCCACTGACCTGATCCACGTGGATGCGGTGACAGCAAACAACAACAGACCACCTGATCCCCCCAAAATATTTCGACACTTCAATAGATTTGAATAAACTAACGGACGGATTTAGAGATATTAAGCAATACAGTCTCCTATTGTGACTTAAAACGCTTGGTTTTCTCCTGTAAGACAATAAAAATCACCATCCGAGGGGAGTCAGCAGCATTTCACTGCTGGGGTCCTGCTTTGTACCCTATATGACAGTCAGTGAATGCATCACTTTCCACCATCAACACCAAAAGGCATACATCCCCAAAAATAATAGAGTAGTCCGTTTTTCTATTCTGAAAACACAGGATCACATTTCTGTTGAAAATGTAGTTTGATTTGCCAATCTAGAGCAACACAAATGTGTAAGTGTCCATCCAAGTGAAGATAATGAATGCAGCCAGCAGACTATCGCGCCAACTGCTCCAGACCAACTGATGGAAAGTCACCAGTTTAACGGCCGGTACGTCAAACACACTTCACCGCCAGCAGCTCTCTCTCTCCAGCAGCCCGCTTTCCATCTGGTTCAGGGGTCGGGAGTGGCCTCAGGAGCTGGATGTCGGCGGGCAGCCTCACCGCTAGCGTTAACTTGAGATTTCTTTTCGCCAACTCGAGTCGGAAGCAACATGATGACGCAGCTATCAGCTCAGCATCGCCGCCTCAACGACCTAATAGCGAGGTTGACTCCGCCACAAGCCTTCAAAATGTTGGAATTCGCCGCAGGTTCCCCCCCTCACAAGCAACCGCACACGCTCCGGCTAAATACCCGATACAGTTAGAACCGCTCCAGTAGCAGCAGAGTCAGTCTGGCCGTCAAATTGTCCAATTTCTAAACTCGTAACCTTCTGTTTGTTGCTAATCAGCAGCCTAACCGAGCCAAATCCTCCCCGCCCTCAGACAAAGGCCATTAGCAGAAGCCTTAAAGAACCTCTGCTAGACGAACCGTGATTGGCTAAGAGAGCTGCCACTCACGTTAGTTTTCTTCACCTCGTAGCAAGGTAGGTTGTTCACACACGATGCCAGTAGTGTATGCACTTCACTTGATGCGCCGTCAAGTTAACCATGGTGCACCAAACCAGAAATTAGGATAAATTCAACCAAAACTCTTTGATTTTATTTAGAAAAATAAAACACATTATTCACAGAAATCTTTATAGTCTAATTCGTATCATGATTGGGGTCTTTGTGAGTTAGATTTAATACTACATCCAAAGCAAACCAGTTTAAATATAATCCTGAGGGGGAAAACAACAAGGAGACATATATATTTATTTTAATCTGGTGATATTTAGTTTCCTTTCCAGTGTTATTTTGATCTGAAAAAGATTCCACTCAGACTTTAAACATTGTATGTCTGGTTGGTCTTTTGCAAAATAAAACTTTGCCTCAAAAACTATCTGATTTGTGATAGCAAAGATATCTCTTAAACTCCATTTATATGTAGTTTGATTATTTATTCATTTTTCTAAATAAAGGCCAAATAGACATTTGTTTAATTTCACAGGATACTTCCAGAAGTATACAATTACAGCCTCAGTTCCCTCTTTTTTCAAATTCAACTTCATTTGTATGGCATTTTTCTGACAAAAAGATGTCATTCACAGAGGTTAAAAACAACAATTTAACAACAATAAAACCCAACCCTCCCACCCATGGACCCACACACACAGACACACACCCACCCTCACTCACCCACACATACACGCACACAAGCGCACACACAAAATGAGAATTAAAGATATATTGTTAAAGAGACATGGCCTGACACCAAGACATTACGTGAGGAAAGAGCTACCTCTGGGAAACACTAGAGATAAAAAATAAGAATGGTAAAAAGAAAGAGTAAAACCTGATGGACTAAAACAAGAAAATAATATTAAATGAAGAGATAAGTAAAAGCTCTTTACTATGTAAAAGGGGTAAAAGGAGTAAAAGCCTCTATGATGGGAATTAAGAAAAAGACTAAGAACAATAACTAATAAAGTGACATAAAGTGACATAAACGTGACATTCATTATCTCGTGTTAGTCTTAATTTGGGTTGTTTGAGCACAGTGCAAGAAATAGGAGGCATAGTTTTTGATGAAACGAGAAATATTGGTTGTGAAGTCTGTTTATTTTGAATCTCAGCTTTTTAAAATAGATAAGACATTAAATGGACACATTACATGGGCTGAAGAAATATCGAGCTCTCATCTGACACCTTGAGAAAATAGTTTTGTTCTTTACATAGCATAATTGTGTGGTGACATCATATAAATACCTAGGTGTACATCTGGATAATAAGTTGGACTGGTCTAAGAATATAGACTTCATCTACAGAAAAGGGCAGAGCCGCGTGTTCTGTTCTATGCTGCAGTCTGTTGGGGAGGAAGCATCAAACACAAAGATGCAAGATGTCTTAACAAACTGGTGAAAAAGGCTGTCTCTGTGGTTGGACTCAAGCTGGACTCGTGGAGGATGTGGTGGAGAGATCTACACTGAGGAAGGTGGAGACTATTCTATAGAACATGGATCACCCACTTCACAACACCTTGATGGACCAAAGGGCCAATGGTGGTGGACGGCTCCTCTCTCTTCGCTGCAGGATAGAAAGATTCAGATCTTTTGTACCAACAGCCATTAGACTTTATAACTATTGTGTAAATAGTAGATAACTTTTAGATTGACATGACAAATGCGACAACAGACAATTGAATTTCCCTTCGGGGATTGATTAAGTTATTCTTAATTATTTTGTGATGCACGATACTGTTGTATTTGATCATTTTTTAAATTCTGTTTGATTTGTTTGTTTTAGTTTGCTAATGTTTAAGTTTAGTCTTGCCGTTGTTTTCTTGTTTCTGTCTGTGACCAACATTTGTTATGATTTCAGAATTGATAACCTTTTAAACTCTTAAATTTTATTTAGAGAGAGCTCTATGGTGAACATGAGTGATACAACAAAGATCATAGATGAATAAATGAGTAAACAAACCCCTCCTCTTAAATATGGTACACCTTTTCTATCATATCAATCAGTATCAAACAGATATTGACGAGTTACAGTTTTGATTTTTTAACACTAGAAAGAAAAAAAAATCAAAACATTATTCCAGAATATTAACTTGACAACTCTTAAAGTCAGTTAAAAATGTTTCAAAGCTCAATAACTTTTTTTTGCAATTGCTTTGGGTCCATTTTTGACAAAATGATGGACCCTGGACCCTCAGCTGACCCCTCATATTCTAGACTCAAAAAATGTCTTATATAGAGCAGTAAACAAATTTCACTTTGTAATTAAATGATCACAATTTGTGTCAACGTCACATTAGTTGTTCATTATTGTATTACTTTACTTTCTTTCTTTACTGTATTTGATTAAAAATGGTTATTTCACTCCTGTTAGAGACTGATTTTGTTTGAGACCTTTGAAAAAGTTTAAATGGAAAACATGCTGTATCTTTTGTTAAGTGTGAAGTGAAGGTGACTATTTGAAACTTTCATTTCATCAAACTGATTTGCTGTCATGTAAATAGATGCATGTGAGGTATTGAGCTTGTCTATGACTGCACCAATGCCTCTGTTTAAGACCAAGTGATTACTAGATAATTCACCCCTGGACTGTCCAACCTGTATCGCAAAATAGTTAGTTTTAAAGAAAGATATAGTATACAGTAAATCTCAAGTTTAAATGATCTCCAAAATTTCAAAGACTTAAGCTTAAATTCTTTGAGTGAAAATGGGAATTGTTTTTTCTTAATGTTTAATTCTTTGTGTTTGCAACAACCTTTATTTAAAGAATTTCACAGCAACAGTGTGTAACATACAAAAAATGAAAGACATGTTTGGGAACATGCAATGCACCTGCATATGTAGAGACAGATAGCTCAGCAGATGAAGGATGAACATCTACAACAAGCATAAAGCAATCTGAAGAGATGGAAGCTTTCAAACCAGTTTGAACTTAATACAGACACATTAAAATTACTGGATTTTTTAAATAAATAAAAGTAACGTGCTTTAAGTTTAGAAAGTATTTCTTCCTCCTGCTGACAACTACTGTCAATCATCTTTCATTAGATACTGAAAAATAATCCCTTAAACCCTTTTTGCTTATGCAGCTTCTCTAAAATCTCGGCAAATTAAGACAAAATTATACAATGAAAGTTGCCACAAGGCTGGACACTTTTAAACGTTGTTTATATCTTTTTTTAATGCAGTTTCACTTGTACAATCGCATGTTTTTGATAAGCCATGAGACAAAAATGCCTTTTTACAACAGCACTTATAAATGCCACACACATCAAAATGTAACACAATTACTTTGTCTACTGTATAATACAAAACACAAATGACTAAAAAGGGAATTCACTCAATATTTCAGGTTAAAGAAAACGTTATATCAGCCCGAACACAAGGCTTAAAATGCTCCTGAAGCTTCTCAAGCTTATCTTCTGCCTTTAATCTTCTTTTTGTTCTAATGTCATAACAACACACTCATGCCAGTTAACATTAAGCTTTGGTGGCACTGGTCTTTGCCGGGGGCTCACTGGTCTTTGGCCTTTTAGACTCTGGAGGCTGGCAGACTGGATCAGTGGGTGGAGATGGACGTTCTGATGAAATACAAAGAAAGGAAGGAAAGGAAATCAGTGACAGGGAAATGGGACACAATCACCACTCATGCTACAGATAAATAATGTGGTTATTAACATAAAACACTTATTGTTGTAATGAAGACGCTGACACTGAGGCCGCTAAAACTGTTGGGTTTAATTTGGACCTTTTTGACATTCCTCCAACATTTTGGTGAACGGTTTGTGTCAACATCTAACTGGCTGGCAAAAACGCCGTCCGCCCTGGTCTATAGGACCTCAGTGCAAACAATGATGCCATAACCAAACTTGTAGACATAACAGGGAGACTACACAAATGCAATAAATGGAGCTCATCACAAGATACACTGATTTGAATGACTGTTTACCTCATTATATGGCCTTACTAAGAGTCTAAAGCTGTTAGGAAAACTGATTTCGAGCATCAAGCACTATTATTGAACCGTTAGATAAACTGAATTGATTTATCTGACTCAGCATCAGGAAGGAAAAGACTGAATTTTTAGCCCCATCTATAACCAAGATCAAATTCTGTGAACAAATATGTCTAAGAAGGGTCTTCCAGCCATTTTGTCCATGTTTGTGAAACATGGAGCATAAAGAACATCAGAGGCCAGCCTACATGCTTCTCACTAACCGTGTTTCGCCTTCTCAGTGGACGAAGGAGTACGGAAGAGTGAGCCGGCTGCTGGAGATCTGGAAGCAATAGGGGTCAAAGATACTCTCCTGTATGAAAAAAAAAAACAGAAAGCACAAATTATGCGAGGGTTCGAGCAATTGATCAACAGAAAACAAACTGCAGAACGGTGAAGAGTGATCGCTGTTCCAGTTCATTCCTCATTTTTTGGTCCTCCACTCAAACATTTCCTTAGCTAAACAAGACAAGCCAAAGAAAATACACTAAAATACACATACAAGTAAAAACAGAAGCATGCAAAAAGGCTGCCATTGTCTCAGCGCAGTCTGCCAGAGTGATTATTATTTTATAGTCAGTGGGGGGTCCAACGAATCCCTCGTACCAGACAGGGCTTTGTTCCCACTCCTAGAACTGAGCACAACACGGCCCACAACCAAAATCACAACCTCATTACAGCTTGGTGTGTTAGTCCTGACTTTCAGACAGATATTCAAATTTGATCCAAAACGTTCTCCTACACATTTTTAAAGACACTTCTCTCTCTCAGTACTCTTCCTGTAAGCAGCATCCTCAGAGATTACCAGCTTAGTTTAATCATTAGAGGGAAGGAGGAAGGGAGGGAGGGGGCTTTTCTTTGTGTATCTGCTTCCTCAGTAGGACTTGAGCCACATACATAGTTAGTTAGATAGATAGATAGATAGATACTTTATTAATCCCAGAGGGAAATCCAAAAATTCATCTGAGTAGTTCAAATGTTTCTTTACATTATAATCGATGTAGTCTGTGTGAAGTATCATTCATTACACTGCAAAAACAACATCTGATCATGGTTTTCTCAGAGTGAATTTAAAGGTTAAAAAAAACAAGCCCGAGACTAAAATTAATTTGATTGTTAATGATGCATGACTATGTTCATCCTTTCAGAAGTGTTGACTGAAAAATCCAGGATTTTATTAGAAACCCCTCAAGTTTATGTGTAGATAATAGAGCCCCCAACTAAATCACACAAACTTGGAGTGGCCAAGGCTCACAGTGATCAGATACTCTACATACATGTCAATTTATTCATATGAAATCATGTCTCCTTCTGTGACAATCATAGAACAAAACATTTGAATCTTCAAAATATTCTTATTGTATTTATGTAATTTTATTTATCCACATTTGTGTAAATCTGTGAATTTTCTCTGGTCATTTTCTTGCACACTGCTGCATTACTTGAAGATCCCTTATCTGCTCTTCATCATCTCTACTTCATCACTGCTCTGAATGAGAGATCTCACCTAAATGTGTTTGCTGAGGAGTTAAATAATATTCTTATGATTTATGAAAAAACATCCACAGAGAGAAAACTTGTAGGTAATACAACTAAGAAAAATCTTTAACTTTAATTTTAACTTTAAATAAAATCTTAAATATAGTCTCTAAATATAGTGTTACTTTATAATAGCATCATAAATAAGAGCTCAAACCCTCTCTTTTTCCTCACACTCTCACACTCTCACTATCAGATTCAGAACTTCTCCTGCCGATTTACTTGCCTGTCATTCATAAATACGAAAAGTTATTCTCTGTTTACCTGCTGCTGAGTCAGAATCTGAGGCGATGATTACCTTGGTGTTGGTCCCTTTGGGGTTGTTGCTCCTTTAGGAGTAAGGGGCCCAGCAGCGTTGGCAATATTCAGGACTTTTGGGGTCGAGGGAGTGAGTGGAGTGATGCGATGCTGAGTGTTGGAGGAGTTGGTTGGAGTAAGAGGAGCGACACGATGTTGAGGGGTGGACGGTGCACTTGTGCTTGCAGACGTTGGGGTCTGGGGTGCCGGAGCAGCGGTGGCTTTAGGGGTAGAGGGCTTCCCCCAGCCCTCCAGCGTGTTGAGGGTGATTCTGCGAGGCTGAGGTTTAGACTTAGCGCTGGGGGTGCTCTTCTTCTCCTCTGGAAGGGTGGCAGAGGGGGTGTCTTTGCCTGCTCCAGGTTGGGGTGTTGGAGTTGGAGCTGAGCTTGGCGGCTGGGTTACAGGAGATGACGTCTTGGCCGTTGAGGACTTCTTGCCTTTTTTCTCACCAGCAGTGTTTGGGGTAAACACCTCCAGGGTGGGGGGCTCTTTCAGCGGAGTGCCCAGCTCCCCAGGAGAGAAGGTCAGGAAGGAGCAATAACCGTCTGTGGAGGACACAGCCAGGAAGGAACCATCACGAGACCTAGAGGGGACAAAATAAAAAACATGTCAGTAAACAGAAGGAAAAAAGTTTAAAAGTGAGTCTGAAGAACCAGAGCCCTCTCTCTACACTGCATCAGCTGTTCTTTTATTAGATGTAATAAAGTCTATATGTATCATCACAGACAAATAAACAGAAAAATAAATCTACAAATTCATCCTGTGAAAAAGTTTCTAGTGTGATTCAAACTTTAAGTATGTGGTTATAAAATAGATGTTTCCCATCCTGAGCAAATAAACATTATGATGTCATTTACAATAATTAACATCAGACCTTGAGAGTCTGATTAACTCAAATGTAATGGAAAATTCCCCTCTCTATCGGAGATCTCATATGAGTTTAATTTTTCTTCAGGAATCGGTTCAAAAGACATTTCTCATGACTGATATGGAGAGTTGTTAAAAAATAAAAGTGACTATTTTCAACACTTTAAAGAGTATTTCCACAAGATAGAGGAAAGAGAAGGATAAAAAATGTTAAAAATGAACAGCATCTTCCTATCAGTTAGCTACATCCATGGAAAGTAGTGACAGAGTTTTCAGGACATCATTAAATAAACACTGAAAGTTTAAGTTGATTCATAGATAAAACTCAAGACGTGCGAAAACAACTCAACTCCAGGTGTTGCGAGCTGAAAAACAATCGTGAAAAATAAACAACTTTTTTACTCTACATGAGTCTTTGGTGCATATTCATGTCTAACTATAATTTCTGCTCTGTGGTGCTTTCTGAAAAGTTTTTAACAAATTGAGTTGATTTTACAAAAATCTTTTTTTTTTTTGCTGCAACTATTTAGAAGGTTTAAAAAAAACTCAACACAAAAGAAGACAACAATCGAGAGTCATAATTTACCATGTGAGATCGCTGAGTGTGTGGTAGTGGATGTTGGACACCAAGCCAAAAGGGAGGGTTTGCTGTGTGTCATACAGGCAGATAGAGTCCTCAGATGCAACAGCGAACACCATACGATACGGCAACTGGAATACATTCGGAAGAGCCTCAATAGAGCCATCTGAGGGGGGAGTAAGAAGACATGCGAGTAAAACAAAGAGCACATGACAAATTATTGAGGGCTTTATTATCATTTGTCTCTGTGGTTTGAGTCCTTGCCTTCGCCTTTCTTGGTCCTCAGTTCAAAGTAAACAGGGCAGCAGCGCACAGCCAGTGTAGCCTTCGATGGACACGGCAAATGTGCAATAGGCCTGAAATGCACAGGGAGGACAGGGAGTTTTATATAAATCCTTATAGTTAACATAGTGGAAACAGACCCTGAACAAAAACAGGAATTTCACAACATTTACCTTTTTAGGCTCTTCCTGGAAAAGATGTAGGTCGTGTTCATAATGTTTTCTCCAATCTCCACGCAACCAGCTGAGACAAAAGAGGGAAAACATGAGGAATGATCCCAGTTTATAGGTTAAAAATATACCTATAAATGAAAAAAACAAATCGGTGGAGGTTAAAGTTAACTTTTAGGGATGTTACCTGGAGCAAGCAGGAAAGATCCATCAGGAGAGAAGGTAAGACGGCGAAAAAACGACCTCATGCTGTCGTCGTGAAACATTCTGTATTGTTTGACCTGAAATGACACAGACAGTAATGAAGAATTTCAGCTTTTTTTAACGGCAGGAATTTCAGAATCAGATGATCTCAATAAAGGGAAGGCAAAGATAAATATAGGTCATACTGATAACCGTTTAAGTCAGCCACAAACAACACGAGTACAGGATGCAGAAAGCAAAAAGAAAGTTGATTTCATGTAATATTAGAAAAAAAATGCAGGTTTTGATATTCGTGTGAGAATAAGATTGGTCGAGGATCTTGGATCTCACATGATGTAAGATTTTCTGATTTACACACTGTGAGACAAAGGGCAGAGAACAAACTCTGGAGTACAGTTTCATCAAAGCAAAATGTTGACTGACCTCTCCCTCTGCAAGCGGTCCAGAGCTCATTTTACTCACACAGAAGGCCTTCTTTTTGGTGTGAGTACTGTACACACGCATCACCCTTAAAGAGACATTAACAAAAGCAAGGTAAGCATTAGGCTGTTGACACCAAACTTCACCAACTTCACTTCACCAAACAAGTGGTGACTGTTCAGGCAGAAATTCAAGAGGGGTCTAAAACAAGAGGTCAGAAACCCTGTTTTCATACCTGTCACAGCTAAGAGTGGCTATATATTGGCCCAGAGGATCCCAGGTCACCCCCTGCACATAGCTCTTATGGTCATTCAAGATACAAAGCTTCTGTCCTGTGTACACACACAAAAGTCAAACTTTGAGAATAAAACCCCAAAACAAGTTGTCACAAAAGCAGGAGAAGAAACACAAAAACTGATTAAGCAAACCTTTGTTGATGTCCCACATGACAGCAGTATTGTCCACAGACCCAGACACCATGAAGTTTCCATCCCGTGTCCAGCAGATGTCATATACGTCTTCTATGTGTCCCCTGAAGACAAATCAAATAAAATCTCTTTCATCATTCACTGTTTGGAAGAATTTGTACCAAACAGACAGTGAACAGACAAAACAAGATCTTCAAACACACTCTTAAAAAAAAAAAACGTTCCATTCCAAAAAGATAGACAAACTGTAATTTAAAGATTTTTAAAAAATATATTGTTTGTGATTTTAAGGACTTTTCAGCACAAATTACAGCAGAATTAAAGGTTTAATCTCAAGAGAACAATCAGTAATATGCCCTTGCATTGGCTGGCCAAAACATTTGCCCCAGCTCACTGAATTCAGTTCAAATTGACACTATAGATTCAAAGAAAGATTCAGTTTTTTTCAGACTTACATACCTGAGTGTTTTTACCACAGACCAGCTCTCCTTGTTGAGCTGTGCATCATCTTCATCCTCCTGAAAAATTGGTGCCTGCTCAGGCTCCTTAGAGTCGTTGAGCTTCCACAGCAGAATTGCTGCATCTACGTCCAGGAATAGAAAACAGCAATTACCCTCGAGTACTACTTAACATATTTCCTCTAACATCTGTACATTGTGTGACATACCATCCCCTCCTGAAGCAAGCAGATCTCCATTCGGGCTGAAACGCACCACGTTCACTGCCTTGGTGTGTCTGGCCAGATTGGACAGAAACTCCACCACAGCTTTCCCATCTGGGCCTGTGTCTACCCGCCACAGCTGTATTAACAACAGACACAAGGTTGTTTATTATACAACCTGAGACTTTTACCATGCATATTTATCTGTTTTAGTGTAGAACTGTGAGACAAAAGATCTGACAATGAACTACTGTAGGTGAGACACCTTTGACAGCCTCAGGGACTTAATAAAAGGGACAATCCGGCGTAAAATTAATTTAGGGTCAAACACACTGTAACACTGAGTTAGACACCCCCTCGAGAGATGAATGTTGCCGACCGCTTTCTTCTCCTGTTATGCTAACTTTAGTAACAACGGCAGGATAGCAATACACAGCGGTCTGAGGAGCCATAAACAAACTTCAACCAAAACGCCACTCTATATCCACAAATAATGCTCAGAACAGCACCTAACTTCATCAACAGTACATATAGGGTCCCAGCCACAGCACTAGACACCAAACATCTTTTTAACTTTGTCTAATTTCTTTAGCAAAAAGACTAAACACAACTCACCTACCCTCTTCCAGCAGCCGCTTATTTGTAGCGAGTCCTCGGGCCAGTCCATTATGGACTGCAGCGGGGTGATGCAGCTCAAGGAAGAACATTTACGATCATTTCTTTATCATTTCCTTGAAGTTGTAATCATCATATTGATCATTTTGCACTGCAGACGTGGTAGTTCTGCTGCCTTAGCGTCTCGGTCTGATTGCATTTCCATGATCATAATTGAAGAAATGATCATAAATGTTCCTCCTTGAGCTGCGTCACCCCACTGCAGTTCGTAATGGACTGGCCTGAGGTCTCACTACAAACAAGCGGCTGCTGTAAGAGAGTAGGTGAGTTGCGTTTGTGTTGTGTAGTCTCTTTGCTAAATAAATCAGGCAAAGCTAAAAGATGTTTGGTGGCTAGTACTATGGCTGGGACCCAACATGTACTGTTGATGAAGTTAGGTGCTGTTCTGAGCATTATTTGTGGCTATAGAGTGGCTTTATGGTTGAGGTTTGTTTATGGCTCCTCAGACCACTGTGTACTGCTATTGTGCGGTCGTTCCTTAAGTTAGTATAACTAGAGAAGCAAGCAGTCAGCAACATTCATCTCAAGGGGGTGTCTAACTTGGTGTTACAGTGTGTTTGACGCTAACTTAATTTTACGCCGGAATATCCCTTTAATGTTTGCCTGTTAAAAATGCATGGTTGTTATATTCAGTTCTTCCTCTGTTGAAAATCACTTGCTTTTGCAGCACCTTTGCCTTAACCGCAATAACCTCACAAATTACTGTTGTGTTCTTCATGTAGTACATGTATGTGTACGTATAGACTACAGTGTGGGTCCAGTGTTTGTTACAGTGACTGTACATAGATATGTCCTTGCTGTCAGTGTTCACTCACCCTGACTGTGGTGTCCACTCCTGCTGTGGCCAGCCGGTGAATGCGTCCCTCGGGGCTGTGCTGAAAGTCCAGACTGTAGACCGGCTCTTTGTTGTGCCATGCAATCTCACATGTTACAACCTTCATTTTCAAAGATCTGAAGCAGGACGGAAATAAAAACACAAATTCACTGAGTTTTAAAGGCGATTTCAAGCTGACGTTTGAAAGTGAGCAACAATGACAGACTTTCATCAGCTAACACAGCTAGCAGTGATCTTAGCAGGTTTGATGCAGTTTAGTTAACATATAAAAGGGACCGAGCCATTTAACCGTGTACAAACTACAAACCTGCGAGCAGCCTACCAGAACATGTCTACAAATGTGCCTATTCTAACCCATTATATTTAAAAGAGAGAGGTCATTTCGTTGTAAAATATCTTTTTACCTTTTCGGTTGTGCTGCTGAGGCGAAGAGTATTTTCCCGCGTACGATTCGTCCAAAACTTCCGTAGACAGCACGTCGAGCAGCCGCAGCGTGATTAGTCGAAAACCCGGAAGAGGAGGTGACGTAAGAATGCTTGCCGCTGTCTTGCTACTGCAGATGTTACGTTCACTGTATTCTGTTTATCCATGTTTGTAATGTTTACCCATACGCTGTAGAATAGACTGACTAAATAAACTGTATATTGGAATATTAAGAGGCAGACTAATTCAAATACAAATTGTTTTTCTATTTTCAGTACTTTAAATGGTGACTTTGGACAAACGCCTTATTTATGAGTCCTTGAACAACATAGTTCAGCAGATTTAATTTTTACAGTCTGTTGGGAGACCTTTTACAGATGAAAATTACATAATTATTATTTTAAAATTTTATTAGATGTCTTTTATATCAGAATCAGAAATACTCTAATAATCCCCAGGGGGAAATTGCTTTGTCACAGTACTCCAGTGCGAATACAGAATAAAGAGGAAATAAATAATGGATAAAATAAGTAAAAATAAAGAGATAACATAAGTAAAAGTAAAGAGATATTATACAAGTATGTACATTATATAAAACATAAGTAGTATCATTGTATGTATGCAAAACAGTGAGCAGAGCCCAGATAAAGACTACTGACTGAGGAAGTCAGAGTCTCCGAGGGACAAGTTAAAACGTTTAATGACCACCAGCAGGAAAGATTTCCTGCGGCGCTCCGTGGTTCATCGTGGAGCCTTCTGTTGAAGGTGCGCCTTTGCAGGACCATTTCACTATGGAGAGGGTGGGAGACATTGTCCAGTATGGAGTGGAGCTTGGACAGCATCCTCCTCTCCTCAGACAGCCAGCAGGGAGTCCAGCTCCAGCTCCTCAGATATGTTCAGTGAGGATAATCATACTGAGGTTGGAATTATGTTTACTTTGCCTGGCCACACTACAAAAGTCAGCCCCCCAGTTTTGCAGCCTGGCTTCACACTGGTGGTAGGAAGTGTTGCGTCTGTCTCAGGGTCTTGTCAGTCCATGTGGACAGGGCACCCTTCTGGTGCATGACAAGTCAAAAAAGGACTTAAACTACTGCCTGATGCTGTTAAAATATTAATATAAAACTATATCACAGTTGTCATAAAAATATCACAGGACCACATTTCGCTCATCTGCCATAGATCCCCATATTTTAAAATTCCCTTTCAATTAATTACACATGGAAAAAAATCCTCAAAAATTATTATTAAAGAAACAAGAAAATAAACTTATCTAGGAACCAAGAGAGGAAGTACTGTTTGTACGCAGGAGGACTACAGCATGCAAAACCAGCGCTCTTCCCTGGCTGTCTATTTATTACTGCCCAACCAGACCAACCTGTTTATGACCTCAAAGGGTAAGCTCCTGAAATTCCTTTATCTAATTTTGTTTTATATCATTCTGACTGTAAGAAAGCTGTATTTTATGTTTTTCCTGTAAAAGGTGCATAAGAATTCAGTCAACAGTCACTGGGGTAGAGTTAGAAAAATATATTTGGCAGGATTTATTTAAAACATGCATGAATGCAACCCAAAAGGAAACCGTCAGTTACTGTTAGGAAGAGTTAGAAAAGGACAGCGTGTCAACCTCAATGCACAATCATCAGATATATATTACCACGAGTTTTCTTTATAGTTGTAGATGAAACCTCCAAAAACTCCGACTAGACCAGACAAACTTTTAAACATTTGTGTATGCAGTGGTTATTAACACGATAGAGTCCAAAATCCTGCAGACCAAAGTAAATCATCTGCATAATTTACTGCATGATTTCGGTAAATGTTGCTGTAAAGTTTCTACATTGTCTTTACTTGTTATGATAAAAAAAACTGTACACCCATGAATAAGCCCCAGCCTCCCATTATTGAAGTAATACTGCACTCTTTATCATGTTACACTATTTTCAATCAAATATTTACATCAATAGCCTTAAGGCTTAGGTTTTGTCTGCCTATGTATTTATTGATCTTTCACTCAGTTCCCCATGTGCAATGGGCCCTGACTCATCACACACTACTTGTTCTAAGATTTCATCTATCACATTACACTCATAATTCACTTGTTCCAAGTCCAGAGCAGGTACGTAGGAGAGGAGAAGGCGCCCAATGTTGTGTCGGAGCTCAATCAAACTGTGGGAGAGGAGATAAAAACATTAGATTTAAATTGTTGGTCTGTTAGATTACTGAGATCTCTGTCAATGGAAGACAGTGTTGTTCTATTTAACGTGAAAAGAAAAATGGTTTTCTAATAATCCAACCTTTTGTATGCATCTGGTGTTGAATTTGTCTCCTCTCCATCTGTTTGCGCAGAAGAATCAGTTGCTGGGTGAGGAGGTATGTCTCTCAGTTGTGCGTTTTCCTTCTCCTGCTGCAGACTAATTCTGAGCTCCTCGCACTGGGAGGCCAGGTTTGCTCTTTCCCCCTCAAGGCTGTCCAACTGATGGTGTCGAAAACAGTGAACCCCAGGGAGGTAGAAAATCAGTGAAAGAGGAGGGGCAGGTGGGTCAGTAAATGTAACAAAGATCAGCACCAGCTGGCATTGGAGAATGTATAAGAGTGCACAAAAATAGAAGTTGCTTAGAAAGTTACAAACCACTTTTCACTAAAGAACTAGTTTGCTTTTCTGAAGTGGATGAATATAATAGATGGGTGAGAACATGAGTGTCAAAAATATAAATTCAAAAGATCAGCACTCACAAGTAAATGGATCTGCTGCAAAAATAGTCACAAACTACACACCGTGGGCTCTTGTAACATTATTTTGAAAACTACTCCACTGTATAAAAACATGAATGATACAGTTTCAACAATAGTTTTGAATTGCTGAGAACTAGACTTCAGTCTTTTCTGAGGTTTGTAGTCTGTAGGAAATATACAGAATAAAGACAGCTAAGATACTGACCTGTGAGCGGAGTTCATCCCTCTCCTTGTTTCTGTGATCCAGCTCCCTGAGCAGACTGTCGACCTGCAGCGCTATTTCATCCAAATCCCTTTCTTCACTGTGGGAAGTACTGGGCTTGGTCTCAGGAGCTTCAAGTAAACTATTTTTTTCCCTAATCAATTCATCCACTTTCTGTTTGGCCTTCTCAAACAGATTTTTGTAGCTGTCTCCCTCCTCATTTTCCACCGTCTGCACAGCTTGGTGGGAACTCTCCTTCTTTACAGAGGTCTGGGTCAGTTCCTGCAGTCTGCCCTGCATGTCTTTCAGCTGACAGGTAAGTTTTTGGACCTGCTCTTTAAAGTGGTCTCTCTCCTGAGCTGTAGATTGCATGAGCTCTACAAGCTGGTCTTGCTGTTTCTGCGCCTCTTCTGCGCAGATGTCTGCACGGGAAAGAGCAGCATCGTTCGCATTATTTTGACGATTTGTCTCTTTATTACAGACATCGACTTGCATATCTTCACTCTGTTCCTCGTCCTTTATATCTAACATGCTCGGGCTTGCTACATCACCCTCTTCAAATTGATTTGAAGCCTCAGCTTCCGTCTTCACTTTAGCTACATCTGTCTGAGTTGTGACACTTGAGAGACCAGGAGGGGCGTTAGGCCCAACAGCTACACTGCTTGTTCGAACATCATTGGTCTTTGTGGCATCATCGAGAGCAGCGTCATCACTGCACTCCAACAGCATGCCGACATTCACATCCCTTTGTTTTTGCTCTTCTTTAACTTTGGCCAAATCAAACCCCTGCTTATTAGGCTTGGGGGTACTGACATTCTCCACTATAAGGATATCATCGTCAGTTTCATCACTATCATCATTGGAAAGTAGGGGCACAGATGGGGAATTTTGTGGAGATACATCAGCCGTTGTGGATGTATCTGGGGTTCTGTGGCGAAAACCGTTCGTTTTTGGTCTTTTTGGTGTTGTTTGTGGAGTAGAAGGCTGTGACCTCTTGCTGCTGCAGTGCACAGAAAGGGCAGAAAATTAGCTTCAAAAGGAAGGACAATTGATAAATGCATAACAAAAATCTTGTCATACCGTAAAAGGGGAGTCGACAGTGAGCATACATTTAAAATAACTGGAAGGCCACTGTTACCGGGGGAGCTGCAAGCTGAAGAGAAAGGAAACCCCTTATTTTAGTCTGAAAGTTTCCACCAGTCTCTTCTTCTCACACTCACAAATTGGGTAGTCTTCTTACCAGCTTGTGAGACAGTCGAGGACCTTACAAGAGGGGATGTATCTGTTGCAGCAGCTCCATGAGGTGACCCAGCGTTTAGTCTTCTCCTCAAATTTGGGGGCTTGGATGGGGAATGAGCTATCTAAAAAAAACAAAGAGAAATTTTTTACGTAAAGATTAATATTACAAAATCATATCCACACTCCGTCATTAACATGAAAACTTTTGGAAACCTGACCATTATCTCCAGCTATAGTTTAACCCCCCCTTCAGTATACATACGGTTTCCTGTTGCTGCAGCTTCCTTTGCAAGTTTTCTGTCTGCTGTTTGAGGGCCTGGTTTTGCTGGGCAAGTTCAAGCAAACGCTGCTGTTCTTGACGCTTTTGTTCCTCCACCTCCTGGATTAAAAAAATGGTTACAAAAGACAGTATTATCACGTCTATATGGTAATAAACTGTAAAATAACTTCATCAATACTACCAGGACAAAATCTTTCATTTGAAGTGGGTGTTAGTGGTGGTATTAGATAAAAACTGTGATTACAGATAAAAAATGTCAGATTATCTACTCAAAAACATTGTGTCCATACCTTTCTTCTTTTCCTTTCTTGGTTACTTTTGAGGACCTTCTCGCTGTGAAAAAATAAAAACATAACAGGCAAGCTAAGTCATTTAAATCAATACAATCAATTATTTTACAAAAGAGGTTTCAACAGAAAAATCTTACATAAATTAAATGTTTTCAAGGTTTGGTCATTAAATTGTTTGTAATTGGTCAGCTGTGGCTCAGTGATAGAGATGTTCCCCTCTAAACTGGATGGTCTGAGGTTCAATCCCAGATCCTGCTGTTCACATACCAAAGTGTCTACTGGCAAGACACTTTACCTCAAACGGCCCTGCTGGCTACATCCAGCAGCTTATGAATACATTAGCTGAAACTGATGGGTGCTTCATACAGCAGCTTTGCAATCAGTGTATGAGTGAGTGTGGAGTAATTGGGAAAGAAAGCCTATTGGGTTAGCATGCCCCGAAGAAAAGGAAATTCATCAGTCCAACATGACTCAAAAACTGAACCCTGTCTCTCTTAGTTGCCTAACAGAGCCTTTGCACTAATTTCTATTTTAAAAATTTCGAACAAAGGAAGCACTTCACACATCTATAAAACAAGGCAGGTGCATTGGAGAAAAAAGACCAAAATATAGCAAAGGGATTCCCGCACATTGTCCAACTTGCAATCAATCATTTATTTGCAACGTTCTGGTACTAGACCTTCGTCAGGCAAACCGTTTTTTGTTCAAGAGAAGCCATCTTAAATAGGGAGTGGTCGTTTCTCCATGACCAGTCCCATTCTCACGCGTAAACACAGAGGGACAACGCTTAAAAAACCTAACATTATTAACAATAATACTGTATTTATACAGCATATCAGCATTTAACCAGCTTTCTCCTGCATGTTGTAGAATCACTGCTCCCCCCTACTCAAACATACATTTGTTACAACATTTAAAAAACAATTTGAAAATCTCATTGCATTAAAAAGTTTTTTGCGTTGCATTTTGGGGTAAAATCTGGAGTTTTAAAGGTTTTTTAAATAACTCACTGTTGTTTGTAAGTCTTGCGGTAAGTAGGTTGATCATCATCAGAGTCCTCGGGTTCCTCCTCCACTTGGCAGCTCCTGGAAACACAGAGTCAATAAAGGGTGTAGCATTCAAATACATCTTTTTATTTTAAGAACTTTATATCTATAATGCTCCAGTGTTTTGGGGATCAGTGTTGGTGCTTTATAAATACAGAGCAGAACTATAACTTGACTGGCTGGTTCAGGTTTATGTTAGTGCCTCAAATACCTGAACTGAGGATCAGGGTTCAATTGGCAGAACCATTGATCTGGCAGCTTGTCAGGGTTGATCCCATCAGGAAGTTTACGCCAGCGGGAACAGTCATCGCACTGCACCCAATTTTGATCTGGTCGCTTACTGAAGACATAAAATAAGACGAGTCAGAGAGAATGAACAACGTCTTTGTGGTAAGACGAAAGTACATGAAAAAATCAGTCACTGAAAATGCACTGACCTTCTATCTTCGATTGGTACACTGTTGCTTGGATCCTCTGTTTGTCTTTTGTGGCGGATTTCCCGCCAGTACTCCTCCAGTTTGATCCCCAAAGTGCTCATGGTTTTCCTGCAAGACATTAAGATTTTCAAACTTCTCTACTGATGGTTACCTTTTAAGCCAAACTCAAATTAAGATACAAAATCTTCTGGAGCCTCTGAGTTCATGAAAACCAAACACTGAAACTAATTAAAGAATTAAAAATACAATGTGACAGTTGGCTTCTTGGCAAGCTAACTAGTTCAAAAAGAAAAGTCATAGCTTATCGCATTGATGTTTGGCATGACATGTTATCAAAGTAGCTGTTTAGATCACTAAATTTACTGCTAAGAAGCTACAAAGGCCAGAAATGTTGAGACCAGTACATTTGAGCTGCTACTGTAAACTGTCAGCGTAGGTCATTAACACCCTGAATATCAGAATATCATTTAGATCTCAATCAGTCATGTGATCAAACCTGACCAAATCATTGGTGCTGTCACCTGTATTTATCCGTTTCATTGAAGCTCTGTTTGTTGTGAGTAGGTTCCAGGAAGAGACCACACTCTATGATCCCAATAACACCAACGCCAATTTTGTTTGCCTGTAGAAAAAAAACAATAAATAGAAAGTAGTAACCTGTTCTGAACAAAACAGTAGAACTCCAAACATACATCACATATACAGGTCTAAATTAGAGACAAAACAGAAACAAGACCAATCATACCAGTACCAGACAGTAGACATACCCATCACCTATGTGCTCCAGACACTCTCAGGTTAAAGACAAATAAATGAATAAAAATGACAATAACAATGATAATGATGATAATAAAGAGGAGAGAAAAAGAAATAAAAGGCTGTCAGACCTTTGAATATCTCTTTGTGTTTCCCTGCAAAGTAAATCTAAGATGCTCTAGTTAAAAACGTGTCATCACTTCCTCTACCCAATGTTTTTGACATGGCGGTGTTGCCTTTATACACTTAAATAGGATCAGCCTCCTGGCTAGCAATGCAGAGAAAGCTTTTGCTCTCCTTTGAGCATTTGTTAATTGTGTTTACTTTGTTCAGAGGACAGGGCTCTATATCCTTGTTATAAATGGATGAAAAATTTTTAAAAATTTTGGTCCATCTCAGAACATGTGACATATTTTGGCTGGCACCTGTTAACATCCAGGACGACTTGGATCAGCCCCCTGCCCCCTGATAGATTTTCACCAGTTTGTCCCTTGATAAATGAAGTTTGTGTAACACCTTAAACTGTATCAATCTGTGTCTAACACACACAGAAGAAGAGTGTATTAGTTCTACTGCCCATCTCCAGTCTACATCTGATCATACCTGTCAAGTTTTGATTTGGAAAATGAGGAAAATTTTCCAAACATCCAAAACAACAGCTTACGTATATTAGCAGCCCAGTAGTAGTGCATATAATTTGGTGGGCCAGGCCTCCCTCTTCGCTCTGTCTCTCGAGGAACTCTCTTCTTAGAGGAACCGTGGCATTACGTATATTCATGTTAACAGAATTTATCTTCTCTTCTAATGATAGGGATATCATTTTACCTTATCCAATGTTACAGTAAAGTTATGATTAAAGAAATCTTTATTTTTTCTCGTTACATTGACACGTAAATGAGTGAATTTATCCTTATGTGTTATGAAAGTAGGAACCATTAAAAAGATCTAGATCAACACACCTTGTGCTGGCAGCCCACTCGCTCATAGGCTTTGATGAGGCGATTCTTGTGGTACATCATGACACCATACTGGTCCTTACTTTTGGTGTTATAGCCAAAAGTGATCGGAATGGGTTTATGGTTCTACAACAGCATTAAGGAAAATATCAAAAACAAAGACATAAAAAATTTGGTTGAATAAAAAGTTTTACAAATGAAGCACACTTGATCAAACAAAAAAAAAAAAAAGTTCAGATAAAAGGATAAAAGGATACAAGGAACAACGGCTTGTAGCTGTCCTTTACGACGAAGGCCAGACTCTTTGCGATGAGCTCAGATTTCACCTTCTGACCACGAATGATTATCTGCATCCGAGGCTTCAGGTAGAGAATCTTGCAGTATGCCTACAATCATTAAAACCACAAGAACACATTTCTTTTCAAAGAAATACAGTGAGTAAATCCTGAAACTAATCCCTACTGTTACGGTGAATGAGTGCTGGAGCTTCAATTGTGTGTTTACTCCTGAGGTGGTGTTTTTAACAGCAAAGGAGGGGAAAGGTCTGAATGGTAGAAGGCAACCAGAGCAATAGACTCTCCTCCTTTTAATGAGTCCTGCCTGAGGAGAGCTTGAGGATGTGTGGTGCTCCTCTCAGAGCTCAAAGGGCGTGGCAGACAGAAATAATTTCAACACTAACCCTCCGGGATGCTCTTTAGATCAACTACAGATAAGAGGAATTTTGGGGCCTTTTTAGTTGTTGATAAGCCAACTGACGCCAAGAGAAGACATGCAGCAAAAGGTCATGGCTAAGAGTGAAAGCAGCAACCCCTGTGGCGCGGACCATAGCTTCTACACAGGACGCACGCTTAATCTGCCAGGACAATAGCGCCCTAAAACCACCTTCAGATTAATCCCTATTTACAGAGCAATACACCTGAAGTCCAATGTTACTATTTACTGTGAAACTAAGACTGTATGAGTGGGCACTACAGGTCAGATTTAATTAATCCAATCCAATCGACTTTATTTATAGAGCACGTTTAGAAAATACAATCAAGTTCAGCAAATTGCTGCACAGTGCAGTAAAATAAGTTAAAACACTCAGAATATAAAACGCTGTCAGAGAATAAAATAGAATAAAATAAAAGAATCATAATAAAAAGCGCATAAAAACACTTCAAAAATAATAAAATAATAAATAAATAAAATAAAATAAAAACACTGTAAGAGCAAATAAAAATGCAATAAAAGAACAGACAGAGACAGAGACCACAGAATTATCACGCTGGGTTAAAAGCCAAGGAGTGAAAATATGTTTTCAGGTGGGATTCAAAAGCCAGTAATGTTGGGGACAGTCTAACATGAGGGGCGAGCTCAAGAATGAACCAAGAAATAACAGTATTTACTTGGCAAATACTGTCAGGTGTTGTGGGGGAATCCATAGGAATATATATGTGATTATCATTTATTAGGGATTTATAAACATGTTGGGTTAGGCCTGGTTGTGCAGCCTGAGGTTGCACAACCAGGCTGCTTTGCAGTTAGGTTGTCAAAACACTTCAAGATAGTTTCCATGAAGTCCAAGAGTAATCCAAACAAGCGGTCAATTTGAGAACACTGGGACCTGGGCTTGGACGACCCCTGGTGATTGAACAGATGATGGGAAAAGCGTGCACTCACAGACATACACACATTACAGTTACAGAGTTGTAAAACTATGCAGTGCACATATGAAGGGTGCACTTTTGTAGTACACAAGTAACACACAATTATTGTATTAAGACACACACTCAGCAGTGTAAAAGTGAGTGAGAGGAAAGCTCAGGGCTCCTTTGGTCTGGTCAAGACTCTGTTTGTCCTCTGAGCTGATTGTACAATAAAGATGCCCGGGCTGCTCTTCAGATCTCATCCTGTCTCCTGAGCATTGTTTTACTGAATATAGATTGATTTTCCACAACAGCGTACATTCTGCCAAATAGGCTGTAAACATTCACTGGGCAGAAAAGAAAGTCAGAGGTGATACTGTTGTATGATATAATAGCTGATACCTTCTGAGATTTCCTACATTATTTATAAATGGCATCACTTTAAATTTCACTAAAAAAAGGGGTTGAAGTTAGACAATTATACAAAGGTACAAAGGAGAAAAAACACTGTTCCTCACCCGGAGAGAGTAACAACTCGCAGGGACGTGGGATGCAGCCCTGCCTGGCAGTGGATCCTTTTCATTCATAGACTCGTAGACTTCAGTTGGGATTCGGATATCGTAACGGTCCACCTCAAAATCAAACTCTGATTTATCTTCAGAGGTCCTGTTTGAGAAAGTAAAAGTGTAAGTGAATGGATCAACAAGGCTAACACTGGACACTCTAAATGAAAATTAAGCAGAAAAAAACTCAAAAAAGTGTTTAAGTATAAAGTATAAAATCAATCAACAGGACTTAGTGATGGATTTGTTCATGGTCTTGTGTTGGTGCAGACTCTGCAGTGTTACTGTTAGTATGAATGAATGTAACTTTAAGGTGACACATTGACACCTTTTGAAGCGACAAGCATGTAACCAAAAACAGAATTTCTGTTTTTTAAACAACCAGCTGTCTTTTTCAAATCTGTTTGACATCCTCATGAGGGCTTTCAGTCACAACACATAGCTGTTTATTACTCTTTTGTGAACCTCTCAGTTTTATATTTGTTGAGGTCAAATAGTTTTATGATTCTGATTATTCTGGTTTCAAGAATGAAGTGAGTCTGAAAATCTGTGTGGCACGATACTTAACCGTTTGCAATCACAGGCTGCTGATGTGTTTATTTGATCAGTCTATAATTATTCCTTGACAGCAAAGAAGAAGTCAACTCTGTATGTGTGTGTGTGTGTGTAGGGGCTACACACGAACCTTCGGAGATTCCAGATAACTACCCGTGTGCCAGTTTTGCTTGTGGACCAGGGGGAACTGATGGCCTCTATCTCGACAAGCAGCTCTGCCTCTGTCTTGTACGGGGAATGAGTCAGGATGTCCCTCAGACTGGCTTGCTGCTCGTCCCTGACACTGAGTGAAGATGAAGTTAAGGATGACTTCAAATTTTTAAAACATCCCACATTTGGGTTTCAGACTGAGAGAAAAGGTGCTTCATCAACCATACACTTTAGTACTGAAGGATATTATGGCCTTCTTCACTCTGTTCAAAGCAGACAATAGGGACGACTATCTGCTCAGCTTTGATGGTTTGCAGGTAGGTCTGAGAGAGCATCCCAACGCAGGAAGAACTCTTTGACTTGGAAAAGACGATGGCATCTTTCCCAAGACGCATAGCTCCAGACTTGAACCCATTGCCGTACATACCGATTGGCTTTATACCCTTAATGGTAGTCTTGTCGCTGTAGCCAAAGCTTGGAGAGGAAACACAAACAATCATGGGAATCACACAACTGCTCACGCACATTCATTATCACTTTAAGTAAAATCACTTCTTAATTAAAGAGCATTTACAGCTTTTGTTTTGCAGGGTTTAGGTAGCTGTTACAATAATGTATGGCAGCAATGACATTGCACTATTAGCATCAAATGGCAGTGACTTTAAACAGACAAAAACTGTAGATGACACAGAATTTTAGATACTTGTGTCCTTCAGAGTGAGTGTCCAAACCTGAGCATTTTATGCATAGTCTCATTGTTCAGTCCATTTCCACTATCCATAAAGATGAGGCACTCTTTTCCTTCGACCACAGTTTTGTCAATCCAAAAGTGTTTGGCGTTGACGTCTGGATCAACGGCATTGTCTGTCAAAAGAACCAGTTTGTATAGTTGGCAGAGAAATCTCACCCTCAACTGTTTATAGCTCTGAAATATCGCTTACACTGAACTAAGAAGCTTGCAACTTGGGATGAATTTAGCAAGATGTACAAGTTTCATCCTCTAAGAAAGCTCTTTATGTAAGAAAGTAGAAAAGCAAATGACCTCAGATAATAACCTGACTGGAGAAACACTCAGTGAGGGCTGACAGAGAGTGTCGCAGTACTGGGACTTTTAACTATATGCATCACTTTGAATCTAGGATTCAGAATAAGGGCATCTGATCTAAATGGTAAGACTATAACTAGTTTAAAGTCTACATCTAGACTGGTTTAACTTGTACCTCTGAAGCACACGTGGCACAGAAAAAGTTGTCAGAAGACTTATGTCAGTGGTTTAACTTATTGAACAAAAAAGATGATCTAGCAAGAGTGCAAGAAAATGTCTCTGTGTCTTAGCAACACTCTAGTTAGTAACTATGGAAGTGATTGTGACTCATATCTCAAATTCAAAAGCATTAGCAGGAATGCTTTTTCATTTCAAAGTCATGGCTGCACTATTTGATTAATAAAAATAAAAAGCATTATTCCAAAATGCAATTTCATTTTCTTCTTCAAGACTGCTCATTCAGTGACTAAATTAAAAAGAAAAAGCAAAACACATTTAACATTAAATTTTCAAAACATTCTCCAAGAAAAAAGTAACAAAATTCAATTTGAGATGTCAAATTCAAAAATTCAAAAGCAATATTCCGAATGCATTTTCATTTTGCTCATTTTGTGACTGAATTAAAAAGAAAAAACAAACTCAGAAATGCTTTTTCGTTTTCGTGCTCGCCCCGCAAAAAGTGTCTCATAATTAAAAAAATAATACATGGCACAGAGGCAGAGTCACTGCAGTCTCTGTCCATGTTAACCTGTGACTGTATGCAGATGTCTGCGGTGTGTCAGGTGTGCTGGTCCTTTTACTCACTCACTTACAGCATGGAGACGTGGACTCTCCACATTTTATCTTCAGTGGACTAAAAATATTCTAATTTCAAAGCCATCTGCAAGCTTCTGTTGCACAATGTTTTCAAGTATCCCATCTCAATAAATGAGAATATATAATAATAATAAAAACAAAATCAGCCTGTGGCCCGTAATTCAACTTCTGTTTATTTGATCTATGTTAACTGACGGAATAATGGAAAACGAGCGAATTTTCATTTATTTGTTTTCATTTCAAAAAGGGAAAAATGAACAATTTTTCAATGTTTTGTTTTTTGATTCTTGATTGAATATCAATTGAACGAATGATACACTGCCCCCTATCGGCCAGAAGGGGCCAGAACGAGTGGGGTCCGTGACGTCACTTTCCGGCGCCACTTGAGATTGCTAACTCAGATTGAATTATGAGACACTTTTTGCGGGGCACGAGCACGAAAACAAAAAAGCATTTCTAAGTTTGTTTTTTCTTTTTAATTTAGTCACAGAATGAGCAGTCTTAAAGAAGAAAATGAAAATGCATTTCTGCTAATGCTTTTGAATTTTCGAATTTGACATTTCAAATTAAATTTTGTTACCTTTTTGTTGGTGAATGTTTTGAAAATTAAATGTTAAATGTGTTTTGCTTTTGCTTTTTAATTTGGTCACAAAATGAGCAGTCTTAAAGAAGAAAATGAAATCGCACTTTGGAATATTGCTTTTTATTTTTATTTTTGAGTCAAATAGTGCAGCCATGACTTTGAAATGAAAAAGCATTTCTGCTAATGCTTTTGAATTTGAGATATGAGTCACAATCACTTCCAGAAGTAATGGGCTCTGCTGGCCAGGATGATTAATTCAACAAAAATGAATACCTGCCGCATATTTTTTTACTAACACATGCTGCCAGTAAAATAATTGTTGTCAAAGCTGTATCATAGTCTAAGTTGAGCTGTTGTACTGAATTCCAGCACGGCTGTACCACATCCGGCTTAGATGCTCATCCAAAACCATGGATCTCTTTCTCTAGAAAAGAAACTTAAGTAAGAAATGAAACTGAAAGTAAACGTGGCAGTTAATGACACACCTATTAACTCAGCTATGGCGCTGAAGGGCCAGGTGTGGCTGGTTGAATTGGTATGAAGAAACTTCGGGCAAAGCTGCAAGGAGAGCAAATTAAAAAGTACACATCAGTTATATTGGCTCTTGTTATCATGTATTAATGCATGTCAGGACAAGCACCACTTCATCTGGTAGAAGTCAGCACCAGTGGGTATAGAACGATTGTGGAGAAATCTGCATACTTAAGCCTGTTTTAGAGTATAGACATTTTACATTTGGTTTGCCTGAGTCAGCACGGCAAAATGACCCTACATTATTCATTTGACATTTGATAGAAAAGCGGGTAGAAAGAGACTGTCAAGAAGCAAATTGTATAGGTCCAATTAAGCTGTCATGACTACTTCATGCAGCGAGTTGAGCTGGGCAAATCAGTTTCAGGAGACAGGCAAATCTGAACTGAACTTGGTGCAGTTACATGTGACATTAAAGAACCTTCAACTTTTGTTCTTGTATGTTTTATTCACTGTGTCATGAACGGAAATGGCCACAGTGAGGTGGCTTGAGTGAGCTCAAATCAAAAGTATATTCAGGTTTACAGGAAGCAAAGGGCTAAGAACAAAGGTCTCTGCAGATGCTCAGAAAGCATCATGGGCAATACAAAACTAGCACCAAAGACGATTGTTTATTTCTGAGGAGGGGGTTTGGAAGATACATCCCGCCCAAGGGTCAGATGAAAAGGGACATAAGGCAGGATAGGAATAAGTACTCAAAGTCGGCTCCTACGTATAGTTTACTGCAAACTTGATTTATCACTTAATTAATAAGAAAAACAAATGAATTACAGTCGAAGTAAAATGTTGCTCTGCTTTGAAAATACAATGCTATCCCACTGACTCAACCCTGAAGTATTACACTGAAATAAAATGGCAATAAGGCCAAAGACATATATTTAATACATTTAAAGTGAGGTTTTACTATGTTTACAAGTTGTGTAAAACCATCCATTCATATGAAAATAATAATAATAATAATAATAATATTTTTTCATGAAAAAAATAAAACCTTTACAAAATCAGTGAGTTTAACCTTTATTGAGTAAGGGTAAGACATAGATATAATAAATAATGACAGTAAAAACTTGTCAGTTTGCATTAACACTTACTGCAAATGTTTTTTTATTTTTTATTTTTTTTTTTGTATCTGTTTATCTTGGGGAAATAAACATGACTTTAGAGCAATACAACCAACTAGCTGCTCATCTGTAAACAGTATTTCAGACGTAAAATGAAACAAACATCTTAAAGTTTGGTCTGCAGACCCAGAAAACAGAGCAGCAGTGAGCAGAGTTGTGTTTCTTAACCGCTGTTTCCGTTTCAATTTAAAAGCAACCTCACTGCTCTACAGACTATTCACTTAACATAATTTTAAAACAATACCAGTGCATTAAATTCAACACTACAATTCATATTAAAAGCTGTTTTGTGTCTGTTACTCTTGACACCACTGAACAGCTGAAATAAAAGAGAAAAATATTATTTTCTACTCACTGTGCTCAGCGGAACACCCCGCACCGCCATTCTCTCTGTGATAACGTCTTCTTCTCCTTCTTCTTTGGACCAAACAGTCCAGACGCTCCAGTATGGCGCTGCTGCCCTCTAACGGTGAGTCCATGAGCTCTACTCCACTGACAAATAAATACCGCTACAAAGGAGTCTGTGTCGAAAACAGAAAAACATCACATGATGTGAGTATGACCAGCCAGAGGGTTAGCTAACTGCACGACAATTACCATGCACGAAAACAATAAAGGTGTGTATTCAAAGAGGTCCTTTTTATGGGGCCATAACATAGACTGTATATAGACTGGACAGTGTATGCCTCCTAAATGGGTGAAGCCACCCCAAAAACAGCACCCTCTGTTGACGGGCTGCAGTATAGGTCATAAATCCTGCCTCCGCCAGCAAAGCTTATGGGACTGTTGACAAATTTAAGAAATTTATGACACAGATTATAATTTTTTCTCCCCCCTGTTTGTGATGTTGACATGTAGTTACAGTAAGACTGGTTTGTTCTCAAGTCCTCTTTTATCTGTGCAGCTCTGTTTTTAAAAGTTATTAGGGGGTTCATGTTTTCTATGATAGACACTTGATACAGCCTATGGGCGTAAGAAGATTGCGTAGCTCAGCCGAGGGATACGCTGTTTGAATGCGTACAATGCTACTGCGCAAGTGGTGGAGTGCGTACAACGTCACTGCGCAATGTTGGTTTCAGGAAATGGAGAAAAAACGCGAAATTGCGGTACAGAGAGCTTTTTGGCTGTGTCCGAAATGGATCCCTAACCCCTATATAGGCGACTATATGGGGGTTTGCGCCGTTTTCAGGGGTGTCCGAAACCTGAGTGATCAATTCTAATGCCCCATATAGGCGACTCAAAATTTCCCATAGAGCATTGCAAAATGTAGAGACCATCCAATGGTCACTCACTGGTGGTGGGCATCCCGTCATGCATTGCGTCATGCCATGTAGTGTCGGAAACCTGTGGTGATTGAGCTCACTACATGGTCAACTATATAGTGAAACCCTATATGGGTCAATAAACATTGATTTTAGGGCACAAGCACAGAATGATAGTGCAGTTCTATTGATATAGTTTAAAAAAAAGATACCTGAAGGAAAATAAAGCATAAGACAAGGCTCAGTAGCTTAAATGTAGGTATAATAAGATACTGTACATCATGAATGTGTTGGAAAAGTTCATGTACTGTCCATCAGTGATCACGCTGACGCAGCAGCTCCCAAAGAGATCTGTGATGTTACAACCAGCTCTCAAGGGACATAAACAGACAGATAATTGCACATTAGGTCGATGCACTGCCCATATCATTGAAAAAAAGTGACCACTGCTGATCTATTTGAAAATTATCTGAAGAAGTGGTCAATGTGGACGTGTTTTGGGTTTACATAACTAGGGTCTCTCCACTGTCTTTCTATGATTCCAAATCATTCTGTTCATCCTCTACTGGATCTTTAAGCCCATAAGCAACATTACCAGACTCCTGTCCTTAGTTACTTTTTGTGTCTACATTTCTTCCTTAAGTACTTTGCCACTCCCCCTTAGTGACAGGATTACTGATATCCTTAAATTGTGGCCAATGGACTCCCAGCTGACTGACTCAAACTTACTTCTTGAAAAGTGCTGACCAATGCAGCAACTCAGCACTTCCTTTACCACACACTTCTCCTCTCCCTGATACATTCTAGAATCACTGAATAACGTAAATCTCTGCAGGATAGGTCTGTGTCTGCAACATAAGCAACACATGTCCCTGATGTTTCCCGCCACCCAGGGATGACAATAGATGGTGATAGTTGGCCAACAGAAGCCAGTACAGATTATTAAGTGGGCACCTCCCTACTCCAGAATTTCATTCAGGAAAACCTACAACATTTTTATGCAAGTGATAAAGCACATGTTCAATTCTTTAGTCAGCTCCTTCAGTCCTCAGATTAATTATCCACTCTGATAGGCCACTGCAAACCATCCTCTTTGAGTCTGTTAGAAATCAATGTAGTTGAAGCATAGTTCTTTTCTGTGAGAGGGGCCCTCAAAGTCTGGAATTTACCTTGTTATTGCAAAATTTTAATGTAAAAACAATGTAAGTAATGAACATTCAAGCTATTTGTCTGGTGTTGTGGCACATGTCAGAAATGTCAGGAAAACAGCTTGGCCCAGTAATCTTTGACACTCAGGGATGTTGATTATATTTCCTTGTAATATGAAGACTTCAATGAAGCAGTCAGGTTAAGTAAATATGTCATTTTAATGTGGTGAAGGTCGTTTTTAGAAATCAAGAAAAAACAGGTTCAGCAATGCTTTAATTTCAGGCTACAGGTACCTTTCAGTCCTAGAAAAAATCTTGAAAAGTATAAACTTAAAAAAATGACTGGGTACGAATGCAGGTAGAAAGGACAGGTGGGCACGACTTGGGTTTCAGAACCGCCCTGAACGCTCTCTGTCTCTGGAGCGGCGTCTCTCATGGTCACGGCCACCTCCTCGACCTCTGTCCCGTGAGCGAGACCTCCTCTCTCGAGAACGGGACCGGGACCTGTGTCGGCTGTGAAAGTGATTGAGGAGCAGTCAGGAACTGTTACTAAACAACTACACTGCTAGGTTCACATAATACTGGAATGCAGAGGTCATTTACCCCTTCCTCCTTCGGCCATAGAGTTCTCTCCGAAGTTCACGTGAGATGGGCTTCAGGTGCATGAAGTTGCAGAAGCCACCACGAGTGCATTCTCTATGGAGGGGCAGAAACAGTGAGCAAAGAAGGAGAAATGGTCCTTAAAATGATAAATGCAGCACGTAAATCTAGCATGTGACTCAGACTTTTGATTTTCTGACATGTGTGGCACTGCTTTAAGTTTAAAATATATCCGTATCAACTCTGTCCTTACATATAAAGCAGCACTCACCCCATTTCATATTGACGACAGCAGGCTTCTCTGAAGTCTGTAACGGGAGACAGCTCAGCATGGATCGGCTGTCCATTAAACCACCGGTTATTCAGGTCTATCACAGCCTTCTCAGCGTCTTCTTCGTAACGGAACTAAAAATGACAGATTAGCTCAGTTGGAAACTTACTAACTCGTGATCCAGAGAAAAAAAAAAAAACTTCGCACACTCACCTTCACATACACGTTTCCTACTAAGTGGTCGCCAAGGTTGTCACAGACATTCATTTCCTCCACTTCTCCATACTTTTCCTCCATCTCAGTGAAGACCTCCTGCATAGATGGTAGAAAAACGTAAGTTTGGTCAAACGTACTGACAAACTTATTACAATGTTGAGTTGCAGTTCAATAATAAAGAGTATTATGCTATTTATTTAAGTCACTGCTTGGGAGAGGTTTACATGAGAACATAGACACAACTTTGCCTGTAGCCAATCAATGCCTTTCGTGTTTAAACCCCCTAAATCTCTGCAGCATTCAGGGTGAATTTAGCAAAACCAATTTTGTTACGTCCACAAATGCAAAACAGTACAATCATCCCACTCTGATGCTCTGATGTTTGACAATATAGAGAGGGCATATATGGTCTAAAGTCCTCCTGCTATACACAAACAATAAAGAGGCATGAATTACCTCAAAGAACTCATCATAGTGCTCCTGCATCTCCATGTCACTGATGGCACCTGTGTTTATACGAGAGAATACTCATTGAAACAACACATTACATTAAGGACAAATTGAGCAAAAAAACAAACTCTGGACAGTTAGCCTCACTTTCAATTTAGGCCTGTCCGGTTCAAAACCAGACCAACATGAGACTGATTCCTCGAAAAGAGCTGAGTGATCAACGGTCAGTACAAATGAAGTGTTATCTCGGGTCTCCATGACAAGAATTTTACACATCAGAAATCCCGGCAGCAACTCCACCCACCATGTGCTTACATACGATGTCTTATCTATAAAGACAGGGCTGCCTGATTTGAACCACTCTTAATTTCAACATGTAAAGTATAAGATTTCTTAGGAAAAAAGAAAAAGTTAAAATAAAAAGGTGGGTATAAGCACAGCCAATCTACCAGATGCGATTGAACCCCAATTTTAATGTTGTTATACATAAATGTTTGCATGTAAGTTGACTGTTGGCATAGTCCATATTAACCACTGCTACAAGATCTACCTTGTGTACATTTTTTTTCCTGTTTTTTAAAGAAACTGTCGACATTTTTTTTAGAAAATGACAAAAATTTTCACTTCAGTCGCAAAATGAAATCCTGTAAAAAATCCAAACATCCAAACATCAGACTGACATTTGAATAATAGTTAATAAAATTCTCAATAAAAGTAATTACAAGTCACAAGTGCAGTTTTATACAATTTTTCTCCAAGTTGTTGCTGCAAAAATAGGAGGAAAAGAAAAGAAGAAAATAAAGGTGTATAAGAAAAATAAAGAAAATGGATCCGTTTTATTGGTAGAGCACTTACAGGTCAGACCATCAGCAGACTGGGCACTGTTCTGAGGGTTGCGGTAAATGTTCAGGAGGGCAATCGTCTGAAAAACAAGAATATTCATTTGTAGGATATTTTTATTTGGTTTATTATCAAAAGGAAGAGGAAAAAAATGGAAAAGAAATGTAACAGTTTAGTACAAAATTCTATTTCAAACAAAACCTGAAAAAACAAACTTTCATGAAAACCTCTCTACAACACTGAAAACACTCACAGTCATCTTAATAATTACTTTTTTATCCTCTACACTGTAACGCTGTCACGTGATACTGAAGTTTACAGCCTGACTAGTATAAGCGTCATTTGAAGATAACTGTGACATTTGGAAACCTCTAACATTAATACAAAGTCAAAGACATTCACTCGTCCTTTCAGATCTTACTCTGCCAATTCATTCCTTTTAAATTCACTGGTGCATACAGCATCCCCTTACTGGTCCATCTCTATTGGAATCATAAACTTACCTGGCTGAACGTAGGCTTGTTATGTAGTCTGGAGCAGCGGTCGCCATGTCGACAGGCGCCAATTTTGAAATAAAAGGAGCAGTTGACCCTGAGGTGAGAGGAGAGGGGGAAAGATGTAGGTATGAGGTGTCACAATGTTTTGATTAACAGATAACCTGATTAGTAGACAAATGCAAATTTTTTCACAAGACTTGAAAAACATTGTGGAGATTCTTTCCTCCAATATATAAAATTATGTCTCGGTGCCAAAAACATTTTTTTTTTCTAGAAAAAAAGCACAATAAACTGAGAGAGCCAGAAGACTGGGCAGGGGAGGTGGTTGTCTTCTTTAACTGTAGTTGTCCACCAACATGCATGCTTTCAAGGGCTAGGGCTACAGCCTTTTTAATAAAATGTTCTCATTTTCAAGCTTGTTGAAACCAAAATTTAAGACATTTTGGCTCTTTGATAACTACAGGATGGTTTACTAAGAAAAATTTTACATATACCGATAAAAAGTCAGGACACAGAGAAAGGGTGTGGACAAGGTGAAGGAAAGAAAAGTGTCCTTCAATTTAAGGATCTAGAGGGGCATTTGGATAAAAGCCAGTAAATTATAGTTTTTTCTTGTGTTGGTGTACAAATGTATAAGGAGTTCATGTTATTACGGCAACACCATGCAAGAATGAGGATAGTGATAAATTATGTGATGTGATGATACCATATTTGGGAACTCATATGTCATGGCAATCATTTAGTCATTGTTTTAGGTGATTAACTGTTTTCTTATTGTGTTTACATTATTGTGTTTACATTATGTTGTGTGCCCATTGCGGACATGTACTGATGAGTTAGATAGAAAGTTTAAAGCTAACATGGAGGCAATTGATCACTGTGTCACAATGTATAGAAGAGAGACTCTCAGTAAAGAAAGGGTTTAGCTTATGCCTAGAAGTGCCAAGTGTTGGTAAGTATAGTTTTAAACTGTTCTGCTATGATGCCTTAACAGTCATTTATTAGAAGTGTTCCTTATAATCATCACGTGTCTATGACCTTGACACATGCCTTAGATAATGATGTGCCTTTCATAACAGATGTGCAGGTGCAACTCAGAGATGTGAACAACAGGATGAGGGAGGAATACCACTCTGTCCTGAGAAGATGTGGAGGTGTACAGGGAGGGTTTGCATACCCAGCAGTCTGCTCAGTGGGAACTCAGTGAAAGCACGGAGAACATGATGCAAATAAGATAAAGAGGAGAGAGGTACTGTGTGCATCCAAGGTCAACTTTCCCAAAACCACGGTTTCGGTCAGGTAAAAAAAAAAAAAACAAGAATACATGCTTGTTTGTCCGTGGAAAAAACACTGGGGACTGCTGTTTATGTAAACTCTCTGCCCATAAAGATCATGAGATGCCTCAAGTGTATAAATGTTAACTACTGAAAAATAGTATTCAGACCACCTCAGAGGTAGCCTGGCTGGGCCATCCTGTTGCGTGAATCACTTGATGTTCTTTCCCACCACAGTCTGGACTTCGGCCCATAGAGAGTGTGTATTCCCGATCAGAAAATAACCGGGCCAATCAGAGACCGTGTTTCCACTGTTACCCGGACAACAGGGAAAGGCAGCCCCCGATTGTTCCATGTGTAGTGGTGACGTCTAACACATGCTGCGGGACTTTTCAAAGCCCCGTTCATTCAGAACGCCGTTAATACTGCAGTTGACTCTGCAAAGTCAGCAGAAATTGTTTATATATGCAGAAGACGTCAGCAGACTTTGAATACACGTTCTCTATGGGCCGAAGTCCAGACTGTGGTGGGAAGGAACATCAAGTGATTCACGCAACAGGATGGCCCATCCAGGCTACCTCAGAGATACCATTGGGTTGATGTTGTGCTCTCCAAGATATATCTTGTATTAGTTGCTGTGCCGAAATAAAAGGATGGTTGAAGACACCTTTTTGCCTCATTGAATCCAACTTCAACACATATCATATATCATTTTGGAATTTCCCCTTATGGGACAATTAAAGTAATATCTTTTCTTAATGCTATTGTACTGTTCAGAAAAAGGTTATATATAAAACTCAATTAAAAAAATCATATTGAAAAAAATCATTAAATCTTAGTGAGAAATAAGACCGTTTACAAGAGAAAAGAGGTTTTAAATCCATATTTTCAGTAGGGCTGGGAAGATATGCTTTTCTCCCAATCCGATTCTTCTACGATTTTTTGGATGCCGATTTAATTTAAATTGCGATTCCACGATATTGTCGATTTTCTCGATTTTTAGTCTGCATGTATTACACCAATGAAACAGTTAAATGAGTATGATTGTGTACTGACTATTTCAGGAACCATATTTTCACAAAAAATTAACATCAAATGTGAGTCAGTTTTGAAGATTTATTCTTAAATTTGGAAAAAACAATCGATTCTTGAATAAAACTATCGATTTAAAATTTGTAAAACAAAAAATCGCGATACTTTAGTGAATAGATTTTCTTCTCCCACCCCTAATTTTTACAGTCGTAAAAGCATGAAGACGCTGCCATTAAATACAAAGGTATCCTCATTCATACATCTGTCTGAGATTAAACTTAGTCGATATGATTAAGAATTAGGGTTTAGTGGATATTTTGCTTCCATAATAACAAAGTAAACAGCTTTCTTGTGATTCTCCGATCGTTTCAATATTCCTCGATGTAACAAAGACTACAATAGGGTTCATGAAGAAACCGGCGCTGATCTACTTCATGCTTTGCGTTAGTAGTGTGTTATCCATAACCATCTTAAGTTTAAAAGGTAAATTTGGTCATTTTCATTCAGAAGAAAAGACTCTTGATAAAATCGTGCTCAGGATCATCCCCGCACTTTTCGGTCCCCGTGTTGCAGCATGCAGAGGGGGCGGCGCGGTCTTTGGCGACCAGCAGCTAGGACTAGCTGTTAGCTTACTGACACATCCTCACACCTGTCCTAAATCTTGCAATGGTAATCGTTTCCCACATCGAGGCAGGATTTGGCGGTAACTAAAGGCGTGTGAAATATACTGAACGAAAAGTAAGGGAATATGAAGTACTCACTTATCTTTTTCTGTCCCAAAAATGGATGCCAAGTACTCTGCCATCTTTGCTTGGCTAAGTCAAACAACCACCAACAACCTTTAGCTTCCCACTAGGTCTCCTTCAAAATAAAAGTTTCATTCTCACTAACCAACTAACATGCATTCATCACATCAACAATTCACGAATAAATGCTATCTTTAAAATGTAGTTAAATAGTATATCTCTATTTCAGATGCTCACATTGTTATTCCACCATGTTGTCTTCAATATTATTGCCTTAACCGACTAATACATGTTTTTCCTCAACAGGGTCTGATATTCTCTCACTGTACGTCTTTTACTGTGCATAATTTATATTTTACATGTTTAAAAAAAACTTCGGGAACGGGATTATGTTAAAATTTAACGGCTGGCTCTTTGAGTTTATGTGAAAACTCCGAGTTGTAGAAGCAAAATACTGTTTTTTATGTTTACCGCCCAAAAGGTGATTGTCTTATTTCGAAGGCAAAACATTCATCCCGGAAATACTTCATATTACGAATCACTGTCGGCTCGACCCAGATTTTCAAAATAAGAGCCACTTTCAAATTGTCAGTACATGTGTTCTGAAAAAAAAAAATCAAGCATTTTATGTGACCCTATGGTTGAACAGGTCTGCTATTAAAATAAAGCCTTTTTTGCACTCCTTTAAAAATGAAAAAAACACAAAATATCAAAGAAATATACCAGCACGTAAAGCAGTTTTGAAAATACTTACCCATATGCAGCAAAGAACCACACATCATATATCTACTTTAATCAAATGTCTGATTTATTGGAGTAGATATGAAACATTACCCTTGTTTCAAAAAAAAGTTTCCATCTTTATTAAATTATAAATAATTCTCTCAACATATGATCTCCTTTGTTTACTCACGTTTAAATTTTTAGGAAATCACTAAATTTACCCAATGTCAGATAATTAAAAGCTCTCATTTGACAGAATCCCCCTCCACTCCTTGTTCTATATAAATACCATTGAAAAGCTGATTTTTCTCAGTTACAAGACAGCACTTTAAATGCTTGAATTTGAAAAGTGCTACCTGTGGTTAGAGTTAGTATTAAAAGTTAAATCTTTGCATATAAATTATAACATCAAAATCAACATATTGCTTGATATATGTGCTGTAACATCGTCATTATGATTTTTCAAATGAACAAAGCCACAAACCACACTAATATGGTTTCATCAAAAATAGTTTATTTATCAAACAGGCAATTCGTCCACAAAACATGATTGTCATGACAGCAGTCAGATCTTTATCATAACGAAAGAAAAGACACTGAGGACCAAAGTGTAGGCCAATAATATCAGGATCTTGTTGGGGAGAGTGGGGTAAGATGAGCCATCTTTCACATTTCGGATCACCACATGAAGGCAATCATAGTTTTGTCTCTAACTCGTGTATCTGCATATATTTCAAGATGTTGTGCATCCCTGCAAACCAACGAAATGAGTGTAAACATAACTGTCTTGATAATATAGCATGTCAAAAAAAGTGGTCTCCTATGGTCAACTTACCCCGTGTATGGGGTAAGTTGACCATAGGAGCGGGGTAAGTTGAGCCGTATCCCTTCTACCACCCCACTCTCCACTCCATGAATTGATGCCCATCTCCTAAATGATTGGTCACATGATCAATTTCTTTTACCATTTCCAAGCAACTGGGGGTGGCTCAACATGCCCCACTCTCCCCTACACTGAGTAACTTAGATGTAAGGCGTATATTGTTTTGTTGATGTAAAACATAGCTTGCAAGGTTTTGTTCTGTCTTGGGTCTTTAGTTTTCAGTGCAAACACAATCTTATGCACTAATCCCAACACTATCTAACATACTCTGATCCTAAACCTGAAATACTGAAATCTCAGACTGGAATCCAGAAACACACAAAGAGCAGCTCTATAGATCCTCTCAGAGTCAGTCTCTGAGTGATTTAAACAAACAATCATAACTTCTATGAGGCATAAATAGGCCTTCTTAAATGGCTCCCAGATATCTCTGTATCTTTCCCATGTTTTAGGGTGACTGTTTAGCCCGCCAGTCTCCGCCCCTCCTCCTCCTCCTCCTCTGAGTCTAGTTGACCAAAAACTTGCTTGATAGGATTCGTGAGTTCGTCTACATTTTGGCGGCTTATCTTCAAGAATTCAACAAAATTTAACATCTTTCAAGGTTTGTATCCTGAAAAATTTGGTGACTTAAAATATAGTTGCGTATGAATAATAGTGAAGTTGTGATCGTGCGTGGGTTGTTTTGTCGTGCTCGGTGTCTCCCCGCTATTTTGTAGCTCAGCTTGGTCAGCTAGAGAAAAGAGAGGCCGCCTACATACAAGACATCATAATAATAACAACCAGTACTCTATATGTTTCATTTGCGTCCACAGACGGCTGCTCCTGCTGCTTTCTAATCATATTTCTGGGGAGTAATTGAAGGTAACACTCTCATGTCATATTTGTTTGGGGTTAGCTCTGTGGCTAACAGTGAAGCAAAGCGAGTGTAGGTTCTCTTCTGATCCACGTCCACACAGCGCGTATACATACATAGACGATCAATCCTCTTCAGAGTCCACAGTGCATTTTCAAGATACAGTTTGTTATCATCGTTTGGTTGTTTTGGAGCAGCAAACATCGTCGTCGCCGCGTTTTCAGTCGAAGCGTATTTACCACAGCAGCGGCAGCTCTCGGAAGTCTTGCCATGCTGCAAACCTTAGCCAGGATTTCCGGCTCCTTTCCATTTGCCCTATACTGTTTTGTTTCCGTTTATTCTGTTTCCGTTTTTAAAAGTTTTCTTCTCGCCGAGCAAAAGTGTGATTCAACAAAGATGGGTTTTTATACCGGAGCACCGAGTGTTTGTTGGGTATTTTCGCCGTAGTTTAGCAGGCGGGTAGCAGCGGTTGAGTCATGGGAAGCCTCGCCCCGCTGTGTATACGACCTCAAACACTGCAGACAACTTGGTTCACTGTGGAGCAGATGGAGTGCGCCGCTCCATTTTTATATAATAATTTTATGATTTAAAAAAACTTCGCTTTATGTTGTGTTTTAATGTTTGTTGACAGTTTATACAAACTAATGGCCTACCATTTGGCCTTTAGACGCTTAAGCCTCGCCCCTCGAGTTGGCTAACATTAGCAGTTGGAGCGTTCAGTGAACTGTACGGGGCGGCGGGTACGGAGTCGACACTGAGAGGCCTTTATGAGCCCTTATAACCCCAAAAACCGCTGCTTTATGTTTACTATACAAATCCTATAATACATTTCCACATTTAGGCTTAAAGGTTTTCATTTTTTCTCTTAAAAAACTAAATTGAAGTATTACAAAGCTTTTTTCTCTACTTGTATGGCACATCTCACCCACTACAGCCAACTTCAGTGCTGTTCACAACCAGGAAAAATAGAACAAAAGACTGATTAAAATCTTAAAGGACAAAACTTTTTAAAATCATTCAAATTCTTTAATGGAATATATTAAAATAACTCACTAAAATTGACTTAATTAAAAAATAAAGTACATAGTAAAAGATTTCAACAGAAAGTTTGCAGTCATATGGAGGTTAAGTCAACAGTGTTATACTTAAAAAGTATGGTATGAAAAATAGCTGTTACAATTTATTTAACATCAAAAATGTTTTGTTTAAAGATGTTTTTGGTTGATAAATGTGAGTCAATGACAACCAACTAACAGGTCCCTGAACACTGCCAAAAAGACATGAAGATTTAAGTTGAGAGCTTTATAAAACCTGTTTATGCTCGTAACTATCTATCTATCTATCTATCTATCTATCGATTGATAGATTTTTGATTGAATGATTGAAGTTTATTTTGAACATGTAAGAAAAAGTAATAAAAAAATGAAGAATACAACAACAAATGACAAAAAGTTATTCATGTTCAAAAAGAAGTAGAGGAGTAGATAAATAGATAAAGATAGATAGATATATAGAGAGAGTCTGAAAATACCCCCCCCCCCCCTTTTTTTTTTTTTTCGGGAAATAACATGAAAATCTTTTTTTTTTTTTTTTTTTGTGGCAGCAGTTTATCACTTTTGTTCTGGGGGTGGAGGGGGTAAAGAAAATGCTCACTGTTGCCGTCATTGTGCTAAAATACAAAGAAAATAATCAAGTATAAATACTGTTAAAAAATGGTACTTTCTTGCATAAATTAAAATGAATTTTTTTCGTCTTACAGCTTGACTTCTCGTGTATTCAAGATGTCAAAAAGTGAAACAGAGGAGATGATAGAGATCGAGATAGATGAACGGGAGAAACAAGCATGCTTGGAAGAAGGGTAAGGGCAGGTCTTATTTTTACAAGGTACTCATTTATTTAACACATTTATTGATCTTCTCTTCTTCTTCTTCTTTAAGTGTTGAGGAACAGACTATCACTGCATCAGATTTGATCCAACAAGATATCGACATCAATGAGCCTATCGGCAATTTAAAGAAGCTTCTTGAGCCCCGCATCCAAATGTCACTGGATGCATATGAGATCTGCTTGCAGGACATTCAGGTAAAAGGCTTATACTGTAAACTGATAAAACTCATCAACTTCGCTTTGATCATTACTGCAGCGAGTAACACTGGTTCTCTGGCGTAATGTGAATCTGATATGAAACTGTGAAGTATGTATCCCGTTCTGCTTATCTCTCATTCTGCTTGTTTGTTGCTCTTCTCTTTTTAGCTTCATCCTGATCACAGCCTGTTTGATCAGGGAGTAAAGACAGATGGCACAGTGCAGCTCAGCCTGCAGATAATAACCAAACCAGGTGATGATGATTTGAAGTAAAGAAAACACAAGAGCATTTATGGCCATTTGTGCCCAAATATGAACTTTCTCATGCAGGCAGCAGACTCATTCATTTGTTTTGGGTTTTTTTTTCTTCATGTTCAGGTGAGGAGAAATTGAACATTTTGGAAATTGTGAAGCCAGTAGAAACAGTCGAGGTGGTGATTGATCCAGATGCAGCAGGAGAGGATGGAGCTCTGGTAGAGGAGGGTCAGCTCATCGCCGTGGAGCGATCTGCTCTGACAGATGAGACATCAGAGCAAGTTACACGCTGGGCTGCAGCACTTGAAGGCTACCGCAAAGAACAGGTCCGCTTGGGCATACCATATGGTAAGGGACACTTCAGTAATGATGTATCGAGGTTGGAAAAACAACCCTATAATTGAACACGGCTGTAATTTCTCAAAAATCTTCTGTCTCTCCTCAGACCCTTTGCTCTGGACAGCGGACCAGGTGATCCACTGGGCTGTCTGGGTTATGAAGGAGTTTAACATCGATGAGATGGAGATTGGCAGCATTCACATCCCAGGCCGAGATCTCTGCTCATTCAACCAGGAAGAGTTTCTTCAGAAGGTGCCCAACGGCGAGATACTCTGGAGTCACCTTGAGCTCCTACGCAAATGTAAGTAAGATAGAGTTGGTGCAAGTTTCAGAGAGGAAAGTTTCCTGCTCTGATGATTATGAATCAGTGTTTTAAGGAGTCGGCGCCTCTCTTGGTTTGAGTATTTTTACTTTAATACAGAATTTTCAGAGCTATCCCTTTATCTTTTCCTCAGACGTGTTGGCAAGCCAGGACCAATCTGGAGGGGATGCTACTGTCACCATTGATCAACGTAGGTTCTGTCAAAAACCCTCTACAAAGGAGAGTTGAGCTTTGTGAAACTGTAAACGCCATTGTTGACTACTTTGGTTGACTTGCTCAGGTTTTGCTGTATGATTATACAGTCTTACCTTTTTTATTCAGTCAGGGCAAAAAAAAAAAAAAAAGCTAGATCAGTGCTAGTATTTAACAATCTCTACCTTTTTCATCTGTTCCTCCAGCTGTGCAAATAATTCCAGCCCAAGTTAGCACCCCCTCTGCCATAAAGGTGTTAAAGCAGAACCGGGGCCCTCGGACTCCCAGAATTTCAGGAGAGGAGCGCAGCTCGCCAGGCAACCGCACAGGTAGATCTCACTACGCACAGACTAACTGATGTTTGCTAGTATGTGAGCAGAAAGCAACCCCAAGATCTCCATGCACACCTGACTCCAGCACAGCATTTTATTTAGAATACAAAAAACAGATATGTTTTTTTTTTTTTTTTACCGCAGCGGCCGACTGACTGTGTATGTGACTTTTACATTATTTCTCAATAAATGGTGTGTTTTCTCTGGTGCTAGGCAACAATGGTCAGATCCAGCTGTGGCAGTTCCTGTTGGAGCTACTGACGGACAAAGATGCAAGAGACTGCATTTCCTGGGTGGGAGAGGAAGGAGAGTTTAAACTCAACCAGCCAGAGCTCGTGGCGCAGAAATGGGGCCAACGCAAAAACAAGCCCACAATGAACTACGAGAAACTCAGCAGAGCGCTCAGGTGTGTGTCTTTTTCTGTTTACATTTTTAAAAGGGATTATTTCAGTGAATTTGGATTTAAAAACTATAGCTTAGTTAAACATTTTTACCAACTGAGTTGTGGGAAAATCAAATATTGCCCTAGATGACAAGCCTATCAATCTGTGTGTTGGTGAAGAGGCTTTAACATCAAAGGGATATTATAGCGTAAAATTAATTTTGGGTCAAACACTACATAACACCGAGTTAGAAACCCCCCCAAGAGATAAATGTTGCAGACCGCTTGCTTCTCTAGTTATACCAACTGTAGTAAAGATAGCAATAGCAATACACAGCGATCTGAGGAGCCAGAAACAAACCTCAACCAAAAAGCCACTCTATAGCCACAAATAATGCTCAGAACAGCACCTAACTTCATCAACAGTACATATGGGGTCCCAGCCGTAGCACTTGCCACCAAACATCTTTTTAACTTTGCCTAATTTTTTAGCAAAGAGACTTAACACAACTCACCTACTCTCTTCCAGCAGCCAATTGTTTGTCCAGTCCATTACTGACTACAGCGGGGTGAAGCAGCTCAAGGAAGAACATTTATGATCATCTTTTTATCGTTTCCTTGAAGTAATAATCATCATATTAAACATTTTACACTGCAGATACGGTAGTTCTTCTGCCTTAGCGTCTCGGTCTGATTACATTTCCATGAAGAAATGATCATAAATGTTCTTCCTTGAGCTTTGTCACCCCGTAGCTGTCCATAATGGACTGGCCTGAGGAAGAGAGTAGGTGAGTTGTGTTTAGTCTCTTTGCTAAAAAATTAGGCAAAGTTAAAAAGATGTTTGGCGGCAAGTGCTACGGCTGGGACCCTATATGTACTGTTGATGAAGTTAGGTGCTGTTCTGAGTATTATTTGTGGCTATAGAGTGGCGTTTTGGTTGAGGTTTGCTTATGGCTCCTCAGACCGCTGTGTATTGCTATCGTGTGGTCGTTACTAAAGTTGGTAAAACTAGAGAAGCAAGTGGTCGGGGGGTGTCTAACTCAGTGTTATGGTGTGTTTGACCCTAAATACATTTTACGCTGGAATATCCCTTTAAATTAGGGATATTGGGATCATGGTTTTATATTTGTTTCATATATACTGTACTTTGATTCAACACTTTGTCTAACAGGATACTGGCTTGTAATTCTCCTTTAGGTATTACTACGATGGAGACATGATCAGCAAGGTGCAGGGCAAGCGCTTCGTCTACAAGTTTGTGTGCGACCTGAGAACTCTGATTGGCTACAGCGCGGCCGAGCTCAACAACCTGGTGACTGAGTGCGAACAGAAGAAGCTGGCCCTAATGCAGATGCACGGCATCGGTCAGCCCATCACCACAGTGACCCTGGCCACCACAACACTAGACAAAGACAGTTAAAGGAGAATGCTTTCCAGCGCTAACTCTGCTCTCCACAATCAGCTGGAAACGTATTCATCTTCTTCTATTAGACACAGCTGTGTTTTTACGGCACAGGCAAGCAAGGCTGATCAGTGTGGATTAACAACTTTATCTTTACAGTTTGATTCAGCTTAGGCTGCGGCAGGTCTTTTTATAGCTTTTCTCTAACTCTAAAGGAGAGGAGTGTTCAGGACGAGAGGATGAATGAATGTGAAATGCTATTGGGTGATTGTGACTGAATGTTTGCGTGACTGAAATTCTTTATTGAGCTTATTGTAACATGTTCCTTGTCTCTCGTTTCCACTGTATATACCCGTACGTCACAATTTTGACTGCTGCAAGGACAAGTGTATTTTCATATTTTCCATTTATAGAGACCCTGTTTTGTATTTGATTTAGTGTTTTCCCTGAAAACGTTGGGCCTTTTTGTCCATAAGAGGGAATAAAGTGTTAAGATTTTTTCTTAATATCAGTATTTCAGTCTTTATTTGTAGCTCTGCAGTGGGAAATGATTCTATTTGAGTGCTCAAAAGTGACATACAGTGAGGAAACATGTTGGTACATTCAAAATTTTATTCATGTCATAGTGGGTGTAGAAAGCATTTTCTTACTCTAAGCAAATGGTTCATTTAACTACACATAAAGGAAGGTCACTGGATCCATGAAAGAAATACAGGCTCATTTTTAACACTAGCATCAAAAGACACCCAGGTTGAGCATAATAACAAAGTTTAAAACATTCACCTGATTAAGAGCTTCAATCGTGTCTGTACAAGTGTAAATATAATGTGCAGAGGTGATATGTGTTGTATCTCTATGGTATAAATGCAAAACATTGCATGTCACATTCATGTTTACAGGAGGTGGCTTTAAATCAATTGAAGGAGAATGTGTCTATTCATGTGAATTGTCATTTTCTCACTGATGGTTGCAGTTCTTCACGTCTTCATAATGATGAGTGCGAGTTTTGAAGACAAACATGCAGGCAAAGTAACGATCCACTACATGACAAACGAACACTGTACATGTATACACAGGAGATGTAGAAAAATAGAATGTGTATGTGAGATTTGGTGAAGGAATGTGAGTGAAGATGTAGCCGTCTAGAAAATCGTCCTCATCTTTGTTGGCCCGATAAGTTCTTCATTGTACAATATTGCTGACACAGCCAGAAAGAGCACATAAATAACACAAAAAGAGGGTTCGGAAGAAAGACTGCAAAACATACAGCAGAGAGGTGGAGCTTGACAACGACACCGGGTCATAGAGAGCCAGATTTCCTTCTTCTAAAAATTTACTGTAACAAGACCGTGGAACGATAAATCTGGAATGATACTCTCAGAACCCTCCTTCATAGTTTCACTTCGTATTTGCCCCGTGTCCAATCCAACTCAAAATGCAGTGAAAGTGTAACATCAGTTACATGACGACAATAATATTTGGTGATAGTGATGACTTCAAGAATGACAGAGTGCATCGAATACAAACAGTAAGAAAATTTTCTTCCTTTCATATACTGTTTAACTTCATTTTACATATAGAGCCTTTTGCCCATGCAGCTAACACAACAGTGAAGCATGAAGATGAGCATAATAAGCCGAGGGTAAGTTAAAGCAATCTGTGAACAAAGCAGACCAGATTCTGAATACTCTTTTCTTCTTCATATCACAAGATCACAAAGAAGACAATAGAAATGTACAATCCTGCTAAAGGAACCAGTAGGAGGACCGCTCCTGAGGACCTCAACATACAGTATACTGTATCTGTCATCAATATTGCCATGCACTACGTATACTTACAGCTAATCTCTGTCTTTATATATTACACATAAAAAAATCAGACAACAAAACATTCAATATTTTTCAACTTTACATACTTTGATTATGGTTATTTTTCTGCTTTTTTTTCATCCTTTTTTGAAAAACAAACCTGCTTTAATCGTGCATAGAGGCGCTCTAAAAGAGCCCCTCCTGCCGCTGCCAGCTTTAAGAGCTGTTATGTCATCAAACACAGGACAGCTGTCATCAGAGAGCAGAGCGACATGGACATTGGGGGCAGCTCTAGGAAAATGGAATAAACACTTGAGAGTAATGAGGGAGGGACCAGGACTTTAACTGCAGGGGTTTCTTGTCTCACTGCAAACACAACACTGCAGTGACTTCATATCAATTGCGAACAGGGTGTCCACTACAAACACTGTGCTGTTTTGCTGTGTTTTGCTAGGGTGTGCAGGTGTAACAGGGCACCCTTGTCCAAATGCAGATAAATCTAAGCTCGAAGAAATGCTCTGTACATGTAAGGGCTCAGGGAGAAAGAAAGCTGTGTTCGATGTCATTTTCCATCCTTTGGCTCTAACCCCTCAGCCAGACAGATAACACCTGTCTCACTGAGGGGTTTGACATACTTGACCTTATCTTAAAATACAATAAAAATCTCTCTTTGCAGTACTCAGGAGACAGAGTGAAGGTGTTGGGGGTGAGGGCAATGGACCGAAATGGAACAGACCCTATGAGAGAGAGGGAGGATAGGATACGCCTGAAAAAATATCGAATAGCAGTTCTTTAGTTCTGCATCTGCTCAAAGAATTTGTAGGTGGGATTCTCATAGCCATTCTGCTGCATCTTGGCCAAATGGCGCTCCTCTGGTGTCACCGCTGCATCCACCTGTCAACCCGATAAAGAGGATTAGTAAAAGTGAAGTTTTCCTTTAACGTACTCAAGATCAAACACTCAAACTGATTCCCCACCTCAATGACACCGTGATGAATGGAAGTATACTGTTTCTTCCTCAGCATCACCAAGGTAATGACAATGACAGTTGCTATGACAACACCTCCGACCATAAGTCCAATAATGGCACCTTTATTCGACCCCACATCCTCTGCGAAGAAGACCTGCAATCCAGACACAATAATATTGCACAAGAGGGACTCCAATTCAACGTGCTGAAAGTTGTTTGTGGCATTCGTTTTCATACCAGTTTTTGATGGTAAACTTCATATCCGGTGCTTTGCCTCTCTTCAGTCTCCATCCGCACCTCAGGCATCTCCTCTGGCTTTAGGGCTGACACTTCAAATGACAGTAGGATAAACAGACATGAAAGACTAACACACGCACCAACTCATCGCAAGAAAACATGTTTATGTTTACACGTTTGTACCACATACATTACTACATTGAGGACAGTAAGCCTGTAAGCCCATTAGCTAGAGCTCAAGGACACACAGGATGTGTTAAGTGAAACATCTGTAAACATTACTCCTCCTCCCTGTTTGCACAAGAAATCCTTTCAGCAACTTTAAGTTCTCATTCCAGGTTAGATTTATGTCCATTTGTCCTAAATGAAATAGGTAAAGACCCACTCCGTTAAAATCATGTTTTTTACATGTGCATATGGCATTTTTCTGATGCTACAGGACACATCATGAGAAAACTAAATGCGACATTGCTTTTCTGAGTATTTGTTTATTCAAATCACTGTAAATCTCTGCAGAGGAAAAGCCCTTGAAAACGACACAGGTAACATGATTTTTGGTAAAAACTTCATAATCACAATTTAAAGACCACTAAGAACACTTTAAGAAGTGAAAAGAAAAACTATCGGAGTGGGCCTTTAACATGCTGCTTGGTACATAAAAGCTAAAATTGATGCTTCTCTAAAGCATCTGGTGTAAAGTACTCTTGAACTAACTCACCGGGTCGTGTTGGGAGTCCTCTGTCTGGAACTGGACGAGCATCTACAGGCTCCACTGCAGATCAATAAGTACATTTTTTTAAAAAGTTTTCAGCCAAAATTGTAAAATCATGCTTTTTTTAAAATCTTTATCAGGATGTTTTTAGTGGCAAAACCATGAAAAAATGTTTTGAATAATAACGCAAGACTCTATTTACAAAAGGGTGGTCTGACATTTTTTACAGACCCACTTGTCTACACAGAGGCCGTTTTCTTATAGTTTTAGTTTCTCATTGATCAGAATCTAACTTTATGATTCCAGAACATTTATGTTTGCCTTTAGTAACTCCTCTGTATGTGTGTCTTTGTTACCGTGGTTCTCTGTGTTGGGCTGGTTAAAGCTCTCAGGGTGGATAAAGCCCAGTCCGTTCAGACCAGGGTCCATCGGAGCGGAGCTGTACGCCTGATCAGGCATCAGAGCGTCGTTACCATAACTCACCCTGCCGTCCACCTGCAAACAAAGGAACATAAATCCTAGCGGTCAGTTTGACTGAAATACAGTCTTGTCTGTTTAACATGTCAGGAATCTGAATAGGGTGTCATCGTGCTGGTGTAATTATGTGTCCAAAAGTTGAAATAACACAATCTTAATACATGTGATCCCTCAGTCCTTTAGATACAGCAGTCCTCTGGGAGATCCTGATTTATTTCAGATGAGTGATTTCTTGGCCTGTATTGATTCACTTAAACTGATGACACAACTCTCTGTTTTTGCCATTACCTTTAAACAACAGCTACAGAGATGGTTTATTATGCTCTCAGCACTTTCTGTCTTATATCAGTCATTTACCACTGCTGCTTCTAAGTTCCTGTCTATGCATGACCATGTTAAGAGTGACTTTGTCTTGAATCAATGTGCAGCAGAGGCGGCTCTATTTATACATGTCAGAGTGTGCAGTTTATGCAGGACAGACTCCATGCATATGTGAGTGGGTGCAATTTGACTCACCCTCCCATCACTCTGCAGGGAAGAGACTTGCTGAGACAGCTCAGACTGAACTCTTTGCACTATAACAGCTGAAGAGAAAGGAGAAAGAGAGAATGAGAGAGAGAGGAGGGGCAGCAGGATGATAAATCAAGGGAGGTGGGTTGGATTTAAAAAATCCCTCACGTGAGATCTATACACTGCCCTGATTACTTAAGAAAAACTAATTCAAGAGCAGCTGTGTTGTCAGCAGGCTGTGCATCAGACCCCAGACATGCTGATATACCAGTTTTTGTCCTCAGTCAGCTCCACAAGAAGTTGTGAGGTTATTTAATTAAGTCTGGATAGTCCCGCTGCTTGTAGAAAGTGGTTCACTTTATTGCAGGTATTTTTTTTAAACACTGAAAACAGGCTGTTTGGCACACTGACAATTCAGGATATGTATCTGGGTTCTGGAAACCTTGGAGTTTTGTTCTGTGTATTTTTATGTACTGTAACTAAGATGGCTTTATTTCTTAATTCATTTGTAAAAAAAAAACATGTTAAAATCTCAAAAAATAACTGCTCATCATTGACCCACAGGAAATAAGGCAACAGTGAAAGAAGCGGCTAATTTTGTCATTTTGCAAGTTGCTACACCTGTCGTTGGGAGCCGAGCTTCTTAACAACGTAAAAAAACAGGGAGTAAATGTGGTTGAAAGAAAAACTCAAATTCGATGGAACTTCAATGTTTGTGGACATCTAAAAAGTGAACTTTGTACTTGATTTACTTTGCTGCTGTTAAAAGTTAGTCCAAGCAGGAAGTAAACACTTACAGACTTGGTTTTGGATCTCATTTGCCACACTTGGTACTTTGTAGAGCAGACCCAAAGACTGATTCATCCTCTCCTCAATCACATGGAGGTGGGTCAAAACCTAAAAGTTGGAAGAAGGGTTAGAGCTCCTGTTCAATTCTGAAATTATCCGTTTCATAGATAAAGAACTCAGACCTTCAAGTTAAAGCAACACTAGTGATTCAACAATACAAGTATTCCATTAAATCAAAGGTGTGCCTCCCTTTGAGTGTTTTGACACGTGTTTGAGCTGTAGTACCTGAGGTCGGATCTGTGCGGCCTTCTTGGGATCCACAGTGCGGACATGCTCGTAGTGTTTCAGTGTGTGCTGCCTGTCCTTCTGCTCTGCACGGACATACTTCTTCAGCAGGCTCAGCACCTGACGAGCCTGATGGTTCCAGAGTTAAAGAGTGTTAGTGGCTTTACTTGCATATGAAAACACCTGTGATGCTAGGTCCCTGTTTTTCTGCAATAATTTGACACATGGTGGAAATGTACTAAGAGGGCTTTTGTTATTTGAGGTGGATCATGAACACACCTTGACTTTCTGTAAGTGTGTGTGTAAGTGTGCACGCTCTTGTGTGTTTTTGTGTGTATACCCGTGGAGGGTTGGCCTGTAGGGCACTGAGGTAGTTTTCCATTGCTAGACGTCGACGGCTGTTAAGCAGAGCCTCCACCCGAGCCATGTGGGTCTCCACCAACTGCTGCCTCTCTCCTGCTGCCTCCCTCTCCAGAGCCTCCACCTTCTCCTGGAAGTGCTGAACATAGGGCGCATTTTCTTTATAATTTCAGGTGCAACACAGACCGGACAATAACCCACTGTAACTACTGATCCAACTAAGAGCACAATGGATATCATTTTTATGATGGTGCTCAGAGACTGTGTCTAAAATGACTTTGAGAGTTTGAAAGGAAAATATTTTTCTTTTTAATAATCTACCCTTTCCGAAGTCACACATGCCACAACTTTTCCTAAAACCGTGAATGACAAAAATATTCCACATTCTAATGATCCAAGCACCATCCCTCAATCTAACATTGCCAAAGGAGATGTGGATGCAGACAAAGTTGGGTAATTTTGAGTTAACAAAGGATTGTTTGAAATATAGTAGAAACATCAGAAAAAGAAAGCGAGTTGTATTAGACGTCTCACCTGAATAACAGCTTTCTTGTCAGCACGAGAAAGGCTCTTAGCCTGTCTCTCTGCCTCTTCCCACTCTCTCATTACCTGAACATTACCAAGAAAAATAAATTAATAACCACAAACATTGAAACCATTTCAAAATGTGTTATTGTTGGAGATGAACGTTTATTAGTAAATGTAAACCGTGGCTCACAAATGTACCTGTGACATCCTATCACGGTGTTTGGCCTCCAGGCTTTCTTTGGCCTTTTGGAAGTCAGCATGCTCGTTGTCATCGCCTGGAGCTTCAAGATACCGATCCACAGCGTCAGGAGGACTGGGGGCCATGGTGGGCACTGCAGGAAAAGAAGAAGGGGGTATTAAATAAACAGCCGGTAGATTTGATGAGAGAGATATTAAAAAATGTAAATCAAAAGTATGCATATAGAACTGAAGGAAACAAACATGTCTCCACGGGTATCTTAAACAGTGCATTCTAACTAAGGCAGATTTCAGTGTTTTAGCATATGTAGGCAAAGAAGTGTGCTCAAGACTCAACAATATGTTAGATACATACAGAAAATGTCTCGATACAAACACAAAACAGTGTAAAGACAAAGGTTATCAGGGGACAAAGGGTGATCGGTTTTCAGTATAAGTGCTGTGTGTATGATTTAATTTCATGTGGGAGCCTGAAGATAAGATCAGAGGTGCTGAGTCAGGATAAGGGCTGTTGCTGCAAGACCGGGAATGCGTGGCTTCACTTGGTGGAGACAGCAAATCAACCCACTAACCTTCAACAACACTCCCTGATACACATGTAAACACATACACGCTGTGGCCTTGGACACACAGCAGCACTTAACTGGTTGAAATGTTGATGTTGACATTGTTAAAGACCAAAAATGAGCAGGACAGAAAACTACTGAGGATACAAACCATTGCGACTGCAAAGCGTGCAAACATACATATGAACAGAAAAGCATGCAGATGCACACTGACATTCAAAGGTCAGTATTTTCGTTGACTTGTCCACATGCTGTAAAGAGGATCACTTGGGTTAGAACATGATGAAATGAGTCATGAAATGACATGAAGCGAATGAGAGTCAGATCACTACGACTGCTTTCCAACAACAACATCCTCTTGATCTGATTGTTTTTGTACTTTTTAAATCATCCTCATCATAACAATGATAGAGACGGAGGATCAGAAGAAGAAGAAGAAGTTGTATTCTTAAAACCAAGTGTGATGTTAACTTAAGGGTACAACAACATCAGTTACATTAGGTTTTCATGAGGGTTGTGACTGTTATTTCAGACAAAATGTTTACGTTATAGAAACGGTTGCATTTGATCTGCTTCTTCAGTTTTTGTAGATAATCACTCTGTGCCACAGAGTTATTTTTTTCAGTCTGAAAACACATTGTTTCGCTAATTTACATGACACACCTGTTGGATTAAGATCACTACTTTGCTTTAGTAAGTTATTCATGACTGAGTCATTAGTGGTCAATGCAAAGTTTAACTGGAGAGCCAAATGTGCACTGTATGAAAACCTGATCAGAAAAAGTTGCGGTATCAAGTCTCATTTGAGTTACATTAGATAAAAACTGCATGGCCTAACTGTTGAGTAAAATTACTGTGTCTTTTCAGGGTGTTTTTTTTGTGAAACTGCTCCTAAAGCTTTTATTTTCCCTCTTCAAGAAGAAGGAACTGTCTTGGGTTGAGGGTCATTGACAGCAGGATTTGAAATATTGATAGACAAACCAAAGCACCATAGATTTTACTCTTTACATTGAAGTCACTGAAAGCAAGATAAACACTTTAAAAACAACTGAACTCTAATAGTCAAAGACAAGAACAAAGACAATTCTTTGTGAATGTGACATGAACAAAAATACCTTTCAGGGTAATGGTTGATTTGAAAGCCCTCCTTTTTTCTCTTTTTACTTTTTTCGATATTATAACTTTATGTAGCTGTGAAAATAGTCCTTTCATTCCCAACACAAGACTGGGAGAGAAGCAGCTTGTCAGTACGGGTGGTAGTAAAGAGCCATCAGACACTCAGGACAGACAGACACAGACAAAGTAAAAACACAGAGAGACATCTGTAGCCGCCTGATGACAGGAATCAGGCTGATGTTATGGGCAATTCAGGAATAAGACAGCTCCGGTCCTGGGACTTACACGAGCTGCTGCACACGGCCATGCAGTACTCCTCCGAATCAAAGTTATTCCTGTTGCCCCCACAGCCCCCAAACAAGAAGGGAGCACAGCGGCCCTTCTTAGGCATGAAGTACCAACGCTCCAGCATGTCGTGACATGGGCCAGACTCAGCACGAGCCCAACAAACGGCTGAGATATACACACACAGGCATGTGAAAAATCAAACATAAATGAACGTAAAATGTGAAATATGAGCTTTCAAATTCTGTGGAAACCATATAAAAATATAACTCAACAAAACAACACAACATGAATACAACCAACAAATTCATACAATCAAACAGGCCCATCAATCCACTCTATCCCTTACCTCTGACGACTTCCTCCACTGACTCAGTGGTAGTAGTGGTGGTGGTTGTCATTGCAATGTTAGCACTTCGCTCGTCACTGTCGCGCTCGTCGATCACATCGTCATCATCTTCCTCCTCATCATCGTCATCATCACCATCTCCATTCTCATCCCTTTCAAAAGCCTCCTCATCTTCATCCTCATCATCCTCCGCTGTGGCAGGCTCAGCGTCTGCAGGACGTGTCATGCTGCAGGGAGAGCAGTTGTCCATGTATCAACACACGTGCGAGTTTGTGTCACACTGGATGAAGGCCATGGAAGCATGTGAGTGATCAAACCTGTTATCGGAATATTCTGTGTCAGCCCCGCCCCACCAGACGTCTGACTCCTCCCCTTCAAGCTCAACGCTGTCCGCCTCTTGCTGCGCCTCAACAGGACAGCAGACAAACTCGACTCCTCGGAAGCGGTCAATGCCACATGGCAACAGCATCCCGTAGTCATGGAGATTCATGGAACGGTCTCCGCAGGACTAAATTTAACAACAGACATAAATCACAGTTTCATGCAGCGTGTGAGTGGCTTCAGATGATGAAAGACAACCACAATGCAACCACGCAACAGTTATTTTCTGAGCTGATGCTTATACGGATATTTAGCCGACCTTGGTGATCGAAAATAAGGATTGTGGCTTTAAACTCCTAGTTCTGCTCAGGTGCACTGATTATTGATACTAACAGAGGTCAAATGAAATTCAATACTTTGTGTTGGTGACAGGACTTTCTTTAAAAACAGAGAGGGGAGCAAAAGGAAGACCAATAAGATCAAAAGTTGCGGAGTGGTTTAAGGACAGAGTGGGCAGAACAATAAAGTAAAAGTGCTAAGTCAGTCAGATAGCAGAGACCAAACAGGGAGGTGAAGTAGAAAGAAGCACTGAATTTTATCTTACTATCTGTCCTTACCTCTTTGGCTACGGTGTGCCAGTGCAAATGGCTCTCACATTGGTCCATACGCTCCTGGTGCAGGAACTTACACTTGTCAGGGACGAGCAGGGCATCGCTTACAAACTCCCCAACTTCAAGGATAAAAAAACAAGTTCGCTCAATTAAAAAACTTATTCAGCCATATAAACAAACAAGCTCAGTGACAGACAAGTGCGTTAATACAAGTGCTCACCCAGACAACGATATGGCACGACAATGTGTGTGTGACTGTGGCATTGCTTGCGGCCTTTCTTGCACCAGTTCTGGATGCTGACAGGCTGATTGGCCTCTACGACGTTTGTGATTTGCAACTCAGGATACACCTGGGGAAAAAAAAGAGAGAATTGTGTGTCCTTTCTCACCTCATTACCCCCGTTCCCACTCTGAATCTCAGTCTTTGCATTGCTGTTTCACTCTCTTACCTCTTGGCAGTAGTGCAGGATGCCCTCTTTGGTGCCGATGCAACTCTTAGTTCCAGAGGGGTCAGACTCCCATTTGCCACTCTGGACATTGATGTGCATATTGAGCTTCCCACAGAACATGGCCACCTGGGGCTCAGTAAGTAAACCCACAGAGTCATCAGCGGGAACCTAGGCAGGAAAAGGGAAAGGAGAGGAGGACAATGAGGACCTTCCTGACCTTAGCATTGTTAAATCCTAAACATATCAGGATGTAGCTTTCATCTGGTGCTTGTGTATGGTCCTCTTAATTTATCCTATTAGTAGCCAAAACATGTTTCTCTTTTTAGTACTCAAGAATAAAGGTTTCTTCATTCTTTGTAAATACTGGAATATCAGATCAACAATTTACACTATAAAAAAAAAATAAAAAAACAATATTCCTATTTTAGCTATAGCAAGGCAAGGTACTAGGTTTCATCCCCTGAGCCCTTAAGCCACAGCGCTAAGCATTTCAGCCACAGGGCTGAACATGTGCCTTCTGCAACCGTGGCTTAAAAGGTTTTATTCAATTCCTTTATTAGAGAAAGTGCAGTGAGAATTCTGGGCAGAAATGTAGCCTGTATAAGCAAAGAGAAAAAAAAAACTATTGAACCAAAGGCTGCTCAAACCCAACAGTGTGAGAATACAGCCTGGAAACAATCGCTTTTGTTTTGTTTTTTTCAAATGAGCAGGCCTTGGCAATGTACTGTATAATATCACCATAGCTTTCTGCACTTACTGTTTTTCTCTTCATGCCTTTGGAAAACCATAGTTGGAAGTCTTGGTATGTTCCCTTCAAGAGCCTCTGTTTTTCTGGCAGACATCAGTAAAGACTGAAGCTGTAAGCTTCCCCCTACACCATCTGCTTACAACGTTTGACAGACAAAATCCGCTATGTTTGCCTTTTTAAATTTGCATGATGTTCGCCTACTGCGAATCAGGACAGAAAAGTCCATTTCTCCTTATTGCATAAAGTACTCTTCTTTTGTCTCATCTGCAAATTGCATTATGTTTAACATCATGTGCAGTATTTTAATGTAAAATTCCTTTTTTTTTGTGAGTGCCTTGCAAAATACTGCATCTCTATCTGCTTTATCATGTACAAACACACCAGCAAAATAAAAACTGCAACACAAAGCCACTGATACATAAACCAGGAGAGAATGCAATGGGAGTATGTGTGACAAATGAAGACATCAGTATAAACACTATAATGTTAAAATATGCCAGACTTGATATTTGGAATCAAATATTTCCTTGCAATGTTACTCCTAAAACATATAATTTGTGATTCAAATAAGTCTCGGCATCAGTCTAAAGACAGTTATTAAACCCACATCAATAATCCCTAATGTCCTTCAAATTAGGGTTCTTTTCAAAACATTGAAGTCACAAGACATATGAAGCCAAGTTCTACCAGTAAATGGCTCCTGAGCTCATTAGCCGAGGATTACACTGAGCCAACCAGTTTGCCCTGGCCCTGCATCAAAGACATAAACACCAAAACACTCATGAGTGGCTGTAAGGTACTCTGGTAGGAGGCTGGTGCTGCAGGGCCTGAGAGACTTTTAACACCATGCAAACAGCATCGACTGCAACACAATGACTGGATTTTTCAGGATTAAATGGGATGGCTGGCAGCCAAGTCTCACCAGACTCAATTTATGATTTAAATAAAAAAAAAATCCTGCAAATAGGAGTTCATATTTCAGCAATGTCTATAGATATCTAAATAGTTTTGACATTTGTAGGACAATCATAGGTATGAGAAGTTGATCTAAAAGAATGAATGATACATTAAAAAGTGCTGCTGCATAATTCCTCTGTGGGGGCATTTTCACTGCAGTACACCAGGGTTTTGTTGGGTGGCTTCAGTATTATTACATTGGGCCTGACCAATACAGACACACTGTTTAGCTATCTACAACATTTAATACAGCACCGTGACAGTATGCCTCCATTGGTTGCCCAGTATATTTCAATATGAGCCATACTGAGGCTGTTTCCACTTGTTCCTAAGCTGTGAGCGTCTCTCTGATCCACCACAACAGCAGCAGCAGCAGTGGAAGCTGCAGGCGCCATCTTGGTTGTGTCAAACTCATAAAGCTGCATCCTTTTTTCTTTTCTCCTCAGCAATATGCACAGAAACTGCAACACTCCTGGACTACGTGTTCCATGGCGATGAAGTAGCTCCACTTAATACACTAGTGGAGCTAAATACATCAGCACAAATAAAATACATGAGCGTCAAAGGCCATATAATGGACACCGTCGCTTTAATTTGTACCTGGTGGTATACTTAATGTAATTTAAAAGAACCAAACTGTCGTGGGTTAGCCCACAGCGGTTGCCATGCCAGCCCGTGTAATGTTCTACTAAATGCTGGCTAACGTTAACTCTTGAGCCCTCTACACGACAGGAAATAGAAGGCCTGGCTTAGCTTACAAGCAATACATAAAACGACAATTTAACTTTATATACGGTATATTCACATCAAACCGCGTTAACAATCCCCCAGAACAAATCAAAACAAGTCCAACATGACAGGCCAAAGCTGTCAATCACTGGCATCTAACGGTAGGCCTTGGTTGCAAGATTGACATCATTTAGTCCGTAAATTTACGTTTCCAGTCTCCGTTATTCTAAATATATGGCAAATTTATCAACTGTAACGAAGCCGTGGCTTTAAAGACCTCTTAAAAATAAGAATGTACACTGTTTTAACGAAGACCTGGTCTCTCCAGAGCCCACAAATAGCAGTGAGGTTGGACCCGTTACATAGTCTTCATATCATCTGTGTAACATTCAGAGTTTATGTTAGAGTCATCCTAACTGAGGTGTGAACAGTCAAACTGGTATCTAAATGCGTCACCGATAAAAACCCACACAACGGCCGGCGCTGTGGGACGCTCCTACCGCCAGACCATGAGCTAAAGGCCCGCAGGAAAGCGGAGCCAGGGAACAGCTCAGCGACAGTCTCCAACAGATTTCTCTTGCTGTACTCACCTCGGATGAAAGCGTCAAGGTCGCCACCAGTAACAGCAGAAACGCCGTGTGCTCCCCCATACTGTCCTCCCAGAACCCAGCAGCCCCGTTATGTTTGCGTTTGATGCTTTTATAAAATCGGTTTTTCAGCAGCGGGTTTATTGTCGACAACACAATCCGTGTTACAGTGCTCCGTTCCCGATTCCAGTGATCCCTCCCTGTTTGGCTCCCGACGGTGACGGTGTTAGGCTGGAGGGAGGTGTTTCTGATGCGGGCGGGTTGCGTGAGAGTGCGTGCACGCAAGTCAGTGTGCAGGATTGTTTAAGTATGTAATTATTTAAAGCATCTGTGTGTAATTTTATGCATAATCTCTACTCGAACATGCGTTTCAAGTGTAATCTTTCTGTCATATTTTTCAGTTGTTTTCTGGAGCTTTCAGAATTACATCTGGTGGTCCAAACTTTGATAATAAGAATTGCAAAAGCACAAAGAAACAAACATGAAGGTTTTTACTCTTGGGTGTTCACACTTGTAACAAACCCCTGGCAACTTTGGGGTGCATATATAGGGATTTTGACACCTCCTTTGCCCTGACTTTATCTCTTATTGTCCCAAAGCAAAATTCCTGCAAGAATGACAGACCATGATGATGATGAAATCCAATGCCAATGAAAGACCCGTGCAATCATGCTTCTTGTGACACTGTTTCTCATACTTTGTAGCCTATGTTTGCCAACATGTGTTCTTCATTCAACACCATCCAACCCACCATACTCAAAGACAAGCTCATAGAGATGGGAGTGGATCCTGCCTGTGTTTCCTGGATCACAGATTACCTGACAGGAAGGCCACAGTTTGTCAGGCTGGGGAACTGTGTTTCTGGGACGTTAATGAACAGTACAGAGACTTCACAAGGGACAGTGCTGGCGCCATTTCTGTTCACACTGTATACGTCAGACTTCAAAATACAGCACTGAGTCCTGCCACATCCAGAAATACTCAAATGACTTCGCTATTGTGGCATGATTCAGAAATAGACAAGAAGCTGAATACAGAGATCTGATAAGAGCCTTCAGTGACTGGAGTCACAAAAACTGCCTCCTCCTCAACACCTCAAAGACATAGGAGATGGTCATAGACTTCCGTAGATCCAAACCCCCTCTTCAGCCAGTGAACACCTGTGGAGTGGACATCGAAGTGGTGACATCATATAAATACCTAGGTGTACATCCGGATTATAAGTTGGACTGGTCTAAGAATATAGACTTCATCTACAGAAAGGGGCAGAGCCGCCTCTTTTACAAAGATGCAAGACGTCTTAACAAACTGGTGAAAAAGGCTGGCTCTGTGGTGGGACTCAAGCTGGACTCAGTGGAGGATGTGGTGGAGAGATCTACACTGAGGAAGGTGGAGACTATTCTTAAGAACATGGATCACCCACTTCACAACACCTTGATGGACCAAAGGGCCGATGGTGGTGGATGGTTCCTCTCTCTTCACTGCAGGACAGAAAGATTCAGAAGATCTTTTGTACTGACAGCCATCAGACTTTATAACTCTTGTGTAAATAATAGATAACTTTTAGAGATATTATGTGAGACAACAGACAATTGAATTTCCCAGAGTATACAGAGTAAACAGAGAAGACTCTTTTTATATTGAGATAACAATTCTGGTTTTCAAGAGATTACAAGATGATTTAAACAGATCTCTCAACATCTTTTGTTTTTCTCTTACATTTGTCCAACAAGGCTGGTTCCTCCATTACAGCAGATAAATCTAGTTCATTGTCTCAAAATACGTGTGCTTAATGTTTGGTAAAATTGGCATGATTTTCAGGGATCCAGAAAATTACACCATAAGGATCCATTTATGTTGCACCCACAAAATAAACTGTTTCAAACATCTTTAGTTTTTTAAAGGATAGGTCAGATATATTTTAACCAATAGTATTAACATGAATCAACTCACACACTTTTCACAAGTCAAATAAATCCAACTGGAGACACTGATATCAATGACATGAACAGCCCCGATCCATTCCTCAACACACCGAGAGTGTGTTGTCTCTGCAGCGATCCTTGCCCTTTTTTATTCACTGCGAAAAGTCAGCCCATGACAAGCCATGCTGCTACTGCCCACTCTTTTGAGGTTAGTTAAGTTTCTGCTGGTTATTTTTCCTTCATTCTTGAGCATTTGCATTCACTCTGGTGTTTTAAGACATGATCATCTGTCAGTCAGTGTAAGTTTCAAATAAACAATTGACAACACAGAAAAACTGAGTGATGGTAATGTATGCAGAGCTGGCCCAAGGCATAAGTGAACTAAGAGCCTGCTTAGGGCCCCACGGCCAGCAGGGGGCCCCCAAGAGCAACAACATAAAAAAGGTTTAATATTTTTTAATGTGAAATTAAAAAACAAGTATTAATAGAAAGGTTATGACTGTCCTGTGTAGATGACAGTGATATCCAATAGGCTAGGCACTCACGAGGCTGGCTGTGGCAAGTGTAAGTGAAAGCAACACGCACTGGCAGGAAGAACAGCAAACGCCGATGAAGGAAAGGGTCTTTGCAGTGATGGGCGTTACCAGAGAGGGCGATGGCCAGAGGACGCGAATGGGACGGGGAGGCAGCGCGTTGGGGGGGGCAGCGCAACACGGCTCGGGCCCGCCAGTGCCCCAACGGGGCCCTAGTATTTTTTTATTTTCTGCATGTATGAGTGATGCTTTCTGTATGATCAAATGTATACTATTGTAAAAATAAAATAAAAACATTTTAGTGCTGCTTCTGATGTACATAAGAGTGATGTAGGTCTATACTGCTGATATGTCAAAGAGAGAAGCTTTATTAGAAGTTAGGGAAAAAACTACTGACCCCACGGTAAAAGTTGAGACCCACTCGCTTGCTGAAGAAATCAGGTCATTCAGATTTTAAATTTGCTGTGTGGTTTGGTTTGACATTCTCTCCCAGATTAACATCACAAGCAAACTACTTCAGTCAGCCAACATGCAGTTGGATGTTGCAGTGCAGGGCCTCATTCAGAAAAACAAAGAAAATTTAATCAGTTACAGGGCAACTGGTTTTAAAGATGCAAAGATCTCTGCAAAAGGGACGTGAACAAATGAACACTGAAGCAGTGCTGAAATACAAGAGGCCGTGAACCACAAAAAGGCACTTTGCCTATGAGATGCCTGATGAGCCACAAGCTGATGTGATGAAGAGGCTGGAAGTATGCTGTGGTAGACTGTACCATCCAGTCTTTGGAGGACCGCTTTCAATCCTTAGGAGATGTTGGAAGCATTTTTGAAATGCTTTTCAACTTTGGCCAGCTTGATGTACAGACAAGAAAGGACCAGTGTAAACTTCTCAGAGACAAACTCACCTTTGGAGAAGAGTCTAATATTGATGGGAGTGCACTGGCGGAGATGGAGAACCTTTCAGTTCTCTCTAAAGCACAGATGAGCCCACATGAACTGCTCACTTACCTGTCTCAAAACTAGATCTGTGAGTTGTACCCAAATCTATGGGTAGCTCTACGGACAGCGTGCACTCTCCCTATGACTGTTGCATCTGCAGAGCGGAGCTTTTCCAAGCTCAAATTGGTACAGAACTACTTGAGATCTTCCACAGCACAAGAAAGACTGAGCGGACCGGCATTGCTAAGCATGAACATCAAAGTTGGCTGTCAGATTTTGTACATTAATGTCATAAATGACTTTGGTTTTGAGGAGTGGGTGGAGTATTGAGGAAGAGCAGAGTAAAACCAAAGCTTTTGCATAATTACATTTTAAGACCTAATTATTCAACTTTATTTTTGATTTGATTTTTGATTTTTGAAACCATTTTTGTTACCTGGTTCCAGGTAACTCTGTTCATTTACATCATTATTGAAGTATCTGCTTTACATTTGCTTGAATTGAATTTATTACTTTTATATATTCAAGTGATTTTATGTTTTGCACTTGATTGTTGTACTTGCACTGCAATTTTTTGCATATTGCTGTTGCAGTTTTTTTTAAACCAGATGACACTTTTACATTAAACACAATGCTTTATCACTTGGAATGTTGTGAAAATCAACCCTAGGCTGCTCTTGTAGCTGAATGTGTTATATTGTGAGATTAAAAACCACATGCGGCACCCTGAACATCATTCATCACTCATTTATTGGTATTATTTGTAAGTTTGCATTGGTATTATTTATGTTATTACCAAGGCCACCTCCTTAAATGTGTAAAGACATGTCAGGCATATTAAATGTATACTGTAGTAGATATGTAAATGATCAACAATCAATATTATTGGCAGAAATAGAGGGCCCCAAAATCAAATTTTGCTTAGGGCCCCATTGAGGCTTGAGCAGGCTCTGAATATATGGTTGCCTGACTGCTAACGGATTTCGTGGAGCTCATGTAAACCGTGGCAGGCATGTAGGTTGCATAATATCGCTCTTTCATTATTTTTATTGATTTTATAGTTCAGCATGTGCACATATAACCACATCCCTAAGACAATAACATGGAAACAAAAGATGGTATACAAAAAGCAAAACACAAAACAAAAAGAAAACAAAAAACAGCACGTAATACAAACAGCAGGCCAGCAACACTAAACTCTTTACAGTTTGCAGAACCATATTTGACAATAATGCAGTATAGTAATATTCAATCATTCCAACATTTCATTGGTTATGTCACTCCCATACAAAATACTTTTCTCCATTCTTCTTTTAAAAAAACAGCAATTGGTAACCAGTCTCTGACAAATTCATCTAAATTACCCTTTAAAGCATGGGACAGCCTCTCCATTGGCAATATAATCAATTTTTAAACTAAATAAAAAGTTTTTCATACCATAAATTAATATTTGGCGGGTCCTCGTCTAACCATTTCTGTAAAATTGAGACTCGTGCAGCATACAAAGCAATTCTTAAGATATACCTATGCTGCACCTCATAGTCCAGATCTAAACCTAGTACCAAGTTAATTGGGTTTAAGTGTATGTTTATTTGAAAGACTTTTTGTATTTCCTTTTGAATTGATAACCAAAAATCTGAAATTTTTGGGCATGACCACATCATATGACTATATGAACCAGTGTTGGTTCTGCATTTCAAGCATTGCCCAGAGCAATTTGGGTCATATTTCATACGTTTGCATAATATCTCACCCAGATATGCGGCAGAACTTTCCCTTGATAAGAATTAAGAGAAGGGCGTAATTCATTGACTGGAGTAATAAAGCGTTGGACCTGATGATTTGTGGTATTGTTGGGTCTGCCTCTTGGTCTTGTCATTGTTCATGGTTAATGATAAGGACTCCGGTTGTAAAGAGGCGGATATCATAGTGGGCGGACAACATCTACAACTGTCTCTCACACTTTGGGAAACTCCGACAATTTACGATTGGACTTTCACTTCTATTTGATCTGGCAGAAGAAGAGAGATAAGCTTAATTTGATTTCTGATCATTTTTAGGGGTTGGGATTTAAATCACATGTATCTTATGATTTAGTCATCGAAAATCACTCAACACGGACACTGTTGAAAGAACTTTTTAAGATCCGTATTGCGCAATTCAGCAGCTCGACGTATCTGCTTCATTGTCCTTATCGACATGGCAATTTTCATGAGGATATTTCTGGGAGCGGTCTTCGCGATTAGGGTGACAGGTAAACTTTTTGTCATTTACTAAAACTATTTAACATTCAACACTCTAAAATAATCATGTAGCGTACAGCTTGGAGTTTTGCATCTGTGGTCAGAGGAGACCTGTGTTGGTTAACTGATGATCAATACATCGAGCAGTGATCATTTCTACACTAAAGACAAGAGTCTTGCTTTGAAAGAGATATTCTTTTTATATTCACGTAGATCAATTCAACTGCCAGTTATTATCCCTGTTTTATCATCTTTTGTGTTTTCCAAAATGTTTTGAGAATTTGAGTACTCAAAAATGTCATTTGTGTGAAATATTTCAGCATATTGTAAAATGTTTTCAGGTTTTCTGAAATATGTCTTGCTTTTCTTTTTTTTCTTTCTTTCTTTGGTTAATGGAATTTTGTTTTTTATTTATCCCTGCAATACGTTTGCCATTGACTTTCAGGGCCACCATAAAACTGTCTGAACTAATTTGACACAAAAACATTTAACATTTTTTGCCTGCTCTGACCTGTTGACCAAAATGTTGTGCCAGTTACCACATGGCTTTAGTTAGCAAGCTGTAACTAAGCTCAATTCCACGATCAACTCTCACTTTCAAAACATGTTTGATTATTATGTTCATGAAACAGTACTCTGGCCCATAAAATTCACTAAATAACTTTGCATCTTATTGTTTTGTGTCTGATTCAAACATCAACCTCATAGAAACAAGAGATTAGATGTTCCTTTAATGGTCCCACAGGGGAAAATTCCCCCAAATAATCAACACATTACGCCAGGGGTTTGATCTAAACATGATGACACACCACCTTGGGGTTTGGCTATAATAATCAATGTGACAACAATCCAGGGACACAATCAATCTCAGTCTCATAAATAGAGTTTATGAGCCTTACTATACAAGAATTACTACAGCTGTGCAACCGTTATCCTCTGTGTGGTCACACAGATTTGAACAGATTTTTATGGTCATGTACATGAAAAGAACTTTTTTCTCTTTTTTTTTTTGGTTCTCACAATCTTCACCTGTTTTATCACATTGTCACATATGGCCTAGCATGTCAACATGTGGTTAAACATGTTGACATGTAATCCCAACCACAGTTAACATGTAAACAGTAGGTTACCTACAGAGATCTCCTGCTATTCAAATTTACTTATGCATGCCACACTTTACTGAGGTTTTTGCACATCTGAAATCAGCCCATCACCCATGCCACATGTTTAAAACCATTCCACTCCACATTTCACAAAGTAAGCACACATCTTGGGTTATTTCCTTCCCTTTTGTTGTTGAATAAATAAAAAAATGCAGTGAGAACAAAGAGAGGCTGTACAGTTATGTGTGAACAAAAAGGTCAGTGGAAAGGGTTAGATCTGCTGTATCTTGTAATAATTTGATCAGCAGGCAGGAACTAACTTTTGCAGGTGCTTTGGAAAAATAAAGCTTTTTTCCTTCTATAAGCAAGGTAACATGTACAAAGAGAGGCAATCAATGATTAAATAATGAGGCTTAATATTCTTGTATTTCAACATATCCAGCTGTTAAATAAAGAAAGTGTTGTCATCTTCAGTATCTTTGGCAAAATGATGCAAATCCACACAATCATTAGGTTGGGGTACATTTGCAACCCTGTTCCCCTAGGGATTTTGTTATTGTTGTATTTAGTGATGAATCTTGATCAATGCTTTTGCAACTCAGGCCAGGATTTTTCCACATGGTATCATCAAAACTGTGAAGATATGCCTTTTCTGTGAAGTCACCACAGCAAAATAAAGAGTTAAAGTTAGAAGAAAAAAGTAAGCATTTATCACCCATGAATGCTTTTTCTGCTAGACCTTTGTCGATGTCTACTTTAGCCAAACAATGCAGACAGGTGAGCATCCGACAAAGTATCTTGAAAAACCTAAAAAAAAACTTGTTTAAAATCAAAAGAGACAGAAACAAAATCATCACAAATGCATCACAAACTCACAAAGGCATGAATCATCAAGAGTGCTGGTTGTGAAAATAAAATCACCTCAGATAGTTTGTGTAAATGTTTATCCTGTGAGTTGGTCAGAATTACAATGCAGAAATACTGTTATAACACAGTAGTAACCTTCTCTCTCATTCTCTGCTGTAGGTGATGACAAGAATGTGAATGTTGAAGGCTGCAAAGGAAAAGAAGTACTCTTGCCATGCAACTGCTCAGGAAGAAGTTTGAGCGAGGAATTTCTGTGGATGATGGGATCGGAAGAGGAGGAACAAGAGGAAATGCTATTTAAGTATAATAGCTCTGGCACATTCTATGGCCAGAGCAGCAAAGGGGAAGAGTATAAAGGGAGGATTCAATTTTTTTTCCCCACGGAAAGCAGCAACTGTTCTCTTCTCCTGACCAACATCGAAACAGAGGACCTGGGGACATACACATGCCGTTTTACCACAACAGTATACAAAAAAAACAATGTAAAGCTACAAATGCGTGGTAAGTCATTTACTGTATACACATCTGCTGTGTTGTATCACTCATAAAATCAAAAACTTAGATTACGTTATAAATCTCACTCAGTTTTAACCTTTGGTCTTCTCTCACAGCCATGTATGACAGTTGCATTTAAACCAACAACTGAGATGTAGCCTATTTGTCCTGTAAATCAGACCGTATTGTTCTCAATGCCATCAGATAAAACAATCTTTTATATGCTCTTTCTATCAATCCTCAGAATGCCCAGAGAAAATCAGGAGTAGATCCTCGGTGATACCTCCAATTGTGGTGGTGTCTGGTGTTTTTCTCCTCTTATACCTCTTGTACCAGTGTTTTCGATCCTCAAGGTAAATATTTACAAGTGTATTTGAAGTTTCGGTGGAAATTTATTACTGTTAACTGGATCTCTTAACAGGAAAATTCATTTCCATATCTTTTCAGGCGTCCAAACTGAGAGAAGAAGAGGAACAACTTCTAGATAAACACAGAAGACTCAAGTCTGTAAATGTGAACACTTCCATGGAAAGCTGTAAAATCACAAAAGTGGCATTGTGCCAACAGGCAGGCTGTATCCTGCAATTGTGACAGTCATGGAGTGATTTTTTATTTTTTTTTGGAAAGGACTTAAATTTTGTGAGCTTGTCTGAACATTCACAGGCTTGAACTGTCCACTGAATCTGCCTGGACGATCTAGCCTTGTATGTTTGTGTACCTTAATTGCTTCTCTGTGCCAGTTCACCCTCTATGGCAGAAGGTGAATCAGATCTTACCTGACTGAACATGCAACACAGCTCCTGGCTCTTGTAATGTCATGCACTGATGGCTGCAACTCCATACTTGTGCCCAGGTGCTGTCTTTGAGCTAAAGTGTCTGCTAAAGGAAACTGGAACACTTTACAAACTACAAGTCATGCAACAGCACCTGAATTTGCAGAATTATAGTACATATATGAATTTGTTGTCAAAAAGTATTACTGTGATTACATGTTTTTTTTTCAGTATCTTAAAATATACTTTTTTAATCTAGTCTTGTCAAAGTCTTAATGCTCTTTAATGTTTCTTTCAATTGTGCATTAAACGGGTTGATGTACTTTTGTGTCATGTAAATAAAGTAGGTCTCAAGTAGACATTTGGACTTTTCCCTTCTCAGACTTCTCTCTAGTGTGAGAAGATGTTGTTTAACTCTTGGTTCATCAACATCATGTGAACATAAAAACCACTTAGATGATTCAGATTGCTTCTTTGCTCAAATTTTCATTTTCCTTTCAGATGCCAAACTTCTGCAAACTTATACCAAAACCAAATCACAGCTGATAAAGACTGATTGCAAAACTATGAAAATGGATGCACCACATAGACTTTATCAAAGTTTATTGAGTCATGAGACAAAATTATGAAGATGCTTAGCAGACAAAAGCAAAAACATACTAGGCCTACATACAATTACTGAGTGATATCAAATAAAAGATTTTCAATTTTTTATTACCATGTACCCAGTCCAGTACAGGTGCATGGGTTTAGGCCATAAGCTTTCAATTCCAGTTAAAAAATAAAAAAGCTAGATTTTTTTCAAGAAAAAGCAGGACAAGAGGTTTGTCTGTTTTTTCTTGCTGAATATCACGGACGAGGCAGACAAATATAGTGTTCGTTGTCGATATGTCTACCCCCGGCGGTTGTACAAAAAACAAACAACGATGACGCCAGAGTACGTCGTCATTGCGTATGACGTATATGGAAAAACAGGAAGTATGGGTGGCGGCTACCAGGCTAGCTCAGGGCTAACTATTGGAAATGAATCTGTTAACGAAATTTGTTGTGTGTTTCTTTCCCGATCAGAAAAAAGATAGACCTTTGTTCACGGTAAGTTAATATGTAGGATAGGTCAACAACTGTTGCCTGTCAATTGTCTGTAAAGGTCTAGTTTGTTCACGAAGTTTTCTAGTTTATGCAGTAATGTATTTGGATCGGCATATTATGATGACAGTTTTAAATCCCATATCATTAATATATTACAAATGATATGATTCATGATATAATGAATGAAGAAATATGGTCGTCAATGGTGAAAATAACGACAATAAAGATAACAGTTTTGGTCATTTTTGAGCAAAGTTCGCCCAAATCAATCGGTTCATGTTTCCACAATGAATGCACTTCTCCCATTTTTTTTCTACATTGAATTAACTTGTTAATTTAAAGTCGGGCAGCTAATCGTTAAAAGTTAAGATGTCTTACTAAATTGTAAGTATGGTGAATTATTAAAACTGATTGGTTTTGTCCTAGTGAGTGGCACAGCCATTAAAAACGTCTACCATGGGCCAACGACGAAGATCAGCCGTGAAAGCCCCCTCATCGCCGAGTGTTTCTGCAGCTGGAGAGGTTGCCAGAGTTCCACACAAGAAGCACAAAATCTGCATGGTTTCCGACTTCTTCTACCCAAATATGGGAGGAGTAGAGAGCCACATCTACCAGCTTTCCCAGTGCTTGATTGAAAAGGGACACAAAGTGGTGATTGCCACCCATGCCTATGGAAGAAGGAAGGGAGTCAGGTACCTGACTAACGGACTGAAGGTCTACTACCTCCCCCTGCAGGTGATGTACAACCAGTCTACATCCACCACCGTCTTCCACAGTCTCCCACTACTGCGCTGTGTGTTTGTGAGGGAAGGCATCACTGTTGTGCATGCACACAGCTCATTCTCTGCCATGGCCCATGATGCACTGTTCCACGCTAAGACCATGGGCCTGAACACGGTATGAGACCTATCACCAGAAAGCTCTTAAAAGCCATATAGTATGTTAAATTGTTTGCAAAACAACTGAACTGCAGAGTTTTGATTTTTACAGGTGTTCACTGACCACTCACTCTTCGGCTTTGCTGATGTGAGCTCTGTGCTGACCAACAAGCTTCTGACCGTGTCATTGTGTGACACCAACCACATTGTGTGCGTTTCATACACAAGTAAGGAAAACACAGTGCTCCGTGCAGCACTCAACCCAGAGATAGTGTCTGTTATTCCCAATGCTGTTGACCCTACAGACTTCACTCCTGACCCATCCCAGCGCCAAGATGACACCATCACTATTGTTGTCATCAGCCGCCTTGTCTACCGCAAAGGTACTAAAAGAAACTTCTGCGTGTGACATTTCAGTGTCTTTGCTCCAGTTTCTACTGGTAACATTCAAGCTGTAATTGAAGTCAACAGTCTGGCATGTTGAATGAGACACTGCAGCTTTTTTCAGCACAAAGTAAGAGCCCCAGCACTGGTGTTACAGTAGGTGTAGATATGTAAAACATTAACCAACTTAAGTGTTTAATGAGTACTTGAGCAGGGGGTTAACTGATAGCTTAAAAAATGATACAAAAGTCAGTCACATATTAACTTCCTTTTCTCCCGTCAAGGAACTGATCTCCTTGGTGGAATAATCCCAGAACTCTGCCTCAAACATCCAGATCTACATTTCCTCATTGGTGGAGAAGGACCAAAGAGAATTGTGCTTGAAGAAGTGAGGGAGAAATACCAACTTCATGACAGGTACAGGCTTCATGCTCATTTTCTAACAATAACACTGATGAAGATGTACCAATTTAAGCACATACAGGTTGTGCTCTCTGTATTGATATTTCATAATGAGATAAAGGGAAAAAAATCCAGATGCCAGTTTATCTACGAAATCGCTGACACAAATTTTTGCTAAAAACACTTTTCAACTATGGACTAACAGGCAATTGTCTTACTTGGATGTTTGTAAAAAGTGTACAGTCTTAAATAAGGGTTGTTGTATTCTGTTGTCAATGTAAATGGGGGAGCAAGCAAGACAGTATAGGACAGTGCTCTCAGTTTGTGTGTTAAGTCTACACTGTTAACATGCCAGAATGTTCAGTCACACAGAACGAATTATATATTTTGATTTAGCACCAAAAAAGCTGGCCTGATGTTGGAGAATTTCAACATTAGTTTTGTGGAACATCTGAATAAACAGCAACTTCTGGTTTGTTAACCTTCTAGCTGGACATAGTCAGGGTAAAAAAAAGAGCCCACAGCAAACTAGTTTCATGAATTGATTGCAATTTGAGTGCAGAAAGCTGGTATGTCATTCTTTAACCTTTATTGTTTATGTCGTGACTTGCTGCTTTGAGTAATTGTGAAAAAAATTACAGTTAAACTCGATATTATTTTCCTGCCATGACACAGTGATTTACCTATTTACTGCAAGCGTTTTTAACTTTTATTTGAAAGGCATGTGTTTTTTTTATCGCGAGATTGAACTTTTAAAATAAGCATAACTCTTTCACCAGCTATTGACACAAGCTTGACAAAATGTGCTGAAACAATCTGTTGCTGTTGTAACATTTATCCATCTCAAATAAGTTGTAAATCTTGCTGTACTGTTCAGAGTTAAGAATGTATTGACAAAGTATCTAGAATAGAGGCCTAGAGAAACAGGCTTGATAAGTGTTTTATGTTTTCTAACTACTGTAACATTGGTCACTGCAGGGTGCGTCTGCTGGGAGCTTTGGAGCATAAAGATGTTCGGGGAGTGCTGGTGCAGGGTCACATTTTCCTCAACACTTCTCTGACTGAAGCATTCTGCATGGCTATCGTAGAGGGAGCCAGCTGTGGACTTCAGGTTTGTACCCACTGATACGGCAGTTTAAGTCAGGGACATCATTTCAAATGTGGGTATGATTTCACATGTAGAGGAGTAAGATACTCATCTCCCCCAATAACTAGGTCACTAAAGACATTTAAGTGATACTGAACATTAGGAAAACCTCTGCACCGATGGCTATAAAATGACAAGATTAAGATCTTGTTTTTTTAGTTTACCTGGACTTGAGGCTGGGTATGGTATCTACACAAAAATCTATGTTGGTGTAGGATTGATCATCAAGTTTCAGGCATCAATGAGAACCAGGATTCACATTATGATTCTCCCTGGATTCGTTCAAATTTTTACATTTTGATTCCAAGTTTTGCTTTTTTTAACTTAAATATCCAACTAGCGTTAGTCTTTGTTCTTTTTCATAGACAAATGACCTGACAACAAAGGTCAGTTTTTTTATACTGGTTGAAAATAGCCCTGTGAGAAATTTATAGTGAAGTTCATAAAAGGTCATTTAATTAAAAAATTCAAGTTCAGACATTTTATCCAGAAAGAACTCTGGTTACCGCCTCATTTAAAAGATGCACTTTTCCTTTCCTGCCTTTTGAAAGAATCAGAATAGGGAATCATTAGAAACATGAATCAGAATGAGGAATCGGAACTTGAATTGTTCAAATTCAAATGATGCCCAACCCTAGTTGTATGTGGTTTTAGCTTCAGCAGAGCACACATCTGTCTGGCCAAGCTTAACAGGGATACAGGGTGTGGTCAGAAACTGTGATAGCCCTAGACGGCCAATACTTAAGCTTCTTTTCCTAAGCTAATTTAAGCAAAGACAAATTTATATTTGCATTATTTTTTGTAAGACAGAGGAACACCACGGCAGATTCTCACATTGTGGATGATGTTTCCTTCCTAAGGTGGTAAGCACCCGAGTGGGGGGTATTCCCGAGGTGCTACCTGACGACCTGATTACCCTGTGCGAGCCAACAGTGCGGTCGTTATGTGCTGGTCTGGAGACAGTCATTGCCAAGCAGCGTTCAGGGTCTGTCCCCTCCCCCGCCTCCATTCATGCAAAAGTGAGAAACCTCTACACCTGGAGAAATGTTGCAGAAAGGACTGAAAAGGTGGGTCAATCAACACCAAAGCCATATCCTCTCAGACAGCACTAGACTTAAGCACACAGTTTGAGAGGAGAACTACACATTGACACTATGCCTCACTATAGTGCCTCCATGTGTTACACTTAACAAATATTCTCCCTTGAACAGTCAGTATATAAGAGCCGACTGAATTATGTTATTTCAGGTAATCAGTATATCAATATCCAATTGGTTATTGTGCGATACATTTGTGATGAAAGTGTATTGTTCTTTCTGGATTGTAAAGGTGTGTGAGTTAGATTGGAAAAATGCAGACCCACACATGTAGTCAGCAGGCCAATGAAGGTTTTTCTGTCTGTCTGTCCCTTTTCAGGTATATGATCGAGTGGCTGGAGAGGAGGTGCTCCCCCTGGACAGACGGCTACAAAGACTGAGGACTCACTGTGGACCTGTTGCTGGCTCTATCTTTGCACTTTTCGCTGTTATGGACTTTCTCTTCGTGCTGCTCCTGCAGTGGCTGGTGCCAGATCGTTTCATGGACATGGCTGTGGACGCCACTGGCCCCCAGGGATTGTGGAGGCAGGAAAAGAGCAGAAAAGATAGTGCCATTAATTGAAACACAGATGCCATTATAACTTTCAGTCCAAACTTTTGTTTTTTTTCCATGGTTGAACTGAAGTTAAAAGACATGGCGGCTGAATGCAAAAAGTGCTCACAGTGACTTCTTAACTGTTTACATGTACTCATCAAAGGGGACGTAATATAAAGTATAAAAAAATCAGAATTAATTTTTTATATTCTTGTGAATTGAGCTCAAACCTGTGGAATTTAGGGAGATTTAGGAAGCATGTTTGCACAGAATGACCTGCACTGCACAGGAAGAATTAAAGGGTTAAGTTACTGCACACGGATGGGGATAATTCGCAGCAGTAACCTACTCTCAGTTCACATGCATACCTCATCTACAGTAGAGTAAGGGTTTTTATTAAGAAGAGTCCCAATTTGTGCAAAGCTGAGCATCTCTGCAATCTCCATATGTCTGTTTTGTTAAATTAAGGCCATTACTTTGCTTAAAATGAGATGTTACATATCTATAAGATAACTTTGGGTTTCTGCTGATAACTGTTCGATACTCAGGCCAGCCACTTTGGAAAATAAAGCACACTGTTGCTATGTTTCATTTGTTTTCAAGTTGTCTTTTATCGTCTATTATCTCAGACATCATAGCAACATAATCTTGTTGACATTTTGTACGAGATTACAGAAGCCAACTTGAAACACAGTAAATTACTGCTTTCTTAGAGCTAGGGTTACAAAAGAGATGGCTCTGGAATGAATGGTGCCAGACAAAACAGAGTATCTGTGAAAGGGGAGGTGATGTGAACAGCTTGGTGTGGTGTTTAATGGCTAACCAAATTTTAATTCTCCAAATAAGTCTTTGTGACATACGGAGAACTTGAGTTGACTTTACAGGACTTTCTGAATGAACCGTTTTGCTGTTGTGCTTTTCTGTGAACATCTATCTGTATGTAAGACCAATTTCTGTATCAACAGGGGCCCATCCCAATAGCCCTTGTTATTCAAATATTGTAGAGTATTTCCATGGGTGGGAGGTGACGATGTGGGGGAGGTGGCCATGGGCTGAGATAAGAGGGGGGCAGAAAAACAAGGTTTGAGTTTCTGCTTGGGCAAGGTTGAGCTAAGGACAGTCTTGAGGGGAGTGTGCTGTTAACTTGCATCATGGCTGCTGTTCAGAGTGGAGTTTCCTCATTCCCACTGCCCTGGCAGAGGCCCTCATACATCTATGGAGCACTTCTGTGCAACTCTCTGATGGCTGGTAAGTTCTTTTGGCTGCTTTAAGTAATGTTACTCTAGTAGAAACCAGAGCAGTACTCCAGCCGCGTGATCACATTTATGACTTTTTGAGGAAAAAAGTTCTAACTTTCTGATACTGCTGGTCAACACCAACAGATTTGCACATAGAGTTAACCTTTATATTCTTGTGTATGTTCTGAAAGTTACAAATTACTGACAACAAACTTCACATGTAGAGATTTTTGACTTTCTCCTCAAAGTGTGTTGTGCTAGGGTAACCCTCGAGTCTGACTACACAGGTCTTCCATTGCATCATAACAAAGAGGGCACACATGGCCTTGAGCACTATCTGTGGGGTTTTCTGAAGCTGGAGACCCTGCTTATCTTACTCTCTGGTTTCTCAGACTCTGGTTTATCAGACAGAACTCCTCTCCATGAAGCTGCGTACCAAGGTAGACTGCTACACCTAAGAAGTCTCATCGCTCAGGTTAGCATCCAACAGCTTATCAAATCATAATGCTAATAATAAGATGTGTATAGAAAATATTACAGCACATTCACACCGAGGACATAACACCCTCTCACCTCCTCTGCAGGGCTTTCATGTGGACACTCTCACCATGGACAGAATCTCACCTCTCCATGAAGCCTGCCTTGGTGGCCATTATGCTTGTGCCAAGTTCCTCCTGGACAATGGTGCAAATGTAAGAAAATCATCTCCCATTTTCATAAATTTCATAATTTTTCAGGACTTCCTCTTTTTGTGCCCATGAGCTCTGTATGAAGAAGCTACATGACATATTTGAAATGGGTGAATTCTCCTGACTGAAATTTTGCGAAACCAGAGGTGTGTTGTGATTTCTAAACCCAAGGTTTCATCTAAGTAAAATGGTAAAAATACTTAAAAGCCGCCAGAGAAAGCACATGTGAAACACAAGCAAAGCATGTGGCCTCAGGAAATGTGGCTAACATTATGACCACAGGTACATGAAATGCAACCAAGGATTGGAGCAGATGGACAGATGACTCCATCTCCTTTTACGCAATGTTTGAATGTAGCTGACCCTTAATTGGACTTTATGTGAATACACAGGAGAAGAAAAAGTCATAAAAATAAGTCATACGATTATCTTGAAGGACAGCAACAAAGTGGTAATACTACAGGAGTTAGAGCCAAAAAGAATACATGTACGAGACATTTGATGTGCAAAAATAAGAAGGCATAGGAAGCAAAGACAAACAGTGTAACACTACTGGATATCTGACAGGAATATTGAAATGCAATAAACTTATGGATACATACATCCTGATTATTCAATTTACTTGAAAGATTTGCCCATAATAAATACATTAGATCAGTAATGTGCATTCTTTTTATTTGGACCATGTGAAGGTGCATGCAGTATCAACAGATGGCGCCACACCTCTCTTCAACTCTTGCAGCAGTGGGAGTGCAGCCTGTGTGAGGCTCATCCTGCAGCACAAGGCTTCAGTCCACACGCCCTCTCTGCTTGCATCACCCGTCCACGAAGCAGCTAAAAAGGGTGAGTTTGTGTGCCAGCATTTGTGAGTCAGTGAAGCTGTTCTGTGTGGCAGCACAGGTTTTGATGTTTTGTTGTTTCACCTCAGGTCACAGAGAGTGTCTGGAGCTGCTGCTGTCATATGGAGCTCACATTGATCTTGAGCTCCCAGTGTTGGGGACTCCTTTGTATTCTGCTTGCATGGCTCAGGCTATGACTTGTGTAACACTTCTGCTATACTCAGGTAAAACAGTCTGGAAACTCTATTTTGTCAGGTCACAAAAGTAGTTAAATTCTTGGTGTTATAACAAGAGGTCAAAGAGAAAACCCTTATTTTGCCATGTATCATGTAGAATTCAATCAAAATAACAAATCATGTGCGCAAGCTAGCTTAGGATATTTAAAGATTTTGTGTTGAATCAAAGGTGCTGATGTTGGAGTCGGGTGTGGACGGGACACCCCTTTGCATGCTGCTGCTCAGTGTGGAGGGGCTGAAATCGTGGATCTTCTGTTGGACTTTGGGGCTGATGGGTGCTTTAAGAATGCAGAGGGAAAGACCCCACTGGACCTTTCATTGCCAAACAGTGAAGTGAGGAGTGTTCTACAGAAAAAAGGTTTGTATTCAATGACATGCATGTGAAGCATATTTCCAACACTGCTTTTTGATCTGAAAGATGTAAATACACTCTGGCTTCTGTCTCTGCCCAGGTCCCTGTGCCCTGTCTCAGCTCTGTCGGTTATGTATCAGAAGAAGTCTGGGAAGAAGTCGTTTCCACAGGGCCTCCAGCCTTTTTCTTCCTCCCATTATTATGGACTTCCTCCTCTATCAGTGAAAGTTTCGGCCCAACCTTTGTGACCATGTGCCTTGTCAAAAGCATGTAAAAGAATATGACCATGGTCAGAGAAAAGAGCTGAGTCCTGTCCCTGAAACTTCAAAAAACTGTTATTTTTGTAATTATCATTGAAATTCTTCATATGTATTTTACATGAAAATGAAAATTTTCAAGATACATTTAATTTTTTTGTGCAGCTATTTAGATGTATCAGATTGTTTTTACATTTATCCTTTATCAAGAGCTTTTATTTGTAGTTTTTTAAATGTTTTGGTATGTTTACCTTTTTAAAGGTTATGGGGGTTTATTACTGATTATTTGACAGAGGCGGTAAAAAGTTGGCTTGGCTCTGTGAGTCAAATGAAATAAAGTAAATGCCTGCAATGTTGTTCAGTTTTTGTCACCGGTTAGGAAGTGTTAGTGGTGCCAGTAAAGAAGTTTTTGCAAAGGTTTATGCTGTTTTGAGTTATATATCACTTGCAAGCATTTACAGTATTGGTATTTACAATTTACCACGACTTAAATTTACGCCAGAATATCGTTTTTTAAGGATCCTCATTACCATGAGAAAAGACATCACCATGATGCCTGTCCTTTTGAATCACCATGTCACAATGTGCTGTATGAGAAACATAAGTGATTTCTAAACTTAGTTAAGACCTTTTTTTTTTTTTTTGGCTGAGCTGTATGTGTTTGAATCACTGTGTTTCCTGTGGAGCCAAATGGCATTCTGGAACAACAGGCGACATTATTCGGATAGCTACTAAAGGTTATTTTAGTTACTGCAGTGATATGTATACAATTTACATTTCAGAATACACACACACACTCATAAATGAAAGAATTTTGGCTGAAACATGAAGGATGTTCTGTTTTTCACACACTATTTGTATCTAGTACCTATTATGTGCCTGTAAGTGGTTCAGTTCTACCAAGTAAAACTAAACCTTGGTTTTTATTCAAGTTTCCCCTAAGGGCCACAGTCAGAAGTGAGGCGGACCCCTTTAGCTCTCCCATGATTCTTGCCTCACCTTGTCGAGGTTCTATCTCCCAAAACCACCTGTTTGTAAGCTAAATAGCTAAAGCTAAATATGGCTGGGGTTAATTTGATACACCCACAGAAGATTCTTACTGTCTGTCATGTGTCATGGCACCTTTGCCTCTCGCCTTCTCCACATGTGTCTTTCAAACGAGAGTTACATATGTAACTGCGGTTCTATGAATCCTAGATGACTGAGCTTTAAGCACTGAATGAATCCATCTCGCGCATACGCAGGTCGAGTGTTTATACCAACAAAGTCACGTTTGACCCCTGATGACCCGGTCAGTCTATATCGTCCGGTGACATCAGAGGATCTGTTCCTGCAGAATCTTATCGCGAGAGCACAAGGATTCTGAGTGACGGAATGCTCTGGCGGTCATCCAGGATTCATAGAACCACAGTTACATATGTAACTCTCGTTCTATTTCATCCTTACTGACCGCCAGAGGAGGTGCTTTAAGTACTAGAACCCATATCAACAGAGTCATGAAGAATTCCAACACCAACCTCTTTGAGAGGAAACAGCAGAGTCGGGCCACAGAACCACCCAAGAGGTGGGGGGTGGCAACATTCACCTGATAAAATCTGGTAAAGGTACTTGGCGATGCCTGATGCTGCCTCACATATGTCCTCCAGGGGCACACCACGCAGGGCCGACCATGATGTTGAGACAGCCCTAGTAGAGTGGCACCTCACTCCTGATGGTACGGGGCGACCACTTCTTTTATATGTATGGGTGATGACATCCACTACCAAATGAGACTATCGCTGTTTGGAGAGAGCACAGCATTTTCTAGGGCCACCATAGCAGAGGAAAAGCTGGTTCGACCATCTAATACTTGCAGTTGCGGCCACATAGGCTGTCAGAGCCAGCACAGGGCACAGCAGTTTTAATCTTTCCTCACCTTCCGGGGGAACAAATTGTGCCAAGTGGATTTGTCTTCCAGTCTTTCTACATGTCAACCTCACAACCAGGGGGGAGGAAAAATTGTATGACTTGTATTGAGCTTTTAAAGTTTGTCCACAGAACAGTCAAAAGTTGCTGTTCTCGTGGACGCTTCGCTCAGCGAGGAGGCAGATGATGTCCATTCTATATACAGTCTATGGTGTAAACCAGTCTGATTGCAAAAAACAAACTATTAGAGGGACATTTTATGCCAGCTGTTGATCAGTATCATTATGGTGAACTTTTGGTGATAAGGATAATGTCTCCTCTGACCCAGAAATAATAAACACACAGGGCTGACACCCTTTCAATTCAGTTTAAAGTGAGAGTGAATGTAGATGATAATGTGATCAAGAAAACATTCCTACTGGAAACAGGTTTATGCATTAATAAAGCATCCATCAGCATATTTACAGCTCAAAATATCATCTTCACCAGCCGCTACACTCTTACAACAGATGTGTTCAAAGCAAATCATGTTAAACTGAACAAATCTTAAGTGTCTCTATTTTGTCAAATAAGTCTCCACAAAGATGTTATTCTAAAATAAAATTGTTATTTTGACACAAATACATTCTGGTCAATAGTATTGTAATTACAACCTGGTGGTTTAAACATATAGCTTTAAAATGTCTGTTTGTGAAAACATGACAGAAAAATGTATTTCTATTTCTGTACTTTCGTATCTTCAATTCACTTCAGTATGACCCACTTTGGACAAAGAAAACAAAATTACCTTTTTTTTTTTGCTCATCTAGACACATTTTTGACTCTGTTTTGTGAATGAATGTATACTACCCTAAAAATGGTCCAAATTGTCTATTTGAAAATACTCATGTTCAGCCCATTATAAACTGTGATGAATCTTAACAAATCACAGAACAGCTGAAGATCACTTGCATGTTAGTGCCTTGAAAAGTCAAAAAACAACTTGTTCACAACACAGTAAAGATGACATGCAGATTCCCTCGATCAAAGGTGGAAATCCAATTTTTTAAAATTATTCCATCCATCCATCTTCAACCGCTTACTCAGGGTCATGGGGGCAGCAGCCTGAGCAGAGAAGCCCAAACTTCCCTCTCCTCAGCCACTTCGTCCAGCTGCTCCCGGGGGACCCCGAGGTGTTCCCAGGCCAGCTGAGAGACATAGTCTTCAGCGTGTCCTGGGTCTTCTCTACTGTCATCTACTGGTGGGACGTGCCCTGAATGCCTCACCAGCAAGGCGTCTGGGAGGCAACCTGATTAGATGCTCAAGCCACCTCATCTGACTCCTCTCAATGAGAAGGAGCAGTGGCTCTACTCTAAACACTATATCGAGAGCTTTACCTTTCGGCTCAGCTTCCTCTTTACCATGACAGATCTGTGCAATGATCCGCCTGTCGATGTCCCGCTCTCCCAGGTGACCTGGGTTCAGGCGAGAAAAACTGTGTGCCAAAATCTTTTATCTATCATCATGGGTCTGTTTGAGCCACACTTAGTCTGGTCCCTCCCACAAGACCTGTTTGCCATGGGTGTCTCTGCCAGAGGCATAAAGCCCCTGACAGCACAGCTCCTGGGATCATTGGGACACGCAAACCCCTCCACCACGGTAAGGTGGTAGCTCGAGGAGGGGGAAGGATTTTTTTTTTTAATGTATCAAATTTGATACTTGGGGAAACCGGAGCGGCCCGGAGAAAACCCAACGGTCAAGGTACAGCATTTATTGTTGGGGGTCAGCTCACACCTGATTCTGCCCCTGTTGCTGGTGTTTAAACTGGCGCCTGTGCCTTGGAGTCATCAACTTCTTAAACCTGCGCCATGCTGAGACACTCTCCATCTCACGTTTGATCCAGTCTTCTTCGATCTCCTCAGTGGCCTCCTGAAAGTCCACAGGGGCTCCTTGGATCTCCTCAGTGGACTCCTGGATCTCCTCTGGTGCGTTTGGGTTGTCTTCAGGTGGTGTGACATCCACAGGAGTGTCTCCCTTACTGTCCTTTTCCTTTGTCATACACTCATAGAGCTCTTCTTGCTTGAATCCATCCACTTCCCTCTGTAGTGTCTCATTAGCCTTTACCTGAATGATCAGTTGGGAGTTAAGCTGGGGGATGCTGTTGGTCTTCTCCAGCTGTAACTCTAACCTCTCCAGCTTCTCTGTACCTTTCTCACTGCTCTCTGCCTCCTTCTTAAGGATCTGGATCTCCTGTTGAGGAGCCTCTTTTTCTTCAGTCAGTCTCTGAAAAATGGGTCGCGCGAGCTGATGCTTGGTGCCCTCTAACTCTTTTTCCAGGACTTCTTTGTGACGGGTTTCACTTTTCAGCTGGCTGCTCAAAGCTGCAACAAGCACCAGGAGCTCTTCCTTGGTCTTGTGCTCATAAATTGATACCTCCTGAGCTGCATTAAGGAAAGGTGTCATTTTTTCCACCTCTTTTTCTAAACATGCTGACTTTTCCCTCTCCACTTCAAGAAGCTCTTCCGTGTTCTTCAGACGACGCTGTTGGTCTTTGTTCTCCTCCAGCCATAGTGGTATATTGAAATACATTTCACCATCAGGAGCCTGCCAATGATCAGGGAGGGCCTGCTGTTGGCCGTGGTAGGCCTGCTGATCAGTGGGGGCCTGCTGTTGGCCGTGGGAGGCCTGCTGATCAGTGGGGGCCTGCTGTTGGCCATGGGAGGCCTGCTGATCAGTGGAGGCCTGTACATTGGGGGCCTGCTGTTGGCCATGAGAGGCCTGCTGATCAGTGGGGGTCTGTAGGTTGGGGGCCTGCTGCGGAACAATACAGGCCTGCTTTTGAGCATTGGTGGGCCTTTGCTGCCCATTAGTGGTCTGCCACTGTTGATTCTGGGCCTGCGGCTGTGGTAGTTGTCCATGGGTGGCTTGGTATCGTCCATTAGCAGCCCGATATGGTTGATTCGGGGCCTGCCACTGTCTGTAGGAGGCGTGATTCTGTCCATAGGGGGGCTGATATTGTCCATTGGTAGCCTGATGTCGATTTACATGACTTGGCCTTGGATGATTTTGGAGCCTGTAAGGGGTCTCCAGCAGGGCAGGGCGCTGCTGCCTGTAAGGGGTTTCCAGCAGGGCAGGGCGCTGCTGCCTGTAAGGGGTCTCCAGCAGGGCAGGGCGCTGCTGCCTGTGAGGGGTTTCCAGCAGGGCAGGGCGCTGCTGCCTGTGAGGGGTTTCCAGCAGGGCAGGACGCTGCTGCCTGTGAGGGGTTTCCAGCAGGGCAGGGCGCTGCTGCCTGTGAGGGGTTTCCAGCAGGGCAGGGCGCTGCTGCCTGGAAGGGGTCTCCAGCAGGGCAGGGCGCTGCTGCCTGTGAGGGGTTTCCAGCAGGGCAGGGCGCTGCTGCCTGTGAGGGGTTTCCAGCAGGGCAGGGCGCTGCTGCCTGTATGTTGTTCCTCTTGCGATGCTCATCTCTAATATTTCCAGTTACAGTGACTGTAAACTCCACTAACTGTGTTGTTGTGTGTCAGACTGAATCTATCAGATACTGTGTGTGCTGAGCTGCTGTCTCCTGGCTATATATATAAAGACTTCTGTTGCTTTAATCTGCTTTAAGAAATCATCCTCTTGTGACATCATCGCTTTGAAGAAGGGAAATCGATGACATCATCGCCTTGTGACATCATCACTTTGTCATTTTCTCCCAATGACATCATCGCCTCGTGACATCATGGAACTTATGGAATTTCTGCCTGTTGTTTACATTTAAACAAAAATGGCTGCCTCATGGATTTCATTTAGAGCAAATTATATGTCTGTGAGTGTGTATGTGCAAACCATAGACTGTATACAGAATGGACAATTTAAGCCAAATTGCATTTGGTATTTCTGGGATTTTCTCTGTTTCCAAAAACCTGTATTTGTGCAGCAGCACTCAGCGGAGAGTTGGTGTGACGATGCTCCGCTTAAACAGCATAACCCTCAGATGTCCTGCTCATCCTTCCTGCGCCCAAAAGCTGTATCAATTGTCAATCATAGAAAACATGAACCCCTAATAACTTTCAAAAAATGAACTGCACAGAAAAAAATGGGCTTGATCACATGTCAACCTCGCAACCAGGGGAGAGAAAAATTTATATGATTAGGATCATTTATCCTCTGACCCAGAAATAATAAACACACAGGGCTGACAACCTTTCAGTTCAATTTAAAGTGAGAGTGAATGTAGGTGATAAAGTGGGATCAAAAATGTGATCAAAAAAACATTCCTACTGGAAACAGGTTTATGCATTAATAAAGCATCCATCAGCATATTTACAGCTCAAAATATCATCTTCACCAGCAGCTATACTCTTACAACAGATGTGTTCAAAACAAATCATGTTAACATATACCTATACATAAACTTTGAATCAAGATATACCTAAATACTTGGCAAGTGAATACTTACATATACCTTTTTAAGAGTATACTCAAAGAGTTCACTTTTAAAAAGAAAAGCAGTATAAGCCAAGTATACAATATGTGCTAATATTGAAATAATAGCATACCAATGCTTCAGAGCCTCTGTGCAGATAGTTGAGTGGATTAAGGCACACCCCATGTTGAAGGAAATCCCCCCCCCCCCATAAATAAATAAATATATTTATGAATAAATAAATAACAAGTAAATTAATAAAGGTATGCTACAAAGTAAACTTTTATAATCTAAAAAGGGGACTAGAAGTTTATTACTAGTATACCAAGAAGTTTACTTTTAAGAATACTTTAATTAAATATATTTAGACTTTTAGTATAATTTTTAGTACAAGCCAAGTGTCGTTAACATTGACTTTGTTAAGTATATCTCTGAAAATGCATAAAAAGGAAACTGAAAGCATATTTTTTTTAAAAACAGTGTACTTGAAGTACACTAAAACACTTCTTTTTGGTAAGGGTCACTTTGGACCAAGAAAACAAAATGACCTTTTTTGTCACTCACCTAGACACATTTCTGACTGTTTTGTGAATAAATGTCTACACCCCTAATAATTGTCCAAATTAATTTGTCTATTTTAAAATACTCATGTTCAGCCAAAAAAAATGTAATGCATCTTTAAAAATCACAGAACAGCTGAAGGTTATTCTTGTGTTAGTGCCTTGACAAATCAAAAAATAACGCAACAGTAAAAATAACATCCAGATTCTCTCCCTCAAAACTGGAAATCCACAAAAAAGTAAAAATTTAATCCACCCTTTTTTAATGTACAATCAGGTCCAACAAAGGGATTCAATGAGAGAAGTTTTACCAATACTGAAACCTCAGCTAGTAGAGAAACCTTTGGTGCTTACACACATATTACAGTAAGTGTCAAGTTGTAGAAGATTATGGCAAATACAATATTGGTTCTTTAACTTTTAAAGCATCATGCAACAACAGACTTTTTAGGTGTCTTACAACTGTGATTATGTCAATGACTCTGACTGAATCAATGAATGCTGAAAAATGAGAGCATGAGTCCAAATTGAACAATTTCTGTCATGGACCTGTTGCTGCAGAAAACACACAAGCCGTTAGACAGTGGTTATATTTGTACTCCTGCTACTCTGTCTGTGGAGCTTTTCAGGAGGAGCACAGCACAGGAGCTGCCTGTTGAAGTGTTTCCTGAAGCTGTTGCTCATCAGGTAAAGGGCAAATGGGTTCACGCAGGAGTTGGTAAAAGCCAATATGCGTGCAAGCACACTGGCAATGAAGTGGCCCAGTGAGGTGTCTACCTTGTCATAGTGGTAAGAGCGGTACAAGTAGAGCACATGACTGGGCAGCCAACAGACAGCAAACAGGCCGACAAACACCAGGACAGTCTTAGCCACTCTCTGCCTGGACTTGATCTGGAAAGACAAGAGAAAGAAAGTCATGTTAACCATGCTTTGTAGTCTAATCTCTTAGTTTGTGTAACTTTAACTCTCCGTGGACTCTTTTTCTGGTAACTCTTTGTATGTAGGGATTAGCCAGGCTTCCCTTGCCCGCCTGCAGCCTGTGCAGAACTCTGCTGCCTGTCTCCTGACTCAGACCTGCAGGCATGAGCACATCACCCCCATCCTGGTGTCCTTACACTGGCCTCCTGTACGGTACAGAATTAATTTTAAGCTTTTAATATTTGTTTTAAAGGCCTGAACAATCTTGCTCCACCTTATATTTCCGAGATGCTCCAGCCTTACTGCCCACCCCGACCCCTAAGATCAGCTGATCAGCTGTTACTGACGGTCCCCAATACAAGGCTGAAGCTCAGAGGTGACAGAGCATTTGCCCCTGCTGCTCCTAAGCTCTGGAATGAGTTGCCCTTGACAATTAGACAGGCTTCCTCGTTTCCTGTTTTTAAAACCCTTTTAAAAACGCACTTTTACTCCTTGGCTTTTAACACATTGTAGTGTTATTTTGTTTGTTATCATCATAGCACTTGCCGTGAGCCTGCTTATTTGTATATTTATTTTTTGCATTTATGTATTCTCGTTCACTTTATCTTGTTCTTTGCCTGTTTTATTTGTTTTTTTATGTCTCAATGTACAGCACTTTGGCTACCCCTGTGGTTCTTCTAACTGTGCTATAGAAATAAAGTTGATTGACTGATTGGTTTCTTATCCAGTTTCTCTGAAAATGGTGAAACAGTAACTCTCAAACAGAGAGGAGCATCTTATGAACCTATGTTAGAAATCCGATGCACTCACCTGTCTCTGGATGTGAAAGTTTCCCTCAGCTGGAACATCTGCAGAGCTCCTGACCAGGCTCAAAGCTATGTAACAGTAGTACACAGAAATTATGAGGAGCGGGATGATGTAGAAGATGAGGAAAGAGGCCATGGAGTGGATTTTGGGATGCAGCTCTCCAGCATGAGGGTAGGGTGCACAGGTCACAAACGTCTCATTGGTGTAGCTGGTGGTGAAGGTGTGCAAATCGGAGAAGATGGCCTCGGGTATGGCCAGAGTCGCAGAGAACAACCAGATGGCTCCAGCTCGGAGACAGACACTGAGCTTAGTGTTGGATCTGTGGTTCTCCAGAGGCTTGACGATGGCTTTGTACCTGAGAGGAATAAAAGCAGCAGGGCATCAGTGTTCATCCTCTGATAGATGCATTAAACTTTCATAAAAGTTGTATCACCAAAGATAAGCAACATAGATTAAAGTTGTCTGAAAAGAAGGTAATTTGCCTTTCATAACTAATGAAGCTAATCAAGGGGGGGCCCTTTGATGGCTGTGTATGCACTTCCCTGAGCCTATGATCATCAAGTGTCCTTCTTTCCTCTGTATCGAATAAAACAAGAAGAGACTTTGAAAGACATAGATCAAGAGGAAAAGGAGTATTTCAACACACAAATCCACGGGAGCGTGTACCTGTCAGCTGAGAGAGCGGTGAGGGTGAACACGGACACTCCCACCGATGTGAGCTGGATGAACGGGATAAGTTTACAGCCCACCCGGCCGAAGAGCCACTCGTCCACCAGGTACCGACTGGCGTCCACCGGAGCGCAGGTCACCAGCAGCAGCAGGTCCCCCAGAGCCAGGCTGGACAGGAACAAGTTGGGTACGGTCCGCATAGATTTTACCAGCAGACACGTCTTCATCATAGTCACATTTCCCACCAGACCCACGATGATGATGGTCCCGTACACCGCAGCGATCCCAATCCCGGGGAGCCAGATGTTGTACTCATGTTGCCTTCCACTGGAGTCTAAAAGTACCCCAGTAACATTCAGAACTGGATCCCTGCCGTCCTCTGTTGAAGCAGCAGAAGAGTCCTCCAGAGACATAGTAGCCTTCAGGAGGAGGACGGGGGTTTGGGCAGGAGCGCCTCCTGATGTCTCATTTTTATCAACATAATGCCCCCCTGCTGTCGCGTGCGTCATTTCACGCGCCTCAGGCTGAGCCCTCGAGATTACGGAGGAAAAAAAGCGGCTGCAGGGAGTTGATAGGTTGACTTGTGGGATTCAATTTCCCTCTCAAGCAGCTGCAAAGTTTTTGAAATGTCACTTCTTGTTTACAGTTAAACCGCTCCGAAAGTTTCCTCCTTTTCGTAAAAGTAAATCAGGATGAATTGGTTCAAATAATCACAATTCGAAGCCAATTAGTTTCAATATACAATACACTTTGTCTGATACAGGGTCTGATATCATTAAAATATCTCTATAATGAAGGTTTTGTTTGCTTTGGTGGCTCATGAATGCATAGCTTAATTTGAATTTGTTTCAAACTATATTGTCTACATAAATCAACTTGGTAACTGAAAACAACAAAGTGACTAAAACTAGGACACTGATTCATGCCGATTTCTCTAGGAACTTTAAAGAACAGTAGGCAAAATTTCCTGACCACAAGTATTTACCAAATGTAACGAGCATTATTGAAATGCAAAGAAAGCTACTCGCAGCCCATTGCAACAAGTTCTGCCTCTGATGAGCAAATAAGCTATTAAAGTTTAGGATTTCTGTTGACTCCAAAAGTGCCTGAAATAATTTTGCCATATAAATGCAAATAGTTTTTCCTCATTGCACATAAACAAAACAGAGAAAAATATCGTTCCACTAGTGTGACTTTAACTTTTTTTTAATTTTCGAGCTTTTTCAATCCAAATTAATATCTTGAGTCAAAACTTTTCATTTTGATTAAAAAAACAAAATTAATACAAAGTTGGATATTCCAAACAGTGTTTACTATCTAAGGAAAACACAGGCATCAAAGTCAAATTGCAGCTTGGATTTGAGCGTTGCAATTTTTTTTGTGAAATCACAAACAGAAATAATCTCCAAAACCAATGGGATTCCTCTTCGCGTAATGACAACATAGACTTATGTGAACCAAATCATGTTTTCAGAGCTGCAACTACATCCATGTCTCCTCTCCTTTGATGTCGACTTTCTCACAATCTCCCTCTATCAAAATTCAAAATGAAAGGTGGAAAAGTCTTCGTTCTTTTTCGCTGGTCGGAAATATAATTTGATCTTCGTCTGTTCCCACATTCATATCTTCTTGACATTCAAGGTCTGTTTCCCTGCTTTCAAAGAGGAGTTCTTCGGCAGTGTGATAAAGTTGTACAGCAAATATCTGAAATGTGTTACATTGTCAGTTTTCACCAGGTTATTGTGTTTTTGCTGTAAAATGTCAGAAACTGTTGGCCCACTGTGATTGATAAAATGCAAGGGAGGCCTCTGGAACAAGAAACAAAGAAATATTAGCAGCCTACTTTGAGATTATGATAGGTTTATCAAGCAAATCTGAGTAAAAATATTTTTAGAGTCTCAGTCTCTAAGCCACAATTGAACTTTATGAATACGTCAACTTTGAAGTTAAAAAATAGATAAAATGTGATATTCAAATCTGCTAAGAAAGGCTTCAATCATTTACGTCAGTGAAACAATGGGTACAGTTGTTGGGTCAAAGCTTGTCAAAAGCTTTAAGTTTGTCAAATGTTACCCTTAAACTATTTATTCACTTTTACTTTTTCATTTTAATCTTTTGTGTTGCATTTTAAAACCTCAGAATATGACTCTAATTGAGCTAGCTTTAAAACCAAACAATATTAGCACACAAATAAAAGTAAATGATCAAACGTACATCTGAAATATGGATTAAATAAGGTTGTAAAGAGGAACAAAGTTAATTCAGCTACATCACATTTTATACAGTCAATCAATAGTTAAGTTGATTTATGCTGATTATGCTGTTAAGTATGACTATTATTTAACATGTTTAGGATTCTCTGCTTAGTCCCATTTCAAACAACAGACACGTGGTCCTGTGCAGTACTTCAGCACCATGGACAGCACCTCACAGAGTCTACTGCTGTCGTCACCTGCTGGAGAAAATGCTGAACTTAACCCTAGGAAATATATGTCTATCCTGAGGAAATTGTTATATTGTTTGGATAACAGGTTAAGAGCAAGACACAGGCTAACAGTAAAGATAAATTAAACTTACTGACAAAAAGTCAAATGTTTTATTGGTCATGAGCATATTTTTTTGTGTGTGTGTGTTCTGCCTCAGTTGATCAATCTGCTCAAAACCTGACTGACACTGTCATAGCTTGAAATGTGTCAAACCTCAGGCAAAACAAATACCAATCTCTCATTAACTCTGAGCTGGTCTTGGTGGAAAATGATCTTAAAGTACTCCCAAATCAAGCTGTTTTGTACATTCAGATTTGTACATCTGTGTGACGCATTATGTATTACTAACAAAACATACTGAACATAGAGTTTTGCATTCAAATCTTACTCTAAGCCACTCATTTTTATCTAGATCAACAAATCACAGTTTCACTAATTTGAATAATTAATCATCTTTATAATATTTTTTCTCATGTGAATTGTTTCTACTAGGTTACTTATTTTTTCAGTACCTTTGCCAACTCATGCCTTGAACTTATCAAAGCAGGATTAACTTGCTAGGTACTTGTTTTGCAGTAAGATTTTTTAATTGTGTCAGCGATTTGCTAGGTCATTGTCATAAGTGACATTTCATCGTTGTATCAATTACGTTTATGCTGTTCGGTGAATGGTCACTACTATTTATTCTTCATTTTGCCAATATAATCACCTTTATCTGCTCAATTATTTTTTTTGTCACAACTATTTATTCTTAGTTTGCCAATATAAACATTTAGCAGCCCTAGCCGTTGGCTAGCAGCCGCTTGCTAATGGCTAAAGTTAACGGCTTTCTCCGCAGCGAGTGAGCGTGGAGGCGGCGTGCATTGTGAATGCGCCCCAGAGATAAAACTAACTGCTCAGTTACATGTGCGATTAAACACGCGGCTGAGAAACGCGTCGTGAGGGAAGAGAAAGATAATTTTCCGGCAGACAAGCAATGTAGACAGACAAGCATTGTTAGCTAAATTGAAAAAGTAGCCAATTTACTTAAGTAAATTTGGTAAAGCAGAACAGCACCACATTCTCTATTAGTTAATACACTTAAAACAGTTCAGACAAGTTTATTTTCACACAAAATACTTAAACAACTTGGACTGAAGCTGGTCCACTCAAAAAAGTCCTCTTCTCCCTCTGCGCTGCTGGCCGTGACACACAATGAGGGAGAACTTGCCCTTGTGACGGAACGTGGTAAACCCCGTAGGTCCTCTTCAGCAGACCTCATGGGTCAATGTCAGAACTGCATTATGGGAATTTTTCCTACTTTGTTGTGCAAACAACAAATTGCAAATTCTGCTAATTTAGAATTACATATTTGGTCTCTATTGAGGTGCACATTGTTGGTCTGACATGTATTTTCTTGTAAAATACTAGCTATTTTAGTTTTCATGTTCACCCAATTAACAATACAAACTCTTGTGAATAGATTGTCGTTTTTTAACAGTGTGTATTTATAAAAGTATATGTTGAAATAGTCATTTGAGTCTGCAAACCAGACTAAGTAGTAACTTGGAGCAAAAGTAAAAGAGTAAAGTAACCTAGAGTACATTCCTGAACCCCTTCAATGAATGGCAAAAGTTGCAGATTAACAGTAGAGAGACTTTCAATGTGGCCCACTTAACATCACTTATTTGCCTGTAGACCTACATTAAATTTAGGACTTATAAGAATGGACTGATCGCTTTTCTTATGAGGTCTTAACCTACTTCTTAGATATGAAAATGATTTGGTCTATTTCCTCCGGCTCTGCCCATCACACATCAAACGTGAAATAGTGCAGGTCCCTGGAGGCAGACAGGCTGCAGGTCCCATCAGCCAATATGAGTCTGAACCATCACTGACAACAACCAATCAGCTGAGGGCTGATGGGAACGGATGAGCAATCGAAGTGTTGGTTCCTCTCTCACCCTTGGATACCTGGATCAGTAACCCTAACCCAGATCTGCTTTCCTGGTGAGGGCGTGCACCCTGTGCTGTTATTGTCGTCTCTCTATCAGTGATGGAAAACACTCGCTGCTTCACAAACCCCTTCTCTGACTACAAAGGTTCCTTGCTCCCGGGCCAGGGCGCGCAGATCGTCGTGCCCGCCGTCACTGCCACCATCGATAAAGTCCTGAAACGGGTTCCGATCGACATCAGCGACTGCGATGGAGGGCTGTATGATGGCCCGGCAGGGGTGGCTTATATGCTGTACCACGTCAGCGAGTGTCCGCTGTTTTCCGAGCACCGGGACGTGTACCTGAAGACAGCCAAGCAGATCATCGACGTCTCGGTCAGATACGTGGACGCGGAGCCGGACAAAAACATGCGTGCTGCCTTCCTGCTTGGAGGGGCGGGGGTCTACGCCGTGGCCGCTATGATATACAAAAGCATGGGCTTGGCTGATTTCGTCAAGCCGTTGACCAAATTTCGCAACATGTGGGAGGTGTGTGCGCCTATCAGTTTTCTGGAGTGCGGCTCGGATGAGCTGTTTGTGGGGCGGGCTGGGTACCTGTGTGCCGCTCTAGTCCTCAAACAGAAGCTGGGTATAGAGGTAAGACCTTAAACCACACAGAAGCACACGCATTTTCCTGATAAACAGGGTTACGCTGTAACCTCGCAAGGTCCTAGTAGGGGAGACCGGGGCTTGTTGTCACACTTTTCACACTCTTATATATTTCTTGGAATCAATACATCATATATAAACAACATGTGTACCAGATGAAAGACCAAAGACTTAAGTATGTATTTCGTAGTGATGTGACTTTCATATCTTGTGTCAGTGCAGAGTTATAAGCAATCAAATAGAGAGTGTGAACAGGTGACATGTTGCCCCACCATTGGGTAAGTTGTCACACTACATGGGGTCAGATGTCACAGTGGATTTTGCAACTAATAAAACAAGGACAAAATGATTGTTGTTCTCATTTTTTTACTTGAAAGTGAACATCAAAGTCAGGCACAGAAAATGTTTATCATTGAGCTTGAGAAAAATCGTTGAACATAGCCATTAAACAAAAGTTATCATAAATTTTATGTAACATGCTCTGGAGTTTGGAGAGCTGTCTGATAGTGTTTCGACCGGGACGAATGTTTTGCTGTACCGAGCCAAGGTATGGTAGTTGACATTAAAGACCTTTAGCGTACTCCAGATTGATTTATTAGCTAGGGTTACCTGCCTGACTGACCTCAGCATCACGTCAGGCACTGTATTGCCATGTTCTGTTTTTCTATTGAGATTCCTGACCATGTCTTCTCGTTGTAAAAATAAAGTCAAAATTTCTGTATGACAACTGCTGATAAACAGACTCTCTGTGTTAAATTTAATCCCTTTTAAACATGTAATAAGTAACCCCAAAATGACTGAGACATGTTGAGGCCCAAACTACCATGTTTGCTCATTAAAATTCTAGCTTAAAGTTAGCTTAAAACAGAACAATGATTGAGGTATGACAGGATACCTTAATCTCTCATCTAACAAGTCCACATGTTTCACTGCTAGGAATTTTATCTGGAAGAAGCTTATTTAAAATATATAAAGTTATTTTTTTTTACTTTGGGTTGTGTGAAATGGTTAATTGGGGCTAATCTCAGCTCACAATGTGCTCTTCTCTTTTCAGACAGGACATGACCCCTGACCATGTAAAGGAAGAAAACGAGTATTCCACTTTTTAGTTGCGCCCTCTGGTGGCAAAGATAATTGCAATGTGACAATTCACCCATGTGACAACAAGCCCCGGTCTCCCCTACACGTTTAAGAAAATGCAACAACCAACTGCAACACCTAATTATCCAATAACTGACTATTTTAAAGAACTGTTAGAATTTCACAAATTCTTGAAACCAGGTCCATATGGTTGGGTAAATAAACAAGCAAGAGTATGTAACTCTTCAGCCACAAATCTTTAAAAACTTGTACTTTACATGGAAAGAAACCACAGCACCTTGGTTTTGGTTGTATGTTTATATCTTATTCCTGCATTTACAGTGTTCCTGGTCCCTCAGCAGATATATCTGTCTTTTATTCTGCAGATTCTGAGTAAGGATCAAATCAAATCAATTTGTCAGGCCATCATTGAGTCAGGAAAACAGTATGCCAGGAGGAAGAGAAAGCCTTTCCCACTCATGTACTCCTACTATGGAACAGAGTATCTTGGTAAGGACATGAGGTTTGAGCAAAGTTACTCTTACTGAAATAGATCACCCCCCTCCTAAAACCTGAACCTGAAGTTCAGGTTTTAGAGCTCTGTCTCTCTTCAGAGCTGCTTGCTCAAGGGGGTTCTGTTGATATCACACAATGTTTATTATCCAAATTCTCTTAGCTGGTTCTCAACATAGGTTTGGTGTTAACATGTGTAAAGCTATCTTTCCTTTCCTTGATTGCACCAGATGACAACAGCTGTCAGGGTTGGAGACCCTCAGTAACTTTCAGATCAACATTGAGTTCATAGTAAGCATAGCTTTATTGGCTGCATTTGCATGGGTACGTCAAGAACTGTGGAGATTATCAGCAGATAAATCTAATTCAAAAATTTCATTGGACTTTTCTGGACACATACATGGTTCAAAAAATGCTGCATGTGTTGAAATTTGCCTGCCCTGGTCATTTGGTCTCAGAGGACCGAGGATGAAGAGGGAATTCACAGACACTGGACAGAGCTGTGTTTCCCTTGCATGCGTTCAGCATTATTTAGAAAGAATTGGCAGAGAATATTGCATGTAATACCACATTTTTCTACTTTTTTTCAGGTAGCCAGAGGCTTCTTTTCTCTATATTTTAGCTGTTGTAATATTGACACAGTTCATGTGTCATGTGATTTTAATCATATTCTGAAAAAGTGGTTATAGGTCTAGAGAGATAAACAGGGTGGTGGTTATGCAGCTGCTTGTGTACTTACCAGGGGGTCAGCAAGTATACCTCACTACAATACAGTTAGCTTCTTCCCCAAATTGTCAAGTTTATAAAGTAGGGTTCAGTTAAAAGAAGAGAAGCAGAGCTTGAAATAGTCCTGAGTGAGTGTTTTGTGCTCGTACGCTTCAGTATTTTGTGTCTGGCATGCTGCTGTCCTGCATGCCTGGTTTGGAAGGTGCATGTATGATCCCTTCTTCCTCCTGTCAGGTGCAGCTCACGGCCTTTCATCAGTGCTGCAGATGCTGCTAAGCTACCAGGACATGCTCAGTGGAGCAGAGAAAGACCTGGTGTGGCAGAGCGTTGATTTTCTTATGAACCAGGAGCAGAACTGTAACTGGCCTGCAGAGCTGGGCGCCATCATCGAGCGAGAGAACGAGCTGGTCCACTGGTGTCACGGAGCCCCTGGTACGCCCATCTCCATGAACTTAGAAAGTGTTCTCATGTGATATCATGGTTGCTTTTTCTGTCATTTACACCTGTCTCTGTTGTTCAGGTGTGGCATACCTTTTTGCTAAAGCCTACCTTATCAACAAGAAACCCCAGTACCTTGATACCTGTATTCGCAGTGGAGAGCTTGTGTGGCAGAAAGGTCTGCTAAAGAAGGGACCTGGGATCTGTCATGGAGTTGCAGGCAGTGCTTACGTCTTCCTCCTGCTTTATCGGCTAACAGGCAACACGAAATACATCTACCGTGCTCAAAGGTAAAAATATCCCTCCTTCTATCTTACAAAGGCAGAAATCTGGACTTTGAAAAATACATATATGATGAGTTTAGACTCAAACAGGAAAACCCACATGAAACGTAAATATCTACTGTTTCAGTAGTCGACTGATATCAGTTTTTCAACCACCGATGCTGATACCAAAAACAAGGGAGAAAAACCAACAAAAAGAAGTTTCAAAATTGCTGACCCTGATTAAATGTTTTATTAAATAAATGTAGATGGAAAAAAACTTGGCTCAACAATACATAGCCACAAGGTACTTGTGGTACTAGCCACAAGGGCTTGGAAATTTGTTAAAAAGTAAAAAATATTCAAGGTAAATATAAATGTTTTATCAGACTGTATTATTGTATTAAACACTAGCCAGTGACTCTTCCACATCTGATGCCAAATGTGTTTGTCATTTGGAAAGATTATGGAATTATCAACCTTGTTAGGGATGATATATTCTGTAATTGGTCAAGTCATTCATCGGTCTATCGCACTAAAATATCTGTACAGTTTATTCTGACTGTATTTTGGTGAATTTACTTTTGATTCTAGACCCTTTCATTATGTCAAAAATTTTATTTATTCGTCTGATTTCAGTCAAGTAGCATCTTCCAATGTTAAGAAATGAAGCCAATGTGAGAGTGCTAAAAACTGCAGTTCATTGAGTGCCCACCTGAGGCTGGCTTTAAAAGCCCAAACCTCACAAACACCCATGACAAGACAAAAAAAAGTGTCCTGACAGCAAAAAATGACATGTTTGTAGTCTGGAGCAGAAACAGTTGTGGCCCGGATAGCATATTTTGACATTTCTTATTATTTAAGGTACATGAACATAATACATGTCTGAGATAAAAGAAAAAAGAAAACTATTTTTTATTACTTGTTTGGAAGATATCAAGGACCTTATCCAAAAAGGGACAAAACTGTTACAACCCAGAGGAAAAGCACATCAGGCACACAGCACTGTTTGTATGACATGTTTTGGAGGAACCATACTGACATGCTTCCATGGGTAGAACAGGCTATCATTTGTATTGTAATCCAGCATAACAACCTAGTAGAAACCACAGTAACCATAGCCCATTATTCCATTTGCTGTAATTTATCAGTTTCTACTCATGCCTCTGCTCTTCTTTCCTCTCCAAAGGTTTGCAGAGTTCCTCTTCACTGAGGAGTTTAAAACAGGTTCCCGTTCAGTGACAAGCGTTTACAGTCTGTTCGAAGGCCTGTCGGGAACTATTTGTTTCCTTGTCGACCTCCTGCAGCCAGACCAGTCGGAGTTCCCGCTGTTCAGCATCTTCGTGTGAATAAACCCAGAGTAACTGCAGTTCACTGGCCTGAACAGAAACCACTCCCTCTCTCCATGGAGGGATGGATGGTATTTGTTTAGGATTTAGAGCATGACACACGAGTAGGATTGCTGTAGAATAACGCTCTATTACATCTGTACTCAAGTGGATGTTCAGCTTTCAGGCTTTTTCAGATTCACTCCACTTACTGTAAAATCGCCTGTTTCAATTTACAATGTAGTCAACAGCTAAAAGCAGAGGTTTGCAAAGCGTGGGGAAAAATATGAGAATCAAAAGTTGTGGTAATCCTTACAGTCCAAACTCTGTCAAATGTAATCACATAGACACTGTATTCATGTTTATAGATCTGTTGTGAGTGTCTCTTTCCTAGGGTATAATTTTTTGTGAATAATGTTAGTAAATACACATAGATATCACAGTAAATAGGGTACTCAACACTACTCCAAAACTGGTTTTACAATGGTCACAACTTTGGGTTTTCTTCTGTTTCAAAGTAATCAGTTACAGCTCTCTGTAAATCCCTGGCTTTGTTCTAAAAAGACTTGATTTAAGGCCTCCAGCTTGTCACATTTTCAATCCAGGGGGCGCAGTTCTCTCGATTTTCTTTAGGGAAAGCCTGTACTTACTGTACTGGTATCTTTGAAAAGCATACAGCTTTTTTGTTGATTGTAACTCAGGTCAGAAAAACACAGACATGCAACATAGAAGGCTGAAACTTAATACCAATCACAATAAAGGAAAAACAGAAAAGACGAAAACAGGTGTCAAACAATGGCAATCACACTGAAGTAAAAAAAAACAAAGAGGAAAAACAGGTGCCACATAATGCCTTTAAAATTTTTCTAACAACTCACCAGCTCAGCTTCACATATCAGACCTTTGATTTATGTCTTAGTATGTTATTCCTCAAAATATTGTTTCTATTCCCGTAAATTACATGTGGAACAGAGGGATTTTGATATCAAATACACAAAATGGTTTCTGCTAATGTCCAACCAACAGATACTGAAGGAAGTAACAGTAGATTGTCCTTTTGTGATTTATTATGGACTCACTTGTGTTAACTAAAGTTACACTGTGTGTAGCATTGTTAAAGATGTTTTTATATTTGGTGTTTCAAACAGTCAGCAACAAGACTCTTAAGTGGTCAATGTGTTGTGATTTGTTCAGACTTCAGTGATTGACTGTCATAGAAACAAGAGGATTGTCTTTGCGTAGATGTCATGATGAGGCCTTAGCAACAAACAAAAAAAAAGCAAGCATTTAAATTTGATCGGACTTCTCAGTGGGAAAAAAAAGTATTGACAACTTTGGAAACTTAAAATGCTTTGGGCAGCATTTTTGTCATGTGGCTGGAGTTGATACTAAAACTGTGAGTAATGAATAGAAAACCAAAGCAGTTTCCCAATGCTCATTGTGCCTGTCGTGGACCATTTACAAGCAGCGTATGTGTTGCTGTCTTTGTATTTGCAATCAGAGCTGTCTACTTGAAAAATTGTTCTAAATAAAGTGTCTAGAAAATCTTGTTTGTTTTATTTTTTCCTGTAATTAAGCATCATTAAAAAAGACATCAATGATGTGATTCATGTCAAATCATCATAATGAACATTATACACAAAACCAATTAGTGGTTTTTGGACAGTTTACTGAAGGCAGAAGATAACCTGTGATCGATACCAAACAGTGAAAGAGAGATCTTTCATTATGAATGGGTAAACAAATCTGAGAATGAGAAAACACATAAATGATGTATTTCTCAGAGTTTATTGATTGTAGAGAATAAAATATAGAACATTTCATCTGCCTGAGAGTAAACTAAATGAAAAGCACCAGTGAGTAACCTTACACTTCTATTGATCTTAGCACCCCTTGTGGACAAAGTGTTACTTTCTGTCTCTGTAAACTTTCGTGTATGTGTAGTTACTTTTTTATGTCCAAAAAGTGCCTTTCTACTGTCTTTTAATGCTAACATATGTATGACTTATGACACCTGCTCCTCATGGCAGCAGTGTCAACCATTAGGAAATCCATATAGAAGTAACATATCTCTACACCTATGGTCTTGTTTGCTTCACTAGGTCAAAAAGATGTGTCATTATTAATTTCAGTCTTTTAAACAAATTGTTAAGACTCCTCGCAGTAGCTGTTAGCATTTTGCTAAACATAAGCCTTCGTTATTGAACAGAAGAGATATCTTAGGTTTAACTTGCAAATACATGGAAACAGTGCAAAGGTATGCAACATACCAAGGACGATCTATCTATCTATCTATCTATCTATCTGTTATAGCCACTGAAATGAGTTTTGGGTTGTCAAACAAAGTGGAAATGATACTGATGCCTCTTGAAAACCCATGAAAGCAAAAAAGAAACAAGGACAAAAAATAGTTTTAAAAAACCCCCAAAACATTCACAATCAGTGCCATGTTATATTTATTAAGAAAGCCGGGTGATACTTTTTTGTCAGAAAATACTACTTGAACATGTCCAGAACATCAGCTAAACCGTGAGGTGCTATCCTTGCCCACAAGGGGGCGCCACAGTTAACACAAATGAAAGTTCCTCTTGTTAGCGTTGATGCTTCATGAGTTCTAGTATAAATCTTAGTAAAACCCAATATTGATGTTGTAAAAACAAACATTTGGAAGTGGTTAAAAACTGCACTCAAATCAAATACACAATTTACCAGCAAAGAGTCGAGTAGTGTAGGATGGTGCAGACCCAGCTGGCAGGCAGCTACATCCCAAAAGCAGTCAGCAGGTGGCAGCAGTGCCCCCTACTGTTTATCTCCGTATAACACCTGGCTGTGAAGACATCCCGCCTGCCCCCAAATCGCAGATGAGCTGCGGCGGCGTGAGCCTGACACAGCGGCGTCCTCCTCCACCACCGGGTGACAGACCGACTGACCGCCCGCTCGGTGGACACGTAATGGACGAGCGGACCCGGAGCGGAGCAGAGAGCCGCAGTCCCCAGATGGCGGAGTGAGTGAGGATGCGACTCCCCAGTTCCATCTTTGTGTCGGTGTCTCTGTTCACGGCCGAGACCACGGCGGCGCTCTACCTCAGCTCCACGTACCGCTCAGCTGGAGACCAGATCTGGCAGGGGCTCACGCTCCTCTTCACGCTCGTCCCGTCCGTGCTCGTGCAGCTGACCCTCACCTTCATCCACCGAGACCTGAGCAGAGACAGACCGCTGATCCTGCTGCTGCACATCCTGCAGCTCGGACCCATCGTCAGGTCAGTGCTGCTGCTGACTTGTTTATGTTTCTCTGATGGGTGCATTTCTCCTCTCCGCTGTGTCACACGGTGTAGCAGCTGCTATTACCCACAGGTGTCGTGTCCGTGGGTGATTTTTCTCGTTAAAAACATGTCCGGCCTGCCTTCACATAAGCTGCTTAGTGCTGGTTTGATGAATGGATGGCGCACATGCTGTTGTTTTCATTTCCCCGGCTCTTTGTCTCATCTGGCCGTTGACTCGATGCTACATTCAATGTATGTCTGTAATGAAAAGGCAGATCAATACGAGCTTTGCTGATCGACATGTTCCAAATACCATCACAGCTGTCTGCCACAGAGAGCTCAGCCAACAGGACTTTCAGAAAAAAAAGCCCCCCTCCCCTCTTATAGTTTGATCTTCCTTAGGCCATGATCTCACAGGCCAGGCTGTGTCTGATTTATTCATGACTGCTCCATCTGAAAGGACATTAAAACTACCATCATAAAACACAGACTGAACATGTGAATGATCAGAAACAGGTTTGAGAATGCATTCAACAGCAACCATATGACACTGATCTGTTCAACACTGAAATTCTGCATTCAAGGGCTTTACACCATAATAGGCCGGGTCTCTCTCTCTCTCTGTGTAAGCTCTAGCCTGACCTGACTAGACCATCTGCCTCAGCTGTATGAATCCGAGCCTAATCCTGCATGCAGGAAGAAAGCCTCACTGTACACACAGACATGGGGTGTGATAATGTTGTCAAGTGTACAAACAGCAGGGGATCGGACTGTGTTAAACATATAAAAGCTCATCATCTCCCTTTGTACTGATAGTATGGCTGAAATGTAGAAATAGTATGACAACAGCGTACAGCGACAAAAATAGATTGCATGCATTTCCGTCATTCATCTACTCACATGAGCGCAAAAAAATCAGGGTTACTCAGCTTCTCTCTTTCTCTAATATCACTTAAATGTCTGAAATTTATACATCAGGGAAATTTCAAATTGATAAAAGTCTTGGACATTTTGGAGGGATATTAGATAATAGATAAAACCTTTTTATAACCCTAATTATATAAGGGAGACTTTAGATCAAGTGTAAATTGGTATGTTAGGAAAAACAAAAAGCAGATACAAGACCTCAGTGACAAAAATCTCAAAATGTGGTTTGATCAAGCCTGACATGACAAAGCCAGAGGTACAAACAGACAGCAAAGGACAAAATCAAAGACAAATACGTCACCAGTTCCCAAAAAAAATAACAGACCAGTCACAATAATTCAACAAAAAATCTACCAAAATATCTTGATTTAGTGTGCAGTCAATATCTTCCTTATAAAAAGGACATTTAGCTCTATTATTAGACACAGACCAAAACGGTCTCATCTCCTGGGATGCTCCTTTGTTTTTTAGCATCTCAAATGTGACCTTTGAAGCAAAAGGACTGTATATTTTTAGCTCCAAGCACCTCAAATGTGAATAAATGCATTTTATTTATAAATAATTAGCTTTGACAAATAACCTTAACCAGTTTCCGATGTAGAATAATAGATTTTTATGTAGGTTTTTCTGTTAAATAATAGTGCCGGTCAACAGGGAGACAGCCAGCAATTCATTACAGAGATTGATTTTTAAAGGCTGGTCATCAGAGCAAATTACCAGTCATTCAATGGATCCATCTCCTCAGATGGGTAAAGTCCGCTGCATTTTACTGTTTAGAATCATGAGTAATCTGGAAACGTCCCCCCAGAGAGAGTGTCTTCATTTATTTATTTATTTATTTATACACCAGTTTTTGAGGTTGTGAAGAAGAGACTTATCAGAGTAACATAAAAGAGCAAGAAGGAAATACTGATGATGAAATTGGACAGAAGTTGCAACAGTAACCAGAATTTCTTGTCACAGTTCATGAAGCTTGTGAATCTTTACAGTCTGTCATATTTGTAGAAACTTCCACAGTCTCATGTTGATTCCCCTGCTGTGGCCTCTGTGAGTCTGACCCCACAGGGCCTGAGTTTCCCCTGGAGATGATAACAGTTCAGACTTCTGCATCTGTCCTCCATGAAGAGCAGATCTAAGAATAGCATGCATGGCTGTAGGCTCCTTATCTCTGACAACACAACCAGAGAGGGGAAGGTCCGTCTCTACTGCCAAAAGCACGGCAGCACTTCCTCTTCGTGTCCACCCAAAACAACACTTTTATTTGTCTTAAACACTCTTCTTATCGTTTTAGCAGCAATGACTCAGCTGGCTGTTGTGCAAAATAAACACTCATCAGTATCATTTCCGTTAATTCCAGCTTCTTGCTTACCACCTCCTGTGAGAACACATTTGATCAGGTCTTTTTTACCATGCTAATTGAATTATTACTAATAAGCTTGAACAAAATCTGCTTAACTCTAGGTCCCCACTGGCATTTTCTCAGCTTAATACAGTTTGAAGTCCCTGTCCTACCAGAATGTCCTTAGAATGTATAAAGAATGGTCTTGGTGGATTTTAAACTGTGAGAAAAGTTTTATTTTGATTAGGTTACTTGACATTTTTGTTATTGAGAGCAGATGATTTTGTTCTTCTGGGGAAAGCATGAATAAGCTTTGAACATATTAGTTAGATTATGTTTTTTGGCCAAGGAATCAGGTACTTTTTCAAGAATTAAACTTTATTTTAAATCCATTTACAGAAAAACAGCTTCATTGGAAACACAGATGTTTTGGTTTAAGGGCTCACCTATAATTGTTAGTTTAACATATACCAAATTAAAACAGCAGGGGTCCGTTTCACGTAGCAGGTTTAGTGGAAACTCTGAGTTTGTTAACCCTGAAATCAGGGGAACTCTGAGTTTTCCGTTTCACAAAGGAGGGTTAGTTAAACCAGGGAGAGAGGGGTAACTCTAACCTGTTTCACAAAGAGAGGTAACTCAACCTCGCGGTCAGTTACCACAGTAACAGACTCCGTGAACCTAACCTGCTCGGGAGCAGGTTTAACTCAGTAAACCCAGAGTTTCAGGTGAGACATCGACATTTTCTCATTTTGATCATGTTTTACATTGTCAAGTAAGTATTAAGTGGCAGTTTGATCTCTTAAAAAATGCTCTTTTCACACTCAAAACTGAATTTTACTCTCTTATTATGTTCCGTTAAATGATTAGGAATAGTAAACTAACACAAAAACGGGTGGTGGCCCAGCAGCCCCACCTTTAACGGAGGCAGAGGAGCTGCGCCCCCCCCCCCCCCCCCCCCCCCACAGACACACACACACACACACACACACACACACACACACGCACACACACCAGTCCGACGATCGCTGCTACGGGGTGGGGGTTGCGATCGTCTAAGGGGGGGGGGGGGGGGCAGCTCCTCTGCCTCCGTTAAAGGTGGGGCTGCTGGGCCACCACCCGTTTTTCTGGCATCTGCCCTCTTTCTGTTTGCTGAGTGAAAGTCTAATATTGAGTGTAGTGTGTGTTAGTTTAATATATGTACATATACATACTGAGAGTTAGTTTAATATTCCTAATCATTTAACGGAACATCATAAGAGAGTAAAATTCATTTTTGAGTGTGAAAAGAGCATTTTCTAAGGGATCAAACTGCCACTTAATACTTACTTGACAATGTAAAACATGATCAAAATGATTCAAGCAGTTTCCCTGCAACAGTCTGTCATTGTGTTTGCACGAGACTAGATTTAAAGTTACGCATTGACGCGAGCAGCGATTTCCTCCCAAGCCCTCTCCCTCTCCTTTGCAGCTGCTGCTGTATTGCACTTTCTTTTAAAAACGTGCTGTCATTCGCTGTTGGCTTGCTGCTGCCCCCTCCTTCTCCCTGTTTCCATTGGTTGATCATTGAATCTGCGCTCCACAGATGCTGGCTGTTTATGTCTGGCGTGCACGTGCTTAACTCCAGGTCAAACTACTCGGAGTTGTTAAAACCGTCTCAAATCAGGTGTTGTGAAACCGGAAACTCAGAGTTTCCTAACTCAGAGTAGATCAACTCAGAGTTAAGGATTTAACTCAGAGTTTGTTGAACCACCTACGTGAAACGGACCCCAGGTCTGGGAACCCTAACTGTACTCAACCATGCTGGCGCCATCTCCTACTCACTACTTGACCAAACATCTTGTTAGAGGAAACCCTCAAGTGTGTTTACATACGCGCTAGTATCCTGTTTTTGATCATATTTCAGGATGGCATGTTTACTCTTGATATCCCTGTATTATCTGTTTGCATGCAGGTGTTTCCTTGATTTTCACTATTTAGTTTTACTATCCTGTTTTATACCAAAAAGTCATAATCATAAGTCGTGACTGACCAATCAGTTGCTTAGCAGATTAACCAGTTTAATAATATTGATTAAAAAAAACAAAACAGAGTTATCGTGGCATTGTATATCTGCCATAGTCCAACTTTCTGTCTCATCAACATTTGCCATTAATCAACTGATATCTACCACTTATTCTGAGCTTGGATTGGGTACATGGTATCTTTCTACTTTTTTTACCAGAGTGCTCCAGGTTTTACAAACAAGTACTAGTCCTGTCCTTATTTAGAAAATGTATGGCTTGTCAAAATATTACAGGGATCATGAGAAAGTGCATATTATATAGGCAGAGGCTACAGTCAAGGAAAACCAGTGACAGACATCACCTTGTGCGGTAATGAAAAACGTGCTCATTTACAGATCCCACAGTTATTATAGTTATAAGAAGCTCAATTTCTGACCACCTAATGTAAAGTATGTGAGTCTGATTTATTCTCTTTTACTTCCTTTTTCTGGCTCTTTCTCCGCTTTACTCTATTCTCAAGCTCGAAGCTAACTGTATATCCTGTTTTAATGATGTGTTCTCCTCTTCCTGTCCCCCCTTGTATGTGCCTGTCTTTTTTATGTTTCTTGGATGGGATGAACTGAAATGGGAATTTCCTCTTGTGGGACTCGTAAAGGAATATCTTATCCTATCTTGTGACAAGGGCGAGGATGATTTCATGTGACATTAGTCTAAAAAACGGAGTTAACAAAGTATTAGGAGTTAGCTGTTAAGTCACAAGCACAGAATTAAAAAGAGCAGGTAACCTCTGAATAAAGTAATTATTCTTTGTTCAAGCAGACTGTAACATTTAAGTCATAATCTGACTGATTTTCAACATGTAAAATTATTGATTTTAGCTGCTTTAAACTAAAGACGGCCTTTCCTTTTGGCTGCATTTGGCGCCCCTGGGGAAAAAGCTGCTCTTGTCTTGCTGATTCTGTAGGAAGGGACGACAAAAACATCTTTGGCTAATCTGTTTTTGCAGATTGATTAACTTTTTTAAAAACTACCCCCTTAGCAGTGGTGTCAGCATCAAATAGGAAAATATGAAGAAGAACAAAGCTGTTCGCTGATGGTCTTGTTCAGTTTTGTAGCTCATAAAAAGATATTGATATTAATTTTAGCCTGATTAATAACCCACTTTAAAACTCCCCACGGAAGCTTTAAAATTAAGTCAGTCGTTCCCAAGATTAGCACTTCCCCTTGTTTTCTTGACCAAGTTAGTGATGCGCTCAGGGTGCGTTTCCCTCCACTGTAATTCAAGCTGATAACAGTCTGTCCTTCAGCACTCTGCAGTTTCAATCCTCCTGCCTTGTTGTTTTATTGGCGCTGAGTAATAGTGCTGCTATTCCAACACAGACCTCTGGCCCTGTGCCCACACTCAGCACTTCACTGCTTTTATTAACTCGCTGGCAGATGACTGACTGTGACTGTAACTGGCATCTCTGCGGACATTCATCATAACACAGAGCCTGATGCTGGTGAACATGTTTCACAACGGGTACAGATGTAATTAAAGGCTGATCTAGCTGCTGCGTTTGAGGCAGAAACAACTGACAGTTTGATAAACAGTGAATCCGTGCAGACTTACCTGTCATAGTTAAAGCTTCTGTGTGCAGCAGATCTGCAGTTATGAAACAGGCCTTCTCATGAGTTTTAAAAGCAAACAGCACCATCAATAAAAAGACAGTTTTCTCTATGGTTATTAGTAATGTCTAATACCGCTTATAGCTTCATTTACATTTTTTATGAGAAACAATACTACTTTGTTTATTGGGGATGCTAAAAGCAACACAGGTTGAAAGTTTCTCACAGGGGCTTTAGAATAATTAATTAAGCCCTACTGTTTGCATCTGCTGCATTTATTTGTGTTTTTGTATTTTGGTTTAGTACTGCGGGGTTGAAGTTTTTGGAACATGGTGCATGATTTTACTGAAGTTTAATGGGCATGTTGTCTTATTCCCAGACATTTTCAGACATTAAAAGAATTGAGCATTAAAAGATGTATCAATCATCTTGCATTCAGTTTAAAAATTTAATTCGAAGTGTAATTTAAATAGATGAATATGCTGCTGTGCAGGGGCTCTCCCTGGGGCTTTTGGCCTCATGGGAAAAAAATACATTGGGCCCTGCCACTTAAAATATAAACCTGCATGGACAGAGATGCAATATTCTCCATACTATGGCATTCACTATTTGGTTGGATGAAAAGACATGTGCTGTGGGCCATCTTACATACAGTTTTAATGTCACTTTATGATATAAATTTAAAGGATTTTCAAGAGTCACTTGAACATGTTGAGGACAAGCTGAGCAAAGACTGCTCTGTCCACAGGGTGTGCCAAAATGTACACAGATTTAAAGTTCCTCACAAGAGCTCTGATTTCTATGACTGAAAATATATTAGTATCATGTATGAAATGAGTCAATAGGAGAACAGAACCAACTTATTTATTTAAAAGTCGCTATAAGTAAAATCATTATTTATAGGCAACTATGGATCAGCAGTGCAGGCTCCACTGACTGAATATCTGCTAAAATAACTGAAACAAGAAGAATAAAGTATGCAGTTAAGCTATGATGAAGCTTTAGAGAAGAGATAAACAGATACTGATAGACTGTCTGATGCAACTGTTTCCTTATGTTTTCAAACATCTGTTGTACTGTCTTATGCAAAGGTTGATTTACTTCCTGTTAATGCGCCTTTATTCTGATATGTCCAAAACAAAACGTCTGCCGCATTGTAAAGTTAGAGGAGTGATGTTAAGTGCAAAAAGGGCAAATATCCGATTATTGTTCAATGTTTTGTAATGATATGAGCTTTAATGTTTTTAGTATGAATGCACAATGTTATCAGCACAAAATCAGTATTGTCAGATAAGATTTAAAAAAGCAAATTATCAGTATTGTCAGATTAGATCTCAAAACGTTTATCAGTATCAGCAGATATGACATTTTTGCAGGATAATTACTGAACATATGTTTAAAAACAAAACATTTACTATCTTTGGTTGAATCACATGCTGTTTGTCTTGTTTTATGTCTGGTTCAGACTGTATCCGGAGATATCTGTACCAACCAGAATGAGTTTGAAATATGTCAGCGTAGTGGATATCATCAAAAATCAAATAACATGAACCCTGGCTTTAAAACGTTAGACTGATTTATTTATGATAAACGAGATATTTGATGTTACTAATGTCAAGGGAAGAATAAGAAGTTTTTTTCATGTCATGTTGTCATGTTTTTCTAGTCTTTTCTGTCATTTCTTAGATCTTGACATAATGCTGTACCACACACTTGCACCTCACAGTCAGTGCTTGCACCAAGTTTCAAGGCCTGAATTATCTCTTGTAGCTAAAGGGGGAAGTTTAGCGATACAGAAGGTATCTGTTCCTTTTTTTTTTAAATCATGAACAAGAAAAGACAGAGTAGGAAGTTAAAAAAAATATGTAGAAGAAATGAACTGTTCTGACATCTCCTCAGGCCCCCAGAATCTCCCAAACTTGTCTCCCCTATATAGTCTGATGTCTGGTTTATCCATGAATCTACTTAAAAAATTATCCACATGTTGTTGTTTGATAATATGCAAACTATCCAAAGAATACATCTGTCAAAAATCATGTAATGCAACAAAAAGTAAAAAATGAGTGTCCAAAATGTTGTGAAGAACAAGATTAAAACAAAACTCAACTTTCATAACTGTGCTCTGATCGTATGAGTGGTTACATGCTGTCAGAGTTTGATTAACTTTTACTAATACTAGATTTCTGTCAGGCTTATGCAAAATTAACACCCACTGTTTAGCATTGTGCTAACATGCTGATATTGGCAGAAGTGCTAGCATGGCTGTAGACTTCATGTCATGTGTCTATGTGTTAAGAGTTGATGTATTGTCTCTTCATTGAACGTGTGAGTTAACTGTTGATAATGCTTCAGTCTATGTGGAGTCTGATAAGAGAAAATGTATCAATAATTTGAATAAGTCAGAACAGACGCGTCTGCAGCTCTAAATGGCCTCTGATCCCTGTCTACTGCTGCATTTCAGGTGTCTGGAGGCGTTCTGTATTTATGGCAGTGTGGGCCGTGTGGAGGAGCCTTATGTCAGCATCACCAGGAAGAAGCAGATGCCTCGCGGGGGGCAGTCTGAGGAGGTGGAGCGGCAGGTGGGGCAGGCGGAGGGGAAACTGTTTACACACCGAGCAGCCTTCGCCCGCACCTCTGTCATTCAGGCTTTCCTGGGATCTGCCCCTCAGCTCACCTTGCAGCTCTACATCTGCGTCCTGCAGCAGGGAGTCTCCATCGGAAGAGGTGAGGCCTTCAAAAATGTGATATCCTCCAGTTTTTTGTCCATGTGTAGGCTGTCACCAGCCTATGATGTGGGCTGATCAGCTGAGAGCCATATTGGAAATAAGAGGATGGTGTTTTCATGAGTCAAAGTGGTGTTATGTAACAGCATCTCTGCCAGTTGGTGCCGATCTGGAGCCGGGCTGTCCAACTCTTTGTGTGTGTGTGAGAGAGAGAGATTTAGCAAAGGTTCAAACAAAGTCAAGGAAGGACATCTGGTCGTCCAATTTGGACAAAATAAAAGATGATATAAATACACAGCTCGTTCATTCCCTTAGCTTCTGGCTGTCTGACACTTTCATTTCACGCTTGGTGGTTTTAACAGCTCCTGTTTGATGAAGCTTCATGGCTTTAAAGGAAAGGTCCACATTTTTCTTGTCCTTGTAAAATCAGCCATCGATGTGAACAGTGGGTAGACTTAGCTCGCTGTAATCATTCCTACTGTTTGTTTAGGAAATTAAAGCATCCCTCTGTAATGGGTTTTCCATTTAACTGATGTAGGTTGAGATGATGAAGTCTTTTGAAATGATAGACTGAGTAAATTCAACAAGACAGAAACAACTGTCAGGGCTTTTGTCTTAAGGAGCACCTGTTAGCTCCTTCAGTTTGTGTATCTGTCATCTTTTATTTAGTGTTACATAACCTTATATCATATGTTGAATTACATAACTTGTGGGCTGTTTAAACATTACTAGAAAAGAGTCAAAATAGCCGGTGTCTCTCCCCTGTGTCTGTAAATCAGACATCGGCACAATAGAACAAAATGTTCTAGTTCAATTTTCTTTAGATTTTGTGTTGCTGAGTTAAGAAAGAAAAACATTGAACATCTTCATATTTATTATTTTAGCTGTTTAGCACAATAGATTGTAAAAGGCGCACTTCTAAGGTGCCTTTAATATTTCTTATGTGGGGTTTAGTTCTTGACAAAATGAGAAGTCAGACAGGTCAGTGTGCTCATACTTGACCTTTGAGCTGAGGGTAGTTTAGAAAGTGAAACAAAAAGAGAAAACCTGATCCTGAAAAATAATCCATAATGCTGTTTGTCTTGTTTCTCTCTTTGTATCTAAATAACAGGCACTCTGATGGTGATCTCCTTACTATCCATCGTGTATGGAGCTCTACGATGCAACATCTTAGCCATTAAGATCAAGTATGACGACTATGAAGTGGACGTTCGGCCAATGGCGTATCTCTGCATCTTCCTGTGGAGGAGCTTTGAGATCGCCACTCGTGTGGTGGTTCTGGTTCTGTTCAGCTCTGTGCTGCAGCTCTGGGTCCTGCCTGTGGTTCTGCTTAACTTCCTGGTTTTCTTCCTCTACCCCTGGATCCTCTTCTGGCAAAGCCACTCGCCGTTCCCCGAGAATATAGAAAAGACTTTGACCAGAGTGGGAACCACAATCGTGCTCTGCCTGCTCACCTTCCTCTACGCTGGCATCAACATGTTCTGCTGGTCTGCTGTGCAGGTGAAACTCAATGACCCCGACCTCATCAATAAATCCCAGAACTGGTATCGCATGGCTGTCTACTACATGTTGCGCTTTGTGGAGAATGCCTCACTGCTTCTGCTGTGGTACATCTATAAAACAGACTTCTATAAATTCATCTGTGCCCCTCTGCTGGTGCTGCAGCTGCTGGTCGCGTACGCCATAGGCATCTTCTTCATGCTGGTCTTCTACCAGTTCTGTCATCCGTGTCGGAGGCTCTTCTCCTCCAGCATGACGCAGGGCCTGTGGAACTGCTCCTCCTTGCTCTGCCTCATGTGCACCTCGTCTTCGCCTCAGAGAAGGCCGATGGGAAAATCTGTCTTAGAGCCCCCGAGCCCCAGCATGCACAAAGAGCGGGCTGACGACGGGACCCATGACACAGCCAGTGATACAACAGAGGACATGCCAAACGACACAACGTACGACATGCTCAATGATACAGTCTGTGACACTCCCAATGAAATGGCCAGTAATATAGGCGATGGGATCAATGGTGACATTAGCCAGAGCGTGTCCTGCACCGCTAAAAGCATCACAAATGTTTGACGTGCCATTAAGGGAAGTGACTCTGACAGTTATCATCTGTCACCTTTTAAGTGCCACATGAACCCCTCTGGAGTTACGTTTACACTTTCATTTGACCCGCCATAGTTCATATTTTCTGCCAATGTCTCCTGCTCCTTCATGAAATGTGTCCTTAACTGGAGATTTGGCTGCAAACTGGCATCATGTTGAGAAACACCACCATCATCCTATAAAACCTTTGATCTGCAGCCTTTAAATCAAACATAAACCCATAGATACCACTTCATCTTCAGTTTAGGAGACTGTTCCACCTAAATGCTGCATTACTGATCACCAGGAGCTCTTGAATTGATTGTATTTAGTATAAATCTTTGGCATGGAGGTGTGCATGTGTCGAGCCTCAAATGAAATGTTATTTTGCAAAGGGGAAGGGGGCGAATCTGTTTTATAAAGGGTTTTTTGGGACCCCTTCTAGTTTAATGGCTGCAAGCATTCAGCTTTTTTTTACTTCTTGATAAGAGCTTTATCATGAATATTGCGCTGCTTCTGTGATGTATATGTGCTGGAGATGTTCACTTACACATTGTTGAAGAGCCCTTTCAATCACCAAACACGTTACTGTAAAGCACGCACATCTCCTAGCCTCGTGTTTTTGCACGTTTACAAAAGAAAAAAATGAAAAAAGTGGCTTTGGTTCAACTGTCGAGATGTGAAAATGCTTTCTTTGGATGTATTTGCATTTTTCTAACTCACTCTTGTATGTCTGCGAATCTCTCTGTCTCATTTGTTAGAATATTTACACCATAGTTAACGATATCGAAGTGAAAATGTTCATTTCAAGACAGTATATTTATTCATTTCCAGCCTTCGATGTGTGTGAGAGAGAATGTCAGTGTTTGTTTTTTTTGCACTAACTCCTTTTTGCAATGTATCTGCAGAGGGACGCGGACGCCAGCTATCACATAAATGCTCCTGATGTTTGTTTAAAGAAGAGTTTAAGAGCGAGTTTTGAAGCCAAAAAAAAAAAAAAAGATTTTAAAAAAAGTTGTACACATCTAACATTGTCATACAAAGCAAAGTAAAAGACATTTAAGGGATCAAGTCCTAAATAAAAAATTTAAATAAATTTATATTTATATGTGAAAACTCTCAGTGGTTTGTGACTTTCTGGTGTGTTAGTTGTTACCGTCCTGTGCTGACCTCTGGTGGACAACAACCAACACATCTACAACACATCAGACTGATTTATGAATCCCATTCATAGTCTGAGTTCATTCATACATTCATTCATTCATTTCCTGACTGCACTGATTCCATTAAATTCATTTATTCAACAGCTTCAACAAACACAACACAAACTTTAACAGACAAATATCCATATTTCCTTCATAGAAAGTCTAAAAAATGCATTGCTTTGTTATACTGAACAATAACGAAGGCTTGAAACCAAACACTGTTTTATCTAAACTTACAGATACGTAACAAAAACTATTAATGCAACAACAACTAGTTTCTATTAAAACACAACAGACTTCACTTAAATCTCAACAACAGCAACAGTTCAGTCATTTTTTTAGAGGAATGTACTGAAGAAGAAAACAAGAAGAGTTAAACAGCCATGCGATCACGTCAGAGAGGCTGTACGGAAACACTGCAGCACTATATGCTTAACGCTTGTAAGTTAATGTTTACTGTTTTCACCACCTGAGTTAAGCGCAAAAGTGCTAACTTTTGCTCAGTAGTACTAAACACACTGAAGTCAAAGTTTAAGGAAAAACTATTGAAGATCTACATTAAACACAGATTACAACATCAGGATGAAATGTTTAGTTTAGTGCTAAGTATCTTTAGTATTGTTCCTTCCCTTTAATATTTGCCTGGTCCCAATAAAGCAGCAGCTTCTAAGTGATCAAAACTGTCGACTCACAGGCCAAAGCATCTATCCTGCAGTCAGGTTTTTCAAACCTATGGGGAGAAACTACCTACGTGTCCACAAAGTTATACCAGAGGGAATCATCAGTGGATATTTAGGGCTTCTTAGTCACGGTTTCAGGAAGTAGAAAAGAGCGCCATCACAGAGCCACGGCTACAGCGAAGACGCTGACCACACAGTACATGGTGCGATTCTCCCATCGCACTGTGCAGCTTCCTGGGACACAAACACGCAGGAGGAAAGATGAGAGTCAACACATGTTGGGAGTTTCTGATTAAAAGTTTAAGTGAAGGTTTATCTTTAGAATTTCTCTGCAGTTTTGTTTACTAGTTTTTGCACAAACCCACACTCGAAGCTGGAATCAATAGTCAGAAGATAGAAATACACATTATTATAGACTTCTGCTCTTTACAGCTGCTTTGCTGTTGAGCCATTCATTTGATGGAAAATTTAGACACTCGTTAAAACTAAAGAATTGACTGTTTGTCTCTGTTTTGCTTGGTTATCAGCTTGGGGTCATATTTTCAACAACAACAACAACAATTTCCAAAGATACCAGCTCTAATGTAAAGGTAGAAAATATAATCCCATAGGTAAAAACTTTCTAAAGCCAAACTGAAGCAGTTAAAACACTTATCTATGATATGCAGTTTACTTACTTTGATAAATATTTCATATAATAGCTCTTGAAAGAATTAGCTATCCCTTCTCACCATCAGTAGCAGTGTCCCAGTAGCAGGAGTTGGCTGTGTGGAGACCTGCGCCAGTTTTCTGCATAATTGCACAGTTTACTGCAAAACATCACAGATCAGCATTACTCCAAGAGAACATACAGAGACATATAAACTCCTGTGGTGTCATGTTTCTGTACGGGGCAGTCAGTAAGTTTACCGATGTATTTAAATGGGCGTCCCTGTTTGACCAGGTGAGTCAGAGAATGCTCCACTATATTAGCCGTCCACTGGTTCACCTTGCTCTGGTCATAATCTGTTCCTCCAATGACACCTTCAATACACTGAAACGAAACAACCACACAAAGACTCATCTCTCACAATGAGACACTCAAAGAGAAAACACAGTTCAGTAATATTTCCAGGTGGAGAAAATGTACCTCTTTTACGATAGTGTTAGCCTCATCAGAGTTGAAGATCACCTGCAGTAGCAAAGTAAGGAAACACAGTTACTTTAAGGTTTAAGTCAAACTGAAGATGATACACACAAGGTCATAAAAACACAAAGTCAAAAGATTTCACATGGTCAGCACCTACAGGTTTATTTTTGGGTGAATAAGGAGATCTAAAAAAAGCGTTTCAGAGCATTTTCAGTCAGAGCTCCTCAGCTCTGGAATGATCTGCTTAAGGATATAAGGTCGGCTGCCTCAGTGCACTCATTAAAGTCACTCCTTAAAGTGTACTTTTTCCTGATTTTACTCAACCTGAAATTTCATGCGTTTATGGTTAATGTGTAATTGATTTTATTATCTGAGTAGGTTGATCCCTGTTAAAAAAAAATTGTCTAAATTTGCATTTTTCTTCTTCGTGCCCTGTTAGGCACTTTGTAATAAGATTTTGAAAATTGCTCTATAATTAAAGATTATAGTCACTATCATAGAAAAAAGTGACTTCAAAATAAATATGATGACCAAAATCATTTTCCACAAAAACAAATTCAACATTCAACTCACAAGTTAGGGAGAACCCACTACATTAACTTTTTGGACTAAGTCTTTTTTGATCACACTATACGCTTTTCCTCAGAATGCACCTTAACAACACTACTACTCTCCAAAGTTCAGTATTTTTGACTTGACAGATCAAGATTTTTGTGTACAGAACAGCTCTTTGACAACAAAGTTTTTTGGCAAAAAGAATAAAAGAGAACTTAAAAATTACAGCTTCAACAGATAATTTTAAGGTTGATAAACAAGGCACATATTTCATAAACATTTACACCCTTTCTTTAAAAAAAGATCAAAATACAAGGATTGATTTCTTATTTTGTAACTGAGCACTAGTAACTGAATTACAAACTCTAAGAGCCTATTCTTACTGTTTCTTTAAAAAGTTCCTCTAAACTCAGACATATTTTCCATTTAAGTTTAAACTTAAAATGACTTTATCAGGATATGACTGAATAAAGTCTGACCAGCTGATGCATAATAAACCCAACAACACATCTGTACCACAGACTTTACTTTTACCAAGCTCCTTCATTCTCTAAGCTGGTGACACTGTCAAACAGAGGATAGCTGTTAGCTGATAGTGTTTCTGACAACTTAGTCACTTCATTAACACATAAAGAAGCGGGACAAAATATTAGGAACACCTTCAATATGAGTGCACTAATAACACCCACGACGACTTCATCTGTGTATAGGGGAGAGTGGGGTAAGATGAGCCATTTTTCATATTATATTTCAAGATGTTGTTCATCCCTGCAAACCAACAGAATGAGTGTAAACATAACTGTCTTGATAATATAGCATGCCAAAAAAAGTGGTCTCCTCTGGTCAACTTTTTACAACACTGCTAAAAAGCTGTGTTGTAAAAAGTCATTTTAACACGAGAATGACTTTAAGTGATTCAGAACATTCACAGCTGTATTTTTGAAAAGAAAAAGTAACACATTTCAACAATCTGAACTGAAACTCTGATCCTCTCATCAGACTCCTTTACTTTCTCAGTTGAACCACTGACTCAACTTACCCCAGAACTACTATTATTACTTTATTAGTCCTCTAAGCTAAAATGGTGGACTTTTATGTTAGGTTTTTGACCTCATGTTGTAGCTCATAGATACCACAATTGATGTATAAAATAAATTTAAAATGATCTTTTTTGGTCTGAACACAATTCTAATAAAACTTATGACAGACTAAATTCCCTTTCAGGAATGGAAAATGTTTTTGTTTTTTTTCCTAAATAAATGTCTAACCCCTTCGCCCATGTGCTTCTAACATTCACAGACTCCATGAATTGATGCCCATCTCCGAAATATTTGGTCACATGATAAATTTCTTTTACTATTTCCAAGCAACAGGGGGTGGCTCAACTTACCCCACTCTCCCCTACTGTCAACAACAAATATGCTAATTTGTAGTAGAGATGTTACATTATATTGCCCAGTGTTCATGATGTTATGCCTGATTATTACATTTATGGAAATGTGTTTGTTCTGTGTCTAATCTTCTTCAATCCATTTAACAAAATGAATAGTTACCACGTTTTAGTCTTTAACTTTCTGTGTGTAACATTAATATTGATCTAATAGTGATATTATGACAGAGAGACCACTCCCTGACTGAATCCTGATCCTTTACTCAGCTAACTGCTTTAGCTAACAGCACATAAACTAGCTTATATCTTTCTTTGTTGACTCATCTATGCAGCTGTCCACATTTCAATGAAGTACTATTCATAATTACTTCACCTCATCTCCAGAGTTATATTCCTCCATCGTTTCCAACAACGACACTCCGGGTTGGATCCTCTTTTTTATACCGGCGTCTGTCTGTAGTCCGGTTATTGTTCCTGTTTACTTCCTGTTGTGTGGAGTCAACGAGTTCAGTCAAGAGAAGACTATAAAACCTGAAACATCTGACTGAACCTCTATGTCGCCCCGCTGTGGCTGGAGTTAGACATGACAAGACACTCACACAATTACCATGAGGGGGCGTATGACTCACATAAAACACCACGAATCTATTTGTTTCTCAAAAAAGCAGGGGTCCTTGGAACCTAAAAATAAACCTTTTGAATTAAGTAAAAGGTTAGTTTTGAGATTATGTTAATGTTCTTAATATTTTGAAACGAAGTAAGGGTATTTTTTATCCTCAACACATGTCGTCCAACGTTTTCTCTGTGGGATACCAGTGCATTTTACGTGTTTTTAAGGAAAAGCTCATTACCATACAGCTCAATAGGCCAATTAAATAATTTGGCCAGTTATTCATCAAACAAATACTGATCTGACCATATCATAAAATTACTTTTTTCTTCTTTAGAAAGGTATTATAACTATAATTTAACAGGCTGTTGTGTTCATTCCGATCTTGCAATTTATTATAGGTTTGAAACTCTATTTTATCCTATCTTGGATGTTTCTTTCATTTTTTTATTCATTTATTATTATTTTTTTTTTTGTAGATAAGTGTGTAATCCCAAGAAAGTGCTGCATCACGTTTTCTTTTTACTATGGGCAATGCACAACCATGAAATGCACCAGAGTTAGTTGCAACCTTTGACAGTCACATGAATAAACAGCCTACTGCACTGAAAATAACATGTGATTTAATGCATTAGGCAATGCAGGGAATCAGCACATGGCGATGCAATTCACCCTAGGACTGGGCGATTATATGATAGTGATTAATGATCGTAATAAATTTCAGGTCGATCACGGTGATCAGCTGTGAGCTCATTTACTGGATCAGACATTGCGAAAATGTGCATCACAACAGCCAATCAGAGTTTAGCTTTTCCTGCTCACTTCTGTAAGATGCCAGAGAGGTAAACAGAGTAACCGATGGTGGAGCTGAGGGCAGTAAAATAGATGTCAGCCATGACTTTGAGTCATCCTCCGAAGATGTTATTGTTGAGAAGAAAAGTTATTTAAAGTCTTATTTAGTATTTATCTATTTATTTTTTAGTTTTAAGTACAGAATCGGGATAAAAAATCGGGATAATAATCGAGATCATACTATACAATATGACAAAGTTTATCGTGATCATTTTTTTGGCCAAATCGCCCAGTCCTAATTCACCCAGCGTATAAAATGAAACCACAACAAAAACAGGCAAAAACACTTCAAGATTGAATCACTTTCAATGATCAAACAGCTGTGCTTTGTGCTCCTTTATTTCACCATCTCTTTTCAAACCCCTGTTTGTGCAAGAGGACCAAACCATGTATTTCTCAGCAGGTCTACATAAAATGTGATTAAATAATCTGTCAGTCTGCACGAAAGCTGGCTGCTCCTCTGGCCACAACAACTACAGAAATAGACCCCATAACCCCAGAGGACCTCAGCTAGAAAATACACAATACATAATGTACCACTCTGTGACAATGCGGACTTACTCTGAGTAGAGTACTCACACAAATACAAGGTGTTAAATTCACTTAATACCCCGATTGTTTATTCATAAAACAACAACAACACCAACAGGAGTCTGAGTTTGTGCAGAAACAACTGTCGCATTGTCAGAATAAGCCTATTTGTCAAGATTTCATGCATCTCTCTCTCTCTCTCTCTCTCTCTCTCTCTCTCTCTCTCTCTCTCTCTCTCTCTCACACACACACACACACACACACACACACACACACACACACACACACACACACACACACACACACACACACACACACACACACCACGCCCCCTCCTGTCGGGAACACCCTAACCGTGGGTTTGCGCCTTCAGTCGGTGCCGAGACGCACCAACACACTCACACTCGGTCCCTGATCCCCGGACCGACTCCTTCTTCCAGCCCGCCGTGCTCCCCTGCCTGCCTGCCGGCTCCCCGTCACTCTCCGCCGCCTCCAGGTAAGACACTACCGCGGTTAATCGGGTCGACCCTCCGCACTACCGGGACTCCGAACACCGCCGAGTCTCCTCTGGCATATGGCATACTGAGCGGTTGTATTTGTCTCCACTTAATGATGTTTTATTCTCTCTTTTCCTTGTTGTTGTTTTTTTTTCTCTCGAGAGCTGGGGGGGGAGGCTGTCTTTCCACCATCACGACCACGATCCCGGTGGATTCGTCTCACAGTGCGGGACCAGACAGCCCACTTTCCGGTTTTAAGTTAAGAGCGTTTTTGGTCAGGTGCAATGCAGCAAAAAGCTCGTTTTCTCGCCTCTTGTTGCCTCCACGGTAGATTAACCTGCGGTCAACTCAGGTGAATTTTAATGGTCTGTTGGAAATGTGTTGCATTAATTCCCCCTTCATCACAGCAGCAGGACACTCAGCATGAAATGATCAAGAAAGACAGACATGGTTTTTGATGTCACATCTAACCTTATTTTAATGACACGAATTGACTTTAATGGTCATGCAGCATGCCTCTGGCTCACAGCTGAAAACTAAACACGACCTTGTTTTCGCTTTCTGGAGCCAAAGCGATATCCCAGTGCTTTACTGGGGGAGATACTGGGCTGACTGGCATGCAGGATGCAGCTGAATGTCTGGTTGATTGTTTGGAAAAGTGTTAAAATTTGGATCATTTGGATTCGGAGTTGGATTTAACCTTAGAAGAAGGTTTTGTTTTGGATGAAACTCACAGGAAAAGGGGAGGAATATTGTTGTAAGGTGTGTGGCAGACCTGAAAAAGCAAAGATTGAGATTTATCTTTATAACAATATCTGTCATAGGGATGAAATAATACGCATGAGCTTTAACACAGTTTCCATCTATATTCTACTTTTTTTACTCTGTACAAAGAAGATCTGTGATCGCAAAACGTTTTAACCTGAATCCATCCACAAATAAATCTCAGAGCTTTTACTTTTGAACCACTAAACTGGCACCAATTAGCCAGAGGGTAGCAAAGGTTTCATCTGACTGCAGAAGGATGTGTGAAAGCACAGCCATTATATCACAGCTTCCACCCAGCAGATAACATTTGACATGCTGGGTAAAAAAAGCATTTGTTTTTTACTTGGTCGTCTTATTTATTGTGATAAATTCAGTCAGTTCAGTCAGTTTGCTGGGGAGCTCACATTTAGATCACTAATGAATGGTAATTATTCTGCAGTCTCAGTGTGAAGGGGTATAATGACACATCAAACTCAAGCTTCAGTATGAAAATGATAAAGCAACAGTGCTTTTTTGTTGTTGTTTTATGGTTTTTTTTTTGTGGAAGATAGATCTCAGAAAAATTGTGAATATGTTCTATTTCATCATTTCGATTCTGTTTTTGAAAAAGTACAAAATATATATTTCTTTACAATTTAAAGCTCCTATAAGCAACTTTGATTTGGCGCCCCCTGTGGACAAAGTGATACCTCTTATTTCTTGGCTGATCTTATCCTGAACATGTTTTTGTATGTAGTGCTTTCTGTCAAAAGTCTCGATCTTTGCTGGTTTTTGAGTTAAATCAACCTCATGAGCACGATTGTTGGCTGATTTCCATCGTTTCAAAGAGTCATCAGTCGGCCTGATTTACCGTCAACCTCTGTTCTCCATCCTAAAACCTCATCGTGGTTTTGCCTCGTCTGTACACCCATGGTTCTTTTTAACTTTGAGATTGCCTGGCTTTGGAAGTGACTCGAGATTTTAAAGCTCCTGTGAGGAAATTTCAATTTGTGTCAATTTAGGGACAAGGCAGAATCAACATGGTTGAGTTTTTGACAAAAATAGCATCATGCTGATTTCTAACATTCAAATGTCTAATTCATTTTGCACATTTGATGAGGAAACTGCTAAACCTGTTTCTACAGCTGTGTAGATGACGCTGATACACAGACCCCGATGGGGTCTTGTTAGGTTATGGATATCATGAGCAGGCATTGATAAAAAATTCAGTCTATTTTATTAATGTAAAACAAAAACTCCTTACTGAAGCTTTAAAAAAGAGTAGCCAAAACCAGATTGCACTGTCTACTAAAACAGTACTGCAGTTCATCTTTTCTTCTCACCTGAATAGTGCTGATATTTTATTCAGTTTGAAGGTGTCATGACATCTTTCTACAGAAGATCGGCAAAAAGGAAAATAAGAAGTCCTCGTTGTTATGGGCAGGAGGCTTTTGGGCCACTGTTTAGGAGCGCAAAGGTCACAATCTGGGATGACCTGCTGTCCTCTGCTTTACTGTGACCTATCCTTTTATTCATAAATCCAAAATGTGATTATCAGAATACGGTAAAAAAAAGTACCACAAACAACACCATACTGGTGAAATTTATGATCAAATGCCAGCTTGTTTGCTTTTCACAGAAAAAAGAAATGGAAACATAATCGGTCTTACTAACAAACAAAAAAGTCATTTAAAAACAGTTATAAATCAAAATGAATTTTAAAGATGAACTTCTTTTTAACCCTCATAATTGACCAAAAAGCAACAAATTCTCTCTAAAGATAAACCAGCTGGAATCTCCTTGTTTCGAAGAGTTTTGCCAAATAAAAAGATCAACATCAATCCTCTTGACTAACTCTAGCTCATTAGCTGCTTTACTAAAAATGCCACCTATTGCTGTAAAGGCTGTTCACTGATTTATATAACAATTATTAACTACTGGCTTCATGTGATATTTGAAGAAATTCTGACATAAAAAGTTCAGATATGTTTATATAAAAGGATTGAAATATGATCCAGATTATAAGAAAACCAACATCTTGTATAAGTCATCAGTCTCGAGCTTTGCTGGAACATAAATGCAGGTTTGAAAACATGTATTTGATACAAAACAGTCGCACTAATGACTTCAGATAAGACTAATGAGTTTATTTATTATGTGAGGAGTCATTATGAACCTCTGTAATGGTATTTGATATCAAACAGTCTCCTGCTGAAGCTTTTTTAGTGCCAAAGGAGAAAAATCCTGACCTAGAATTCCCTCACTTATTGTACATCGCTGTTGAGATCTCCTGCTGTACTATAATCTGTCACAGTGAAGCGTCTTAAAATTAGTTCATTGGGCTCCCAAAAGAAATAGATGCAGCTTGTGCTGGGGCTGTTTTATCATTGTCACAGGAAAAAAATGCCTCCCTAATGGTAACTGAGCCTTTGTGTACCGTTCTCTCTCTCTCTCTCTCTCTCTCTCTCTCTCTCTCTCTCTCTCTCTCTCTCTCTCACACACACACACACACTCATACCCACACAGGGCTGCAGGGGGAATAAATGGATGAATAAGCGGAGGAAGAGAATGTAGGGATTCCCTGATTTCTGTACATGCAGGCAGCTGAGCTCATCTAGCAGAGCAGAACGAAGCCCAGGGGAGAGCAGTCACACAGCATTAGAGGTCTGAGTCTGAGAGATCGAGTTTTGCATTGGTGTGTGTGCGCGTGTGTGTATAAGCTATGCAATTGCACACATCCGTGATATCATGACAGACACTCCAGCGACGGGCTGCGGCTCATGGTGGCAGACTGTTGCCCTATAAAACGAAAACCCTGTAACTAACTACACGACATATTTATCCTGCTGATGCTGTGTTTCTATACTTCTCATTAGCGGCTTACTCCTCTGTGTAGTACACTGTGTACACAATGTACCACCCTGGGTTGTGGTTAAGTTTGACAAGACAGTGTTGCCTGAAATCACACATGAATTTTTCCAAACGGTAATACGAAGTGAGTTAATAGAGATGTTTCTGTAAATGTTAAAGTTTCAGTGACCAAAACTGTAAATAAGGCTGTGACAACAACACTGAGAAAACGAGACTGACACCTAGTACAAGCCATGGTAAGCTCCAAAGTAGGGCTGGGCGATATGGGAAAAAGCTTATCAGGATATATTTTTTTCTTATCAGTTGATACCGATATATGTCATGATATAAAAAAGGAAATTTAACAGTGCTTTTTTGTAGCATGTCTTTTGCAATACAATAAGCTACTGCATCTGTGAGGTCTTTGTGTCTCTTCGACGTTTTGTCGTAAGGTGTTGCGCTAGAGAAAGCGTACTGAATGGTCGGCTGTTTTGGCTGCACAGGCGCCATGGGCTCCTTGCTCCGCTTGGGTATTGTAACCTTTTGCATTGCCCGTGCTCTGCAGCGTGGCACTGCTTCAAAGATTTGAGGTATTTCCCGACTTTGCGAGAACATTTCCTCGACATAATTTGCAGTGCACATTACTCTGCTTCATGTCCGACCTCAAAAAACCGAAACACCTCCACACCACCAACGTTTTCGTGCCGGTGTTGTCAACGATGTCATCATCTGTTAAAGCTTTATTTTCGATTCTACCGGGGGTAGCACCCTTTTTTTTTTTTTCTCACCGACAGTGCTGTCGGCTTCACTTGTTTAAGTGCTATGGTTGTGTGTAGCTGCAGCCTGCTACTACGCAGTTGTGTGCTGTTTTGTTCAAATTCAGCACATGATTGGTTCAGCGCAAAGAGGACCCGGAGCAACTCCCCTTCTAATTGGCTATTCGTATAGTCTACCAAAACATGGTGGAATGCCGACTCTCGAAAAACATATTGACCATGTTTCAAATCGATATTGAGGGAAATTAATTATTTATGTATCGTTATTGTTTTATCACCCAGCCCTACTCCAGAGTGAGCTGAAACCAAACTCTGTACTCTGATTTGATCCTGGCAGGAGGGAAAAATATTAATTGTAATAAACAAATATTGTAGCACCAGCTAAATAGTGAAAAACTGCATCTGTTTAGTTGAATTTACGGCAGAATAATTAGCCCAAGAGTGCCAGCTTTTAACATTTTATAAACTCCTTGCAGTTCAAAGCTCTCTTCTCTCCAGTGTACTGCTGTTTACTCAGCTTTTACTGCTGTAGAGTAATCTCCTCTGTCCCTTGCATGAATGTTATTTGCACTTTCAACTCCTTTATATTTTCACCAACAGGGAGCTGCCACAGGGAGTGTGTGATACAGGAATACATTTAGTCTAGATTAGTCATTGAATATTATCGTATTAACAAGATAGCCTGTGTGATTATAACCAGATTAACTCTGCTGGTGCCCCGAGTGCCTGTAACAAACCTTGTCTGTGCTGCTGCATTGAATAACATCTGATCCCTTTAGTGTTTTGTTGTGCTGTGTGGGGTTTCCCTTCTTCCTCCCACTCACTGATGACTCTCTGTTATCCACGGTTCTGTCTCTAGCTGTCCATTTGGTATGCAGCCTACAGCCCTGTGTGGTCTCAGAGACACGCGGGTTCTCCATTCAATCACAGCCGCAGCGAGGCAATCAGTGGGAACCTGTCCATAGACCAACACTGCAGATGTGGGAGGGGGGAAAAATCCCAACTGCAGAAATGTAATTTGGAGGCAGTGCAGAGAGGAGTGACTCAGTTGAGTAATAGATTGGCGGTCAGATAGGGGAGCCTCTGTGTCACCTTCCTAAAATCTTTCATGTGTGTGGACACACGCGTCTGTGGGCGCTCCTGATGTTGACCTGAACCTCTGAGGGGGACGATGAGATGATTGAACGCTTCAACCTACAATTGGAGCGAAAGGTGGAGATGCCCACACGGGTGGACTAATTTGTCTTATAATATGACGACGTCATTATTTAATTATTTCCCAGCAGCAGCAGCATCATGTTGACCAGGGTGTGCGCTGTGGTAAAGTCCACACAGCAGAGCTCAAACCAAACAGCATTAATCAGAGTCATTATTGGCGAGTCGTGCACATCAAGGTGTTTAATGGATAGTGTATTTGAACAGATTAAGAGCTGTGGAGACATCAGTCAGGAAACACCCAGATATAATATTATGTAATAAAAACAACGCAGGGAAAATAAGGTTCAAAGTTTTACTGAATTAGATAACAGGGATTTAGTTATTCGAAAAGTAAGCACTATCGAAGGAATATCTTCAGCTGTAGTCACCACATTTCAAGGAAACTACTACAGGCTTTTAACATACCTGTCATTTTGATCATAGTAGGACAAAAATATCTCATCTGAGAGTCATTTTACCCTTTTGGGGGCTTTAAAACTATAATATGACTTGTAGTAAGTTCAAGTTTTAGAGTGTCATGTTGTGACGTGTTCTTATAAGTCTGTGACTATTATTTCATCTAAACATCCTTGTACATGTTCACACTTCTTTCTTGCTGTGTTGTTTTTTGGTCTTAACCTGGCATAAACTTATCACTTTGATTGTGTATGCAATGAATTTAAAAAGGAAAAAATCTTATTTCCTCAATGATTTGACAGCCTAGTTACCCCGTTTGTGGTTTCTTGTTAAAGTTGTGAGACTCAGAGGAACTCTTTATATGCAGTTTAAACTGAAGCTGAGCGCTTATTTGGTTCTTCAGACTCCTTCAGCGGGCTGTTGAATGAACCTCTGGGAAAGACTGCAGAACATATGGTGCAAATTTTAATATTCAATCATGTTTATCAGTGTGTGTGAATCTTTTATTTGATTTGTGAGCTGTTTCTAGCATCTTACTTCGTAATATTGTTGGTTCGTGTCGAAGTCCAAAAGATTTTTCCCTTGGTCAGTTGGTTGGTTGATTTATTGGTTTTGTAGATATGCATAAAGTGTATATTTAGGATCCACACAAACTTATTTCAACACTTTTCATGGTAGAAAAAATGATGGTTTCAAAGGAGTCTTTAAAATTTTACATCACAACATTTAAAAATCAATATTTTCTCACATAAAATTAGGATTGAACTGAATGTAGCCTCACAGGGCTGCTAGTATCACTGTCCACTATCAAGGATTTGTTTGACTTGGTTCAAATGACGTGCCGTCTTATCAGCCCACGTTGGAAATGATGAGTAGTTGTTACAGACACAACAGACTGGCTGAACAGTGAAAAGCTGGGCTGCTGTATGTTGGATTGTCAGTTTTCAGTGAGTTACAGAAATAGTTGGACGGATTGGAAATGTGTTGATTGTGAAACAGACAGAGTGATAATAATGTGCATTTGTAGCATTTGTTCTTCTCTGAGGGGACCAGCTTTGAGTTTTTTCTCATTAGAGGCTGAAATCGAATGCACAAAGCGTTATTTATCAGTCCTGCTAAAGCCCTTGGTTACAGCCTATGAATGTTAAAGGGACTTATTAGAAAGAGGCACCTATAGAGGCAGCTGCTTCCTGGGTTTCTGATGTAGCTGTGAGCTTTGAACAGACATTTCTGAATGTTTGAAATTCAGTGATTCCCTCTCTGTCAAAGTATTGTGCACTCCAAATATTGGTATTTGGACTCGGATGGTGGGGTTTTGGCTCATAGGTCTGTTTACCCTGAAATATATGGGGTAGATGTAGAAGAAGGACACGCTCTAGTGCTGTAAGATTAAATGAAAAGTCACCTGAAAACATGACCATGAATCTCATTCAATTATCACCCTCTGCATTTAAGAAAGAGAGAAAAATGTAAAAGCAAAGTGGATTCCTCTCTCTGCTTTCGGTACTTTTAAAACACTACCCCAGGCGTGCTCTCTACCTGTCTTATCAGCCATGCCAATGTGCTGTGACGCTGTTATTCATCCATCTGTCCTTAACAAACAGCCATCTTCAGGCACCTCTCACTGTGCATCTGTTTTCTGTGATCCTGCTCCACTAATGCACCCGCACACTCTCTTATAAAACAAGAACGACACAAGGCCAATCTTTCATTTTCTTTTATTCATTTGCATGCACTTGACTTTTGATTACGTTTTCAGCTGTTGCACTCTGATTAGTAATAACACAAGCTAATCCAAAGACCCCCACCATCAGCCTCCAGAGCTTCCAAAAGATAAAGTGCAGTAAAATGTGGGCAGGCAAGCAGCAGTTAAACACGAATGGGTGCTATGAAATATTCAGACGTGCTGGTGAAGCGAAAGGGAACTGTTCATAACCCGAAAAGTCTCTCTCTCTGTCTCTCTCTCTCTGTAAAGAAGAGGAAGCAGCAGCAGCAGAGACCAGGTTTGAAACTGGGTTAATGAGATCCAGCCTCGGTCTAGAAACTGCTCGTCTCTTGTTCCTCAAGATCCTATGGAGTAACATCACAGAAACGCCTGAAAACACAAAAGAGAGTGTTTCTATAACATATATGACACACATAATCTTTTACTTTTACTATCACTCTTCAAACACCTGAAACATCTGTTTCTTGATGTTTTAGTAACATCTTCTGATTCCCCAAACTTTGCTGTGAATGTGTTTATTCATCTAAAACCCCTCTCCCACTTTCCATCATAACCACATCGCCAGTAGCGCACCAGACTGTGGCTTGAAATCTTGACCATCTTATTGCTTGTTCCAGTTTTTTGGCAGGATGAATAAGCCCAGTTATTGCAGAGTAGAGAAAATGCAGTAACACTAAAGATTAAGGGAGGAAGGATCAACTTCAGTCCTGGTTCGTGACAGAAGAAGAATTCAGTCTGTTTACCCAAACAACAATACTAATATCTCACTAGAGTCGAGCAGTATATGAATTTCTCTTAGGGGATAAATAAAGTTCTTCTTCTTCTTCTTGGACTTTGTTGTTGTTGCCATCGTTGTCATCGTCATTGTCTTCTTCTTCTTCTTCTTCTTCTTCAGTAAAACTATGTAGAAAGCTTTAAGAATGTACAGTATTTTGATCATTTATTCGTTAGCCAGTGTAGGCTACGTTTTTCTTTGTTTGCACAACAAGTAAATAGTGGCGTACATACTGAGTTTACAGCCCCGAGCATTGTTTCTGGTGAAAAAAGTCAGACAAAGTGTATTTGAGGCGGAGCAAAGACTGAGTAAGGAAACAACCATGACTCTTTTAAAGTAGGGGGGAAATGACTCAAAATGTGCAGTAAACGCATGTTGGAGTAATCCCCAGATGATCAGAGCTCTCAGCAGCTAAAAAGTCACAGGAGACTTCTGTGAGATGGACATGAGATTTGCTCAAGTCATGACATCTTCAATTGGTGGATCCGAAAAGGGCAAATTAGACATAAACAAACCAAACTAGAAACACCTAACTCTGTTCTTTGTTGCTGGGATTTTCCTTTTCCAAACTGTTCGGGTCCAGAGGCTAAAATGAGGGTTTGTTCAAAGACAACATCACTCATTCACTTAAGCAGTAGATCATGTAAAGCTTCTACAAAACTATAAGAGGAACACTGTAAAGCCTTAAACTAAGCGTAGTACCCCTTTTTAATACCATAGAGTTATGATTTTCCTCAAAGCAAAGTTTAAATGGTTTGTCAGAACATCATTATTCAACTGTGATCTCAAGATAAGTGTCTTTTTATATGCTGCTTGAGGAGCTGCAAAGCTCAAGCTTCCTTTGTTAATATTTCTCACACATTTTGGTTTGATCCGAGGTGTGCTGGGATTTCAATCAAATCAATCAATCAATCAAATTTTATTTATATAGCACTTTACAATATCCCAAATGGTACCCAAAGTGCTTTACATAAAAGCAATAAAATAACACAAGAAAAAAATACCATTATAAAATAATACAATAGAATAGAATAATACAAGAACGATAAAATAATAAAAATGAATATGAGAATAAAATAATACAATAAAATAGTATGTAGAAGTGCTAAAAACCTATAAGTACAGGACTACCTAGTCAGAGTTTTACCTGTTTCCCCACAGGTAAAAAAAATCAAACATTTCAAGGTCAGAACACTTAACCAGCACTGAATCCATCACAGATTTCACTGCCCTCCTCCTTTTCTCTGTAAGTCCAGATCATCTGCTCTCTTTCTGGTGGTTATTTATTCTTCCGGCTTCAGCCAACAAACAGAACGGCAAAACCAATCATCCATCTTCTGTCCCCACCTCCAGTGTCCGCCTTATCCTGAGCCCACGCTGCCCTTTCCTTTAAATTAGTGAGTGAAATGACACAAACAACCAATCAATTCGAGGGCAATAAACATCCTCTAGATAAGAACAATGCAGGAGGAGTTCACTGTAGGTGAAAACGGTCAAATAGATAGCAGAGATGAAGTGCTGAGGGGGAGAGGACAGCTGATAGGACGGTCTGGATAAGGGTTTTAGAGGCACTAACTCTGCTGGGGTGTTTTTTTTTCCTATTTTCTGCTCCATTGAGCACTGCAGGGACAAATAGAGGCCTGCAGGCCTGATAGGTCATTACTGATGACGGCTCCTCCGAGAGTTGTAATGTTGCAGTAGCTGTGACATGTGCTTCATGGCTGTAAGGGCGGTATTTTAGATGTTAGCCATGGTTGGGCAGGATTAGCTAAAAAAAAAATGGTGGTCACAAACAAGAGCTTTGTTCCAAAAACAACCCTGACAAGCAGAAGTGAAGGAAATACATTAAGATTGTTATTCTGTAGAGTTTAAGTTTTATGAAACCACAAAAGTAAAATGACAAAGTGAGTCCTGCTTGAGCTGCCATTATCTAATCCACTGTAGTGTTTATTATTGATGCAGCTTTTTAAGTAGAGTGCCAATGTAGATAGGGGTACAGATGCTATTTGATTAGTTCATTATATTTTCTAGATGTGAAATACTCACTAGTTCAGAAATCTGTGGAACGAATAAAACACAGTAAGAAGTATCATCCCTTTTCACCAGCAGATGATACGATGTCACTGGCATCTTTTTAAGTGATTCCCCTGTGTTTGCTCCACAGCTATACTTTTATTTTTAGGTAAAGTCTGACTGAAGATGAGAATTTAAATGAGAGAAGAATATTCTCAGTCTCTGAGTCTTTTCCCCTCATTTTGAGACATCTTTATAAAGATGGAATGATTGCTAAAAGGCAACATTTCGCAATCAAACGGTGTCTGAAACCTACTCCTCTCACACTTTTCTGGAGGACTGTGCCCCCCACTTCACCCTGATAGAAAAACCTTTTTCAGTTTTGCTTGACAAGTAGCTCTTGCAAACTCAGAAACCAGGGAGTTCATATCTGTTCAGGACAAACAGACTTTGATGAAACACTGATTATTGAAAGAGGATTATATATATATGAATCACTATTATGGTACACATTTTGTGTTGCTCTCAGCGTACACGTGAAAACTGATTGGAGCAGTTGTGCGAACTCTGAAAGAAAGGCCTGAAAGAGTTTTAAAGCACGCTCACGCTTCAACTCTGCAGACTGACCTGTTTGACCCTACACAATGACTTCATGCCTGACTTCTAACAGTCTGTGTAACTTTCTAAAACTAACAAACTCCCAACATCAGGCGCTCTCTGACCTGCTGCGTGGAAGTGAGAGGGCAAACAGGATCTAAACTCAAGCTCTGTTATTTTAAAGCTCCACACTTCAAATACTAAAGTCCCCTTTTTCTGTCTGAAAACAACCGCGACTGTTTTTCAGGAGAGACTGTCAAAGCTTGTGATGTTATCCCCATTTGAGTGGTTATGGTGTCTCACCTGTCTCTGAGATTGCAGCCTTGGAGTCAAATACCCACCACCTCTATATAGTCTTCTTCATTCACTTGCAAACACTCATCTTAGTCAGGCATGAAAGTTTCAGGACTGCGAGTTTAGAGATAAGATAGGTGATGTGGTTGTTTTTGGCTGAGTCTGTCTTTATTTCAACATTAGTTTGACATCATTCCCTTTGCTGCAGAGACAAAAATCAAGGATTGAAAGCCTATTTTACAAGGAGCTTTGGGAAGGTAGGTTATTCATCCTTGAGTCTAGTGTCGCTTCATTACTGTTGAGCCAACCAAGTAATTAAGGTTGCAAATTGGATTCTGATTGACAAAGCGTGATGTCGTGCCTCTGCAAAGACACTGACATGCAGAGGCTCCAGAGGATGAAGACGAGTGACACGGAGCTCTCGGCTTGATTGGCAGTGACTCTGTTAGTATGTCTGACAGGTTTCCAGACTGGGAAAGAGGGTCATTAGTGCACTGCAGTAGTGCAGATATGTTATCTGCCCTGAGGTGTTAAGTGTATATGTGTGTGTGTGAGAGTGTTTGTTTGTTATAAAGGGACAACACAAAAATATAAGAGAGAAGGGGATAAAGAGGTCACCATTTAAATAAATCAGCGCACACAGGCAGGGATACTTTCCACTCGGACAAACCCGTCATGTAGCATTGACTGTGCTGTCTCTGCTTTGCCTTAAACCCATCCCCAGCCTCTTCCCAGAGGCCCCTCTGGTCTCCTCCTGCACGCTAGATTTCATCTCCAAGACGATGGCTGCCTATTGATTTCACCTCGCTGTGAACACAAGTCCACATCCGATCTCAGGAAGTGGATCTCACGCAGGGAGATGCACAGCTGAGATATCCGGATAAATCTTATTTGCTTCATTTGCTTTAAGTTGAGGTAAGCTGGGTGAGCTGGGAACCACTTTACAATGCAAACGTTTCCATATGTCAGAACCTGCACAGCCCTGCAAAATGCATGTGTTCATTAACTGCTGTGGGCGTATACCGGTAAATTTGATCAGCCTGATCCTCTGGGTTTGACGCATTGAAATGAATTTCAAGTGGTTTGCGCCTCATCTTATCCTCTTACTTAAAGAGCAATTGAATTTCATGTCTGCTGAGCTTGTCTGTTCTATGATAATAGCTTTACCTGTCACTGTTCGACTAAAATAATAGAAACGTCTGGCTTTACAGTCCAGCATGTTTTTCTGTGTTGAATTGATGTGTCACCCAGGACCGTGTCTAGAGGAGTAGTGGGGAGGTGGCATTGATCCCTCCCGAAATCTGATTGGCTACCCCATTTGTCAGCCAATACTTTGAACTATTTTGGTTTTCTTAACACACTGCTGTGAGTATTCTTAGTTTCTATTTCACCATCAAATATCACTCTGTTATGTTGCTTTGTGAAGATAATACTGCTGCAATATTTAGAATAAATGCATGCAGTGTGTTTTAAGTCCTCAATCATAAAATTCTGTCTGTTACTTTAATCTTTTAGTCTACTAATTACTTTCAAATTGATTTTTTTTATATCTTTTACCAGACTGTGTCCAGCTCTCTGACAGCAGCACTGACACCTGCAAACAGAAGCTGAGAGACAACAGGAGGAGAGAGTGGAGGACAGGTTAGCAGAAAATAGTTTTAATTAAGCATTTGGTAGATTAGCTGTGACGACAACAGCGTCCAACGGACTGAGAGCAACTACAGGTGTCTGGAGGCCAAAATCCAAGATGCATTAGATAATAAATGGTGTTTATTAGCAACTTGGTCCTTTGTTTTGCACAATTTAATCAACCACATGGACAAAGTTGTGCAAACTTCCTCATGTTGCATTGTCACGACTAACAATTCTAACAACAGCTGCTAATTCCCAACTTTGCTTTCAACTTGTAACTTCCGTCAACTCGAGTGTGGCATAATTCTCAGATCTGGCAACTCTGAAACTTTGAGAAACTTGGTTAGATGGTTTCTCCCTGGATTACCGGCCCTCTCTAAAGCTTTTATGAGCTACTTAGTCATGTTTTGTGTAACAACAACACGGATGAACATGATTGCTTTTGTAAACTCCCTCATGGTGTGCTGTTATGGCCTTGTGTTATTAGCTAAATTGCTAATAACAACAGGAGTTCATGGCTTTTACAGCTTTTCTGATGTTTGATTGGCTCGGTCAACTCCAATGAGACGTCATTACCAGCTCTGATGTTTGTCTCGCTGGGTAAATGGACACACCATCAACACAGTCTTAAGCTAATGCTGTTGTTTGGTGAACATATTCAACAATCAATAGGTGTGCTCTCACTGGCACCAAACAGAAAGCTGCATCCTAGCTAAACAGATATAATGGCAGTGCACACAAAGGCACAGTGAGCCAGCAGGCTGATATACCAAACAACGTCATGGGCTGGCCACCAGTTTCTCCTCCTTTTTCACAATTCATATAAATCAGTCTGTGGTGCTAACCCTTCCTCTTTTACCAAAGTGTGTGTGTATGTGGGAGGTGGATGTACATTGTAGAGGTCAGTCAGTATCTACAATTTATTTAAAATTATATGATTGTTATATAATTGTTGTATTAATTTATAGTTAAATTCATAGTTTTTTTTTACCTGCAGGATTCTCAGTCTTTGCAGAATCGTTGGCTTTCACTGAAAACACTGTGACTTGTTTGTACAGTGACTTTAAATATGAGAAAGTAGGGCTGGACGATATGGGAAAAAGTTAACCATGACATATTTTTTTCATACCAGTAAATATCGATACATATCACAATATAAAAAAATCACTTGTCAATCTTCAATGAAATTTAACATGTACTCGATTGACAGTGCTGACGGCTTCACGTGTTTAAGCGCTATGGTTGCGTGTAGCTGCAGCCTGCTACTACGCAGTTGTTTGCTACTTGGTTCTAATTCAGCACATGATTGGTTCAGCATGGCGTGGACCCAGAACAACTCCCCTTTTCACTGGCTCTTCGTATAGTCTACCAAAACATGGCAGAATGCTGGCTGTCGAAAAGCATAGTGACCATGTTTCATATCGATATCGAAGGAAATTAATTTTTGATATAAATAGTTATCATTTTATCGCCTAGCCCTATGAGAAATGATCAAACATTTCTTTTTCAAAAGTCTATAAATGTATAGAGGCATTAGAGCAGATAGGTCAGCATGTGGATTCGTCCCACCCTTTGTGCTTAAGACATGGACTGCTTTCCTACATGAAGCCAAGACCTGCTGAAAACATACTACAAATAGAAACAAGAACATTTTGGGTACCAAACTCTGGCCTTGCACACTGAGATTCTGCACTTCTATCAAAATCTGTAAAGAAAGATTGGTCCAAGCTGTTGCTATCATAAGCTGCTCACATGAAAGGTCTCTTGATACCTTTCTTACCTTATATTAATAGATTTTTTGCTAAAGATTTAGTAATTCTTCCAACAACTGGGCACTGTAGTTTATGTAAGCTCTACTGAGACTGCTTGTGTCAGGGACTCATATAACCTGCAGAGTAACTCATTATTTGTTATCTAACGAGTCCTAACTGCAGTGAATTAAGTGGATTTTAATCAAGTTGTGTAATGAGAGAACTAAGGTCAAATCTGGCCTTTGCAGGGGCTGAATTTCTGAATAGGATCATTTCACGTTGGTTTGTTTTTTCCTTGAATTTCTAACATTAAAGATTAAAAAAATAATACGTTTTTCATGACCCTTAAGTAACAGACCATCCTTAAAACCAAACACCAAGTCAGACACTGTCCAGAGTCCAGACAGCAAAAACTGCTTGTTAAAGCTGAAAATACCAAAGCAGAGATACAGTATATCAGTGCATGTTCTCCTCCCTGGTGTGCGGACATGGGGCTTTAGTAAACAGATGAGAAGAGTGCCATTATTGACCTTTGTTTTCTACGCTGGGAGGAAATGTGTGTGGACTCGGGGGGGGGGGGGGGGGGGGGGCTCGTATTGACTGTCTGCTGCTCACAGAAGGAGGTCTCTGTCTGGGTTGAAGTGACCTGCAGTTTAATGGTCACCAGAGACGCTCTCTGCTCATCATTATTACTTTCTCTGCCTTCAGTGTCACATTAATGATTCAGGGAGAGAACGTTCAGCATCCTGTGAATAACCACAGAGGGAGGAGTAGAGGGTAAAACACTGAAACCAGTAAAGGGATGGTGCAGAAAAGACGGCAGAAAACCATCCAAACAGACTGAAGCAGCTGTCTGTTACTCAGAACTGGAAATTTTTGATCATTTATTGATGATTTGCTGCTTCTCTTAATGTTCAATGTAGCTGCGTCTTTCAACTGTGCGTGGCGATGCACATGCTAGAAAATGTTGCACCAGGGGGAAATAAATGGAAGTACATCAGCCTCCCTGTTGGGGAAGAATATGCTGACGCAGGGTCAATTAACTGCCGAATGATTTTTTTTCTCTCTATCTTTAAAGCAAGCTCAAGTCAAAGATCTGTGCTCCACTACTCTTTAACAACAAGCCAAAGCAAAAGCTGAACATAATGAATTTTCAATCTGAAAAAGACTGGGGCTGACCCACATTTCTGCAGAATCACACCGTGCATATCATGGCCTGATTTTCTCCTGACCCAGCCCGTCCAGATTTCATAAAAAGAGTGTGATAAAAGCAGAGTTCAGCACAAATGAGACTTTCCTGCCCTGCCGCTGGGATCACACTGGGGTTCAGGAAAAGAGTGAACAAGAGGGAGAGATATGAGCTGAGGCAAAGAGATGAAGGTGGAGGAGTAGCTGGGGAAAACGCACATTTGTATGCACTCAGAGCTGTTTCTGCTATATTGCGGATGTTATTTTCTGTCATTTCAAAGGAGAAAAAGAAGAACTGAAGAAACTTTATTTTCTGCCTTCCTCTGAATTACACATAAAAACACTGAATGAAGCAGAGATAAGAATTTGGCTCGAATATAGGTGTAACCTCGGGAAAATAGTTATCTTCAACAGAGCTGTACTTCAATCCTTTTCAGCTATATGTGCTTTCAAAATAATACAGTACTTGTATACTTTCTACTGGAGGCTGCTGTGAGCGAATGAAACAGCCCCTATATCACTATTCTTTCACACAGGTCTGCTAATACTGTCTTTGTGAGGTCTTTTGAGCACCAAACAAAGACACGGGTTATGACATAAATGACACAAAGGTCATTTTCTGTTGCCTTGGCAGTGAAACAGATGCTGAAATCATTATATTGACGTTCAAAATTCTGTATCATAACAGCTCTAATCTGGTATTTAGCCGGCAATACTGTGCAGAGTTTCATTTAGCAGCATATCCCATCTCTGTCTTTTATTTACAATGTATTATATCAAAGCGTCATCCTAAAGCGTGCAGTAAGCTCTTGAGATTGCAGGAACGAAACTTCATAATGACATGGTGAGATGCCGAGAAGAAGAGTACATAAACAATATAGTGGCTTTAATAATAATAAAAGCGCTGGAATATACTTTTTTTTTTTACTGCAGTTTTCAGGGACTTTTCAGTCACAAACTTAGTGCTTCAGAGGACTGTATTCACATGAGCAGGAGTGTGCATAAGAGGTTTATCTGAAACCAACTTGCTCATGTTCGGTGAAGGCACGTGTCACCTGGTGCAGCAGTGTGACTCAAGGATGTGATTTTTAGGCAACATTTAAGCTCTTTTACAAGGATAATGAAAGGGCTGTATCACAACAAAAGCAGGGATTAATTCATTGTTGTGTTCAAAGGGGATTTGTTAAATATAAGGGAATTTGTGAACAATGAGGGGATTTGTAAATACTGAGGATGTTAAAATCTTTCAAGGAATAACTAAGCTACAGTGTCGGACCCTGCTGTTTTCAGACTGCGTCAGTGTTTTTCAGATTGAAACTCTTTAGTTTTTAATTTCTTTCCTCTCTTCAGTTCATTAATGATCAGTCATGGGGTTGGATGACAGCGCTGGTGAACTGCAGCTCTTTTGGAGTCATGTTTTGACCTTTGTTTCTGACTTTTAAGTCATATTTGTCCAGTATTTTCCCCTCTGTTCACCCACAGACGGTTCAGCAGTGACTGTATTTTTATGTTTAACCCAGGATCACTTCTCCTTCGTGTCTTCTTTACTTTTTATGCCAACTGGCAGTCTGGCCGCTCCCCGCACACCTGTGGTTCTTAATTGGCAGATTGATTGTGTAGCCTGTAAGCCCGACCTCCTGCAGAAAACACCAGACTGACCGGGGGTAAAATGCCACAGAGCTATAAAACACAAACCACCGTATAATGTGACTTTGTGATCAGATTTCCCCAGCAGAGGGTAGACTCAGAGCAGGATAAATGATCCTTAATAAGTTTGAGTGACATGAATTTTGAATGGCAGAAGAGATGGTAATGGTCTCCTTACGGTGTTGAGACCGCGGTGAGTCAGTGTGCTGTCCCGAGAGGTACGTTAATAGAGCAAGGCTGTGGAGTGAGAGCATCTCCTTTGTTCAGAAGTCAAAGTTGAACTGTTTCCCTTCTCTGTTTGCTCAGGACAGAGCGAGCAGCAGTGGGGGATGTGTACTCAAGGAGGGCTGTGTGAGGACACCACGCCCGTCCGTCTGCTGCAGTTCAAGCTCAGCGATAGTGTAGTGCTCCAGGAGAAGGAATATGATTTTATAGAGGCCTAGATAAATATTAGTTTCCCTTTGTGTCAGTTGTTGACTTAAGATTTGTCATGTGTGCCCAGTCACACAGCTGCCAGGACCTTCATGACGTTGAAAACTGACCTCATTGGAACATGTGCAGTCGGTACTGCTATTGATCTCATCGCCAGGGAAGTCACAGTATTAGTATCCTGTTAAATGTCCCACTGAGCAATAGTGGGACGACTATTAGACGTCTAGTTTTTTTTTAGACCTAATTTCAACCATCTAGATTTTGTATATTTTCAGATGTAATTTAGACAATGCACCCATTATCTGATAACTATTTATTTCAAAAAGCAACTGTGGGTTGCATAACTGATCTCCAAGTACTAATCCAAAATAATTACGATAGCAGTTGAGCAATATACAGTGTAGTATAGATAAATGCCAGATTTAGACTTGGTCTAAACTTGGTCTAAATTCAGACGTCTAAAAAACTTACATTTTTAGACCTGTGGTAGCCTGATTTTAGACCAGTCGTCTAGTCTATATTTAGACCTCTTTTAGACCAAAACATGCTCAGTGGGATGTCTTTATGAGATATTCAAATTCACCATTTTCTCTCAAGTTGTTGAATTTTTTTAATTCAACACTGTCCACATTTTATCACCGTCAGTCCCCTAAATTTCACAAAGTCATCTCAGGACAGATCACTGTCTGGTAGTGTGTTATATTTTTGGACATTTTTTCTCATATTGAAAGGATAGAAAGGAATCGCTACATAGAATGGACAACATCATCGCATTTCTGCACATCGCGAGCTTTAAGCCAAACATCAGCTCCACATTCAGGTGCACACAGTCATGCTTTCAAAATCACAGCATGTAAAGAAGCAACCTAGTTGGCTGTGTTGTGGGACTGTGTCACACATGCAAAGTGCTGTGTGCATTAAACTTGCAGATAAAATGTTGAAGACTCTTCAGGCCAGTTTAGTCCACAGCAGAACAGAATTTGTCTTGTGTTAGGTTTCTCTGCAGGAGCCCTTATTTGTCAACAGAGCTGTCAATCATGATGTTATAGCTGCCCTTCTTTGAAATTATGATCACTTGGAAATAAATAGCAAGTGAATAAATACCTGAGATTTGATATGTGTCTTCATAGTTTGGCCTCTTTTCCCTCTGTTTACATGAGGTAGGCGGGGTTTATGTTTACACCACAGCCAATCAGCAGGGAGCTTTAAATCTCCTACCTTCATTCTAGATTCTGTGGTTAGCCGTATTATTGAGGCTTCACAGGACCATCGCTGAATAAGTGTATTGTGTAGTTTCAGCTATTTTAACCTTTTCAATTCAAAGATACTTGTAAAAAAAAATAATAATAATAATAAACAGTATTTACTCTATTAAATCCACCCCTTGCATTTTAATATCGACTACAATGCAGCTGCTGTTGTTCAGCTTGATGTGTCACAATCACTAATGTGCCTTGTGTTGCAAATGAAGCTGAGATGATGTCTGCCAGTTCATTAGTGCTAATTCATGTAAAGTGAAGAGAAGAGGGGAGAGAAGAAAGGGCGAGAATGAAAGAGACAGTGATGAATAAAAACTGAGGAAGGCTGGTGTGGCCTTATGCAGATCCCTCCTCTCCACTCAATTTTCATTTCTACAAGCTCCAGCAAAATTTTAGCCTAAGTCTCTGATCTTAAGGATTGTTTTCATTGACGGGGAGGAAAGCTATTTCTGTGCAAATCAGTTCCTCTTTTTTTCATTGCTGTTCACTTGATCAGACGCTGCAGCTAGTTTGACAACCCTGCGTCTGTAGAAGTGTGTGTTTGTGTAAGCGTGCGTGCTCATTTATTGCTTTCAAAACTCATAATTTCTTGGAGCAACAGTGGCATCAGACGGTATCAGGCCCACTTAGCATTTAAATAGCACAGCCAGGAGTGACATTTCACTGCTTTACACTGTCTTTTTAGACCATTTATCATCATCAAGGTGGCTAAAGCCCATGTAGTTCAGTCCCTATCTCCTCCTGTCCTTGTCCTGTTGTGTGGTTTGGTGAGATAGTCTGCATACAATGGATGATATGACAGCAAACAGCCGTCTCCCATGGAGCTTCAATCAGCTGCTTATATACTCGCGATGACAGCGTAACCAGGGATAGACTGATTAATTGGACAGGCCTATTAATATGGTAAATCTGTGGCATTTTGAAATAATTGGCATCCTCTAATACGTGTGCTCACAAGATTGATTAAAATAAATGAGCAAGTAATGTCTGCAGACACTGCAGGCAGTCTTGTTAGTGATGTTAACACCCCTTTGAATGATAACAAGTTTTCCCCAGCCTGAACCGATGTTTTTGTCCTTAGATTATCATATTTCATCAAATCGTCACCCTATTCTAATAATGGTTTGAGCCATTTTTTGATAAAAATACATTTTTGGCCTAAATCATCTCTTGATATTGCTGGCCATCTCTGTTAAAATCGCCTACCATCTCTGGCAAAATCACCTACCATCTCTAGTAAAATCACCTATTTTTTCTGGCAAAATCACCTATTATCTCTGGTAAAACAACCTACCGCCTCTGGTAAAATCGCCTAGCATCTCTGGTAAAATCACTTATCATCTCTGGTAAAATCATCTATTTTCTCTGGTAAAATCGCTTACCATCTCTGGTAAAATCACTTAGCATCTCTGGTAAAATCACCTATTATCTCTGGTAAAATCGCTTAGCATCTCTGGTAAAATCATCTATTTTCTGTGGTAAAATCACCTACCGTCTCTGGTAAAATCGCCTACCAGAGACAGTAGGCGATTTTACCAAAGATGGTCAGTATTATCAAGAAATGATTTAGGCCAAAAACTCATTTTCGTCAAAAAATGACTTAGGCCATTATTTTAATATGGTGACGAAATGCAAAAACACAACAACGTGATATTGGCTTCATACATCATCCTTTAGATGACCCGTGCTGTAATCATCAGCGTTGGTATCTGCTGTTGGAAAAACAGTATCAGTTTACCACTAGCTTTGATGCTGATTTTTATTTTAAATTTCATTATTTTTAATCCCGTTTAAGCGTGTGTATGTAGCACTTGAATTATGATACAGCTAAAATTCATGAATGCAGGTTTTATTTCTGCTAGAATTTGTCATACATTCATGTTTTGGACAAACAGAAATTTTGGATAAAAAGTTTAAAAGTTCAGGGATCACAATAATATCAGAATTCATCTTGAAGGAGTTTCAGTACCTGTAATATATTTCAGTCTAAGAGTTGTGGAGACGTTTCATTTAATAAGGAAATCTTCAACAGCCCTGTTTTCCTTCGTCGCCTGGAAACTTTTGCAACAGTAATGGACGGACAGCCTGACATGACTGTTCCTTGAGCCTTGCCAGGGGGGGATTCACTCTTTGCACAAAAGCGCTTGCCAAATGAATGTTATCTATCTGTGTGCACCGGCATGCAGGTGTCCAGATAATTAGTTCAGGTTTGGCTGAGGAGAGAGATAGAGCTTTGTTAATAGAAGTTGAGAAATGTGGGTGTTGTTCTCTGAATGTCAGGCTTGCAGCCTAATTGGGATGTTGTTAGGCTGCTGTGGAGCTGTCAAATGTCTACCAATTATAAGTGCTTCCCCTAGTAACCCCTGAAAATCATTGTCTTATTTTAATTAATGCTTTTTACACCGGCCAAAAAATAAGCAGATTAACCAGGACTTTGAACTGTCAAGTACTTTGATAGTATTCTTTGAGGGTTTTTAATGTCAGCCATATTTGAATGATGTTTCCTTGTGACTGTTTGACCCCATGCAGGTTCCCTAGGAGAGGTCCGTCTTATTAGGTGTCATACGAAATAGAGGATTACAGGAGAGGACACTGGGGGGACACTGGTAAGTTCAGACTTACAACTGTGTCACATTATCAGCAGAACATTACTGAAACAAGACTTCCTCTATAATGCATGTCTTTTTTTATTTGCTAAGTGTAGCCTGAGGGACCAATGGAGCAGTTAGGGGGGGATCTGAACCTCTCCTTTCTGCTGGAACATGAAAGAGACATGATTCTGAAGGTGCTGCAGAAAGATGAGAAACTGAGGAAACGAGAGGAGAAGAGGATAAGGTGAGGACTTCAGCATCGGCCAACAAACTTGGAGTTTTTTCCCGTTTTACTCCACCTTCAAATCCCTTCATGTGTCTGTTTTTCTGTCTTGCAGGAAACTGAAGAATGAGCTGCTGGAGATCAAACGAAAAGGTACCCGTCGGCCTCAGGAGCTGGGGGAGCGACAGTGCGCTCGCTGCCTCAAGAACTTGGGCCTGATTTTTGACCGAGGAGATCTCTGCGAGGAGTGTCAGCTGCGTGTTTGCAGCGACTGCCGTGTTAAAGCTCCTCAGTCTCGGTATTGGAAATGCAACGTCTGTGCCAAGATCTCGTAAGTGTGATGCCAGGAGGAACCAAAACAGGAATAGACTCCAGATGGTTTGGATTAGATAGTCAATTAAACCACATCTGTCCCTGTTTGTCCCTGTGGGGCAGAGGTATCTCAGCTCTGCGATCTCAGAGAAAATGTACCTGATAAAAGACATGGCTCAACAACACAGCATTTTAGCCCTTTTAAAATTACCCTTTGGGGATTTGAAGCAGGAAAGGGCTCATCTGAAAACAGTACGACGTACTGTGATACACTTAGTACTGCAGATTATTTGGTTCTTACCAAGACAAAAAAAACTCAGATTTAGAAGTGTTAGATAATTTTTCTTGTTTTAAGACTTAATTTCTTCACACTTAAATCTTATATCAAACACAATCTAATCTTTTTTGTCTCAAATAGCCGGGAAATCTTGAAATGAGGAAAATAATTGTTAAAATAAGTTATAATCCATCTTTATCCTAAAGTCTCATCAAAAGGAATCTTGTTTTAAGATTAAGTAAGTCTTGTTTCAAGATAAGCCTGCTTGGATTGAGACAAAGTTTAGTCATTCTTCACAAATACTGGGTGTTTCTGGGTATTTAATTTTTTTTTAAATTAATCTACAGCTTAATTTGCCAAAAGTAAGAAAACAAAATATGTAATTGCTTATATTTTGAGGCTGTAAAAAAGTTTCTTTTTAAGTTATCTCATCTTAAAACCAGCATTTTCTCCCTACCTTACACTTATATTTAGTACATTTAGCTTATTTTAGGGCTGTAAAAGTTATATTTCAAGTAATCTGATCTTAAAACCAGCATTTTATACCTATTTTATGCTTATATTTAGTATATTTAACTTATTTTTGGGGCTGTTAAAGTTAAATTTTAAGTAATCTAATCTTAAAACCAGCATTTTTGGCTTACCTCAAGCCTTCCAAATACATTTGTAGACATGCTTATTTCTAGATTTAACAATCTTGATTTCAGAAATCTTGTCAAGTGATTATCTTGCTGCATGGACAGATAATTTCACTTATTTTTAGTACCCTTTCCCTCAGATTTAGTGTTTTTATCTTGTTTTTAGACCCCCTTTTTTAGCAGTGTAGGGCTGCTCCTGGTGTTATGCATGCTGGGTTGCTGATATGAACTACAAGCAGACTTCATTCAGCCAACAAATGTTTCTGTCTTAGAACAATTTTGGCTGCTCATGTTTGTTTCGATGCAATGATAATTTTCAGCTGTCATTCTTGCTGGATTTGTCGGGGTTATTTTCATGCCAAAGAATATATCATAAATACAAATCTCTCCTCTGTGCAACTCTGCATAATTACCCCGTAGCCATAAGCTGTTGTTTTCCATTCAAAGTGCAAGGAGTAAAACTTTTCTCAACTTTCTTGCTAAAAGTGAGAAATCTTTTGGCTCGTAAACCTACATTTGTATCCCACAGCTAAAGTAATTGTGCCAAAAACACCAAATACGAGCAGAATCAGCAGTATAGGAGAAGGGGAGTACCTGCAGGTCTTGAAAGGTTGCAGAACACATTGATTCAATTTTTCCTAAAAAGCTATAAATTATTTACAAAATTTTGAATTAGTTTGTTTCTAGCTTGCTTGAGGCAATAACATTTGTGAAAAAGGATTTTTTTTTCAATCATAGTTTTGCAAATAAAGTCCAACCTTATGCAGTTTTAATATGTGTGTTCGGAATAAATAATGAGGCGTATTCAGACTGTTTCAATCTGTCATTTTGTATTTAATGTTTTTCTTTTTCCTTTGCTTGTTGTCTTTTATGCTTATTAAGAATTCAGTGCCTGGGGAGTGCTGAAAAATATTTTGATAAATTACTTAAAAATTAGCTTTGTGAGTCATAAATCCCGCTGGTATTGAGCGATGGCTTCTTGCTTTTGTCAATATGAAGGTGAAAGAAGTGCTCCGCTGCAGATGTAGAAAGAAGTAATTGAAAACAGTAGAAAATGTAAACATTATGAGTCATGAAGGACCCAGTAGAAATTGGACGTTGTTGTTGTTGTTGCAGGGAGCTGAAGGTGGTCACCGGAGAATGGTTCCTGGAGGAGCGGTCAAAGCGATTTGAGCAAGAAGTGGCAAGCTGTGATGTGATCAAAAACACAATCATGAGCACCCCGATCAGTAAGTAACACCACTAGTCCTGAAAACTGCAATCCAAACCATAAAACTGAGCTTGAAATACCGTATCAAACATATTAATGTTTTCTGTCGTTTCTCATACAAGTCTCTAAAAGGTCTATAGAAAATTTGTCAGCCGAGTCAGAGAGACCTGACTCTCCAAAGTCCCATAAGAGTGGATTATTCAGGAAAGGGTAAGTAAAGGATGTGACCCAGCTCAATTAACATTCATGCAGACACATACATATTTCATATTTAATAGTGTTTACTCAGTGGATGTCACTGTCAAAGATGCCAAAAGAGACACATAAATAAAACTTCTCATACTAGGTTTAAAGAAAACTGTATTGTGTTAAGACTTGACCTTTAGTGCAAAGGCATTATGGGACAAAAGGATGCTCAACTGATTTGCCAGAGACCAGGAATCTATTCAAAATACATCTGGTAAAGCAATGAAGGAGTAAGTGGATTTAACTGGCACACATTTTTCCTCATCTTACTTCATTGTATTGGTTCCTGAAGGCATCGTAGACAGTGATTCAGACAAAGAAGCCATTAAGACAAAAGGCAGCGCAGATAAACAAAAAACAATGGCTGCTTTAATGTGAGAATCACAAAAGCAGCGCGGTGGCTGCTGGAGACCCTACTATTTTAAAATAGATTAATCCATCTTTCAGGCAATGAATCCAAACAACTTCCTTTTTTTATACGTGAAGAAAGATTGTAATGAATGTAGGAAAACAGTTTTAATAACCACTAAAGAACCACACAGTGTGAAAAGATAAATATTTTTCTCTGCTTATCATTTTAAACTTCCCACTTTTGAGTCTCATAGAAGCAGAATGGACACCTGGTCAGTATTAACTAGTAAGATGTCAAACCTGACCAACTGTTTTTGAAGATAAAGATGGAAACAGGCAAAATGGAAAGCTGGTTATAGAACTGTAATATGAAAATATCCAGGAGTTGTTTATGTCTAACAACAGTGTATTTCCTCTGAGCTGTAACCTGTGAAGCTGTGAGTGACTAAAAGCATGGAGATGCTGTGTGAGTATTGAACAGTCATGGAATATTTCTCTCGTAACATGCTTGTTTTTCTCTGTGCAGAAGAATTAAAGCGGATAAAAAGGGCAGCCGATCTCCACTGAAGTCAGAGAACGGAGTCGACAGTCCGAGCCCTAAATCCATGTCAGATGGAGATACTCACAGCCAACACAGTATTCACTCCACTGCAACTTCACATTCAAACAGGTGCTTTGGCATTACTGAGATAATTATGAGTCATTGCTCTAATATGTCAGAGTTCACAGTAGCACAGGTCTGGAAGCTGATTTCAACTCTAATAAACAGTTTTAGGATTTATTGGTTAAATCAGTTTGAAAAATCAAGAATTACAGACGTCCGAGATACATTGCTGTTTTTTAAATGTACTTTAAATGGCTGAATAAGAAATATGCATAAAGACATACTGTACCTAACTGGATGGCACTGATGGTAAAAGGTTTAGTCAAACTGGAGTGTCTATCACGGCAGCGTTTGAATAAATCTTGTCTATCCAGCAAAATACTCTGAGGAAGTGTTAAAAAAAAAAGATGGAGGATGAAGGAAAAGTTAGTGCGACTGAACTGGTTCCTTTCTGGTTTTCAGGGGTGGCGCTCTGGCCTTGGAGTCCTCGGGGTTGCCCACAGTCCCCAACAACCTGCGTTCTCAAACTGCAGATCATTCCAACGACAACCGGAGGGTCAGGGTCAGCAACTCATGCAGACAAACACCAGACCGGAGTAGTAGTGCACTGGAGGAAACTCTAAATATATTACAATTTTACTAACTAAAATGTGTATCTCTGTTTGTTATACAGCCTGATGGAGCCGAGAGCGTGGTCAGTTTACACTCCAGTGACAGCACACCTGAGAAAAAAGGTCATGCATATCGCCCAAGGAGTTCAGGGGCCCCAACTATCTCTGTGTCCAAGGCCTCAGTTTCATCAGGTATCTCTGCGACAACCCACAACTCTTTTTTTCACATAGGCGAGGCAAGTTTATGTATACAGCAACTAGAAAATTCAAAATGCTTCAGACAAGACATAAAAGAACCATTAAAAGGTCAGAAAATACATATTAAAGAAACACTTTGGGTGACATTCAAAATCTTCAAAACAAGCCATTAAAGATAAAAATGGACATCAAAACAGTTTTTAAGGTAATCTGATAAAAGGCAGCTGTAAAAAGAAAAGTCTTGAACCTGGATTTAAAAGATCATAGAGTTTCGGCAGACTCAACATTTTCTTGTGGTTTGTTTCAGAAATAAAAGCATAAAAACTTAACACTGCTCCTCCATGTTTGGTGGTACAAGAGTGATGGGACTCCTGCTCTTGTCTTACAATTTCTCAGCTAACATTTTGATATCTTAGGCACAGGTTTCACAATGGTTTAAAAGCAGCGGTAAACCATCCAAGATGATGTTAGATGATTGAACCAGGGCTGTGAAAAAACACTCAGCTGCACAGAATCACTTTGTACTTCTTCTATCTGGAGCAGATGTCGAGCTTGCAAATTACGAGTCCATCTCTGTTGCTCCTTTTAAAGTTTGCACTCTCTCTGTATGAAGAATAATAAAGCCCACTTTATCTTTTATCTTCACTAACAGCTGTGAAGAAGCATGTCAAAAATTTTAAATGGATTCATTTAGTGGAGTTACCTTGAGGAGAGCTGTTGAGTAAGGATCTTGACTCATGCCCGCAGACATGTCAGACTACATTAAACCTTTTTCTTTCACAGCAGTGTATTTGCATTCGAAGGACAGATCTTCATGAATCGAGTACTTTAGTGTAAATTTATTCATAGGCTTGTGTCTGACTATTTGGTCTCCACCTCTGAGAGTCCCTGCCTCTGGTTCCCAGTCATTTGGTTGTTCAAGAACACTGTTGGATGTTGTGAATTATATCTGAGTTGTTGGACAAGGAGTTTGTGCCAGTCAGCTATTACTCTGTTTGCATAACAACTAAAGGCAGGAAAAACAGCAGCACAAGCCATATCTCTGAAGCTCAAATGTATGGAAACTTAGTAGTTAATGAGACATTTTTCGCACTACATTCAGTCTTTTTTAAAGTTATAAACCAAATATTTTTTTCTATTCAGATAAGTGGTTAAATTTAGCTAGACAATTAATCTATTTTATATTTGGAAGGAAAAAAAATCTTAATTTCCTTTAGATTTAAACCAAGGTGTTACAAACTAATGGCACTCGTGGACCTGGTTTCACATAAATACATTGCTTTTTTAAATTTGCCCACTTGAACTTCAAGCATTTTACTTACAGCGTGATTTCACAATTTCATGAGTTTGAATCGTAGGCAGCATTGTTCTGTTGTTGAGTAGTTATATAAACACTAGATATATAAACACTAGATGGCTCACACATGCTGTTAGCCAATGGAGACAGACATCCGTGCGTGGCGGCCATTTTGCTACGGGAGGCTCGCCCACTCATAACATTACAGTCTACGTTGCATGTGGCATTTGAATAACCATAAATTGCTTAATTTTAAACCGATTTTCAAACGGTTTGGTTTGTAACAAACCTCAGAGTTTCTCTGGACTCAAGGATAATTTTAATCATGGGTTTTCATAAATAAACATTAAGCAGATTGGTAGAGCAATAGCTATAGGCCTACAAACACAAGGCAGTTATATTAAATCATTTATATATAAAACATTTAATCATTCCATGTGTGTTATATTGTAATATTTCTATTATAGGGATAGCTATAATAACATAAAGCAATAACATACTGTATATATATATTAAATTTCAATATAAATTTCTGCCTCGTGTTGCCATTTTAGATTTTTTTAACAAACCAAACAGCTTGGAGATCACGTGAAACTTAAGTTATGTTGAATTGAAAGAGCGTTTCTGCCTCTCAAACTAATGTAAAATTGCTGGGTCAACTTTGTAATATGTACTTGGTCTTACTTACAGCGAGTCTGTTAGCCAAGTAAGACAGCTGATAAACACAAGCACATCAACAAAGACCGTCACTTAGACAAAATCACTAAATACATTGATAAAAAATAGGCTGTCATACAAGAAATGAAAATCTCGATTGTGGTCTGCCTTGACAACTCACGCAAAGCGACTCAAAGTTAGCCCTTTGTGCCCAAATAGCCATGAAACAACTGTGCTGCACGATTAAGTCTTTTTCTCTCAAAGAAAATCTGCCATTTCAATATGTCCAAGCATCCCGACTCATAGCTACGTTATTAAGGTCTGTAAAAAACAAAACTATTTGTAAATCTGTCAAGATTTCAGGAATTAAGAGTATTTCTAATCATGCAGATTTCTCACCTCCCGTCAGCTACCATAGAGCGTAGCAGAATGGTGTACTGGAGTAAGATGGCCTGCCGTGTAGTGCAATGGTGGTTCTTATAGTTATCTATGGTTCACTCCTGGACAGTTCATGTCACCATAGCAACTCCCGTCTTTCTGCTGCACAGACTGTTTGCGTCAGTGTTTTCCTGCTGATGATAACGATGTTGGCCGCAAAGTTCGACATAATGCAAATCAAAGTAAAATCCAGTTCCAGCTGTGTAAGCATAAAAGATTTCCCCTGCAGTGTGGTATGTGGTCAATTTGGCGTCCCAAAAGCAGCTCCAGTTTGTGTCAGGTGGGACCGCAGTCAAGCTGGAGCTTTTAGAGGATTTGTATTGAACTAAAAAGTATCCAGAGCAGAAAGGAAGAAGTGTTGAAGTTAGCGTGACATACTAAGTTCAAAGTATGCATTTGTAAAGAATACACTTTTTTAGACTTTATAAAGTGAATTTGCATTTTTAATGCTGAGGCTATGGAGGTGAAAAATCCAATGTTTATTGTCACAGCCTTCTAAATCTTAGGGAAGCATTATGGGTAATTTCCTGTATAACACCAAATCAAAAACAGTATTTTCTACTAAAAAATACAAGGAAAGTTAATATGCTAATCCTAATGTTGTTCATGCATTCTCCAAGCAGAAAAGATGATGACATGGTTCAGTTTCTCCCCTCTTTTGCTCTGTCGGCCTCCATTCCTCAGATTTTGCCCCCTGGTTTTTGGTTCCCTCCAAACAGCATCTTGTAAACAACATTTGTTTCTCACTTTCTCTTTATTCCCCCGGGTCCCTCTCTCTCTCTCTCTCTCTCTCTCTCTCTCTCTCTCTCTCTCTCTCTCTCTCTCTCTCTCCCCTTCCTCCCTGCACCAGATCTCAGTCGCTCAGAGATGGACCTGTCAGCTCCTGGTTCTGAACTCAGTGATGATGCCTTTAGTCACAGAAGGCATTCAGTCCCCGGGCTCACTGAAACAGTAAGAGGCATCACTCTGCCGCTTCTTCTTCTTCTTCTCTTATCTGTATCCATGCACATCGATTTCACATTTGTCATTGTAAAATTCACACCGCTTGTCTGGGGTTTTAGTCCATGCCCCCTGCTAAATGAATACACACACTACACTGTATGCTTGTTTTGAGTTCATCTGTGGGCTGATGAACTTGGTGCATCAGGCGTGGGGCTGAATGCTGATTTCCCTTTAGAGCTCACTTCAAAGAGCATCACAAGCATCTAAACGGCTGTAGGCTGAAAACAGGTGGAGGATCTGATGGTCTGTATAGAGCTGCTTTGTCTCTGTGATTACTCAGTGTTCATTTGCTTTCAAAGCACTTCACAAATGCACAAGCACTCAAGCTCTCACATTTGCTGTATCTCTTACTCATCCATTCATGCTCATAAGTTTTCTGTAAACCCAGTGACTTTGGGATTTTTGCACGTAAAAATTGAGTAAACAAACAACCACAGCCATCGCTGACTCCTCTGATTAAATTTATGGAAGCCGGCTGTATTCGCCCACGCAGAGCCCATGTGTTGAAAACTCTGAAAGTACAGAGATGCTTTGGCCAGCTTCCCAGATGCCATCTCCTCTTTTGATTAAATCTGAACGCTGTCATCCGCAGGATTTCACTGATGAGGATGCCGAGGAAGACATTGATGCGCTGATGTCAGCCCACAGCAAGAATGCCAAACAACGCCCTAGCATCGCCATGTCAATGGTAACACCCATGTTAAAGCTATTACAAACACAACAATGTAAAAGTGCAGCTTCTGGGAAGTCCTGTGTGCTCAAATACAGTACAAACATGAACATCCACACTCTGTGTACATCATCACCTGATGCTTGAGTCAGGTGTGTGTGTTTCATTGTTGACTGAGTAAACACTGTGGGAGACAGCTGGTGTCACGAAACACCCTCCACTGCACGCTTAGGGAGCTGGTTGCATTTACATGAACTAACTTGACTTGTAGTATGGTAATGAAAGATTTATGTTATCATGTGTATGACAGGAGCATGCTGCAGCGAACTTTATGAATGTAGTTTATTGTGGTGGGTGTGTTCTGTATAAATTCAATGAAGATCCATTATAAGTCGTTTGTAGGGCTTTAATCTTTTACAGAGTTCAGTTTATCAGTGTAGCCAAACAACATATTAAGCTTAATCAAATCACAGCAAAACTGTATAAGGAGCAGGTAATTTTATGTACAGAGACCAAACATGAATTGACTAATGATCAAATACTCGGCAGAAACTGTGAGGAGAACAAGAGTTATTGGTTGAGAACTAAGCCAGCTGGTCCAGTCAATATTATAATTTTTTATATTATTATAATCAATAAATTATGTTTTATGATATTATTTCCTTTATTTTTATGATATTATTTCCTTTATTTTCCAAACCAAAACTTGTTGTATGATGTATTTCGTGTTTACCTCTGGCCTGGCTGTGTTTGGTGTTAGTGTCGTCTGTCTTGTATGTAAATTAGGTGTGCCATCGCATGCTCCTGATTGGCTGCTCAGGTGGCCAGTTTTTGGTGTTGTGGTATTTCTTGGCTGGCTGGTAGTTTTTTCTTCGTGTGTGTCGACTATCTTGTATGCAAATTAGGTGTGCCATCACATGCTCTCCATTGGCTGCTCCGGCAGCCATTTGGGGGCTTGCCTCGTTCTTGTAGGACTTTTTCCTCGCTTTTTGCTCTGGTGACTTTTTCATGCCGTGGTATTTCGTAGCTGACTGACAGTTTTTTCCTGGTGTGTAGGGAGGTACTTGTGTAGCACATAGCCGTCAAACTATACCCCCTGTGGCAGCAGCATCTTTTCTCACAAACCGTAATTTGTGAAACGGTTGATTTGCTCGGTTATTTACCTCATCACATCCAACTTAGAAACAATCCATTTTGTCACTGCGGAAGCATAAATTCAATCAAGACATGGGTGAAAATCATCCCCTGAGTTGCATGTATTATTATCCTACATAAACTTGCACATTCTTTGCACAAATCCTCATAACAAAGTATATGGAGTCAAGTCAGGCACAAAAATCCAGTTATTGACCCGAGCTATATAATTGGCGTATTTCCTGAGTCACAATGTGTTCATTGTTGTTGTGGTGTGTCTCTGTGTGTAATTTGAGAACTGCATAGGTGAGCCAGACGCCCTGCCTGTCTGACATTTATCAAATCATCTTCTAAATGTCTAACAGCCATGACTGAGCTGCAGTTGGCTGAATGGCTGGGAGTGGGGGAGATGAGCAGAGACAGGATAAGAGCTGAGTCTTTCGATGAATTAAGCTCTTATATCCTCTGCCCTATAACATGATTCATTTCATGGAGGGCTTTGGTGTATAATGGGGCACAGCTGAAGCAGTATTAGTTCTATTATTCAATGGTGTCATTTCTCTCCACTTGTGAGATCCTGTTTTTCAGAGCTATAGAGACAAATCGGTATCTACTTTATTAATTCAGACCTGAAATGATTCCTCCAGTCATGACGGTCGTTATTTTCATGAAGAGGTGTCAGTTTACATCCCTGATCAATGTGCAGGATGTGTTTTGCAGTGCTTTTTTAACTACTTAGAACTTCACAGTGAGGTTTTTTATTACCTTTTTTTTTAGAGAACTATAAAGGGCAACAAAATATCAGAAACCTCTGACAATTGAACAGCTGAAACTGACAGTGCTGTTGTGAGACTGTAAATTTTAGAGTTATAAAAAAAGACCCTTCAGCTTGGAAAAAGTTCAATCAAAAGGTCAATTGTCAACCAGGTTGGAGACACTGCAGTGCACATCTACTTTCTTGTCCAAATTTAGTCAGTTCTGAGTATTTTACGAACTAGATGCTTATATTCGAAGTGATGCACATATGAATCATACACCAGTGGAGGACACACACTGGGAGCAAGGTCGGTTAAGTGTCTTGACCATGGACACAACAAACAAACACGGGGGGAAATCGAACTGCCAACCTTCCAGTTGTTGGACGACCGCTCTACCTATTGGAGCTACTGCCGCCCCCGAGTAGAGTAGAAAATAGATGGTGGCGAAAATGCCAAACTCGAGTTTTCAAAGTAGATTTTCCGAAACCATAATGATTTTTGTACAATATATGGCTTCACTTATACTTTCTAAACTGTCTATGAGCAAAATCCACTCTCAGAGCAGAAACAAATAACTCATTCAAGAATTTTAAACTCATGTAAGTTTAAATCTTAAACTGATTGTACTGCATTAAAAACATACATACGGCTACTAAGGTCCATAACTGCTGGCCAAGCCATTGTACACTGGTACTTTAAGAATCACTGCAGGTATGACAGTTATCTGAGGCGGACATAAACATGAAAAATCATCCATCCAAAAACAAACAAACAAGCAAACAAACAAACACTCATATGAACAATAAGGTAGAAATATTAGGAAAAAGCTGAGAATGACCAAAGTCCACATGACTCATTACTTTATATAAGTTCAGAGATATAATTCAAACCATTGAGGAGCATTTCTCTTACTTCTCTGATTATTGCCCTGTTTCCTGTATGTGTGTGTGTGTTAATGTGTATGTCCATGTTGATTCCACTGATTCCAGATGAGTTGTAATCTCTGAGGTTCATCTGATAATCACCATGGTAACTGTGTGTAATGTGTTTTCTGGCTGTGCTGCTGTGGAAGGGTCTCTCCTCTGAAGCAGCCCCTCCTCTGGGGCCTGGTGGGGTCTGCGCTCTGGGTCTGCCTCTATCACTAACACATCAAAGAGCTCAGATCTTTCTCACTCTCTCTCTCTCTTCTCCTATCTTTTTCCTTTCTTCCCCTTGTTTATCTCTCTGTCTCTGAAATGAATTCTAGTCTTCCACTCCGGGCTCAGACAGAAGGTGGGGACACCTCAATGTCCCCGACTCGGATGCCGAGACTGTAAGCCTCATCTCTCTTTTCTTTTATGCATGTGCTGATAAACACCACCAAATTATAGGACAGAAAAAGTGCGGCAGGACAAGTGTTACATACAACAATAAATGATGTACAGGATTTTTCTCCTACATATACGGCATCTGCATAAACTGTGTGTGTTTGTACCCATGCCTTTTCATGTGATGTTAGCCACACAGTTGGTCTAACCGTCTCACATTAAACCAGTCATTTATCTCACTGGCTCGCCACAGGAAGCAAATGAAGTAGACTTTCCAGTAGAAGAAGCCCACTGTGCGGCTCGTTTTAGGCTTCTTTATTTCAGTTCAGCAGATAACTCTATGTTATCAGGGGATTTAGCTGTTTTCTCTCCAGAGCTACATTCAGGTTTGTCTGTTTCAAAGTGAGCTGCTGTCTTTGTACACCACATACATTTTGCAATTACAAAGTATGAGGATTATGGCATGAAGCTCTTTGGATTATTATGTATGATCTTTAGTTTTTAATTTGATACATTTTTAAAGGCATGGTTGACGATCTGAGAAGCAGTTGAAAAAAACTGAGCCGTTGAGGCAGATTTGAAAAAAGCGTCCCACTACCCACACGCAAACCTTTCCCCTCTGTGCTCCACGATAACTCCCCCAAACCTGTATCTTCCTCCCCACGACACACCCCCTCTGGCAGAGCAAGAAGCCGGCCAGCAGAAGATCCTACGCTAGCTTTAAATATAATTCACCATGTCGGATTGCGAGTGACTAGCGACAGAAAATGCCAGCTCTGCTAGCGAGCACCATCTGCAGCTGCCTGGACAGCTACCGTGTTGACATTGCAGAGACTAATAAGGGTTATTTATGTAACACGTGCCACGATAAAAGGCAAAAATTGCCGGTTCAACAAAAACTCTGCTGTCTTGGCATCTGTTTTCAGGCCCAAATCCTGGCGGGGCTTTCTCTACCACTCGTAGGATGACCCAATGTTTATTCGACATTGCCTCTCCATTTCTGCCCTTTCTTCTGTCAGCTTGCGTTTACTTCCCACTTGGCGGTGGAAAACCAATAGTGTTTTTTTTCCGTCCTTCTCGATCACAGCTCCTGTAGCTGAGCTGCCAATAGGAGCTGTCCGAGACACATGGCTCCCATTGGTCAATGTTTTTGCAGCCCTGCACCTGCGAGGGAAAACAGATTTTTTCCATCCTGTTATCTCTTCACTTTACATACAGAAACAATGAAAAGTAACTAAAACTTTAAACTGTAAAAACAAAATACATCCTAAGGGAAACTTGGAAGCCAAAATCTAGAGTATAAATCAGTGCCGCCCACTTACCTCCACCTACTTTTAAGCATACATGGAACACACTCATGCACCTCCAGGGAAATTATTCTCTGCACCGTTATCTCTTGAAAACTGTCACCTTTCTAAACGGTCAGTCTTTCCTGAAGACGAAGCTGTCCAGAGGATGTCCAGTATTTGAGAATAAGTGCCTGTTTATCCTGTGGCAATCACTCTTAAGGTCCTGACATACTCTTGAACATTATTTACGCCTGCAAATCTGGCACATGACCCAATTCAGAAGGAAAGTTTTCAATGTTTCTAACCCCTTTACTCACATAAGCACAAACCCTCCTTCCCCTGAGCAGTGCTTTACTTTTTTATGTGGAGTGAAGTTCCCCCACCCCTCTAAAGTTCATTTTAACAGCAGGCTACTGAATATTTGACGTCTGAAGTCTACACTATATTTATATTTTAGGGAGTGCATTTGTAGCCAAGTATTATTTCACATGGCATTAGCCTCACTCTTAACATTACCATGCGTTGCCACAGATTTGATTCATGTTGTTTTATTTCTTCTTGTTTCATCAGCATTCCTGTGATATGTTAGATGCTTGTTTTCGTCTTTCATCCCACTTCTGTACTTTGTACCTCATGTGTTGCACTCATTTCCTATCCTTACCTCTTCATCTCCTTCATTGACCTTCTCCCCCTCTCATTATCTCTGCCTCTCTATCCCCCGTGTGTGCATTACAGAGTAGCATAAACAGCATGTTGAGCATGTACAGTGAATCTGGTGACTATGGCAACGCCAGGGTGAGCGGCGAGATCCTGCTGAACATCAGCTACAGCTACAAAACCGGTGCTCTCAATGTCCTGGTGAAGGAGTGTCACAACCTGGCAACAGGAGATGAGAAGAGGCAACGCACAGACGCGTAAGAGCAAACACATTAAGATGATATTTTAGCGCCGTGATGTGCAGAGTTTGGATTTTTTTTTTCTGCTTATCTCTTCTTCAAAAAGTTCTACAACATTTTTGGGAATTTACTTCTGCTTGAGTGAAATGATTGTTTCATTATGTCATAAACCCAGCTGAGCTCGAAAACAGAAAGTCCCGCTACATTGCCTCCACAATTCCAGAAAAATACAGTAATCTTGAATCTTGGCTCTCCTGCTAAGAGGATTTGTGCAACAACATTAACGTCACTATGGAGTTGATATTTACAGATTTTGGCAGTGTTGCACCTTTCTGTTATTTGGCACAATTATGAGGCTAATGCCACTAATGAGGCATTGTTTCATACCCTGACAAAAACAATTGTGACTCAAGGCCCACAAACAACACTACGTTTGTCTGGAACTTTAATCGTATCACACATCATCAGATAGAGTTTGAGCGACTGTCAGTGAAAGGGATTTTATTTAGTTCCCAGGACTTTTGCTTATGTCTCTTATAAATAATTGAATTTCCTTTTGGGGATAAAATAAAGTTATTCTTATTATTTAATAAAAAAGTAGCTCATAAGTGCTGTTCTTTTGATTTGTAATCAGTATCAAATATAAGAAAAAGCCTTTAAATGATAGATTGGTAGAGGTCTGTTATTGTTAATGTTATGAGTACTACTCATTGAGGGTCAGAGGTTCTCAGTATCTAATTTTATTTGTTATAATCAAGGCTGTCAGTGTCAATGAGTTAATGTCCTGAAATAGTAGGTTCCTTTTTTAGCATTATGTGCCGTTTATACCCTGAAGTTAAGCTGCTAGAAGGTCTTCCTGTTTCCACCGAAATGGACATTGACAACACCACTGCTCTCTGAATGCAGTTGCTTTAATCAAGGATCACAGAAGGGTCTAAATAATCTGAAAGTAACCGTCCACCAAATTGAGACTGGTTTCTTAGTGTGAAGCGGTGCTATCCAAAAGAAAGAAAACTGCTCTTTGCAGCTGTTTTCTACCTCTCAGTCTTGGTTCCTGACCACACCAGTTTAAATAAATACTCTGAGTCATAGGGATTTGTTTTCACATTAGTTGTACATCCAGTGTAATGAAGGAACAGTGCTTGTTTAGTGTTGTTGAATGAATGTTTTTCTCCTTTATATCATGTAATGTGTTTACTGTGTCTGTTTCATTGCAGTTATGTGAAGACTTACCTGCTGCCAGATCTCTCACGCCAGAGTAAGAGGAAGACGAGCGTCAAGGCCAACACCATCAGCCCTGTTTTCAATGAGAATCTGAGGGTCAGTGGCTTTAAAACTCACCAAACACAAACCCACAGAACTGATCCCATCACCAAGGTCAGATCTTTGATTGTTGCTCGTGTTGCTCATGTGTTGTGCAGTATGTGATCAGCCACTCGCAGCTGGAGACAAGGACTCTGCAGGTTTCTGTTTGGCATCACGACCGCTTCGGACAGAACAGCTTCTTGGGAGAGGTGGAGCTGACCTTCGACTCCTGGGAGTTTGACACGCAGATAGAGGAGTGGTATGCTCTGCAACCTAAGGTAGGACACAGGATGCACGTGTTGTTGCACATTTTTGAACATCCTAAAAACACATGCAAAGTTCCTGAGCGGGCTGTGACGTTTGTGTAGGCGGAGAGTAACATGGACTCCACAATGCCGTACAAAGGAGAGCTGACGGTGGTGCTGAAGTACATACCCGGATCAAAGAACGTCATGCCACTGGACGAAGTACCAGGTACATATACTACTATTACACTACTACTGTAGACTGTTACGACATAAGTGAAATTTACAGCTTGAATACTGGAATTACAAAAAAACCCAGCAACATTTCACAGATTTCTAAAGATGAATTTCTCTCTCTTTTGATTAACCTTTTTCCTCAGGTAGGATAATAATCATTGTATTTTTATTTGCTAGTTTTAATTCTTTGTTGTGGCTTTTTAATGCTAACACTTAAAAAAATACCTAAATATTTAAACCCAAGACTCAATAGTTTTATTGCTGCACCGCTCTGTCAGTTTGAAATGTATAACCTTAAAAACACAACATGACATTTTTGGATATATCAATCTTTGTTACTTGTACTAGTTGTCAAAATAAACATGTTGGTTTTATTAATGTTTGTTTTCATAGCATGAGCTTCTTCTAATAACCAAACCAACCAGTGGAAAGCTGCCTGTTTACAAAGTTATATTTAATTTTTCCCAACCCAGTGTTTCATCTAAAATAAAACACTCCCCCATATGACCTAAAAAAAAAGTTAAAAGTTGTTTATGCATTGGTGTCCTATTTTCACTCTGTCTCTAATTAGTGGACGGCACTGCTTCTCAAACTGAGAACAAAATCAAACAGAACCATAGTGGTCCTGCAAGAGGTCACAGATAAGTTTGGATGTCGTGAAATGGAATAGAGGAAAAAGGAAAACTACTCATTGGACAAAAGTTCTAAATATGAATAATGAACCCCTGTTGTTGTCAGTGAATCATGGCCTGTTCGACTGTGAACAATCATTTTAGTTCAAGTGATTTAGTGTTGTTCCTAAGATATTTTATTAAAGACTGTATTATTAATACAAAGTTAAAATTTCTGATTCTCTGTTACCCTGTGAGAATGACTCAATATGTTAAACTGTGTTGAAAACTTATAAAAGTCAAAAGTCAAAAGCTCTTCAAACTTTCATCAGTGAAATTTACATTTGTTTTATCATCTAATAAAAGGATAAAATCATCTCTCCATTTCAGATTGATCTCTTTGCCATGGATAGCATTTAACTCTTTTATTAAAACTTACTTATTCACAAGCTTTTCATTGATTTATAATTCAGCTCCAGTTCCATCTGCATGCCTTCAAGCTGTGTAACTGAAACCCAGGTTAAAATTATTATTTTTATTTTTTATAGGAGGAAAAATGTGCATGCATACACATGTACTATGCATGAAGTGTTCTCACTGTGTTCATACAAGATGCATTTTTATGACTGTGTACCTACGATGTCCTCATGTCTCAAGCCTTGTCCTACGAGCGTGTTTTGTGTCTGAGGTGTAACATAAACAGACCTGAACTTTTGTATTAAGGATTGTTTGTTCTTTGTCTGCTCCCCTCCCCCTCAGTGAAAAAAGGGTTCCTGAAAAGCAAGAAGACGACCAGTTTCACACTGCCTGAAGGGGGCATGGTCGAGCTGCTAGTCAAAGGAGCAAAAAATCTTACTGCTGTCAAATCTGGGGGCACTTCAGATTCTTTTGTGAAAGGGTAAGACTGACTGGTTTACTTTTTTGAAAAGAGCTTTAAATGGAAGAGCAGGGTGCATGTATACAGTATAAATAAAAGATGTGAAACTCCCTTTGAAATCCATATTACTCTGCAATAATAAACCGCATATACAGAGGTAATGAACTATTGTAAACTATGCCAAACAAGCAATAAATGTTATAGTACAAAAGGAGATAAACTCTTACCCCAGTAGCCTACAGCCATAGACACAGTTAATGAGAGGTTAGGCATACATAAGAGGAAGACATCTTAAAAAACTCAGTTCTCTTTTTTTGTTTGTTTTTATCTCGATAGTAGTTTTGTTTGTCTTTGTAGTGGCTTTGCCTCTCATTATATATTTTTATAAGTCTCTGATTTTTTGTGCTGTCATCGTATCTCTTGGTGGTTGTTTTGTCCATCTCTACTGCAATTTCAGTTTTTCTTTGTGACAGTTTTGTATCTCGTTTTTACAGTTTTGTCTGCATGTGGTAATTCTGCTTCTGCTTTATGGCTGGTTTGGTGTCCGATTCTGATCATTTCGCTCATCTTTATTGTTGTTTAGGCTCTGTATGTTGTCTTCTTCATCTTATTTTATTGTTTACTTTTTATGATTATGGAGGGAAAACTTGACTTATTGTCATTTTGCATCTCTTTTCTTTAATAATTCATTTCTATGTTTTTCATTCTCTCTCCATTTGTGGTCATTTTGCTTTCCTTTGTTGTAGTTGTACTTTATTCTGATTTACATTTAAATTGAGAAAAAAAATCTCTGGTTCAGCTACTGTCTGGATTCAGTACACCTATGCCGTTCACCATATTCATCTAGAGCAGCCTTGGCTCACCTGTTACATAAGGTGAGAGTAAAAACACACCTTAGGTGTTGTAAAGTAAAGCTGTACTCTTTCCCTTAGTTACCTTCTACCTGACAACAACAAGTCAACAAAGCACAAGACAGCAGTAGAGCGCCGCACTGTGAACCCGCACTGGAACCACACCTTTACCTACTGTGGTCTGCAGCCAGAAGACCTCAACAACATCTGCCTGGAGCTCACTGTGTGGGACAAGGAAGCTCTGGCCAGCAACGTCTTCCTGGGAGGAGTGAGGCTCGGAGCAGGGACAGGTATGTCAGTAAGTTTAGTCCTGGAAAAGGAAAGTACCTGGTAAGACTTTGTGAGGGAGATATTTCAGTGATTCCCTTGTCAGGTCAGCGCCTCGCTTGAAACTTTAAATGAGTTGGTTAAAGTCTTTAAAAGTTGTGTAGTCCTCCATGGGATAAAACACCTCTGTTAAAATTTTTGGAGGCCGATGTTGTGTACCTACAGGAAGTGTTTGTGCTGAAGTGCCTGGTGAATGAAAATTAGCTTTGTTCGAGTTCAAAGACAAATGGCCTTAAAGTGTCTCAGACAGAAAGATAAAGTAAAGGTGCAGAAACCTAACAGAGGCCCTGAATTATAAGTTCGGTCTACCGTATATTGAGGGCAAAGATCTTTGTTTGCAGAGCTGTTTCTCTTCCTCTGGCTCTTGAAGTTGGCAGATTGAAAAATATTCAAGGGGAAACAGATTGTGTGATGTGAGATGTGAGAGAAGAGGAAAGCAAAACCCTCTTTTTCATTGATACGCACACTGCAAAGAGTCCTGTTTCTGTTTTCCAAGATAAGGTTTAAAAAAAGCCTAAAATGTTTCAGCATACGGAGGATTATCACCAAGACAGGTTTGTGGTGGTTTATTAATTCAAAAGAACAGTGTGACTTTTTCGTGTTTGAATTCATCATGAAGATCATTTCCGAAATTCAAGATTGCTTTTCGCCTGCAAGACCTTTGGATGGTTTTTCATCGCTGGCTGAGACGCTGAAATTGTCTTAAATTATTCAAATTATTTTTCCTCTATCTCTGCCTCTTCATGAGAGTGGATTGAAAATGTGTGGAGTGTAGATCGAGCTGAAAAAACATCATTTGTTGCCTCTAGATAGCAGCGTGCTAAATAGACAAATATTCATAACATAATAATAAAAAACCTGGATTCATTCCTTTATCATTGTTACCGTCAGACTCCCCTTTTCCTCATATCCAATACTGGAGTGCTGAGGGAGCGTTTATGTCCTCCAGGCTCCCCACTAGTTCCAACAAAGTAAAACAAATGTTTACATGTTTGTCTCTTCTCCCCTCAAGGCAAAAGCTATGGGAACGATGTAGACTGGATGGACTCTTTTGGGGAGGAACAGCGGCTGTGGCAACGCATGATTGAAAACCCAGAAGTCCCTCAGGAGTGTACTCTGATGCTGCGATCAAGCATGGGCAAGAGCAACACATGAGCTGAGTCTGCAAGAGCACAAAAAAAAGAATAACAGAGGGGGGAGAAGAAGAAGAAAGAAATGATATAAAGGCGTGTGGAGAGAGATGGAAAAGTGGGACGGTCAAGGAACAAAAACAAACACTGACTCAAACGCTCATACAGGAACAAAGACCGTCCTCTTATCCCTGCTTCTCTCCCCTGTTTAGATCTTGTCTTTAGTCTAGAACAGCCAGTCATGCCTTACACTCTCATCCACATGTGCCCCCCAACCTCCAAAGTATCTAGTCTTGACCAAGCACTGCTGTTTACTGCTGTATATGAAGATAATGATGTGTATTAATCAACAACTAAGCACACAATATGAGTCCTGATGTGCCCATCCATGTCTGTGTGACTCAGAGAATAGAGTCGTATAATCGTGGTTACATCTGACAGAGAGGGGTCGTAAGTCATCACAATAGACTCTGATCAGTACCATAAAGACTTAGACATTCCCTTTATATCAAACTGACTGCTGCCTGCTTTAAAGCACATAATGATGCTGATGTTTCTCCTTTATCAAACAGCTGTGGGAAGAGCTGAAGTGGGACTGGTTCTCTAACTTTAACTAGATAATGAATCCTGAGGTACCACATGAGTGAAACTCTAATCGTAGCACTTTTGTATCATTTTATGATACATGTGGAAGGACCATCTCATTATGTCTCATTTTCAGCAATGGTTAGTTTAAGCCCAACCCAGAACTTATCCACTAGAGTGTCTTGACTGTATACATTGGTTTCTAGATCAACCTTAAGTTAGGTAAAGAGCGTCCAATGAGGACTTCTCTCCCGTGCACTGCAGCGTTTACAGTCGACTTAGCAACTTGAGGAGTGATGATGGAGTTGGAATTGGCCATGAGTGGTTGGTGGCTGCACTTGCATTTTTATGTCTGTAGCATTTGATAAAAAAAAAAAACTCAACTTTGAAAGACAGCCAAAGGTTCTCATATGGCATTAGAATTTACACATTTTTCCTCTTTTGGTCTCCATACTAAATATTTTCCCTCTTACAAGCCCACTAAACACGATCAGATAACTCAACAGGTTCAACCTGAAACACTGTATATCATTTCCTACTGATGATCCATCTTTCAGGGTCAGTGAGAGGAGAATAATTAAGCTCCATTGGTCCCAAATTTCACACATTATTTAATCAACAAGATTTTTTAAAGACTAGTTTATGAAGGATAAATGCTCAAAACATGTCTCTTACTCTGCAATCTTCATATTCAACTTCAGCTGAAGTGCAGATGATGATTTTAAAGTGCTCAAAACAAAGAACACACAACTCGGTAAGATTTTTTATGAGATTAAAATGCATGAAAACTGTAGTGAATCATTTAAGGAGAGCCTCTCACCAACACAGATATTGATATTGGAGTATATCCCTGAAAAATTGAAGAGGTTATTTTTGGAGATAAATAATTTTTAGTTGTAAAGTGGTGGTGTTACACTTTTTTACAAACAATTCTCAAATTATAATGTTAGATGTAAATAATACTGAACATGGGATATGTCTACATGTGTACGAGTAAATCCAGGATGAGACTGAAACACCTTGTTCAAAATGTTACCTGAGAGCTACAGCACATGAGATTTATAAAAGAGTATTATAAACATAACAAATAGAAACATCCTGATCTGTGGGGGTTTCTAAATCACACTGCCATAATGTCATAATTCTAAGAAGAAAAACAACATTTCACTCATAAAGACGACTATGTAGCATGGCAACAGTGGAGGAGGCTTCAAGACAGTGGCTGAATGAGAGTTTTCAGAGACACTCATCTGAGATAAGTGAGGAGTTTTTTGAGCTGTGAAGTCACACAAAAGCGTCACAAAGAAAAATATAAAGCCTGATAATAAACGAGCACAATGCCTCCCCTTTAAACTTGAGTTGCAAAGAAAAACATTTCACTCAACCGTTCCTCTGGCAAGTATTAGTCTTATACATCCTCTCCATTACTGATTGTTGATCTAATTTTCTGTCTTTATTGAAATATAAGTCTGATAACAGATCATAAAGTTGTTCAGCGAGCTGTACCTAGCTGTGATGAATCAGCTCAAACTGAAAAAAATAGCCAATAGCAATGCTGCAGACTCATGTTGTTGCTTGATCAATGTAACGAAAAATTGTTTAATTTTTTTTTCTGTTATTAACTAATCATATAGATGAATTCTCTGTACTTCACAGAAAGTTATAAGATCTTGAAAAATGTGCTTGCAGTTTAAGAAAATCTCGACACACATTTAGAGAGTAGCTTAAATGTAAATTTCCATAGCACTGTATCAGTGTGATAATAGAAGCTGCATGGTTTAGATGAAACGATGTTAGAAGAACAAAAGGTTCATATAAAGCACTGAAATTGACATCACTTTGAACTCAGACGAGGAGGTGTGACTCTAAATGTGTTCCCAGGAACCTTGAGACAGGAGCTGTGCGTTACAGAGTGAGTCAGCACTGAGCTTTTCTTCTCAGGGGGGAGCCTAATAATGAGTCAGTGACAGAAACCTTGTCCCTGATGCTTGAAGCTCTCAGAAACACCACCCTGCGATGAATCACGCTACTCACAAAAAAACAAACCGAAGTTAAGATCCTGTACAATCATTTTTCATACGGGATGTGTGTGTTTGCCAGCTTGTCATCGGCCTCCCCTCTGCTCTGAAACTACAAGAGCAGTCCAGGTTCTCACCGCACAACCGTAGTAATAATTCATGTTGTTAACTGTACTACATCATTTAGATGAGAGACTTGTACAATACTGATATAATAAAGAAACTCTTGATGTACAGCATGTACTATCTCTGTAGTGTCTGCTTTCAGAGCATTAAACTCAATGTATTCAAGCCTCTTTTGTCCCAAATGTGTTACAGAAATATTTTCAAATAAACACATCTTTCCATAGACTGGCTGTTTTTTATACCGTTGATATCAAATACTATGTAACTGATAAATGGTTCATTTAAAATCCTACAACTAGACTAAGAGACTGAATGAAACTTAATTTACATGTTGGGGAAGAAGAATTTCCTGTTATCTTTTTACGGTGAAGTGTATTTTCACCATGAACATTTTCTTTGAGTAAAATGACTAAGGCTGTTTTTTTAAGCGTACCTACCTCGCACATTAAACTAACACTATAAAGACTGTCAGCCTTCTCAACAATGGTCTCACTCGCTTTTGTGCATCAAAGAGATGCACCATTCATGTCAGTCTGCTTCATCACTGATTAAAAAACTCCCTACAAGAGCTTTAAGCAAGATACCCAAGTTAATGAGCATCCTAAAGCCAGGCTTGTAATCTTTTTTTTAATCCTCAGAGAAAATCAGCCAAGACAAGAAACAAGTAAATGTCAGGTCATATTTTACCGAAAGTCCTCTGAACCAAAGTGCCTGAAATACACTCCTCCATAAACAGGGATTGAAATGCTTGACAGTTCAACAGCCAGTTAGCTTTATATGCTAGTCCCTGTCAGTTTCCATGTAATATACACCCAGCAGTCATAACATTATGAACGTCTGGGCAATCTAAAGCAATCTATCTCAACAGCCCTTCCATAAATCTGACTTTAACTGTTTGTCAGTGAGGTAGGTAAAATATATGGACCACCTTTCAGCGTTGTACATGTCACCAGCTACGTCTTCAGTGAACAATATGATAATCATCTCTGAGAATTTAAAGCCTCTGAAAGAAGAATTTATAGTAGAGCTGTTGGGCTTCACATTGCTCAGGTGTTCCTAATGTTCTGGCTGGTCGATGTAAATGTTATATTTCAATTTAATCTAAAGGCAAAATGTTTTTTCCAGGTTTGTCATGTTTGACTTTAAGTCAGCAAGGTGTCGTAAACCAAATGGGAGGTACATCAGGATTTTGAGAGTGAATTCATGACTCTCTATAAGCTTCAAATTATTTTGTTTTCCTTCAAATGTGCCTCCTCCTCAGCTCCTGAAAACAGCAGTAAAATACCTCAAAGCTTCTTTGTGGTGAGATGAATAATAATCCAAAACATATGTTTAATTTTTGTTTTCTAAACTGAATAAAAATATCATTTCCTTCCTCCCAACAGAATTAAATTATTATATAAGCGGAAGTTCAGCCAGTAAAGCCCAGGTTTGATCTTTGGTCATTGAAAGCTCCTGTGAGGTGGTTATGAAACACTCTGACATTGACACTGCTGCCTTCCTATGACCTAAACCAGCAAACAAGACCAGCTCCGACATGAGTAATTATTATTATATTGTTATTCATGACATCTGAAACTGCTGGCAGGGGGTCGATGTCAGACAAATTGATCAGCTAAGCAGACTTAATAGCATGACATGGATTTCCAATGAGTGTGAAAATAAAGCAGAGTGTGAGTCTTTGTATGCTGTACTCACTGCACTATGTAAGGATTATTAAAAAGAGGCATCAACTTGTCCAGAGGGGGGCGCCAAAATCAACACACCCTTAAATTTCCTTACAGGACGTTAAATCTTCATTGTACCTTCTGATTCAGTTGATTTTTTAGAAATATAAAAGATGGTCTGCACAGTTATTTGACTTTAGGGGTAGGACAGATAACAAAAGACTGATTAGCAATGTTCCTCGGATTCTGACTTAATGTGTCTTTAAAGGAGGTGATTTATTACCAATTAGCAAAGCTGGGTTTGTTGTTTCCCTGTTGTTATTTATTTATTTTTGTCTTATTGCTACAAGTATTATTGGAATACCCTTGCACTCACAACAAAACAGCGTGGGTAAAAGCATCATGATAAACATATTTAATCAGTGTTTTGTAAATTAAGGCGTTGGTGTACAGTGCACTACAAGAAGCAGCATCACTGTCCTGTCCTGTACATGAAACAATCTTCCAGAGAGTGTCAGGATACATCATTAGAGATGTGATACATAAATATCAGACAGGTTAAAAGTTTTGAGTTCATACAGTAAAAAGACTTTTGTACAAAATAGTATAAAATAATTCTGCTTTGAAAATATTAATAATAACAAAAACATCACAGACAAGACACAGGAATCAATATGATTGTAATCTACTGTTTGACCCATTTCAATAAGTAATCTCTTTGATAGCCCCACACCAGGGCCAAGACTGACATCTTGACTGCACACACACATCAACACACACACAGACGCACACACACCCTCTGGACACAGGACTGATGGAGTTCAGGTAGGAGTGTGTGACAAGGATATGAAGCCGAGGGTCTGAGGAGTGACGGGATCAAAGGTGGCTGAGAGTCTGTGAGAGTGTTTTATGATTGACAGGTCTGGCCCGCTTCCTGCTGAAGCACCATCTCGTCCTTGCGTTGCGGGAAGGTGTCGATGGTGGTGAATAATTCAGCAGCTGTGATCGGGAATGGGTAGCGCTGCTTGTCCATGCCCTGTTTGTCGACCAGCACCATTTGGAAAGACCTTTGAGGAATCCGGAGCAGTATCCTAGGAAACGCACATCAACTCAGTTAGAGGCTGGAGCATAGGCAAAGAATGTGTTTGTGTGTGTGTGTGTATGTGTGTGTGTACGTACCTGAGCTGCAGGGCCAGAGCTGGGGGCAGCAGTCTGTGACGAATTCGGCCAATCTGTGCTGGGTAAGTCCCAACCAGCTCAATTACAGTCACATGCCTCAGATCCAGTCCACACTGAGCGTGCTGCTCCAACAAAAGGAGAGAAAAAGAGAGAGAGACTGATCGATAAGTTTTGTGGGTTTATAGCTTTCATATTGATTTCTACGCTGGCAGAAGAAAATCGAGCACAGTGGACTCTTCGGGGGATTTGAAACACTGTCAAGTCAAAGTTGGCTACTTAACGGCAAAGCTGCGATTAAAGATCGCTGTCTTTATCAATCAAAGCTCCTCTCTTTTGAAGAAAACTTCTTACTTGTACAATTAACTCTCCAGAGTTTGGCACCAAGAGTTAGGACTGTGGATGGCAGAGGTGGCAAAACATCAAGGAGGGAGCCAAACCTAGCAGCAGCTTTGAGGACTGCAGTCTCTGCACTTGGGACGTGCAGTTCAATCACTGAGGTAAACCAGTGCTGCACTTCACTGGATTTCTATACGACCCTCTAGGCTGCAAAAACGTACATCTAGATATGACTCACTGATATACAGCTACAAGCAATGTTTGTGCTTTTACAGCAGATTTGTGACTCACTGGAAAGAAAACTTGGTGGGCACTCAGGAAAAATATAACCTGACTATGTGTCAGAAAAAGAGAACATCCTTTTTCAAAGGTCTCTTTCTTAAATCTTCCTGTTCAAATTAGGGCTGTCAGCTCTGATTGTGAATTATTTTGGTTTGAATTTAACATGTTTTCCTTGTTTTGTTTTTTCAAATTCCTTGCTATTTTGTCCTTTCCCCACACAAGCCAACCTATCCTGAAAGTTCTTTACAGGAGCTTTAAAGGAGCAGAGAGTTAAAGGGATATTCCAGCGTAAAATTCATTTAGGGTCAAACACACTGTAAGTTAGACACCCCCTCGAGAGATGAATGTTGCCGACCGCTTGCTTCTCTAGTTATGCCAACTTTAGTAATGACCGCACGATAGCAATACAGAGAGCCACATGCTCAACCAAAACGCCACTCTATAGCCACAAATAATGCTCAGAACAGCACCTAACTTCATCAACAGTACATATAGGGTCCCAGCCATAGCACTAGCCACCAAACGTCTTCTTAGCTTTGCCTGATTTCTTTAGCAAAGACACTAATCACAACTCACCTACTCTCTTCCAGCAGCTGCTTGTTTGTACAGAGACCTCTGGGCGAGTCCATCGACTGCAGCGGGGTGACGCAGCTCAAGGAAAAACATTTATGATCATTTCTTTATCATTTCCTTGAAGTTATAATCATCATATCAATCCTTTTGCACTGCAGACATGGTAGTTCTTGTGCCTTAGTGTCTCGGTCTGATTGCAATTCCATGAAGAAATGATCATAAATGTTCATTCTTGAGCTGTGTCACCAGTCGATGGACTCGCTCGGAGGTCTCCGTACAAACAAGCGGTTGCTGGAAGAGAGTCGGTGAGTTGTATTTAGTCTCTTTGCTAAAGAAATAAGGCAAAGTTAAAAAGATGTTTGGTGGCTAGTGCTATGGCTGGGACCCTTTATGTACTGTTGATGAAGTTAGGTGCTGTTCTGAGCATTATTTGTGGCTATAGAGTGGCTTTTTGGTTGAGGTTTGTTTATGGCTCCTCAGACAGCTGTGTATTGCTATCGTGTGGTCGTTACTAAAGTTGGTATAACTAGAGAAGCAAGTGGTCAGCAACATTCATCTCTTGAGGGGGTGTCTAACTCTGTGTTGCGGTGTGTTTGACCCTGTTTAATTTTACGCCGGATTATCCCTTTAACACTTATTACTGAAAATGACTCAAAAACATCGAGCAATTTTTAAGGTAAGGACTGACTTCATGTTTATTAAATAAATAACTTAATAACTCACCCTTCCAGCTTTGAACACAATCCCAAACACACATTTTCCAGACGTGCCTTCTCAGGTTTTATTTGTTAACATGATCTTGTCTGACAGCTGATAACTGAGTCACTCTGAAAGGTCAAGAGTTAAAAGACAAAACTCTGACTTAATGCTTTCTGATGAGCCCGGGAAACATCCAGCCCAAGAATAGCTGATGTCAGTATCATTTATTCATCACTGTGACATTTTCTGTTCATGTGTACACCCCTCTACTCTATCCTCCTTATTTGTCACAGAGCTCTGTCTCACTTAGGTGACTAAACAAGAAAGAGAAGCACACACAAGCATACTGCTGTCAGGTTTCATGAAGAGCAGCTGAGACACAAATCACTGCTGTGAATTCTTCAAAGTACTTTTCTCTTGTCTCCTTCACCCCACGTATAACTCCTCTTCTTCCAGTGAGTCATGTCTTACCTGTAGGTTGGTCATCTGGAAGCGGTAATTATGATTGGCAGCCGTTGGGGCCGAGATAATGAGGAGCCGTCGCTTCTCATAGAACTGATCCAGCAGTGCAGCAGCTGTACGCACTCCCACGTTAATATTCATGGCTGGAATGACATTGAGGGCACAAATAAACGATTACAACATGATATGGCACAAAGTAGGAGAGTACAAAAAACCAAAACAACACAATTTCACACTGAGATGCTGCATGGTTTGAATGTTTTTGGCCTGTTGGGCAGAAAGATTTAAAGGGAGATCTTCAGAACCATTGGAGAGGATATTACAGTAGGATGAGCGTGCAGCATTGAGTTTCAACTGTCGATGGTCTGATGTGCAGCACAACCTCTTAAATCCACTCTTTTTCTATTTCTCTTATAAAGAGGTCTCAGTGTTTACAACCAAGAATTGAACAAATAGAGGATTCCTGATCTTACAAGAATCTATCTAGATAGAAACATGAATCATCAACAGATATTTCTGCAAGCCGTGTCTTTGGTGTTGTTTTTTGTTGTTGTTGTTTTAATGTTGTACAAATACCAATGCCACAGCACTGGCAGAAATACTCTTGAAGTGAAGATGATGTTTTTTTGATAGCGCTGTGGCTGAAGTGAAGATTACCAGTAAGAGTATCAGACCCAGAGATCAGCAAAGGACAGCTGGAGGAGGAGGATTTTTTTTCACTGTGTTCTTCGAGGAAAAAGTCAAGAATCAAGTTGAAATGTTGAGGAGAAGCAAAAATGTCAGGAAAAAAGTCAGAATGTGAAAAAAATGTTTTAAAAAGTTTCCACATTTTACCTTTTAATTCATGCATCAGTTTTTTCCCCTCTGTTTTCTGAAAATATTCCGTCCACTTAACAGAGCATAAACATTCAAAAATGCTCCCATTAGCTTGTCAGGCCAGTAGGTGGTGATAATGTTTGATCAGTCTGTCAAAACATCACAGGGGAACCGAGGGCTCATGCATATTGAGCATTCAGAAATGTTGCATTTGATGTATTTATTTACCTTCATACCACGATACAAAACCTTAGAACGGCTGTAAACATGCAATAACCAAGTAGACACATTCTGGTATCCCGCTGACTTGATGCATGCACAAGACATTTAACAGCAACTATTGTGGAAAAAAATTTATGTAATGATGTCTGTGTCTGCTAAAACTCATGTTTTGCTGGAGCACACAGAGAACAGAGATTTTTAGAATTCTCCCCCTTGGAAGGAATTTTTGACAACCTTCATTTTTAGCGACCTAAAATACGGTTTGCATGTGTAGGCAAGAAAAAGCTGTTTTCAAAAATACCCGCCCACATGTGGACTAGGTCACATGATGAAAAAAATCTTCCTTCTCTCTTTTCTTTCTCACTAAGCTTTACATTTTTTATGATTTTCTTAGTAATTTTAACAATTAGAATTAACTTTTTTATTATTAATACTTACCTGCACAGTTGGTGTCTACGCCGGACCAGGTGAGTCCATACTGACACACTCTGGCAGCGCTGCCCTGAAGCTCGTAGCCGCCGGTGCAGGTGAACTCACAAGTGGCCCCGTAGTTGTCTTTGTCGCTGTCACACTTCATGTAACCATTATCAGGAGGAAACAGTGGGCTGCAGCGCCGCACTACACAGCAAATGGGGCACATTGGACAGAAGTAGTCAGGTAACATAACAGAGAGCAAGACAGCAAAGTCAAAAACATGCAAATCAAACTATAAATTGTCTGATTCTGACACTTCAAGAAAAACCAGCACTGATAGTAAAAGGGTGCTTATGACTGCTCATTGTAAGATACATGTGGAGCTTTGTACTTAATAGATAATTATTATTTTTTTGTTAGTTCAGTTAATCTTTGAGCACTGCAATTACTCCTCTAGATAACACTAACCCAAATTAATTTGATATTATTAATAGTGCAACAACCGAACACAGCCTCCAAATAAAGTACACGGCGCTCCACAGGAGATTCCTCTGGGAATGATGAATAAAGTGTTACTGAGCATCAAGCTCCACACAGAGAATCAAAAGGCTTTCATTATTCTGCTTTCAGACGCTCACCTCGCACTCTGACAGTGAAGCGACAAGATCCTTTGTTCCCCGCTCGGTCAAACACAGTGTAGGACATCTTATGGAGCCCCTCGGGGAAGTCTGATTTTGAAGGTTTCCCTTTCAGGATGACACTGAAAAAAAGAGTGGATCTGTTTTAATCCTTTGACTGTGATCTCTCTGTGTGTAGGGGAGGATGACTATCAGGGGTAAAACAAACTGAGTGCACTGATGTAAAATGAATGAGACTGACTCTGTTAGGATACCGTCTGCAGTGTCTACACCCTCTGGAGTGTCCCAGGCCACCCTCGCTGTCAGCTTTCCCGGCTCTGCCCACTTATCCTTGATGGTGGGACACTTGATTTTTGGAGGGTCCATATCTACAGAGACAAAAAATTCCGTTAAAGAAGCATCTTTTTTGTGGTGTGTATACAAAAAAGCTTTTAATATCAGTCAAGAGCTATTAGTTATTAACGACATTTGGTAATGTAACGATATCGCTGTGTTCTCTTATGTCTGTGTAGTCAACATTTTAAAATTTTTGAGCGGCCCTCTTTTTCTGACTGTAAACGAAGCCATTCTCCGCCTTCCCGACCTAACTGGTTGTGAGGCAGACACTGCTTCCTCGTGTTGTGAGGCATTATCCACTCCTTGAATAATGTGCACAAGCCCAAACAAAGTTGGCATGCTACAATATTGGACAGTAGGAACCAACCAGAAAGTACGGAAAATTGTCTGAATCCTCCTTTAGCCACAACTGCCGACACAAGCAAGAAAACAAAGTAAATACTAGAAACTCTGGCGGAAAAACGGGCGCTTGAAAAGGAGGTAGACCGGACAGGAGCTAAAAAGCTGGGTCATGACCAATGAGGCATAAACGACTGGGACGCTTTGGGATCTTACGGACCCTGTAACCTTTCGCCACTAATCTGTTGACCTCGCGTCCTGGGGTATGTCACATTATCCTAGTTGTAGAAGTCCTGCAAACATTGTGTTTGCTGGTAGTCTGTTGGCATCTACAGTAGCACTAATGCTTTTTACTTTCACGTTGACTGGGCCCCATTTGTAATTATCCTAAGTATTAATCTGTGTTATATCTGAATTTAATTGAAACGATATGGGTGAGCAGGAGCGTCTGTTTGTGGGCGGGGCTTGCTAGAGTGGAGAGGGAGGGGAGTGGTTTTGATAGGAGGAAAGTTTTTATAGCTGGAAATGATACTAAACTGTCATTATTGGTTAATTTTCCGCATCAAACTACTGGATTAGGTTTAATTTAATTACCATGGCAACATGTCAGCAGTGTCCTGGTTTCACATGGAAAGCGGCACTGCCTTTGTGACAGGCACTAATCCATTACTGGTCAAGGCTACTGTGAATTGAAGCATGCATTTCAAATATTAGAGACTAGTGTCATTGTATAAGCAGTGTTGTTTGCTTGTACACAAATCTTTATGGCTCCCAAGTCCCCAAGGTCAGAAGACTATTCCTTTTTCTCCTGTTTACATAATTCAAGGCCTTATAGATTAGCTTTATTAGACAGTCATTATCCACTCTCAGGCTGTAAGAGGTGAAAAATATATAACATTTTATGATAATTAGAGATGCTTTGTGTTTGTGCGCATGTATATCTAAAAGCTTGTTATATTCAGACATCCATATTATCCCTTTGCTTTATGAAAAATACTTTTTTATTGCATCTTCTGCTAACAAGAGCAACAAGAATCTTATTATCTGCTCCAAGGGTTTCATTATGCAGTTCAGACGTCCACAGGCTTACAGCCTCAATGGGAGGTAATACTGTGCGATAAAAGACCAACACAAGCAGTCTTACCAACGCAGGTGGGTACTGAGGCACTCCACATCTTAGTGTGCTGGCAGGTTGTTGTCTTCTGGCCCTTTAGGCTGAACCCAGGGGAGCAGAAGAACTCACAGCGAGAGTTGAAGTAGGAGCCATCCGAACACTTGTAGCCGCCGTTTGCAGGCATGTTCAGCTTAGGACAGCGGACCTCTGAGGAAAAGAGTAAGACCGCAGGGTTGATGAAAGGTTTGCTAGACTCTATTTAAACTGTTCAGTTATGCTCATGTAAAAGCAACAAGTTCAGGCTGATTCATCTCCTGAATAATACAGTTTCCTTCTCCATCTGCTGAACAGTTTTCACAGCTCTGACCTCTCTGTGACGGCCAACTGTTCAGCCCTTTGAATGCTGCTCTTTAGATCCATTCACATTTTTTCTCTACATCAGGGGTACACTCAATTCAAGCATAACCCTATTTCAACTGCAGTCTAAGCAGTAAAAGTACAGCATCCTGGTGTAAGTAATAACATTCTGCCAGTTTTAGACACACATTTCCATGTGAATTACACCAAATACATACAGCTTGGAGGATATGTGCACAAGTGCCTGTGTAAATTTTTAGATAGATGTGGGCTCTTACCTCTGCAGGCGTAGTTTGATGACCAGTGTTTACTGGCCATACACACCACCTCTGAGTTCTGGGACTCGTACCCTTGCTTGCAGCGGATCTTACAGCGCGTCCCCATCACGTTCCTGTAATGCTCTCCTCTTGGTGTGCGACAACTCACATCACCATGTTTCAGCTTAATGGGAGCGCACCATGGTGTCCCTACAAATGAAGGAGAGACTACTGTAACGTCGACCTTTTCTTCATTGCATTAAAGGAATAACATTCACTCTAGTGTAGATCCTTGGAGCGGAGGAGACTTTGTCAGTATTTGATACTAAGCACTTACCTGAGGACTATAAAGCTCAGTAAGAGATCTTTTGTAAATGTGGAAAAGTGAAAACCCACCCATCATCTGGGTCCAGACAGATACAGTGGATTTCTAATTACCTTTTCAGTGACCTCCCATGATCCAACAGAGTCTCATGAGGTAAAAAAGATGGCTTCACTTGAGGGAAAGACCGCTAATAAGGTAACTTGAGATAGTGTGTTTGATAGTCGTCTGTCCTCAGAGCACTGCTGCTCTGAAAATATTCATCACACAATGGATATCACAAATTTAACCATTAATGTGATCTTCAATCTGTACGGAGACAGTATCATTAAAATTACAGGTTGTGGTTCTTAGAGGGTTGTGGCCAACTATTTTTACTCTTGGTGTGTCCTAAATGGCTTCCCCAAATTTTATGAAATATTTATACAATGTTAATTATTAAAAATAATGAGTTTGAGAGAGGCCATTTTTCCAAGCTCGCAGTTTCCCCTGTCTCTGATTTTATGATAAACTAAGCTAACTAGCTTTTCCTTTCCTATAAAGACACCTTTGCCAATCTTTGCTACGCCTGTGAAGAATCACCTCAGTCTGATGCCAAGTTTTCAGGGCCACATGTTTAAATTGCAACACAGGAAAATCTAAATCGGTCATGTATTTCCTGCTGGCTCAGGACGAACTCTCAGAGTTGTGGATCCATCGAAACAGGCACAAATTTATGCTTTGAAAAGTGATGATACACAACAATATTGGCTAATTTCCAACTGGAGCAACAATAAGTATTCATTACACTGTAAGCTCCCTGTGCTCCCTCTGTCTCTCTCTCTTTCTCTCTCTGTATGTGTGTGTGTGTTGGCAGAGTCTCCACAACCGCTGGAAAAGAAAAATAATACTACTTTTGAGCTTTTACATAAGGAGGAGAGTTTGGTTTGGCCTCTAAGATAATGTTCCACGTCTAACTGACCCGAATTTAAAGCTGGTGGCCACTTTGACGTAACTGAGTCAACTGGCTGAGCTCGCTGCTGTTGAGTTTAGTCTCTTTAAGGACACAGTCAGTCTTTGTAGAGCGAATCCTAATACTGTTATGTGTCTTTTGATATTTCTCAAGTTTGTCCTAAAAAATTGGTGTACTGTAAACACATCCATTTTTTTTGTCATCTAAAACATTAAAAATACTTGGCAACACGTCTTTAAGTGTCCAGCTTATAACTTGAGTTGATGTGATCTGCTCTTAGCGACTCTTTACCTGCAGCTACAAGATTTGCTCAGCTAGCAGCTTATGTGTTTTGGAGAGTTTAAAATAATCCTTTCAATAATCATATTTGAAATATTCTCAAAGTATTTTATCATGACTTATTCTTTACCATTCACTGTAAAACATTTACACATTTTGAACATAGGAGCCTAAATGATTCAAATTTAATGTGACTTGGGAAGCATGAATAAACACTGCTAGCTAGCATCTGAGTATCTTGGCTCAGAGTGATACATTTTTAGTGCTACAAAGCCTCTGTTAATGAAATATTACACTGTAGTTTTGTTCATCAGTTTCCTTTGGTGTTTGTCTACAACATAAGTAAGAAGTACACTTCAGTTAGCTACACAACTTGATAGCTACAGAAATCGGTTTAACTCTACATTTCCATACATAAGACATAGACGGGGTCATGCCTGATGTGACTTTAGGACCAAAAGAGCTACGGTTAATTCTCCAGTGACTTTGGTCTGAATACTAACAAGCTGTCCTTGAATTTAAACTCTGTTTCATTGTTCAAATATTGAGTACAAGGAGTGTGTGTGCATGTGTGTGTGTGCGTGAGGGGTGTCAAACAGTAGTGGTCACCTTTATATCTACGAGAGTACCAGTCCTCGTCGTCTCCATAAGCATAATGTCCTGACCCTGAGAATGACAGAAAAGCAGAAAAAGCAGCTAATACAATGAGAGAGCATGCATCCAAGATGTTGGGCAATATTTGAAAGCAGTGTCCTTGGCTGAACTGTGAGCTTTTTTTTTTTTTGTATAATAAACCCACAAAGGACAGGCTTATAAATATTGCTTAACTCTTCATCTGGCCAGGGCTCTAGAGGGGGTCTGGATCTTTTGGAAAGAGCAACTACACATGGAATAAATCTCAAAAGATCCACCTTTCCCAGCTGGATTGGGGGAATAAATCTGTTTAACACAACACAGAGATTCGTTCTGCCAAACCCAGAGCCTTTTTCTTTGTTGACGTTGTTGTGGGGCCCTTTTCAGTTTGAGGAAATAAAAGGAGAGCAACTATTTTGAAACTTTTTGTTCCATAATAGTACTTACCATTTACAGATAGTTTTTAAGTGTAAAAATCTCTCATACAGAGCAAAAAGACATTTTGACTATAAAACAGCTGCATCCAAGAGGAACTAAGCCATTTGTCAGCTGGTGGAGGACACAGCTGAGTGACACTGCTGAAAGACAAATGTGAGGGGAATTGTGATGAGCATGGAGGATTATTTTAGGAGAAGAGGATAAAGGAGAGAGTGCAAGAGGGCAGGAGGCAATAAAAACGGAGAGGAAATGGTGGAGGAAGGGGTTAAAATCAGGGGAAGGTTTGTCAACCTTGGCTCCGGGATGTTGTGGACCCTGGCATGACTGTGTCCTCTGTTTAGGATCCACATGGGAGGAGTGTTTGACCCTCCTCTCGGTTCACATTGGTCATTGGACGTGATACTGAGAGCAAACCTCATAGGCCGTCACACCATTCCTCATTATGGCTTTTCTGTCAGTTTAATAAAAGCCGTCTGGACCAAAATGCCTCAGGTAATAGAACACACACAAACACACACACACACACACACACACACACACACACACACAAACACACACGAATACACACACACAACAAGCCCTAAGGTTTTAACAGTCAGATCACACAGCATGGATTGTACAGCGCAAACCCACACACTGAATGAGTCATATTTAGCTGTCTAATGGGAAAACTTTAGTGTCTGCTTCTTAACGCTGACAAAAGACGGAGACAAGAAAGGCATGGGAAATTAATTATACCTATGAGTGTGTGTGTGTGTGTGTGTGTGTGTGTGAGTCTCCTCTTCAAAGTAAGTATCGGTGAGAAATAAGAAACTTTCTCCATACTTATAACACTTTACCCTCTGACAAAGGAGAGGTGCTTGTGTCTGATTGTCTAGCTGCACTCACAATCATCTGTCTATTAATTCTGTATTTAGTCTGACTTTCTATACAGAATATACAGCATGCAGTGTTTGTGTGTAATGATAAGCAAAGTGTTAACCCATCACTGTATTTCTCAGTTACATAGCTGTGTGATTTCAGTGCTTATGAAAGATTCCTCTCTCCTGCTGATTCAACTTGCAAAACACAGGGAAGGCTTTTATTGTGAAGCAGCCCCGGGGAATAAAGTGTGTGTACTGCAATCATTAAACACCTCGTGCAAAGAAAGACGACAGACTTTTTGAATGGCAGGTATTGAGCTCAACACTTAAAGCCTCCCCACAAGTTAACTGCTCTGCCGTGTCATGTAAAACAGCCCACTCTATTCAGTTCTCATTGCCCATTGAACAGTGGAATAATTGCATTTATTGATGCTTTCTGAACTTCACAGGTCTTAACTGCTCTGAAAAGAGACTGTGATTGTTTTTCTGGTGTGTTATTAAATTGATTATTTACCAAAGAAGTGGTTCACGTTGTAACCATAAAAACCATAGGTTTTAATTTGATGTCAACACACAACTTTGACTGAAATCTCAAAAACTTTCTCTTTAAATTAAAGTAATTCATTTAAAGCTCCTGTCAGGAACGTTTGGTTTACTTTTGGTTTATGTTTGGTTTATGTTGGATTTGGCAGATTTGTCCTCTTCATGATTTTTGACAAAAAAATCTCCCCCTGCTAACTGTTGGCAGCCAAATGTGTCATTATTAGCACCATTCTTAGTCTCATATTTATCACTGTTACAAAGCTAATGTTAAGTTTTTAGCATCAATCTTATTTTTATTCTTTCTGCTTCAAATGGTCTAATTCAACCCCCCATAACTTACCTCATCTTCATTATTATGAATGTTATCACTGCTATGCTATTACTACGTCACTGTTGACTTGAATTTACCGTAAATCAAATCAAGATCAGTCCATTACCATTATCATCATGTAAGAAGTACACTTCATTTATCTTTTATCTCGGGCACTGTCACCATACATCTGTATGTACAATTGTTGATATGTGTCCATCTCCCTTTATCCCGTCTCTAAATCCAACGCAGTAGCGGCCGATGACTGATGAAGACGAGTCTGGTTCTGCTCAAGGTTTCTGCCTGATAAAAGGAAGTTTTTGTGAAGTGTTGAAGATGGGATGGGAGTGGGTCTGATCTTACAGGATGGGACTCAATCTTATCCCATCTTTACAGTGGGTCTTCAAATACAGTACGGTCTAGATCAGCTTTTTCATTGAACATCTTAAGCGTACATTTGTTGTGAATTGGCGCAGCTTTTAGTGGGAATATTTAATGTGTTGATTTTAAAACCAGGGCTGTCTCTGAGGATGCCAGGCTGACACCTACCCTCATTAAAAACTACAATATAAAATTCTTCAGTGTTGTCTCTGATGGTCTTGTATGCTTTTGAATATTATGAATAGTGTCAGTATCAATCTTAGTCTATTTTATGAATCTCAGCATAGGAGCTTTGATTTAAGCACCAGGTTTGGTATTTCTCTATTAATTAAACTGCTCGTAAAAACTATATTAAAAAGCCTGCAGGCAATGAGTGTAACAGTAACTTCTTAATCTTTGTACCACCTGTCAGCTATAGAAAATTTTATGAGAAGAAAAACTTAACAACCACAAAAATGTCATATATTCCATTTAGGTTTCAGGAAGCCGGGACAAAATGTGAGCTGTTACTGAGTTATGTCAAACAGACTGCAGTTGATGGTCTGTGTTGTTCTCTTGGAGCAGACAGTCTGCTCTGTTATTGATTCACTTTAATCGCAGCAGTATTTAACACTGATGGTGGAAAAAAGGTCCAAAATGCAGGAGCACTGGATGAGATTTTGGAGGGATAGAGAGCACTTATCAACCTCAAATGATTCCTAAAAGCACAGAGAGAAAAACAATATCAATATATCTTAAAAACACATTTAGAAACTTTAGCTAAGGATATAGCACCAGTATGACCCAGCGCCCTCAGTGGTAAACCAGTGGCTCCATCTGTTTTCTTCTCTGGATGTTGGACTGAGTATGCAGGAAGTGCTGACACTGAAGCTCCACATTCATTCGATTGAAACCTGAGTACATCTTCATTTTTGCTAAAATAGACTGAATTCCCCAAAAATCAGAACAGAGATCATGTTGTGAGATGTGGGACTCACCTGCATTTATATTTAATAAATCTGTCAACGAGGTGCGAGCAGCAGCGAGCATCATCTCCTTCAGTTTATTTCATGTGCTTCAAAGAACTAGTCTGTGAGAAAAATGTCAAAACTTGTCAAAACACAGAACCGTGTCTTCCCGAGAAATCTCTGGAGTGAACACATTTTAAAGCTTGATGATTCAATTAGCCTGAGATACTAACTCTCATTATGGAGGCTCTCGCTCTGTAAATTTCCAAAGTATGGCTTCAAGCAAATAATACAGAAGAGAACAGAAAGGAAAAAGGCTGTGATTTTGTTATCGCTCAATTCTGCACGGAGCACAGTGATAACAGAGTTACATAATTCCTGTTTGAGCACTAATGGTTTCTGTCCTATTTTAACCGCAGAACAACATGTCTGCTGTTGTGGCACATCAGCAGAATCTGAACCTGAGGCAAAGAGTACTGATGCTCTTTTTATCAATGCTTTACAGTGACGGACAACAAATAACTAGTCACTGTACTGGAGCTATGGCGCACAGTTATCTATAATATTACATACATTATAAGCTTATAAACTACCCAGCCTGCATCTGGTGCATCTGTTCAAGATAATGAGTGTTATTTCAGCCTTAGTTGCAGTTGAAAAGATAAATCCTCTGTATGGTTTGTGTCACTTATTCAGAGATGGTGTATTTCCAGTAACAGTGAGTAGCTAGTTGTCAGCTGTGTAGGATAAAGTGTTACATACCCAGAGAGACTCAGACGTATACTGTGTTGTGAAGCAGAAGAGTTCATTGTAAATGAGTTCAGTGTGTAGATTCATTGTTGGAAACTATTCACACTCATTACAGTGTGAATACTTATCTCCTCTGAAAGGGATATTCCGGCGTGAAATTAATTTAGGGTCAAACACACTGTAACACTCAGTTAGACACCCCCTCCAGAGATGAATGTTGCCGACCGCTTGCTTCTCCTGTTATACCAACTTTTGTAACGACTGCAGGATCGCAATACACAGCAGTCTGAGGAGCCATAAACAAACCTCATTCAAAACGCTGCTCTATAGCCACAAATAATGCTCAGAACAGCACCTAACTTCATCAACAGTACATATAGGGTCCTAGCCATAGTACTAGCTACCAAACATCTTTTTAACTTTGCCTGATTTCTTTAGCAAAGAGACTAAACACAACTCACCTACTCTCTTCCAACAGCCGCTTGTTTGTAGCGAGACCTCAGGCCAGTTTATTACAAACTACAGCGGGGTGACGCAGCTCAAGGAAGAACATTGATGATAATTTCTTCATGGAAATGCAATCAGACCGAAATGCTAAGAAGAACTACCACGTCTGCAGTGAAACATGATTGACAGTTAATTTTTTTAAAAAGTGAATTCACTATATTCTATCAGCAAATGTGTCAGCAGAGAAAAACAGTTCACAGCACTTAGAAATCAGGAACATTTGGCAATCAGTGTATATTGTTGCCTGATGATGAGAAGTAAAAAGCCACTAGAATATGATGCTAAATTCTCAGTAATCCCAATGTAAGCGTTTGATAGCCTCTGTTAAGTATGCAGCATAAAGGATCTAATTTCTGGGTGTATTTCATCCCTTTGAGTAGTTCCCATTCATCTGTAACCATCGAGTCTTGATTCAACAGTCCATGGTATTACAAAGAGGCCTCAGTCTGGCCGTGCAAAACCAAGAAACTGATTTTTCTGGTGATTAACTGCTTTAATTGAGGAAAACAGCTTGGGGGGTTTTGTTTAGAGGTATAATTTATGATGCATGAGAGGTAGTTGAGAAATCTTTTTTTGATTTGCATTGCGACACAGCTTCAAGCTGATTTTAGTCAAATGTGTGATGGAGAACAAGTTGTTGACTGCACTTGCATTTTATGATTTTCCTGCATACACCAAAGGTTGCTGAGACTTGGTCAGTACGCTTCCTGTGCTGAGAATCCAGACCCTTGAGAACAGATTCTACAGTTTTACACAGAATCTGTGAGGAGAGATTAGGTCCCACAGAGGATCAAGTTGAGCCCAAAGATAGAGCCAAATATAGAGTCAGCGTTGGGCTAACTTTCAACAACTTTCACGCTAATGTTTCTTCATGTCTGCTTGAAATGTACACAGGAAACAGCTAAAACATGAGCTAACGTGTTCCAGGTTTCTCTTAAGTTCTTACTTTAAAGATGTTTAAAACATGAAATAAATCCCAGTTCTGGTGCACTGACTTAAAAGTGAGTGGCAGAAAAGTGTCAGAGAGGTCAGTGGTGATATTGGGAATGAGAGTATTTCCATATTCATGGCTCCACAATATTAGATGAAGGATATTGAGTCACATCAGCAGTATGTGATTTTTTCATAGATAACCCTCTTCCTCTAATGAGTGCTAAATTGCAGGTTTTCTGATTTGCTTATTGAGTTTTCCTCTTCAACCTTCCAGGATTTGATTTATTAAAATGCCTTTCTTTGACTCAATGCTGACTCTCTAGTAAAACTTCTTTCTGGCAAATACCCAAGTCACTCCTTCTGTAAGATGTATTTGTCCCAAACTCACATCATACCAAGTATTATCATGGAAACTGTGACCAGGTTTTTAGAAAAGAGCCAGAAAATGTGCAAAACTCGCTAAAACTCAACTGGTTAATGAGCTAATTGACCCCCAGAGCAAATACAAACACCGCCCTGTAAAATAAACTCCTTGTAAACACACACACACACACACACACACACACACACACACACACACACACACACACACACACACACACACACACACACACACACACACACTAAAGTACAGACTTGAGTCCGTACTGTCAGCCTGTCAGCTCCACAGGCAGTTTTTCAGTCTGTCAGAGTAAATCTGCAGAGCTGCAGCCTGCGTTCATGTTTGAGCCTGTATGATCATACAGCAGTGGTGAGCCACACTGAAACCATCCACAGGCACATAGCCACTGTGACTGCACACACACACAAAAACACACTGCTCCATCTAGACTTGAACTTTGAAGTCATTTCAGCCCCTCACTGCAGGCTACAAAGCCTCTTCTGTCTGACTCCATCAATCTGTACTACATGATTGATGCTCTAATTTGGTGTATGGCTGCAAATAAATGTTAGTTTCATTGAAAAACATATTAATCTTTTTTTGTCCTTTAAAAGAAAGTGACATTTTGGGGTTAAAGGTCTGTTATAATCTAAGTCTTCAATCTTCTTGTTACACTGAGCTTCGTCCAAAATCCCAGGAACTCAAATTAGCCTTTATTTAAAGAAAACAAGCACAGCAGTTTTTTTCCTCCATGAAAGAAACTGGAGCCAAAAAGGAGAGAGAATACCAGGAATATTAGCCAGAATACATATTGGCTAGATTTGTCACTAGTGTTTCTAGCACTCCACTCATGATTAATCACTGCTCAACTTCTGCGTGTGTCTGAAAGAAGGTCTGCTCTGCTTACTCATCACCATGAAACGATCTCGTCAGTGAAAACTATCAATGCTTCCAGACCGGCATTAAAAAGCAGTAAAAGTCCATTACTGTAGTTTAATTCCAAGACTTGATGAGAAGGTCGTTTTCAGTGAGGCGGTGAGAAAGTGAAAATTGAGCCTAAACTCCAGTGAAGTTTCAGGGCTTTGATTAGAGCCACAGACGGAGCTCTGTGCAGGGAAACGTCCCCCAGATGCACACTGCACTCCCCCCGCTTTCCTCCCCCTCCACGTAAACACAACCGCGGTCCACCAGAGACCAGCGGAGAGGATAAAAGCCTCAAAAGCGTGCGCAAAAGTGACCCAAAAACCTTCACCAAACACTTGAGGGTTTGATCCAAATCCAGCTTCCAAACCGGTGATATCTCAAAGTTTTTCCCCTTAAAACTTAAGATAAATTATACGATATAGTCATACCTCTTTTCCCAGCAGGGCTTTTCCATCAAAAAACTGAATGGGGGTCTTTGTAGGCTCTTACCTTCATACCCGGAGCAGAGGCAGAGCTGCACAAACAGGAGCAGGAGCGGCCACATGTCCATAGTGAGACGCGCGGGGACGGACGCTCTTCAACATGTGAAGGGGAGCTTTCTGCAGGAAAACTTCCAGCGCATTCCTGCTTTCCAAAGGCCCGCCTCTTGCTCCAGAAACAAGGGAGGATTCTCCAATTCAGGCAGGCCCGTCCTGTCACCGGCACGAGGCGAGGCGGATAGAGGGGCCTGTGCCAATCCCCGTGGGTCAACTCTGACATGGACTCCATTACCACCACTACAGACTGAAAAAAAAAAAAAAAAAAACAGAAATCAAAACCAGTTCTCCTTATAAAGCCCCTGACCTAATTTCTCTGCAGAGATCACTGCATTTAGTATTCAAAAAACTGCAAACCTGTAGCCTTTATGGACCCCATCAACCATACTCTGAATGTTATCAGTTCAACCAGGGGTTCACATCCTGGAGATCCAGATTTCATTAAAGCGTCTTATGAGATCAGAACAGCATGAAAAAAAGAGTGTTCTTTTAATTGACCTTTCCTTCGCTCATTTCAAGTCTCTAGAAATTATCAAACAGCATGAGAGAAGGTTCATTTGATTGAGCATGTTTCCTAACTGAAGAAAAGAACAAAGTTGAGTGTATTAATGAGGTCAGGTACACTGAGCTTGGGAGCTGTATGGGCCTGTAAAATCATTATATAAGACTACAAAGGGGCCATTATGTTGGCTGTTCCATACATCTTGTAATACATTGGTATGTTAATGATGGTTGATCTCTTGTGCTTATGTTAGTATAGACCACCTCCCGTTGGCCTTGCTGTGTGAACAATTTTCAAATGAACAAGTTTAAGTTTTAAAGGTGAAACTGTATTTGCAAAGGTCTCAATCCCTTTTCTCCCACTGTGCTTGAAATACTAAAATGTCTTAAATGCACTCAGATTCACTTTTGTAGAACAAGGTCTATAATATGTTACTCCCCAAGCCATATTTTGAAATTCATCTCTTATTTGTAAGTATGGCTCCAGGGTGCCCTCCCTCTAATGAACTTGATTTTCAGAAGTAATGCTTTGCGAACATGAGGAGCATGCCTGGGGCTTCAGCTTAGTAACAATAGGACAGTGAAAATCCAGTCTAGTCTCAAATCTGCAGACACAAGCAAAGCACTACAAATTTTGTCTCCTATGGGAACAGTGAGTGAAAGCAGGAATATTTAGTGATACCTTGCCATCTGATTCAAGACTGAAACACCCCTCCTGTTGGTGAAGCAATGGTGGCCATCAAGGACAACAAGCTCCTGTGTTTCATAGATGTGATTCCCCATTTGTTGAGTTTTGACCATCAAAACGGTTTGTCACAACGTATTATTCAGAGCAAAATAAAGCTCCCTCTTCTTCCTCTTCAAGCTAGTGCATTTTGTGCAGCATTCACTAGATCAGGGCTTGAAGCAGAAAAACAATCCTGTGTCTGAATTTTTTTATGGGGGGGGGGGGGGGCTATATGACAGTGGAGCTATTGATTAATATTGGAAGATATTAATGATTCATAACAATAAAAAATCACCAAAATTATAAAAAAAGGCACATTTTCCTAAAACAGCTGTTGTAGTATGAAGAGTCCCTTGGTGTGTGTGTGTGGTGATTCTGGGGTCTCTACTGTATAACAATGGAGCTATTGATTTTTGTTTGCAGCGAATTGCACTAGTATCGTAATTTGCAGACGGTCCCTGCGGACTCACCCGGATACCGGCTGCGCATAAAGATCAGTATTATTCATCCAGCTCGAAGAACGGCTTGTTTTCGTAAAACAAATCGGTTTTGATTCTTGTAGTAAGTAGTCTGTGCTATTACGACATGAAATAGGCACCATTTGTGTTTAGACAACATTTCGTCTCAGAGTTATTGATCCCGGAAGTCCGAATCTGTGAATATCTTTCCAACTTTACCAAACTTTTTCCCACTGCTGCCATAAATAACCTTTCCGGCGCACGAAACACAAAAACAAACACCTGGCTCTTTCAGTTTTCGGCAACAGCTACCGTGAGGCTTTCTACCTTTCCAGGCTCTTTTGCCCTAGCCCAGCCACCAATGTTGCAGTTTCTTCTCCTGGATTGATGTAACTGACATCCATCGTTTCAAATTCGACGGTCGCACTCGCTTATGCGTCTTTTTCTTCTTCCGCTTCTTCTTTTTCTTCCTCTCCGACAGGATGTATGGTATCCAGCGTAATGCTGTCCTCTACCGGTCATATCCAGATCTTACTAACTAGTTTTTTTTTTGTTTGTTTTTTTGACATGATTTAGGAAAAAAAAAAAATCCCGAGCCGGATTTCCGGCACCACACCGGTAGTCTTCAAGCCGTGCTAGATACAAAATTGGCATATGTCACCAGTTTTGTGCTCTGTGTTTTGGTAGAAACCATAGACTGTATATAAGATATATATACAGTATATATAACTTATATACAGTCTATGGTAGAAACACAAGAGTGCAAGATGGCTGCCTTCATGGAAGAAGACTCGCTTCCCTACAGGTAAATAGGCAAATTGAGTTGATGTTAGCGTCTTTTTGGAAGACGTTCTTGGTCCCTCATGTTGATGGACACGTCATTGGTGCTGTCGAGTTAGCTTTCTAGCAGCAGCTGTCTTAGTGATGATAAGACACTTTTTAAGTAGGCTACTGTAAAAGAAGATTCACTGCAAATTCAACAACATTAGGTTAACGCTCCTGTGAGGAACTTTTGTTTTGTGTGAATTTTGGCGCCCCCTGTGAACAAAGCAGTCTTCTCTTATCTTGTCTGCTACATGCTTGAGTAGTCATGCAGCCCTCTACAACTGACCAGGGCTAATTTTGTGCCTTTTAGATATTAGATGCCTCCATAAATAGATAACTCATCATCAGTCTACTCACTGCAATGAAAGGCAGCAGATTGCGGTTGTGTATGCTAGAAATGAGACGCCGTGGATAATTGTACTGGATAACACAAGTCTCAGAAGACTGTGATTCTAAGATTTAAATAAATGTTTAAAGTCATTCAGAGGATTTGAAATCATTTTGAGTTATTAATTTGACACAAAAACGATAAGAAATGGCATCCTTTATAACTGATGATAAGCAGATTTTGGAGGAAAAGTCCACATCAGAACATGTTTAATATCGCTTCATTCCTTTACCAAACCAACATCAAGAAGAATCCGTAATAATACAGCAGAGAAAAATGTTCAAGTTTCAAACATTGACAAAGGTTGACTTAAAGTTTTATACTGTCTAATGATGAACTTTTTAAAGGAAGTCAAGAAGGAGCCGAGTTGTTTCCTAGCAACTCTATTCTCATGATATGTCCTAAAGCAACTCAAGTTTTACTTCTGTTTTACTTTCCGGCTGTTGTAGTAGAGGAACTCTTGTTCTTTAGCACTGCCGATCAATTCTTGCTCGACATTTGTTCAGCTATGGTTCACACATGATTAATATTCAGCATTATGAGAATATACACTTACAGGGGAGTAGAGTGAGAGTACACAGCTGTTTAAAAACTAATCAGGGAGGAATTTTTTTTCTCCTCAAGCTTGAGCTTGGGTTTAAGACCCTGTGAAGTGTGCGAGGGGGCGAGTCCGCACATGAAGGTGTCGAACTGTTCGTTATCTTGACAGGAAGCAGGAAAGAGAAGGCGTGCACTGGAGCGGCTGCCAGAGGATCTCCTGAACTGTAATTACATGAGGGTTCAGCAGACCGTTGAATTGTCTCTTTGAGGTCAGGTGAGGAAAGGGTTAACTGAAGCAGAGGACTCCTCTAAAGCTCAGATGTAGTGTCATGGCCGATGGTTTCAGATTGATAGCATATCTGAGTTCATAAGGTCTTTTTCTTCAAGTTTGTTTTTATTCTCTAAAGCTTTAAGCCTTTAAAAGCATTGTTTTATGACCTGACTGTTAAATTCATTCCTACATAAACACACAGTAAACTTAACACAGTATGAAATTACAGCAGGGGGTTTGTCACCATAAAGGGAGTGAAGGGTTCATAGAAGCATTTGTGGAGAAGCAGTGTACAATCTCAACGGCAGGGGCCTCAAACAGAGAATAATCATCCCAACCACAGACAAAACTGATTACATGAGAACAGACTCAAGGCACTCGCTCAGCAAAACAACATGAATTCATTTATGAGACAACAAGCACGAGAGCGAATCAGAGAAGACAGGAGGACAGGCATCGAATGATATAAAGAGGGAGCACATTTTCATTACATTTGACAATCAATCACGTCTGTGTTTACATTTTGAACGGATTAGTCTAGGGATATGATTTTTTTCTTACTAATCTTATGATGTGAACAAAGCAAATAAGCAATTTCCCAGTTTCACTGTCTGGTTTGACTTCATTCCTCCATGCAACTGAGCTCAACAAATGTTTTTTTGAGTGGAAATGTAATGACTGAACAGAATAATTAAAACTTTTATATGTATAAGTTAAGTATTCTCACAAAAAACCTTCTTGAGATGAGTATTGCAATTTATCACCTGCTGCAACCTCTATGATACTTCCATGGGATAGCTGTTCCCAGTTTATCCAGGTATGTTGTTTCTGTTCCCAATAAATAAAACATACAAACATAAATAAATGAAATGTATAAAGCCCTTTGTGGCTGAGGCTTCTTGGCCAAGACTTTTCAATCGATCTGTTGCCCTGACTGATTTGTCTGGTATCATTCAGCAGGGTTTCACAATTAGAAAAAAGATTTCAATCAAATGAGTGTGGGGAAAAGTGGGGAACATACAGCTGTAACATCAGCCTAATCAAGCTGTTTCTGAAATGTTGTAAGACTGTGCACCTTCACATTGTGTCAAACTTGATTACTGGAAGTGACATATACTACACTGAAGGACCCTGTATTAGAAGATCTGACTGTGAGCCAAGGTACTAAGAGATGTCCACGCTGGCAAAGGTACTAAAACACACAACTGCAGCTGTTTTAAGACTTCACTGTATGGAGCTACTTAAAGACCGCACAGCAAATCAAACTCTGGCCTTGCTGCAGGCAGGGATACTGAGGTTTACTGCAGGCAGGGATACTTAAAGACTTCATTGCAAATTCAGGTACAAAAAGTGTCCCTGCAGGTCAGGCTTTTAGAGATAGCAAAGAGGGTACTAAGAGATGTCACTTCAATTTGAGGAACCACAAGATGTCAATGCAGGTTAGGGTATTAGAAGGTATTACTGTGGGCCAAGGTACTTAAAGATTTGTGTGCAGGTTTAGGAACTACAAAATGTTTGTAAAAGTTGAGGTACCAGAAGAATTTTTATAAAGTTGATAACTATACTATAACACATCACTATCAGATATGATCCTACATGAAGATGTCAGTTCTAGGTACTAAAGGATGTCAGTTCAGGTGAAAGTACTGAAAGACAAACCACAGGTCAAGTTTCCACATTATCACAGGTCAAGGTTATAAAAACATCACAGCAGGTCAGGGTTTGATGGGTCTGAACTGCAGGTCAGGGTCCGATGGGTCTGAACTACAGGTCAGGGTTCCTTGTGTGCTCACTGCAGGTCCAGGTACTGTGGAAGCACATCGTCCCAGAACTGTTGAGGGTCTTCGGTTTTCTTCTGCTTCGTTCTCGGTGCAGGTTTTGGTTTTTCTTTTGGTATTTTCTCTTTTCTGATGGCAGCAGGAAACTTTTGTTCAACTATCTTCCTTGCAACTGGAGATTTTACTTTTTTCTTCTCTTCCTCCTCCTCTTCCTCCTCCTCTTCTTCCTCAGCCTCTTCCTCACTTTCATCTTCATCAGAGACATGACCTTTCTCCACTTTAGTTTGTTTCTGTTTTGTTTTCTCTAACTTGGTTTTTGTCTCCTTTTTGGGCTTAATTTTTGTCTCATTCTCCTCTTCCTCATCTGCCTCTTCCTCCTCCTCCTCCTCTTCTTCTTCTTCTTCATCTTCTTCATCATCAACCTCTTCTTCACTCTCATCCTCATCTTCATCAGAATCTTTACCTTTCTTTCCTTTTGTTTGATCCTGTTTTGTTTTTCCTCCCCGGTTACTGAGTTTTGCCTCTTTTTTTGCTTCAATATTTGTTTCCTCTTCTTCTCCTTCTTCTCCTTCTTCTTCTTCTTCTTCATCCTCCTCTTCTTCCTCTTGACCCTCTTCTTCCTCTTCCTCCTCTTCTTCATCATCACTGACTTCTACCGTCTTTTTGTCCTCCTTTCTTCTCATCTTTTCCTCCTCTTCGCTTTCACTCTCTTCCTTTTCATCTTCTTCTTCCTCCTCTCCAGTGTCTTCATCACCCTCTTCTTTGTCCTCTTCCTCCTCCTCTGCATCTTCCCCTTCACCCTCTTCACCTTCCTCCTCTCCAGCATCTTCGTCTTCACCCTCTTCACCTTCCTCCGCTTCGGCATCTCCATCCTCCTCTTCTGCATCATCGTCTTCACCCTCTTCACCTTCCTCCTCTCCAGCATCTTCATCTTCACCCTCTTCACCTTCCTCCTCTCCGGCATCTCCATCACCCTCTTCTTCCTCTTCTGCATCATCGTCCTCACCCTCTTCTTCTTCCTCCTCAGCTGCCCCTTCCTCCCCCTCTTCTTCATCCTCATCTGCAGTCTTTTCCTCATCTTCCTCTTCATCCTCGTCTTCATTTTCATCATCGCTTTTTTCATCTTGGTCTTCCTCCTCTTCATCAGCCTCACTGTCTTCCTTCTCTTCATCTTCATCTTCAACACTGGTTTCATCCTGCTTCTCATCCCCATCTTCATCACTCTTACTATTAGTATCTTCATCATCATTATCATCATCACCTGACTCTTGCTCCTCTTCCTCACTCTCTGTGGAGTCTTGATCATCTCTTTCTCCCTCTGTTTCACCCTCTTCTTCTTCTTCTTCTTCTTCTTCATTTCCCTCATTTTCTTCTTCTTCATTGTCTTCCTCAGAATCAGGATCTGCAGCATCACTTTCCTCTTCCTCCTCTCTTTCTTCTTCTGTCTGAGCCACACTTTCTGATTCTTCACTGCTTTCATCCTCCTCTTCTTCACCCCTCACACTTTCGTCTTCTTCTTCCCCTTTATTCTCTTCTTCACTCGACTCTTCCCCCTCCTCTTCCTCTGCTGCTTCACTCCCCTCAGAGTCACTCTCTCCCTCACTTGCTTTCTCTTTGCTGCCTTCCTCTTCCTCCTCCTCTTCTTCTTCCTCTGTAACATCACTTCTCATCACGCTTTCATCTTCCTCTTTGCCTGTTTCCTCCTCTTTATCTTCCTCTGCAGTTTCCTTCTCATCTTCCTCACCCGCTTCTACATCTTTACTTTCACTTTCTTCCCCTTCTTCTTCTTCTTCCTCCACAAAGCTTCCACTGGCTCCTTCCTCTTCTCCACCATCCTCTCCTTCATTTTCCTGCTCGTCCTCTGAAGGCTTGTATGATTTATCTTCTTCTCCGTGTTCCTGCTGGGAAGTCTCCGGGTCGTTCTCGCTGTTTGCTTCCTCTGGTTTTGAATCCACCTGCTCAGAAACCTCACTTTCCCCCAGCTCTTGTTGTGACTCATCACGGGTCCTTTCTCTACTTTCCTCTTCACTCACTGCATTGTCTGATTCTGAATGGACGCTGACCTGAACTTCTTTCTTTGCGCTTTCTTCCATTGAAGAAAAATGTGACAGTGTGGTGGAAAAGGAAGGCCGCATTATTGCCCTTTGCTTTGTGAACTGCTTCATCCGACTGGGTGTTGTCATTGGTGAGGGTGTACCAGCATCACTATCAGACTGAAACCCGTCTATGCTCATAACCGCATCGCTCAGCACTCCCATAGCTGCACCTGCGATCCCGACAGCAGGAAGGAGAGTGGCTGCTGTACTGAGTATTTCCCCCAATCTTGATTTTTCCTCCTCACTGTTTGTTTCAGAGATTGGCAGATCTCTATCAACAGGTTCAGGGCCAGGCAGGGATTTGGCACTGCGGGCAGAAACCATCTCTTTTCTCTCTGGGTTTTGTGAGGAAACGGAATTACTCTGCACTTCAAAAGGTGCATCCTGCTGTGATAACAGTGGATGGGAAGCTGCAGTCTGCTTACTCCCCAGCTTGGCCCTCTTATTATGTTTAGGGTCTCCATTATCCTGTTTTTCACCCGTATTTTCCTCTCCCTCCACTTCCACTGGTTTTGTTTTCACCTTTTGTTTCGAGTCTTTCACCTTCTTCTTGTTCTTATCTTTCACAATGTCAGCATCTGATAGCGTCTCCTTATCTGCAGCTCTGCCTTTAGTTCTCTGGCCTTTGTTTTTTGGAAGATTTAACTCGTTTGAGACAGCTTTGCTTTTGCCTTTACTCTCCACTTGAGTATTTTCTGCAGATTTACTCTGATTTTTGTCTGGCCTGGATTTGTCTCCTAGTGGTTTTCTCTTAAGAGGTTTAGACGTCACACCTTTTGGTGTCTTAGCTCGTGCGGGTGTGTTGACAGGTGTGGTGTCTTTTTCCACTGATGGTGTTTTACTTTGATCTTTCCTCGATACAGATTTTACTTTGTGTAACTCTTTTGTTGGAGTTGATGGTACCTGCTGTGTCTCCTGCTGCGACTCCACTTCAACAGGTTTGACGTCAGACATTTCTGAATCATCCATTGAAGCACTTCTTACAGATGTTGGACTTCCACTTTGAAGGGATAAGCTGGTCATTTCATTTACTCCAGTGATCCTGATGGCAGGAGACGCTCTGTCGAAGGCTGGTGAATTAATTTTTTCCTTTTTTTGTGATTTGACAGGATCTTTCTTCAAAGTGTGTTTACTTCTCTTGACATCTTCCCTCACCTCTGTCAGTCTCTGTTGCACTTCTGTCAGTGTCTTTTGCACTGATTGAGGAGATGTTTGGCTTGGTTGTAATAATTTGCTTTTCTCATGCTTTTTGGATTTAAGTTGGGAGAGTGTCTTTAGAGGTCGTCTGTCCTCATGATTTTTTATCCTATTAGACTGCTTAGAAATGTTTTCTTTTCCTTTAGATGTAACTTTGGGGCTTTTTGGACTCCTCAGAGGAGACACGTCATTCCTTGAAGAGCTCGAGCCTCTTGAAAGCTCTGCTGGTGAGGCCTTGTGAGAGCTAAGTCTCGTCTTCCCATTGGACTGATCCATGAACGCCTCCGCCTCTCTAGTTTTTCTCCTGAGAGCTCTTCCCTTCTTCTTACCCTATAATAAATCACAGAGAAAACAGGCATTTAGCTAAATGTAAAAATAAACATAAAACAGGCAGAAAAAGGGCGCATGCGTTACAATGTGTTGCAAAAAAAAGGAGTTAGACTAGTAGCAAACCTGCAATCAACTAAACTAAATAAGCAGTTGATGCATTTGATGTCAAACGTGTGTTTTATTTCCAAAAGCGTGTCTGTAGTCTAGGGAATGTATCTATTGTGGAAAAACTTATGTAATATGTTTTCATGATGGTGAATGCTCATTTTATATTTATATATAATAACTTGTGATTATTGAAGAAGTTAACTTCACCATCAGACTAATGTGAATGATGACACTTGAACATTTACACATTGTCTGTGTTAAAAAACTGCATTTGGCCAGTCATACTCAGACAGCTGAACTGAAGAGACTTTTAAGTTAATAACACATTTCAAAATGGACTTTACTGTCTTTTAAATAAAAGACTATTTTCCAGTCATGGAACTCCAACCTGTCTGTTTCACAATAAATAAAATTATATACATGTGGACACAGATGGGAGGAAAAAAGATTTTTTTTGGTCATGGTTAAGAGAAAATGAAGGATCTTCGTCTTTCCATCTGCTCTGATGAAGAACAGGTGATGGTTAATTGGTTCTCAGCGAGGCGTGATGTGAAAACAGCTTTGTTTAAGTCACCTGTCACAGCTGCCATCCTGCAACAACAAAGCTTTTACAGTGAAATGCCTTGAATTATAAAACCTGTTTTCAACGTGTCAGCTTGATTTATTTTACATGCACTTCTCTTGTGCTGTGTTCCTATTTAATCTCCCACTGGTATAATATGAGGCACACTTGGTACAACATGTGTCAGTACACACACACTCAATGCAGTGGAAATACATAACTCAAAGCTTTCATGAGGAGTTTTTTTATGTTTATAAAACAGACTAAAATTCTTACTGAAGCTTTTTCATGATATACTAAAACAAAAAAGAACATCTTAAACAAAGTTGAAGATTTGTACACTGTCATTTTTAATGCAAAGGGGTGGGTGTCAGCTGAAGAAATGATGCCAACTTTAAAACTTCTGTCTATTATATGAACAATTAATCATAAGTTTGACGGTCAAAAGTCTACAGGATTAGTCAGGAGACACTACGCAGGCATGGTGAAGATAAGTTAAGCAAAGACTTCTTCATCCACAGGGGGGCGCCAAAACTGACACTATCCAAAGGTTTCTCACAGGAGCTTTAAGTTCAGTTCCAATAATTACAAATGATTTATGTGAAACTACATTTCAGAGGATAGCATTTTACTTAATACCTAACACTTTTTTGTCATCAGAAGTAACCTGTTATTTTGCTTACTTAAGTTTTACCTTTGATAACATTTCAACAATTTGTATGCGTTTTCAGTACAAAGCAATGACAGAATTATTTCAATCCTCAAGCTTGCAAAGATTTTTTGTGGTCAACATATAAAACAGAATCTGCAAAAGCTTTAAAAATACTGCAACAAATTTCAATGAGAAAGGTTTACTAAGAAAACTATTAAATAAACCCTTTTGGCATAATTAGTCCCTTACATACATATACAGTATTTGCCCATTGGACTTTTGAATGCAGACTATCCCTGGGTATTTTCTTTGTGTGGTATTCACACTTTAACTTTATACAAGGCTGTTAAAATTCGTCCCATTACTGTGCATGAAAGAATGTACAGTCACAAGCTAACTCAACATTTACAACCAGGACAGAAGGGCTTACTGAGAACCACATGTTGCACCATGACACACAACAACGCTGGGGAGTCCTTCACAGTTTGCTTCATCACTGGCTGTGGAAACACTGATGAGATGTAGCCAGTTTCCTGCCAATTTCTCCTCAAGTGCTGTTTGTGAGTGTGTGTGTGTGGAGAAATACTGATATCTCAGTCTCTCTTGAGGAAACCATTGCACAACACACTAATGAGACAGAAGAGAGTAAAACACTTAAATACTCTTACTTCCTTTAAATCTAACAAATGAAGGGAAAAAAATCTCTCTCACACACATACTGTAAAGTATGTATGCTGAGCTATGCACATTTCCTGGAAAAGCTGGCAAGCACTAAACATCGCTGCTTCCTGCCTTGGAGTGCTCATAATCTAAGCCACAACCAAGGAGCCAAAAGGGGAAAATAACTGAGCGTGTGTTTGTGACTTTGGGCCCAAATTATCATATTTTCAGTCCCTTAGCACTATCAGGGTTAAATCAGTGCACAAAGAGTCATAAAAAAACAATTTCTCACCATTTTGGGTAAAGAGTCAGAGTTGTTCTCTCTCTCAGGGATGATCTCCTCCACATCTCCTGTGCCAGTCTGAGACTGAGCAGTTTCTGCCTCGGCACAAAAGTCAGATTCTGTGTTAGACAGCTGTGCTCTTGTTAGCTATAACTATAGTTAAATTAAAGGTAGAGTTAAAATACAGTAAATACATAAAGTGTAGGATTTACCAGTCTGAAGTGAGGCTGGACGATCCTCGTCACTGGCATCTTTATAAGAGGTACTGGATGGTCTGGATGTGAAACTGGGTGCTTTAGATGAAAGAGGTGATGAAAATTGTTCATTTAAGGCCTTTTTAGTGGGTTTCTTTGTAGTCTTTGTAGGAGTTGCTGGGCAATACAGGTTTTGTTTAGTTATAGACTTTGGTGAGAGTAATGGCGAAGGCAATTCTTTGGATTTAGACATGGAGGAAGCAGCTCTTGAGGATTTATCCCTTAACGTGTCTGATGATAGAGACTGTGGGCTCGAAGGCTTAGAGGATAATACCGGGCTTGGTGTTGCTACTGATTGTGGTTTAGGGGATGAAGAAGGGGTGGTTTTGTCCTTTGAAAGGGCTTTAGGGCTTGGGATATTTCTTGAAGTTTGCCAGGAAGTGCTGAGGAAGTCAGAGTTTAGACGTGGGAGGTTTCGAAACATTTCCCCAAACATCTCCACAGAGCTCTTCTGAAATACAAGAGAGGGAAAACAGAAAAAAAACCATGACTGAGGCAAAGGTTTGAATCGCATCTATAGAGCTCCCCCAGCCACTAACTCAGGGCCACTACAGCAGAACTACAACATGATGCAACACTGCCCCCTGGCGGAGATGAGGGGCAGTTACAGTTAACTATCTTTCTTTACTGTCTTCTCTGAACTGTCTTCAGAGCCCTCCTTATAAACTTTAAGAAACTGAATTTTTCTTTCACAATTATGCTGTTTAACACTCAGTATATATCAATAATTTCCAACCATACATGTCATTCAGTAAATGGAAACTGCAACCTGAAAAAGCAGTATGAAATAAAAGATCATCAAATGAATGTCTGATTATTTACATTTAGCATGTTTTAACCTGGTTATTTGTTGAAATCAAGTATCTCTTTAAAAGTCTACAGAACCCGGTTATGTCTCCACAATGTGTGCAGGTCCTCACCTTTTCTCTGTGACGGGCTCGAGCAGAGAGCACCGGGAGTGGGACTAGAGTATCAGGACCGACCAAAGTGTCCAGAAGGAGAAGTTCTGTGTATCTAGACTCTGAAAAGTCCTCTGTAGTCGTGGCATCCTCCTCTGGCACATCCCCATGGCTCTCTGGTGATCTGGGTGCAGCCAGTACCAACATGTGGTCACCACCACAGGACACCTGCACAAACGAAACCACAACAAAAACAACTTCTTCTTTTAAATTTCTGTTAATTTCACTCTCTGAGCTGAACAGAATACACTACTTCAATGCTGCGCTGGACTGAAAAGTTTGTGTGCTCATAGGCACATGAGCACATATGTTAAGCTACATTCACCCTTTTATCGCAGTAACTTACTAGCTGAACATTGTACTGAAGAAATCGTGTGCAGAGTGTCGGGCTAAACCGGTTGACAAAGTTCTCCTCCCCTAACCCTAGTTTTCCATGACGACCATCCCCAAATGTGTAGAGAAGCCCGTCACCTGTGAAGGAGGGAAAAGCTCAGAAGATGCAACATTGACTTCTTCTACACAGCAGCTCAAAGCTAGGTGATCAGCTTAAAGGGGTTAGTGTCAGTACATCACATAGAGATGAGTGAATTCAGCAGCCTTCAAATAAAACATTTCACATAATCTAAAAGAATCCTTGATGTAAATATTAAGACAGATATCCAAAAATAATAAAAAGATAACTATAAAACTGACTACACAGAACTTACTTGTGATCACAGCTGTGTGATTCTCCCCGCAGGATATGAGTTTGATGCTCACATTAAAAAAGTGCTCCAGTGTTTTTGGCAAATCAGCTTGAAACAGAAATGTCCCCTGGCCCAGCTGACCATACTGTCCTCTCCCAAAAGTGTACACACTCTCCTCTAACACAAAAATACACACATAAATTAATACATCTTTGGTTAGCTGCAGTTGCACACTACAGTTTCTCAGGTATTTTACTAAAAAAAACAGCTCTGAGGTCTTTATACTTTCAAATAAACCTTAGGTTGTTTTATTTTAGTGCACTCACAGCTAGAAGCTAGCTAACCATAAGCAGATATTTAAATAAAGTGCAATGGTTTCAAGCACACCATTTTCCTTTTTAAGCTTACCTGTGAGTGCCACAGTGTGCTCCCCTCCACAGCATACCTGAATGACACGACCCAGAATCCCTTGCACCCTCTGGGGGACTCTGTGATTGACTAGCTGCTCCTCTTGGAGACCAAGCCTCCCATGTTCACACTCACCAAATGTGTAGAGATCTCCATCCACTAAAATGAAGCCAACACAACACTGTCAGCAAGATAGATGATATTGAATTTAACTGAGGTTCTGAGGAGTACCTGTGACAAATGCTGAGTGGTGGTACCCACAAGAGACCCACATCACCGCCTCGCCAACATCCACCTCTCTGGGCTCTGAAGCAAATCCCTCATTCCCTAAACCAATCTGACCCACAGAGTTGTCTCCCCACATGAACAACCTGCCATCCTCTACCAACACACAAACAGAAGGAGGAAACGTTAGAGCTCGAGCATTGAGCATCTCTACAAGCAGAAAAAAATGATATGTTGTAGCTCGCCACTGTTTGAACCTGTTAAGGCAGCTGAGGTGTTGCATCCTGCAGAGAGCATTTTGATTGGCGCATGGTCACAGAGGGGACTCAGCAGGTGAAAGGACGCAATGTTGTTGCAGTGGCCCAAACCCAGCTGCCCCTCTTCGTTGCTGCCGGCACCATAGAGACTACCCTGCTCTGAAAGTATACACGACAACACAAATACAGAATACAAAAAAAAAACAATGATGGTGGGCCATACTCTTCTGCTCAAGACTACTCTCAAGATAATCTCTGTCGTATTCAATTATTTAAGCAGAATTGCACCTGTGTAGACAATTGTGTGGTCTCTCCCACAAGCAACAAGCTTCACCTTCTCAGGCTTTAAGGCTGAAAAGAAAAAAAATTCACTACATCAACAAAAACAGACACAAAAGTACTTTAAATCATTTCTATCCAACCTGTAACTGAATTCAATGAATAACAAATGTTTACAGTATAAAAATCTGAACAAATACCATAAATTTAGCCATATAAGCCTAGTCCATCTGTGAACACAACTAAGCCAATCATTGTTATTCATGTCAAAAATTGGGTTTAATTACTTTTACCAGCAGGAGATGCTTTTTTCAACACAGACGAAGAGGGTTACAACATTTCAGGAATTACAGCACGAGTCACAAGGCAGAATGTTCAGCATTATAGTATATTAGGGAAGCGTTATTATCTAGCTAATAGAAGTAGGAAATAATATCCATGGCAAATGCTCATTTTAAAGGATTGTCAGCCTTTGGCACAAGAAGATAGCATCATGAAATGACTTTAATCTCGTTTTAGTCTTGATTAAGGGATTTAATGGGATAATTAAGAAACAAGAGTGCGTGAAATATTAAAACAATGAAAATTTGCAGCCCTCGTGTAATGAAGATTACCTTTCACTGAGGCAGGTTTTCTTGCAGCAGGCTTCAATCCTAGCCCAAGTTGGCCCCAAGTGTTATCACCAAACACTAGCAGCCTGCCATTTTCTGCAGACATTGAAAACTATTAGAGGTCAAAGTGTGATTTAACATTAGAGAAGTTCTTGGACATGGGTTCAAAATGAGTGATTCTTTATTATGTCAATGTGCATATATACTGTCTGAACCTGTGATGACAGCAGTGTGCTCTCCTCCGCAGGACACTTGTCCTGGCTGGTCATTTCTCACCCAGAATTTACAAGGCACATTATCAGCGAAACCGCTCTTTCCAAATGTGAAGATGGCCCCTGTTTCTGTTGACAAATACATTTCTCAATTTTAGCAGGAGTAGCAGGACTTCGGAGTAGCACTAACTTATCAACTTCTCTGATTTAACACCGGCTAAATCCTGACCCAACCTGCTGTCAAATCTCAAGCGAGTTAAGTAGCTTCTTGACAGAAATAGCTACAGGTGCTCCAAACAACCTCACACAGTCTGTGGAAAAAGGTTTATCTAATAGGAAGGTAAGTATGCCCACTATACAAATGAGTGGACTACAGTACTTCATGGCCTGTTTTGAAAGTACTCTCACCGGGTATGTCCTCATCTCTCTGTCCTGTCATCTCCAACGCAGCTCCCCTCTCTCCTCCTCCTCTCGCTCCCCGTAGAGCTCAGCGTTGACTGACAGGTGGACAAAGGAAACGTCAGAGGGAGGCGTGGCCAGGACAAACACTCAATTCAATTCAATTCAATTCAATTCAATTCAATTCAATTCAGCTTTATTTATATGGCACTTTTCGTACATAAGGAAATGCAATTCAAAGTTTTTTCAACTGTTTTTCTCATGTTAGCAAAAGTGACTGTTCTCATCAAAATACTCCAAACTTTATACATGCAAATACAGATGGCATGATAAATATATTATCATGCCAAAAACCTTCTTGGTTTCACTGGGAATGTTTTCTTCCGTTTCAGTGAAAATAATGCTAAATTTATTTTTGAGAACAGGAAAGACGAACCTTTGGACTTTTAAACAATTGTTACTTTGTCCTCTTCTTCTATAATTATTATAATAATAATAATAATAATAATAATAATAATAATTTAAAAATATATATAATGATTATAATGATTAAATGATGTTTATATTATTATGAGTCTATTATGTAATATTATTATTATATTATATTATATTATGAAATTATTATTGTTATTATTATTATCATTATTAATATAAATACGAGTAATAACACTAATGATAATAATAATAATAATAATAAATTCAATAATGAACATAAATAAATATAATAATGATAGAAATATCATAATAATATTTTATAACATTATTTTCATTATTGTAGTAGCAGTTGTAGTAGTATCAGTATTATTATTTCTTTTATCATTATTATTATTATTGTTAATAATAATAATAATAATAATAATAATAATAATAATAATAATAATAATAATTATAATAATATCATCGTTATTAATATATTTTTCTTTCATTCAGTATCGTTCACAAAGCTACCAGTCTTCTCAGAAAAAAGAGTCACAGACGGAATCCTCTCGGTTTTTCTACTTCATCTTTGAAATATGTTATGACAACAAGAGCGTAGCCCGCAGACCGTTTAAGAGAGTTCATTGTTTATTCGTACACCAAAAGTGAAGGAATATGTTAATCCAGTTAATATTCTCGTAACATATTAAAAGTAAACTCATAGTAAAGTAGCTTTATATCTTGAACTTTTAGGCAAATACATGAAAAGTGGACACTTGGGAGGATGTTGCCAGGACTCGCTTCCGTGGTCTTTGGTGACGTCAGACGTAACAGCCCTGCCCGTCGCTCTGACGTGCTGCTGCATGTTGTAGGGGTAGGGATTGAATGAAAGTTGGTTTCAATCTGATGAAATCTCCTTAGGAAATTACTCTTCCACGGTATTTTCAATTCAAGTCACCATGTCTACCAAGATACTGTCTTTAAACAGCACGGTTTTCAAATGTATGAAAACGTTTCACACCAGCTGTCCACGAGGGTTTAGGTAAGACACGCCGGATAACTTTTTGTTAATATGTAAACTGCTGATACAACAACCATGCATGCAGCATAATTGCCTCATTTTGAACTTCCACAGAACTGCAGTTGCGTCTCTTAGTTCCGTCAGTTTGAAGGGTCGAAGCTTCCTAACTTTGAAAGATTTCAGCCCAGATGAAATCAAGAGGCTGCTGTGGGTCTCAGGAGACCTCAAACATCGGATCAAACATGAAAAACAGGTAGCTGGTGTTTGCTAACTTCTGTTGACTGCAGTATGCATTTGCAAATGTTCTCAGTTTTAACTGTCAAGGTCAATCTTCAGTGTCTGAAGCTAACTTTCTTCTCCATTTTAGTATCTTCCTCTTCTCCAAGGGAAGTCCATTGCCATGATATTTGAGAAGAGGAGCACCAGAACAAGAATGTCTACAGAAACAGGTGTCCCTTATGTATTCATATATCTTCAAATGGTTTATGACATGTGCTGTATTGAAACTTACATGTAAAAACATTAGAGTGGCACAATTCAGTCACCATGCAATTGTTAGATTAACGCATTAGATACACATTGATAGAATTAATGTAATGGGGTTTTGATATCTTACAAACTTAGTCTGGCTGTTTTGATCCATTAGTAGCTTTAGCAGTGTAAATGCCACCCCTTGTTTTTGACACAAAAGAACTGCTGAAAGGGGACTTTGAAAGCACCACGGGAACAATGCTGTTTGCACCTAAACTACATCCATTCCCCACTCCTATGCTGAACTTGGTGTGGGCTTAAAAGACAGTTTCTATTTGAGGATGATTCAGTGTTTTTACTCCAGGTTTTGCTTTGCTTGGCGGGCACCCTTGTTTCCTCACATCTCAGGACATCCACCTTGGAGTGAACGAGAGTAGCACAGACACAGCTAGGTATGAAATTCATTATGGTTTTGTTCTTTACCATGTGGGTTACATATCTCCGCTCCTTATTTGTCTGTTAATCTCAAAAAAATCTTAATCAGCATGGTGTTTTTTAAGGCAGCGCTGCTTCACTTGTATAATATTGCTTTGGTCCTCTGCTGCTTTTAATAACTGAAAGGAAAGATTAGATTTTGTAGGTCACCACATGAACCAATATTACATGCACCCCTGTGTAATCTCTAACCCCCCGCCACAGGGTTCTCTCAGGGCTGTGTGATATTGTCTTAGCACGAGTGTATAGCCACTCCACACTGGAAGAACTGGATAAGGAGGCCTCCATCCCCATCATTAATGGCCTGTCTGACCTCTACCACCCAATCCAGATCCTAGCTGACTACCTCACTTTGCAGGTAATGTAGCAGCTTCCTGGCATCCTGCTGTTTAAATAATTGAGATGATAAAGTCAGCGTGTTTTTCAAATATTTCCTCCCAGGAACATTATGGCTCCCTGAGTGGACTAACAGTCAGCTGGATTGGAGATGGGAACAATGTCCTCCACTCCTTCATGATGTCAGCAGCCAAACTAGGAATACATCTGAAGATTGCTACACCAAAGGTTTGCTTCTTTTTATGTGGGAACATCCACTGTAACTGTCTTATCATTGCTAGAGTTGATCCTTTCCAAAGAATATCCTGGGGGACTACAAATATATTGTTTTCTTTTTATAAAATATATGAATATTCAGCAACTGATCTACATTTTTACCTTAATTTGCAGGGATATGAACCAGAGAAAAGTGTAATTGAAGAGGCACAAAGACTCTCCAATGAGGTGAATTATTGTTCATGTGTCCTAGCTTTAAACAAACCTCTTGTCAAAAGACTTCTCATTAATTCATAAAATTGTATTTTGTCTCAGCATGGGACCCAGCTGGTTCTGACCAGTGACCCCATGGAGGCTGCCCATGGCAGCAATGTTTTGGTCACTGACACCTGGGTCAGCATGGGGCAGGAGGAGGAGAAAAAAAAGAGGCTTAATGACTTTAAAGGTTACCAAATTACTATGCAGGTAAGATGTGGGGAGTTTTACAAATATAAAGAAACACATTTTGACTTAAACACTTTCTCTTTGGCTCAGAAAGAAAGAGGAGTCAATCGTTACATATCAGTAGCTTTTAGAGATGGAAGGCGTTTTCTGCTATGTAAAAGACACTGAACTTGTCAGAGTCGTTGTTCCAATATTTAACATTAATTCAGAGCAAACTTATGTTTTGTATTTAATAGGCTACTGCTTGAGAAAGTGATACAAAAGTTTATAATAACTAAACCAATTACATCCTTTTTAATGGAGAAACAGCTAAATAGATTTCAGAATTTAAAGTTAGCATGCATATTAAAAAAACGTATTGCACAAATCATAAATGTATTGGTAGCATAGTTTTCTGAAAAATGAGAAAGTGAGGTGATGTGATTTTCATTAACAAAACACGTCTTTATGTCATATATATAAACACACATTATGGACAGTTTTATTTTGGAGAAACTACCTCTGAACTGATCCAAATCAGTCATTTGTCAGCCAAATATGTGTGAGCATAGGAGATGTTTGATTCCAGTTTTGAATTGATTCAAGGTATTAACATAAAACAGCTTCTGGAAAACAAAAGAGAAATGGACTAGCACTGCAAACAAAAAAGAAACTATAATGTATTTAACATATATGTATATCTGACTAGCCATTATTCTTGCAATACTCCATCCTGACTTTCTCACTCATCTACAGACAGCACGTGTAGCCAAACCAGACTGGACCTTCCTACACTGTCTTCCACGGAAAATGGAGGAGGTGGATGACGAGGTATTCTACTCTCCTCGTTCACTTGTCTTTCCTGAGGCAGAGAACAGGAAATGGACCATCATGGTGAGTAGCCTTGAGAAAAACTCACCATTATTTACCATATAATTTTATACATAAGTAGGTTAATTTAGACCCATAGTCAGCTTTTACTCTCTCTCTTCTAATCATGACATCCTTTTTCTCTTACAGGGTCTGGTGGTTTCTCTTCTGACTGACTATTCACCACAGATCCCCATGCTCAAGTTCTAACTTCATTTCTTAAGGTGGACTTTCACTTGTGTGAAAAAACATCTGAGGTTCAGTGGCAGGTTCAAACAGTTGAGTAACATCACAACAAAACAGTATTGATTAGGTCAAGGTTATTGTTGAGCTAGGAACATAGTTGGCATTGTTTGCCTTGTTTACTGCTCAAGGGAAAACTAAAGAAACAGATCTGTGCTTGAGTCCAGACAACAAGTCCAGCTGTTGAATCATAAGAAGTCAGAGTCATTTGTTTACTTTTAACATGTCCTGTGATAGGGAGCAAACAGTGCTGCAAGTGTGAGGGCCACAGTGGACATTCTGACCTTCACCGTCTCTTTCTTTATCTTAACAAATGTAGTTTTGAATCTTCACTGCCTCCAACAAATATGTGCTCCACTCATGCTTAGTCACTAGTTGTATTCATTGCTGCCAATTTGCAACAGCTTCCACTTTGATTTTACATAGATTCAATAATACAGACAGGATTTTACATGTGTAGATGGACCGTCACACAATTTTTCTGACAGTATGTTAAAAACATTTCAGATATCATGATCTTCAAATTCAAACTAACTGTTTCACATTAGTAAATTAGTACTGTTCAATAAACAGTGGAATACTCTAAACTGCTTTTCAAAGTTTGGTGCCCTATATGTATGAATAGGGTATATTTCATGTTACCATTTCATGTTACACAGGTCACTGTAGCTTCATATTGTCATGTTTTACCTTAGTTAACACAAACTTCTGGTTTGATTACAGCAGGGGCCTTGTTTTAATAACATTATATCCATCTCCTTTTGCAGGTTCACAAAACAAAAGCTCACTTATATCAAAGTACTTTGAAAGTTCCTTAGGGCTGCTAAAAGCAATGTTAAGGAACAAGATGTTACTAACATGTTTTCTTTTGGTTTATAAGTTATGGTCATTGTTATACAAGTACCTCATTGAAAGTAAAAATCCTACATTCAAATTTTAAACTCAGTCAAAGCAACATAATATTGACCAAAAACAGTAAAAACTTGATGTAAATTTACCCTCTATGCAGCATTATCGATGCCAGTTACATGAGAGCTTTGTATCACTTCTGATGAATAAATGTGCTGTTATTAATTGTGATTGGTCAGAAACAGATTTTTTTACACTGAATTTATTTCATCATTGTGAAAAAAAAAAGTGTCAGAAATAAAAATGCACGCTTGAAATTCAATAGTTTCGAAATTCAAAGTCTGTTTTGATGCAAAAAAAAAAAAATATTCAGCTTTAGAAATTAAAATTTAAAATCAGATGGCACGGATTTACTTCCATATCAATGAGGCCGTGTGGAAATATTCAATATTAGGTCTGTCAAAAGCCCGTTTGCTTTCCTTTTATGACCTTATTCTGAATAGTGACAACTTTCACGTTACAAGAAGGAATTTAGACTTCTTTCCTCTGAACTTGGTGCTGCAGTTGATTTAGGCAGTAAGTGTATTGTGAGTTAAGTTATCTTATACTTGGACGCACTACTGGAGTACAAGCAGCTTGTTACACAGCCGCAACAAGAGCTTTATATAGCAGGGACATTACACTCGTCTTTGACCACTGCTGCCCCCTCCTGGATGGAGTTGGTATTGTTCCTGTTTTCTGATTGGACAGCGGAGGATGGAGTGTATGTGTGGGAAGCTTTGATCTCTGTGGGTGGTCCAGCCGGTTAAACGCAACGCTACGCGGTAATTCATTCATAAATACAGACCCGCTGCTTTTAAAGAAACATGAGTTTATTGATAGAGTGTTATTAACATAAATACAACAGCCTGGTGTAACAACACATTTGCAGCTGAAACCGAAAAACAGAGAAACTGTTCTCATAGTTTCAACCCATATGAAAAAGCAGCTCAACAGACGCGTTTACAAACAGGCTAGAGATGTCAGCTGCTGTAATGGCGAAATGAAAACACAGCCATGGTTCTCCCAGTGCGACCACCCACACACTGACTGAGGGAGTCTGAGAAGAGGAAAGGGAGCTGAGGTGGGAGGAGGACGCCATTGCAGCCGCAGCTGGCTGTATGTGTTCGGGCTGAGGGGGGACAAACGTTACCGAGCGTTACAACTGGGAGAAACTTGGTGGACTTTTTCAGGGCCGAGAAAACTATCGCTGTTTTAATGTGGAAACAAACGCCAAAGATGGGCGGTTTGCTTCGTGAACGGAGAAAATATGGAGTCAGAGCAGCGCAGCGAAGCAGGTAAAGTGGGTTAGTTTAGTTTGGTGTGTTTACGGGGACAATGGGAGAAAGTTTCGGCTAACCTCAGCTAACTAACGGGAGTTGTTTCAGCTAGCGTTACTGCTAGTTGTGGTACTCACAGTGAAGATTTTTTATCAAAGTTTATCGCTGTAAAGGGCTTTAAAGAATTCTTACATACATCATTCATTTGCTCATACAGTCACACCTTGGTGGTGGTAAACTGCCGTAGTAGTCACAGCTGACCTACCTGTGGCAGACTGACGGAAACATGGCTGCCAGTTTGCGCCTCTGTGACTCTCACCCACCCAAAAACTCAAGGCAGAATGTTCAGCATTATCGTATATTAGGGAAGCGTTATTATCTATTCTAGCCAATAGAAGTAGGAAATAATATCCATGGCAAATGCTCATTTTAAAGGATTGTCAGCCTTTGGCACCGGGAGATAGCGTCATGAAATGACTTTAATCTCGTTTTAGCCTTGATTAAGGGATTTAATGGGATAATTAAGAAACAAGAGTAGGTGAAATAAAACAATGAAAATTTGCAGCCCTAGTGTAATGAAGATTACCTTTCACTGAGGCAGGTTTTCTTGCAGCAGGCTTCAATCCTAGCCCAAGTTGGCCCCAAGTGTTATCACCAAACACTAGCAGCCTGCCATTTTCTGCAGACATTGGAAACTATTAGAGGTCAAAGTGTGTGATTAAACATTAGAGAAGTTCTTGGACATGGGTTCAAAATGAGTGATTCTTTATTATGTCAATGTGCATATATACTGTCTGAACCTGTGATGACAGCAGTGTGCTCTCCTCCGCAGGATACTTGTCCTGGCTGGTCATTTCTCACCCAGAATTTACAAGGCACATTATCAGCGAAACCGCTCTTTCCAAATGTGAAGATGGCCCCTGTTTCTGTTGACAAATACATTTCTCAATTTTAGCAGGAGTAGCAGGACTTCAGAGTAGCACTAACTTATCAACTTCTCTGATTTAACACCGGCTAAATCCTGACCCAACCTGCTGTCAAATCTCAAGCGAGTTAAGTAGCTGCTTGACAGAAATAGCTACAGGTGCTCCAAACACCCTCACACAGTCTGTGGAAAAAGGTTTATCGAATAGGCAAGTAAGTATGCCCACTATACAAATGAGTAGACTACACTACTTCATGTCCTGTTTAGAAAGTACTCTCACCGGGTATGTCCTCATCTCTCTGTCCTGTCATCTCCAACGCAGCTCCCCTCTCTCCTCCTCCTCTCGCTCCCCGTAGAGCTCAGCACTGACTGACAGGTGGACAAAGGAAACGTCAGAGGAAGGCGTGGCCAGGACAAACACTCAACAGTTTTTTCTCATAGACTGTATAAAAATTATATAGTATAAACAGTCTATGGGTTTTCTCATGTTAGCAAAAGTGACCGTTCTCAAAATACTCCGTATCATGAACCAAACTTTATACATGCAAAGTAAGAGAAAAGTAAAATCGTCTTTTTCTTATCATGCCAAAAAATAAAAAATAAAAAGATAATATTAATAATAATAATAAAATTAAATTAAAAATAAATGTAATAATGATAATAATGATTATATTAGATACTTTTAAATAATATTATTATTATTACTATATATTATATTATAAAATTATTATTTTTATTGTTATTGTTATTATCATTATTTATATGAATACAAATAATAACAACAATAATAATAATAGTAATAACAAATTCAATAATAAAAATATATATTATAATGATAACAATGATAATATTATTATAATAATGTTATATCATATTATTATTACTTTATATTATATTATATATATTTTTAATATTATTATTAGTAGTAGTATCAGTATTATTCTTATTGTTTTCAATTATAAGTGTTATTTTTATTATTAGTGTTATTTTATTATCATCATTACCAGTTTTCCAAGAAAAAAAAATTCCAGGAGGGAATCCTCTTGGTTTGTCTACTTCATCTTTGAAATATGTTATGACAACAAGAGCTTGGCCCGCAGACTGTTTCAGAGAGTTTATTTCTCACTCAAACTCTAAAAGTGAAGGAATATGTCAATTCAGTTAATATTTTTGTTACATAATCAAAGTAAACTCATAGTAAAATAGCTTTATATCTTGAACTTTTAGGCAAATACATGAAAAGTGGACACTTGGTAGGATGTTTCCAGGACTCGCTTCCGTGGTCTTTGGTGACGTCAGACGTAACAGCCCTGCCCGTCGCTCTAACCTGCTGCTGCATGTTGTAGGGGTAGGGATTGGATGAAAACTGGTTTCAATCTGATGAAATCTCCTTAGGAAATTACTCTTCCACGGTATTTTCAATTCAAGTCACCATGTCTACCAAGATACTGTCTTTAAACAGCACGGTTTTCAAATGGATGAAAACGTTTCACACCAGCTGTCCACGAGGGTTTAGGTAAGACACACCGGATAACTTTTTGTTAATATGTAAACTTCTATGTAAACTGCTGACACAACAACCATGCATGCAGCATAACTTCCTCATTTTTAACTTCCACAGAACTGCAGCTGCGTCTCTTAGTTCCGTCAGTTTGAAGGGTCGAAGCTTCCTAACTTTGAAAGATTTCAGCCCAGATGAAATCAAGAGGCTGCTGTGGGTCTCAGGAGACCTCAAACATCGGATCAAACATGAAAAACAGGTAGCTGGTGTTTGCTAACATCTGTTGACTGCAGTGTGCATTTGCAAATGTTCTCAGTTTTAACTGTCAAGGTCAATCTTCAGTGTCTGAAGCTAACTTTCTTTTCCATTTTAGTGTCTTCCTCTTCTCCAAGGGAAGTCCATTGCCATGATATTTGAGAAGAGGAGCACCAGAACAAGAATGTCTACAGAAACAGGTGTCCCTTATGTATTCATATATCTTCAAATGGTTTATGACATGTGCTGTATTGAAACTCATATGTAAAAACATTAAAGTGGCACAATGCAGTCACCATGCAGTTGTTAGATAAACCCATTAGATACACATTGATAGAATGAATGTGATAGGGTTCTAGTATCTCATAAATTTAGCCTGGCTGTTTTGATCCATGAGTAGCTTTAGCAGTGTAAATGCCACCCCTTGTTTTTGACACAAAAGAACTGCTGAAAGGGGACTTTGAAAGCACCACGGGAACAATGCTGTTTGCACCTAAACTACATCCATTCCCCACTCCTATGCTGAACTTGGTGTGGGCTTAAAAGACAGTTTCTATTTGAGGATGATTCAGTGTTTTTACTCCAGGTTTTGCTTTGCTTGGCGGGCACCCCTGTTTCCTCACATCTCAGGACATCCACCTTGGAGTGAACGAGAGTAGCACAGACACAGCTAGGTATGAAATTCATAATGGTTTTGTTTTTTAAGGCAGCGCTGCTTCACTTGTATAATATTGCTTTGGTCCTCTGCTGCTTTTAATAACTGAAAGGAAAGATTAGAACACATTACCACATGAACCAATTTTACATGCACCCCTGTGTAATCTCTAACCCCCGCCACAGGGTTCTCTCAGGGCTGTGTGATATTGTCTTAGCACGAGTGGATAGCCACTCCACACTGGAAGAACTGGATAAGGAGGCCTCCATCCCCATCATTAATGGCCTGTCTGACCTCAGCCACCCAATCCAGATCCTAGCTGACTACCTCACTTTGCAGGTAATGTAGCAGCTTCCTGGCATCCTGCTGTTTAAATAATAGAGATGATAAAGTCTGCGTGTTTTTCAAATATTTCCTCCCAGGAACATTATGGCTCCCTGAGTGGACTAACAGTCAGCTGGATTGGAGATGGGAACAATGTCCTCCACTCCTTCATGATGTCAGCAGCCAAACTAGGAATACATCTGAAGATTGCTACACCAAAGGTTTGCTTCTTTTTATGTGGGCACATCCACTGTAACTGTCTTATCATTGCTAGAGTTGATCCTTTCCAAAGAATATCCTGGGGAACTAAAAATATATTGTTTTCTTTTTATAAAATATATGAATATTCAGCAACTGATCTACATTTTTACTTTAATTTGTAGGGATATGAACCAGAGAAAAGTGTAATTGAAGAGGCGCAAAGACTCTCCAAAGAGGTTAATTATTGTTCATGTGTCCTAGCTTTAAACAAACCTCTTGTCAAAAGACTTCTCATTAATTCATAAAATTGTATTTTGTCTCAGCACGGGACCCAGCTTGTTCTGACCAATGACCCCATGGAGGCTGCCCATGGCAGCAATGTTTTGGTCACTGACCTCTGGGTCGGCATGTGGCGGGAGAAGGAGAAAAAAAAGAGGCTTAATGACTTTAAAGGTTACCAAATTACTATGCAGGTAAGATGTGGGGAGTTTTACAAATATAAAGACGCACATTTTGACTTGAACACTTTCTCTTTGGCTCAGAAAGAAAGAGGAGTCAATCATTACATATCAGTAGCTTTTAGAGATGGAAGGCATTTTCTGCTATGTAAAAGACACTGAACTTGTCAGAGTCGTTGTTCCAATATTTAACTTTAATTCAGAGCAAACTTATGTTTTGTATTTAATAGGCTACTGCTTGAGAAAGTGATACAAAAGTTTATAATAACTAAACCAATTGCATCCTTTTTAATGGAGAAACAGCTAAATAGATTTCAGAATTTAAAGTTAGCATGCATATTAAAAAAACGTATCGCACAAATCATAAATGTATTGGTAGCATAGTTTTCTGAAAAATGAGAAAATGAGGTGATGTGATTTTCATTCACAAAACATGTCTTTATGTCATATATATAAACACACATTATGGACAGTTTTATTTTGGAGAAACTACCTCTGAACTGATCCAAATCAGTCATTTGTCAGCCAAATATGTGCGAGCATAGGAGATGTTTGATTCCAGTTTTGAATTGATTCAAAGTATTAACATAAACAGCTTCTGGAAAACAAAAGAGAAATGGACTAGCACTGCAAACAAAAAGAAACTATAATGTATTTAACATATATGTATATCTGACTAGCCATTATTCTTGCAATACTCCATCCTGACTTTCTCACTCATCTACAGACAGCACGTGTAGCCAAACCAGACTGGACCTTCCTGCACTGTCTTCCACGGAAAATGGAGGAGGTGGATGACGAGGTATTCTACTCTCCTCGTTCACTTGTCTTTCTTCAGGCAGAGAACAGGAAATGGACCATCATGGTGAGTAGCCTTGAAAAAAACTCAGCATTATTTACCATATAATTTTATACATAAGTAGGTTAATTTAGACCCATAGTCAGCTTTTACTCTCTCTCTTCTAATCATGACATCCTTTTTCTCTTACAGGGTCTGGTGGTTTCTCTTCTGACTGACTATTCACCACAGATCCCCATGCTCAAGTTCTAACTTCATTTCTTAAGGTGGACTTTTTCTTGCGGGAAAAAACATCTGAGGTTCAGTGGCAGGTTCAAACAGTTGAGTAACATCACAACAAAACAGTATTGATTAGGTCAAGGTTATTGTTGAGCTAGGAACATAGTTGGCATTGTTTGCCTTGTTTACTGCTCAAGGGAAAACTAAAGAAACAGATCTGTGCTTGAGTCCAGACAACAAGTCCAGCTGTTGAATCATAAGAAGTCAGAGTCATTTGTTTACTCTTAACATGTCCTGTGATAGGGAGCAAACAGTGCTGCAAGTGTGAGGGCCACAGTGGACATTCTGACCTTCACCGTCTCTTTCTTTATCTTAACAAATTTAGTTTTGAATCTTCACTGCCTCCAACAAATATGTGCTCCACTCATGCTTAGTCACCAGTTTTATTCATTGCTGCCAATTTGCAACAGCTTACACTTTGATTTTACATAGATTCAATAATACAGACAGGATTTTACATGTGTAGAAATGCACATCCTTTTAGAGATCTTAGGCATCAGTTCAAATTCAGCTTGACTGCAAAAAGCTTTTCACACCTGACTCTAAATGGACCGTCACACAATTTTTCTGACAGTATGTTAAAAACATTTCAGATATCATGATCTTCAAATTCAAACTAACTGTTTCACATTAGTAAATTAGTACTGTTCAATAAACAGTGGAATACTCTAAACTGCTTTTCAAAGTTTGGTGCCCTATATGTATGAATAGGGTATATTTCATGTTACCATTTCATGTTACACAGGTCACTGTAGCTTCATATTGTCATGTTTTACCTTAGTTAACACAAACTTCTGGTTTGATTACAGCTGGGGCCTTGTTTTAATAACATTATATCCATCTCCTTTTGCAGGTTCACAAAACAAAAGCTCACTTATATCAAAGTACTTTGAAAGTTCCTTAGGGCTGCTAAAAGCAATGTTAAGGAACAAGATGTTACTAACATGTTTTCTTTTTGTTTATAAGTTATGGTCATTGTTATACAAGTACCTCATTAAAAGTAAAAATCCTACATTCAAATTTTCAACTCAGTCAAAGCAACATAATATTGACCAAAAACAGTAAAAACTTGATGTAAATTTACCCTCTATGCAGCATTATCGATGCCAGTTACATGAAAGCTTTGTATCACTTCTGATGAATAAATGTGCTGTTATTAATTGTGATTGGTCAGAAACAGATTTTTTTACACTGAATTTATTTCATCATTGTTAAAAAAATAAGTGTCAGAAATAAAAATGCACGCTTGAAATTCAATAGTTTCGAAATTCAAAGTCTGTTTTGATGCAAAAAAAAATATTCAGCTTTAGAAATTAGAATTCAAAATCAGATGGCACGGATTTACTTCCATATGAATGAGACCGTGTGGAAATATTCAATATCAGGTCTGTCAAAGGCCCGTTTGCTTTCCTTTTATGACCTTATTCTGAATAGTGACAACTTTCACGTTACAAGAAGGAATTTAGACTTCTTTCCTCTGAACTTGGTGCTGCAGTTGATTTAGGCAGTAAGTGTATTGTGAGTTAAGTTATATTATACTTGGACGCACCACTGGAGTACAAGCAGCTTGTTACACAGCCGCAACAAGAGCTTTATATAGCAGGGACATTACACTAGTCTGCCCCCTCATGGATGGAGTTGGTATTGCTCCTGTTTTCTGATTGGACAGCGGAGGATGGAGTGTATGTGCGGGAAGCTTTGATCTCTGTGGGTGGTCCAGTCGGTTAAACGCAACGCTACGCAGTAATTCATTCATAAATACAGACCCGCTGCTTTTAAAGAAACGTGAGTTTATTGATAGAGTGTTATTAACATAAATACATCAGCCTGGTGTAACAACACATTTGCAGCTGAAACCGAAAAACAGAGAAACTGTTCTCATAGTTTCAACCCATATGAAAAAGCAGCTCAACAGACGCGTTTACAAACAGGCTAGAGATGTCAGCTGCTGTACTGGCGAAATGAAAACACAGCCATGATTCTCCCAGTGCGACCACCCACACACTGACTGAGGGAGTCTGAGAAGAGGAAAGGGAGCTGAGGTGGGAGGAGGACGCCATTGCAGCCGCAGCTGGCTGTATGTGTTCGGGCTGAGGGGGGACAAACGTTACCGAGCGTTACAACTGGGAGAAACATTGTGGACTTTTTCAGGGCCGAGACAACTATCGCTGTGTTTTAATGTGGAAACAAACGCCAAGGATGGGCGGGTTGCTTCGTGAACGGAGAAAATGTGGAGTCAGAGCAGCGCAGCGAAGCAGGTAAAGTGGGTTAGTTTAGTTTGGTGTGTTTACGGGGACAATGGGAGAAAGTTTCGGCTAACCTCAGCTAACTAACGGGAGTTGTTTCAGCTAGCGTTACTGCTAGTTGTGGTACTCACAGTGAAGATTTTTTATCAAAGTTTATCGCTGTAAAGGGCTTTAAAGAATTCTTACATACATCATTCATTTGCTCATACAGTCACACCTTGGTGGTGGTAAACTGCCTTAGTAGTCACAGCTGACCTACCTGTGGCAGACTGACGGAAACATGGCTGCCAGTTTGCGCCTCTGTGACTCTCACCCACCCAAAAACTCAAGGCAGATTGTTCAGCATTATAGTATATTAGGGAAGCGTTATTATCTAGCCAATAGAAGTAGGAAATAATATCCATGGCAAATGCTCATTTTAAAGGATTGTCAGCCTTTGGCACCGGGAGATAGCATCATGAAATGACTTTAATCTCGTTTTAGCCTTGATTAAGGGATTTAATGGGATAATTAAGAAACAAGAGTAGGTGAAATAAAACAATGAAAATTTGCAGCCCTAGTATAATGAAGATTACCTTTCACTGAGGCAGGTTTTCTTGCAGCAGGCTTCAATCCTAGCCCAAGTTGGCCCCAAGTGTTATCACCAAACACTAGCAGCCTGCCATTTTCTGCAGACATTGAAAACTAATAGAGGTCAAAGTGTGATTAAACATTAGAGAAGTTCTTGGACATGGGTTCAAAATGAGTGATTCTTTATTATGTCAATGTGCATATATACTGTCTGAACCTGTGATGACAGCAGTGTGCTCTCCTCCGCAGGATACTTGTCCTGGCTGGTCATTTCTCACCCAGAATTTACAAGGCACATTATCAGCGAAACCGCTCTTTCCAAATGTGAAGATGGCCCCTGTTACTCTTGACAAATACATTTCTCAATTTTAGCAGGAGTAGCAGGACTTCAGAGTCGCACTAACTTATCAACTTCTCTGATTTAACACCGGCTAAATCCTGACCCAACCTGCTGTCAAATCTCAAGCGAGTTAAGTAGCTGCTTGACAGAAATAGCTACAGGTGCTCCAAACAACCTCACACAGTCTGTGGAAAAAGGTTTATCTAATAGGAAGGTAAGTATGCCCACTATACAAATGAGTGGACTACAGTACTTCATGTCCTGTTTTGAAAGTACTCTCACCTGGTATGTCCTCATCTCTCTGTCCTGTCATCTCCAACGCAGCTCCCCTCTCTCCTCCTCCTCTCGCTCCCCGTAGAGCTCAGCGCTGACTGACAGGTGGACAAAGGAAACGTCAGAGGGAGGCGTGGCCAGGACAAACAACTGTTTTTTCTCATAGACTGTATATAAAATATATAATATAAACAGTCTATGGGTTTTCTCATGTTAGCAAAAGTGACCGTTCTCATCAAAATACTCCGTATCATGAACCAAACTTTATACATGCAAAGTAAGATAAAAGTAAAATCGTCTTTTTCTTATCATGCCAAAAATAAATAAATGAATAAAATAAAATAATAATAACAATATTAAAATTAAATTAAAAATAAATGTAATAATGATAATATGATTATATTAGATACCATTAAATAATAATATTATTATTATTACTATATATTATATTACAAAATTATTATTTTTATTGTTATTGTTATTATTATTTATATGAATACAAATAATAACAACAACAATAATAATAGTAGTAATAATAATAATAGTAATAACAAATTCAATAATAAAAATATATATTATAATGATAACAATGATAATATTATTCTAATAATGTCATATGATATTATTATTACTTTATATTATATTATATATATTTTTAATATTATTATTAGTAGTAGTATAAGTGTTATTCTTATTGTTTTCAATTATAAGTGTTATTTTTATTATTAGTGTTATTTTATTATGATCATTACCAGTTTTCCAAGAAAAAAAAAATTCCAGGAGGGAATCCTCTTGGTTTGTCTACTTCATCTTTGAAACATGTTATGCAGCAAGACCGTGGCCCACAGGCTGTTTCAGAGAGTTTATTTCTCATTCAAACTCTAAAAGTGAAGGAATATGTTAATTCAGTTAATATTTTTGTTACATAATCAAAGTAAACTCATAGTAAAATAGCTTTATATCTTGAACTTTTAGGCAAATACATGAAAAGTGGACACTTGGGAGGATGTTGCCAGGACTCGCTCCCATGGTCTTAGGCGAGGTCAGACGTAACAGCCCTGCCCGTCCCTCTGACGTGCTGCTGCATGTTGTAGGGGTAGGGATTGGATAAAAAATTGGTTTCAATCTGATGAAATCTCCTTAGGAAATTACTCTTCCACGGTATTTTCAATTCAAGTCACCATGTCTACCAAGATACTGTCTTTAAACAGCACGGTTTTCAAATGGATGAAAACGTTTCACACCAGCTGTCCACGAGGGTTTAGGTAAGACACGCCGGATAACTTTTTGGTAATGTGTAAACTTTTATATAAACTGCTTATACAACAACCATGCATGCAGCATAACTTCCTCATTTTTAACTTCCACAGAACTGCAGCTGCGTCTCTTAGTTCCGTCAGTTTGAAGGGTCGAAGCTTCCTAACTTTGAAAGATTTCAGCCCAGATGAAATCAAGAGGCTGCTGTGGGTCTCAGGAGACCTCAAACATCGGATCAAACATGAAAAACAGGTAGCTGGTGTTTGCTAACATCTGTTGACTGCAGTGTGCATTTGCAAATGTTCTCAGTTGTAACTGTCAAGGTCAATCTTCAGTGTCTGAAGCTAACTTTCTTCTCCATTTTAGTATCTTCCTCTTCTCCAGGGGAAGTCCATTGCCATGATATTTGAGAAGAGGAGCACCAGAACAAGAATGTCTACAGAAACAGGTGTCCCTTATGTATTCATATATCTTCAAATGGTTTATGACATGTGCTGTATTGAAACTTATATGTAAAAACATTAAAGTGGCACAATGCAGTCATCAATTGTTAGATTAACCCATTAGATACACATTGATAGAATGAATGTAATAGGGTTCTAGTATCTCATAAATTTAGCCTGGCTGTTTTGATCCATTAGTAGCTTTAGCAGTGTAAATGCCACCCCTTGTTTTTGACACAAAAGAACTGCTGAAAGGGGACTTTGAAAGCACCATGGGAACAATGCTGTTTGCACCTAAACTACATCCATTCCCCACTCCTATGCTGAACTTGGTGTGGGCTTAAAAGACAGTTTCTATTTGAGGATGATTCAGTGTTTTTACTCCAGGTTTTGCTTTGCTTGGCGGGCACCCCTGTTTCCTCAAATCTGAGGACATCCACCTTGGAGTGAACGAGAGTAGCACAGACACAGCTAGGTATGAAATTCATTATGGTTTTGTTCTTTACCATGTGGGTTACATATCTCCACTCCTTATTTGTCTGTTAATCTCAAAAAAATCTTAATCAGCATGGTGTTTTTTAAGGCAGCGCTGCTTCACTTGTATAATATTGCTTTGGTCCTCTGCTGCTTTTAATAACTGAAAGGAAAGATTAGATTTTGTGGGTCACCACATGAACCAATTTTACATGCACCCCTGTGTAATCTCTAACCCCCCGCCACAGGGTTCTCTCAGGGCTGTGTGATATTGTCTTGGCACGAGTGTATAGCCACTCCACACTGGAAGAACTGGATAAGGAGGCCTCCATCCCCATCATTAATGGCCTGTCTGACCTCAGCCACCCAATCCAGATCCTAGCTGACTACCTCACTTTGCAGGTAATGTAGCAGCTTCCTGGCATCCTGCTGTTTAAATAATTGAGATGATAAAGTCAGCTTGTTTTTCAAATATTTCCTCCCAGGAACATTATGGCTCCCTGAGTGGACTAACAGTCAGCTGGATTGGAGATGGGAACAATGTCCTCCACTCCTTCATGATGTCAGCAGCCAAACTAGGAATACATCTGAAGATTGCTACACCAAAGGTTTGCTTCTTTTTATGTGGGCACATCAACTGTAACTGTCTTATCATTGCTAGAGTTGATCCTTTCCACAGAATATCCTGGGGAACTAAAAATATATTGTTTTCTTTTTATAAAATATATGAATATTCAGCAACTGATCTACATTTTTACCTTAATTTGTAGGGATATGAACCAGAGAAAAGTGTAATTGAAGAGGCACAAAGACTCTCCAAAGAGGTGAATTATTGTTCATGTGTCCTAGCTTTAAACAAACCTCTTGTCAAAAGACGTCTCATTAATTCATAAAATTGTATTTTGTCTCAGCACGGGACCAAGCTGGTTCTGACCAATGACCCCATGGAGGCTGCCCATGGCAGCAATGTTTTGGTCACTAGCACCTGGGTTAGCATGGGGCAGGAGGAGGAGAAAAAAAAGAGGCTTAATGACTTTAAAGGTTACCAAATTACTATGCAGGTAAGATGTGGGGAGTTTTACAAATATAAAGATGCACATTTTGACTTGAACACTTTCTCTATGGCTCAGAAAGAAAGAGGAGTCAATCATTACATATCAGTAGCGTTTAGAGATGGAAGGCGTTTTCTGCTATGTAAAAGACACTGAACTTTAATTCAGAGCAAACTTATGTTTTGTCTTTAATAGACTATAGTTTTCTGAAAAATGAGAAAGTGAGGTGATGTGATTTTCATTAACAAAACATGTCTTTATGTCATATATATAAACACACATTATGGACTGTTTTATTTTGGAGAAACTACCTCTGAACTGATCCAAATCAGTCATTTGTCAGCCAAATATGTGTGAGCATAGGAGATGTTTGATTCCAGTTTTGAATTGATTCAAGGTATTAACATAAAACAGCTTCTGGAAAACAAAAGAGAAATGGACCCGCACTGCAAACAAAAAGAAACTGTAATGTATTTAACATATATGTATATCTGACTAGCCATTATTCTTGCAATGCTCCATCCTGACTTTCTCACTCATCTACAGACAGCACGTGGAGCCAAACCAGACTGGACCTTCCTGCACTGTCTTCCACGGAAAATGGGGGAGGTGGAGGTGGATGACGAGGTATTCTACTCTCCCCGTTCACTTGTCTTTCCTGAGGCAGAGAACAGGAAATGGACCAACATGGTGAGCAGCCTTGAGAAAAACTCACCATTATTTAACATATAATTTTATACATAAGTAGGTTCATTTAGACCCATAGTCAGCTTTTACTCTCTCTCTTCTAATCATGACATCCTTTTTCTCTTACAGGGTCTGGTGGTTTCTCTTCTGACTGACTATTCACCACAGATCCCCATGCTCAAGTTCTAACTTCATTTCTTAAGGTGGACTTTTGCTTGTGTGAAAAAACATCTGAGGTTCAGTGGCAGGTTCAAACAGTTGAGTAACATCACAACAAAACAGTATTGATTAGGTCAAGGTTATTGTTGAGCTAGGAACATAGTTGGCATTGTTTGCCTTGTTTACTGCTCAAGGGAAAACTAAAGAAACAGATCTGTGCTTGAGTCCAGACAACAAGTCCAGCTGTTGAATCATAAGAAGTCAGAGTCATTTGTTTACTCTTAACATGTCCTGTGATAGGGAGCAAACAGTGCTGCAAGTGTGAGGGCCACAGTGGACATTCTGACCTTCACCGTCTCTTTCTTTATCTTAACAAATGTAGTTTTGAATCTTCACTGCCTCCAACAAATATGTGCTCCACTCATGCTTAGTCACCAGTTTTATTCATTGCTGCCAATTTGCAACAGCTTACACTTTGATTTTACATAGATTCAATAATACAGACAGGATTTTACATGTGTAGAAATGCACATCCTTTTAGAGATCTTAGGCATCAGTTCAAATTCAGCTTGACTGCAAAAAGCTTTTCACACCCGACTCTAAATTTACCATCACACAATTTCTCTGACAGTATGTTAAAAACATTTCAGATATCATGATCTTCAAATTCAAACTAACTGTTTCACATTAGTAAATTAGTACTGTTCAATAAACAGTGGAATACTCTAAACTGCTTTTCAAAGTTTGGTGCCCTATATGTATGAATAGGGTATATTTCATGTTACCATTTCATGTTACACAGGTCACTGTAGCTTCATATTGTCATGTTTTACCTTAGTTAACACAAACTTCTGGTTTGATTACAGCAGGGGCCTTGTTTTAATAACATTATATCCATCTCCTTTTGCAGGTTCACAAAACAAAAGCTCACTTATATCAAAGTTCCTTAGGGCTGCTAAAAGCAATGTCAAGGAACAAGATGTTACTAACATGTTTTCTTTTCGTTTATAAGTTATGGTCATTGTTATACAAGTACCTCATTAAAAGTAAAAATCCTACATTCAAATTTTCAACTCAGTCAAAGCAACATAATATTGACCAAAAACAGTAAAAACTTGATGTAAATTTACTCTCTATGCAGCATTATCGATGCCAGTTACATGAAAGCTTTGTATCACTTCTGATGAATAAATGTGCTGTTATTAATTGTGATTGGTCAGAAACAGATTTTTTTACACTGAATTTATTTCATCATTGTTAAAAAAATAAGTGTCAGAAATAAAAATGCACGCTTGAAATTCAATAGTTTCGAAATTCAAAGTCTGTTTTGATGCAAAAAAAAATATTCAGCTTTAGAAATTAGAATTCAAAATCAGATGGCACGGATTTACTTCCATATGAATGAGACCGTGTGGAAATATTCAATATCAGGTCTGTCAAAAGCCCGTTTGCTTTCCTTTTATGACCTTATTCTGAATAGTGACAACTTTCACGTTACAAGACGGAATTTAGACTTCTTTCCTCTGAACTTGGTGCTGCAGTTGATTTAGGCAGTAAGTGTATTGTGAGTTAAGTTATATTATACTTGGACGCACCACTGGAGAGGTGACCAGATGCAGCGCAAGATGGCGGACCCAAAGATAGAAAACCACATTTACAAAACGCAATAAGTTCCTCCGATTGGCGGACCCAAAACAATTACTTCCGGTGGAAAGGCTTTCTCGTTGGCGGACTTCCGGCGCCGAAATACTTCAGGTAGTCGGATTTAGTCGCCGGATCCTTTTTTTTTTGCTCCGTTCATTCCATAAGAATCGAATTAAATTTATTATTGAGCTAAAAATCAAAATAAAACGTTTATGTATTAATTATGACTACTGTTTTGTTCTGATTTAATTCTGAAGTTTACAGTAATATGTATATATAGCCTGATGTCCTCATATTCTGATAATTTGTCAGAATAGGTAAATGTATGTAGAAGTTATCATCTTACTCAAATTCTTTTGTAAGAGTTTGCTACAAGTATGGACTGTTTTAACCTCTCGTTACACATCATATAACAGTGTTTTCTAACTTTTCTCTCCAATAGCTTTATTACACAGCACATCAATGTTTCTTAACTTCTCTGTGACCTTGTTTCTCCACTCCTATTAGGACCTCGTTTAATGTCAACAATGTTGCCCTGACCCTCACATATTTTCTGTTGTTCATAATTATGTTTTATGAGAGTGCTTATGTTGCTGCACAAATTTACTCCCCCCATCCTTTAGTAACATTGTGTAACCAGGGACATAATTTATGAAATGGTGTGCTTCCTGGTGAACCTCTTCAGGATTGCTTGACTGTGCAAAATCCAAGTATACAATAGTTGTAGAGACACAAGTCACATGATCTCTTTAAGGTTCAGAAGAGCCATATAGCAAAAACAATTGAATAGCGATATCATTACAGACTGTGTAAAAAAATGGGAAATTGTCATACAACTGCTTTGAAGATTTCTTTAATTTTTTCCAAACAAAATTGTGAACAGTAAAAAAAAAAATATATATATACAAAATTCAGCACTGCCGTCGGTGTGGTGGGGGGCTTAAAACACGTTGCCACAGGCCATCATCAGCTCTGCTCTGAACCGGTTGATGCCATGCTCCTTCAGTGCTTTGATCAAAAGCTGAAAAACAGTCAAATAATGTGAACAATTGAAGTTATGCAGTATGGGTTAATTGTTGTTCTTGAGCTTTCCAAATGAATAAGAACAACCTCTTAACAATATCATCATTTTTCAAAGCAAGCTATATAGTTTGATCTACTCACCTCTGGGAGCATGACGTCAAAAACGAAATCAAGCAGATGAATCTCGCCTCTCTTTATTTTTTTAGAAATGTTTGTTGCCACCTCAATGAACCGCAGGAGCTCGAACATCTATTGAAGAAAAACACAGAAAGTAAACACCTTTCAAATGTAACACCCCTGAGAGTAAAAATATTCATGATGGATGGCATTTTTACTTACGCGCTGCTCACTCCAACTTAGTGTCCTTATCTTAAGATGCTGCTTTAGCCGGAGTGAGGTGGCGGGATTCCTCCAAAGGAACATTCTGTTGGAGCGGATCTTTCCAGACAGTAGATCATCGTGTAATGTCTGAAACCAAAGAGCAAGAGACAAAAATGTAATCATCTGAAAAAGAAACAGTGGCTTTAACAACTGATAGTGCATTCAAAAGCAACCTTGATCTGTGTCTTAGAAAAGACAGCATGAATTCCTCAACTGTCAACAGCATCCTTGATCCTGCAGAGAAATAAGAAAAGAGCAAGCCCTCATTTTTTCATCCTTTGAGCCTCGTATTTTTGACTGATACTATGTTTCCTTGATAAATTATGTTATACCGAGGATGCTCAATGGAGTCCTCGCACCCGCAGTCAAACGGCTCCATTTCAATCCCAGCACAATCCTGATGCAGCCAGCCCCTGCACGTCTTGCACTGGACCCATTTTATGACGTTTACCTCAGGGTAAAGCAATCTGATCAAATGAGAGACAAACATAATATTAAACAAACACGCTGTCCAATTGATTATACCTCTGCAGCACATTTGAATGTATAAATAATTTTCCTGCATGATTCGTGCATTTAAACTATATGTAAAAGTGGTCACTTCATGGAAAATCACTGAATAGGCCCCGATAATTGCATTTATTAAATTGAGTCTGCAACACACCTCTCTCCTGTGTTGTTCGATGTCTGGTAGACACAGAATTGCATTGAATCTGCCATGCACATTCTTTGGACATCCGATACCGTCTGCGTCATGGTTTCCTTGACAAGGCAATTTGAAAAGTAACATCAATTACCAAATACATCGAGACAATGTTGATCCATACAACTGTGTGCATTTTGAAGGACTCCCACTGAGATAATACTGTTTTTACAAGGCAATTTCCTAACCTCTGTGTCCTGCTGCTCTGCCTTCCTCTTTAGACTGAAGACCGGAGTATGCTTTCCAGCAATGAGCTCTTGACATTCTTTGGTCCAGTGGGCAAAGATTTTCCCACAACTGTAATGACAATATGTCTTTAAGTACAATATATTGATTGTCTTCCAGTTAATTAGGACATCTAGTTTACTTAAACTGTCTACCTGTTCAAAGAATTGTTCTCCAGGAGCAACAGGCACCACCATCGCCGCCAAACAGGCATGTCATGCTGAAATTGTTGTTTGTATTTCATTTTAGTGCACAATACAAAATACAATCTTGAGGATGACACTGGGTGTTGAAAAGTACTTACAACTGAGTAGTCAAACTGTGACTCCATAACGATGTACATGGCAGACTTTAAAAAAAAAATTATGAGACAACATGTGAGATAACTTTAAAAAAGTCCATGTTGGAAAGTTATTCTAGATACAATATTTGTGCATTACAGCTCGTTATGACCTACCATCAACATGAATATGCCACAGTCTGAGCCGAAGTCCTGGCTGGGGAAGCCCTGATTTAACAAAAGCAAACGTTAATCATCTTGTCACATACACTTTGTAGGAGCCAGATTGGGGTTTTGCAGTTTATTGTTATGTATTTTTTGTGCCAGCAGATGGTGCTATTGTGCCTGTCTATTTAATGGGTGGGTTGATTAGGAGAGGTGCGCACATAAAATGATGAATGAGTAAATAAATCAAAACAACAGAAAATGTGTGTGACATGTGACATTATTCCACCTGCGGGCACGCATCAACTCAAGCAAAAAGGTGTTCGCCACAAGTAACAGCATTGGAAAGCTGTTATACACTTTTCAACTGTAATATAGAGCATGCACAAATACCTCCAAATCTCTGCCCGTTTTCTCAGTCCATTGCCCAGGACATATCTTCTGCGCAATGTTCCTGTTAATTTGAGAGCGTCACTTAGATTTCCCATGATGGAAACAATGGAATGCAGGGTTAGGGTTAGTTTGAGTGGTCGGAGGTGAGATTGAATGAATGCGGACGGCTTGCTTCTTTTCAAACTTCCTGAGAGTTCTTCTTCTTCTGTAAATTTTGCCGTCAGAAAGTGTAGGTACATACCGCCACCTACTGTTCTGGCATCGAAAAGCAGAAGTTCAAAGTTCATGTTTTGGGTCCGCCAATCGGAGGTAATGCGGAAACTTATTGCGTTTTGTAAATGTGGTTTTTTATCTTTGGGTCCGCCATCTTGGCGCTGCATCTGGGTACTCTTGCACCACTGGAGTACAAGCAGCTTGTTACACAGCCGCAACAAGAGCTTTATATAGCAGGGACATTACACTAGTCTGCCCCCTCATGGATGGAGTTGGTATTGCTCCTGTTTTCTGATTGGACAGCGGAGGATGGAGTGTATGTGCGGGAAGCTTTGATCTCTGTGGGCGGTCCAGTCGGTTAAACGCAACGCTACGCAGTAATTCATTCATAAATACAGACCCGCTGCTTTTAAAGAAACGTGAGTTTATTGATAGAGTGTTATTAACATAAATACATCAGCCTGGTGTAACAACACATTTGCAGCTGAAACCGAAAAACAGAGAAACTGTTCTCATAGTTTCAACCCATATGAAAAAGCAGCTCAACAGACGCGTTTACAAACAGGCTAGAGATGTCAGCTGCTGTACTGGCGAAATGAAAACACAGCCATGATTCTCCCAGTGCGACCACCCACACACTGACTGAGGGAGTCTGAGAAGAGGAAAGGGAGCTGAGGTGGGAGGAGGACGCCATTGCAGCCGCAGCTGGCTGTATGTGTTCGGGCTGAGGGGGGACAAACGTTACCGAGCGTTACAACTGGGAGAAACTTTGTGGACTTTTTCAGGGCCGAGACAACTATCGCTGTGTTTTAATGTGGAAACAAACGCCAAGGATGGGCGGTTTGCTTCGTGAACGGAGAAAATGTGGAGTCAGAGCAGCGCAGCGAAGCAGGTAAAGTGGGTTAGTTTAGTTTGGTGTGTTTACGGGGACAATGGGAGAAAGTTTCGGCTAACCTCAGCTAACTAACGGGAGTTGTTTCAGCTAGCGTTACTGCTAGTTGTGGTACTCACAGTGAAGATTTTTTATCAAAGTTTATCGCTGTAAAGGGCTTTAAAGAATTCTTACATACATCATTCATTTGCTCATACAGTCACACCTTGGTGGTGGTAAACTGCCTTAGTAGTCACAGCTGACCTACCTGTGGCAGACTGACGGAAACATGGCTGCCAGTTTGCGCCTCTGTGACTCTCACCCACCCAAAAACTCAAGGCAGATTGTTCAGCATTATAGTATATTAGGGAAGCGTTATTATCTAGCCAATAGAAGTAGGAAATAATATCCATGGCAAATGCTCATTTTAAAGGATTGTCAGCCTTTGGCACCGGGAGATAGCATCATGAAATGACTTTAATCTCGTTTTAGCCTTGATTAAGGGATTTAATGGGATAATTAAGAAACAAGAGTAGGTGAAATAAAACAATGAAAATTTGCAGCCCTAGTATAATGAAGATTACCTTTCACTGAGGCAGGTTTTCTTGCAGCAGGCTTCAATCCTAGCCCAAGTTGGCCCCAAGTGTTATCACCAAACACTAGCAGCCTGCCATTTTCTGCAGACATTGAAAACTAATAGAGGTCAAAGTGTGATTAAACATTAGAGAAGTTCTTGGACATGGGTTCAAAATGAGTGATTCTTTATTATGTCAATGTGCATATATACTGTCTGAACCTGGGATGACAGCAGTGTGCTCTCCTCCGCAGGATACTTGTCCTGGCTGGTCATTTCTCACCCAGAATTTACAAGGCACATTATCAGCGAAACCGCTCTTTCCAAATGTGAAGATGGCCCCTGTTACTCTTGACAAATACATTTCTCAATTTTAGCAGGAGTAGCAGGACTTCAGAGTCGCACTAACTTATCAACTTCTCTGATTTAACACCGGCTAAATCCTGACCCAACCTGCTGTCAAATCTCAAGCGAGTTAAGTAGCTGCTTGACAGAAATAGCTACAGGTGCTCCAAACAACCTCACACAGTCTGTGGAAAAAGGTTTATCTAATAGGAAGGTAAGTATGCCCACTATACAAATGAGTGGACTACAGTACTTCATGTCCTGTTTTGAAAGTACTCTCACCTGGTATGTCCTCATCTCTCTGTCCTGTCATCTCCAACGCAGCTCCCCTCTCTCCTCCTCCTCTCGCTCCCCGTAGAGCTCAGCGCTGACTGACAGGTGGATAAAGGAAACGTCAGAGGGAGGCGTGGCCAGGACAAACAACTGTTTTTTCTCATAGACTGTATATAAAATATATAATATAAACAGTCTATGGGTTTTCTCATGTTAGCAAAAGTGACCGTTCTCATCAAAATACTCCGTATCATGAACCAAACTTTATACATGCAAAGTAAGATAAAAGTAAAATCGTCTTTTTCTTATCATGCCAAAAATAAATAAATGAATAAAATAAAATAATAATAATAATATTAAAATTAAATTAAAAATAAATGTAATAATGATAATATGATTATATTAGATACCATTAAATAATAATATTATTATTATTACTATATATTATATTATAAAATTATTATTTTTATTGTTATTGTTATTATTATTTATATGAATACAAATAATAACAACAACAATAATAATAGTAGTAATAATAATAATAATAATAGTAATAACAAATTCAATAATAAAAATATATATTATAATGATAACAATGATAATATTATTCTAATAATGTCATATGATATTATTATTACTTTATATTATATTATATATATTTTTAATATTATTATTAGTAGTAGTATAAGTGTTATTCTTATTGTTTTCAATTATAAGTGTTATTTTTATTATTAGTGTTATTTTATTATGATCATTACCAGTTTTTCAAGAAAAAAAAAATTCCAGGAGGGAATCCTCTTGGTTTGTCTACTTCATCTTTGAAACATGTTATGCAGCAAGACCGTGGCCCGCAGGCTGTTTCAGAGAGTTTATTTCTCATTCAAACTCTAAAAGTGAAGGAATATGTTAATTCAGTTAATATTTTTGTTACATAATCAAAGTAAACTCATAGTAAAATAGCTTTATATCTTGAACTTTTAGGCAAATACATGAAAAGTGGACACTTTGGAGGATGTTGCCAGGACTCGCTCCCATGGTCTTAGGCGAGGTCAGACGTAACAGCCCTGCCCGTCCCTCTGACGTGCTGCTGAATGTTGTAGGGGTAGGGATTGGATAAAAAATTGGTTTCAATCTGATGAAATCTCCTTAGGAAATTACTCTTCCACGGTATTTTCAATTCAAGTCACCATGTCTACCAAGATACTGTCTTTAAACAGCACGGTTTTCAAATGGATGAAAACGTTTCACACCAGCTGTCCACGAGGGTTTAGGTAAGACACGCCGGATAACTTTTTGGTAATGTGTAAACTTTTATATAAACTGCTTATACAACAACCATGCATGCAGCATAACTTCCTCATTTTTAACTTCCACAGAACTGCAGCTGCGTCTCTTAGTTCTGTCAGTTTGAAGGGTCGAAGCTTCCTAACTTTGAAAGATTTCAGCCCAGATGAAATCAAGAGGCTGCTGTGGGTCTCAGGAGACCTCAAACATCGGATCAAACATGAAAAACAGGTAGCTGGTGTTTGCTAACATCTGTTGACTGCAGTGTGCATTTGCAAATGTTCTCAGTTGTAACTGTCAAGGTCAATCTTCAGTGTCTGAAGCTAACTTTCTTCTCCATTTTAGTATCTTCCTCTTCTCCAGGGGAAGTCCATTGCCATGATATTTGAGAAGAGGAGCACCAGAACAAGAATGTCTACAGAAACAGGTGTCCCTTATGTATTCATATATCTTCAAATGGTTTATGACATGTGCTGTATTGAAACTTATATGTAAAAACATTAAAGTGGCACAATGCAGTCATCAATTGTTAGATTAACCCATTAGATACACATTGATAGAATGAATGTAATAGGGTTCTAGTATCTCATAAATTTAGCCTGGCTGTTTTGATCCAGTAGTAGCTTTAGCAGTGTAAATGCCACCCCTTGTTTTTGACACAAAAGAACTGCTGAAAGGGGACTTTGAAAGCACCATGGGAACAATGCTGTTTGCACCTAAACTACATCCATTCCCCACTCCTATGCTGAACTTGGTGTGAGCTTAAAAGACAGTTTCTATTTGAGGATGATTCAGTGTTTTTACTCCAGGTTTTGCTTTGCTTGGCGGGCACCCCTGTTTCCTCAAATCTGAGGACATCCACCTTGGAGTGAACGAGAGTAGCACAGACACAGCTAGGTATGAAATTCATTATGGTTTTGTTCTTTACCATGTGGGTTACATATCTCCACTCCTTATTTGTCTGTTAATCTCAAAAAAATCTTAATCAGCATGGTGTTTTTTAAGGCAGCGCTGCTTCACTTGTATAATATTGCTTTGGTCCTCTGCTGCTTTTAATAACTGAAAGGAAAGATTAGATTTTGTGGGTCACCACATGAACCAATTTTACATGCACCCCTGTGTAATCTCTAACCCCCCGCCACAGGGTTCTCTCAGGGCTGTGTGATATTGTCTTGGCACGAGTGTATAGCCACTCCACACTGGAAGAACTGGATAAGGAGGCCTCCATCCCCATCATTAATGGCCTGTCTGACCTCAGCCACCCAATCCAGATCCTAGCTGACTACCTCACTTTGCAGGTAATGTAGCAGCTTCCTGGCATCCTGCTGTTTAAATAATTGAGATGATAAAGTCAGCTTGTTTTTCAAATATTTCCTCCCAGGAACATTATGGCTCCCTGAGTGGACTAACAGTCAGCTGGATTGGAGATGGGAACAATGTCCTCCACTCCTTCATGATGTCAGCAGCCAAACTAGGAATACATCTGAAGATTGCTACACCAAAGGTTTGCTTCTTTTTATGTGGGCACATCAACTGTAACTGTCTTATCATTGCTAGAGTTGATCCTTTCCACAGAATATCCTGGGGAACTAAAAATATATTGTTTTCTTTTTATAAAATATATGAATATTCAGCAACTGATCTACATTTTTACCTTAATTTGTAGGGATATGAACCAGAGAAAAGTGTAATTGAAGAGGCACAAAGACTCTCCAAAGAGGTGAATTATTGTTCATGTGTCCTAGCTTTAAACAAACCTCTTGTCAAAAGACGTCTCATTAATTCATAAAATTGTATTTTGTCTCAGCACGGGACCAAGCTGGTTCTGACCAATGACCCCATGGAGGCTGCCCATGGCAGCAATGTTTTGGTCACTAGCACCTGGGTTAGCATGGGGCAGGAGGAGGAGAAAAAAAGAGGCTTAATGACTTTAAAGGTTACCAAATTACTATGCAGGTAAGATGTGGGGAGTTTTACAAATATAAAGATGCACATTTTGACTTGAACACTTTCTCTATGGCTCAGAAAGAAAGAGGAGTCAATCATTACATATCAGTAGCGTTTAGAGATGGAAGGCGTTTTCTGCTATGTAAAAGACACTGAACTTTAATTCAGAGCAAACTTATGTTTTGTCTTTAATAGACTATAGTTTTCTGAAAAATGAGAAAGTGAGGTGATGTGATTTTCATTAACAAAACATGTCTTTATGTCATATATATAAACACACATTATGGACCGTTTTATTTTGGAGAAACTACCTCTGAACTGATCCAAATCAGTCATTTGTCAGCCAAATATGTGTGAGCATAGGAGATGTTTGATTCCAGTTTTGAATTGATTCAAGGTATTAACATAAAACAGCTTCTGGAAAACAAAAGAGAAATGGACCCGCACTGCAAACAAAAAGAAACTGTAATGTATTTAACATATATGTATATCTGACTAGCCATTATTCTTGCAATGCTCCATCCTGACTTTCTCACTCATCTACAGACAGCACGTGGAGCCAAACCAGACTGGACCTTCCTGCACTGTCTTCCACGGAAAATGGGGGAGGTGGAGGTGGATGACGAGGTATTCTACTCTCCCCGTTCACTTGTCTTTCCTGAGGCAGAGAACAGGAAATGGACCAACATGGTGAGCAGCCTTGAGAAAAACTCACCATTATTTAACATATAATTTTATACATAAGTAGGTTCATTTAGACCCATAGTCAGCTTTTACTCTCTCTCTTCTAATCATGACATCCTTTTTCTCTTACAGGGTCTGGTGGTTTCTCTTCTGACTGACTATTCACCACAGATCCCCATGCTCAAGTTCTAACTTCATTTCTTAAGGTGGACTTTTGCTTGTGTGAAAAAACATCTGAGGTTCAGTGGCAGGTTCAAACAGTTGAGTAACATCACAACAAAACAGTATTGATTAGGTCAAGGTTATTGTTGAGCTAGGAACATAGTTGGCATTGTTTGCCTTGTTTACTGCTCAAGGGAAAACTAAAGAAACAGATCTGTGCTTGAGTCCAGACAACAAGTCCAGCTGTTGAATCATAAGAAGTCAGAGTCATTTGTTTACTCTTAACATGTCCTGTGATAGGGAGCAAACAGTGCTGCAAGTGTGAGGGCCACAGTGGACATTCTGACCTTCACCGTCTCTTTCTTTATCTTAACAAATGTAGTTTTGAATCTTCACTGCCTCCAACAAATATGTGCTCCACTCATGCTTAGTCACCAGTTTTATTCATTGCTGCCAATTTGCAACAGCTTACACTTTGATTTTACATAGATTCAATAATACAGACAGGATTTTACATGTGTAGAAATGCACATCCTTTTAGAGATCTTAGGCATCAGTTCAAATTCAGCTTGACTGCAAAAAGCTTTTCACACCCGACTCTAAATTTACCATCACACAATTTCTCTGACAGTATGTTAAAAACATTTCAGATATCATGATCTTCAAATTCAAACTAACTGTTTCACATTAGTAAATTAGTACTGTTCAATAAACAGTGGAATACTCTAAACTGCTTTTCAAAGTTTGGTGCCCTATATGTATGAATAGGGTATATTTCATGTTACCATTTCATGTTACACAGGTCACTGTAGCTTCATATTGTCATGTTTTACCTTAGTTAACACAAACTTCTGGTTTGATTACAGCAGGGGCCTTTTTTTAATAACATTATATCCATCTCCTTTTGCAGGTTCACAAAACAAAAGCTCACTTATATCAAAGTTCCTTAGGGCTGCTAAAAGCAATGTCAAGGAACAAGATGTTACTAACATGTTTTCTTTTCGTTTATAAGTTATGGTCATTGTTATACAAGTACCTCATTGAAAGTAAAAATCCTACATTCAAATTTTCAACTCAGTCAAAGCAACATAATATTGACCAAAAACAGTAAAAACTTGATGTAAATTTACCCTCTATGCAGCATTATCGATGCCAGTTACATGAGAGCTTTGTATCACTTCTGATGAATAAATGTGCTGTTATTAATTGTGATTGGTCAGAAACAGATTTTTTTACACTGAATTTATTTCATCATTGTTAAAAAAATAAGTGTCAGAAATAAAAATGCACGCTTGAAATTCAATAGTTTCGAAATTCAAAGTCTGTTTTGATGCAAAAAAAAATATTCAGCTTTAGAAATTAGAATTCAAAATCAGATGGCACGGATTTACTTCCATATGAATGAGACCGTGTGGAAATATTCAATATCAGGTCTGTCAAAAGCCCGTTTGCTTTCCTTTTATGACCTTATTCTGAATAGTGACAACTTTCACGTTACAAGACGGAATTTAGACTTCTTTCCTCTGAACTTGGTGCTGCAGTTGATTTAGGCAGTAAGTGTATTGTGAGTTAAGTTATATTATACTTGGACGCACCACTGGAGTACAAGCAGCTTGTTACACAGCCGCAACAAGAGCTTTATATAGCAGGGACATTACACTAGTCTGCCCCCTCATGGATGGAGTTGGTATTGCTCCTGTTTTCTGATTGGACAGCGGAGGATGGAGTGTATGTGCGGGAAGCTTTGATCTCTGTGGGCGGTCCAGTCGGTTAAACGCAACGCTACGCAGTAATTCATTCATAAATACAGACCCGCTGCTTTTAAAGAAACGTGAGTTTATTGATAGAGTGTTATTAACATAAATACATCAGCCTGGTGTAACAACACATTTGCAGCTGAAACCGAAAAACAGAGAAACTGTTCTCATAGTTTCAACCCATATGAAAAAGCAGCTCAACAGACGCGTTTACAAACAGGCTAGAGATGTCAGCTGCTGTACTGGCGAAATGAAAACACAGCCATGATTCTCCCAGTGCGACCACCCACACACTGACTGAGGGAGTCTGAGAAGAGGAAAGGGAGCTGAGGTGGGAGGAGGACGCCATTGCAGCCGCAGCTGGCTGTATGTGTTCGGGCTGAGGGGGGACAAACGTTACCGAGCGTTACAACTGGGAGAAACTTTGTGGACTTTTTCAGGGCCGAGACAACTATCGCTGTGTTTTAATGTGGAAACAAACGCCAAGGATGGGCGGTTTGCTTCGTGAACGGAGAAAATGTGGAGTCAGAGCAGCGCAGCGAAGCAGGTAAAGTGGGTTAGTTTAGTTTGGTGTGTTTACGGGGACAATGGGAGAAAGTTTCGGCTAACCTCAGCTAACTAACGGGAGTTGTTTCAGCTAGCGTTACTGCTAGTTGTGGTACTCACAGTGAAGATTTTTTATCAAAGTTTATCGCTGTAAAGGGCTTTAAAGAATTCTTACATACATCATTCATTTGCTCATACAGTCACACCTTGGTGGTGGTAAACTGCCTTAGTAGTCACAGCTGACCTACCTGTGGCAGACTGACGGAAACATGGCTGCCAGTTTGCGCCTCTGTGACTCTCACCCACCCAAAAACTCAAGGCAGATTGTTCAGCATTATAGTATATTAGGGAAGCGTTATTATCTAGCCAATAGAAGTAGGAAATAATATCCATGGCAAATGCTCATTTTAAAGGATTGTCAGCCTTTGGCACCGGGAGATAGCATCATGAAATGACTTTAATCTCGTTTTAGCCTTGATTAAGGGATTTAATGGGATAATTAAGAAACAAGAGTAGGTGAAATAAAACAATGAAAATTTGCAGCCCTAGTATAATGAAGATTACCTTTCACTGAGGCAGGTTTTCTTGCAGCAGGCTTCAATCCTAGCCCAAGTTGGCCCCAAGTGTTATCACCAAACACTAGCAGCCTGCCATTTTCTGCAGACATTGAAAACTAATAGAGGTCAAAGTGTGATTAAACATTAGAGAAGTTCTTGGACATGGGTTCAAAATGAGTGATTCTTTATTATGTCAATGTGCATATATACTGTCTGAACCTGGGATGACAGCAGTGTGCTCTCCTCCGCAGGATACTTGTCCTGGCTGGTCATTTCTCACCCAGAATTTACAAGGCACATTATCAGCGAAACCGCTCTTTCCAAATGTGAAGATGGCCCCTGTTACTCTTGACAAATACATTTCTCAATTTTAGCAGGAGTAGCAGGACTTCAGAGTCGCACTAACTTATCAACTTCTCTGATTTAACACCGGCTAAATCCTGACCCAACCTGCTGTCAAATCTCAAGCGAGTTAAGTAGCTGCTTGACAGAAATAGCTACAGGTGCTCCAAACAACCTCACACAGTCTGTGGAAAAAGGTTTATCTAATAGGAAGGTAAGTATGCCCACTATACAAATGAGTGGACTACAGTACTTCATGTCCTGTTTTGAAAGTACTCTCACCTGGTATGTCCTCATCTCTCTGTCCTGTCATCTCCAACGCAGCTCCCCTCTCTCCTCCTCCTCTCGCTCCCCGTAGAGCTCAGCGCTGACTGACAGGTGGATAAAGGAAACGTCAGAGGGAGGCGTGGCCAGGACAAACAACTGTTTTTTCTCATAGACTGTATATAAAATATATAATATAAACAGTCTATGGGTTTTCTCATGTTAGCAAAAGTGACCGTTCTCATCAAAATACTCCGTATCATGAACCAAACTTTATACATGCAAAGTAAGATAAAAGTAAAATCGTCTTTTTCTTATCATGCCAAAAATAAATAAATGAATAAAATAAAATAATAATAATAATATTAAAATTAAATTAAAAATAAATGTAATAATGATAATATGATTATATTAGATACCATTAAATAATAATATTATTATTATTACTATATATTATATTATAAAATTATTATTTTTATTGTTATTGTTATTATTATTTATATGAATACAAATAATAACAACAACAATAATAATAGTAGTAATAATAATAATAATAATAGTAATAACAAATTCAATAATAAAAATATATATTATAATGATAACAATGATAATATTATTCTAATAATGTCATATGATATTATTATTACTTTATATTATATTATATATATTTTTAATATTATTATTAGTAGTAGTATAAGTGTTATTCTTATTGTTTTCAATTATAAGTGTTATTTTTATTATTAGTGTTATTTTATTATGATCATTACCAGTTTTTCAAGAAAAAAAAAATTCCAGGAGGGAATCCTCTTGGTTTGTCTACTTCATCTTTGAAACATGTTATGCAGCAAGACCGTGGCCCGCAGGCTGTTTCAGAGAGTTTATTTCTCATTCAAACTCTAAAAGTGAAGGAATATGTTAATTCAGTTAATATTTTTGTTACATAATCAAAGTAAACTCATAGTAAAATAGCTTTATATCTTGAACTTTTAGGCAAATACATGAAAAGTGGACACTTTGGAGGATGTTGCCAGGACTCGCTCCCATGGTCTTAGGCGAGGTCAGACGTAACAGCCCTGCCCGTCCCTCTGACGTGCTGCTGAATGTTGTAGGGGTAGGGATTGGATAAAAAATTGGTTTCAATCTGATGAAATCTCCTTAGGAAATTACTCTTCCACGGTATTTTCAATTCAAGTCACCATGTCTACCAAGATACTGTCTTTAAACAGCACGGTTTTCAAATGGATGAAAACGTTTCACACCAGCTGTCCACGAGGGTTTAGGTAAGACACGCCGGATAACTTTTTGGTAATGTGTAAACTTTTATATAAACTGCTTATACAACAACCATGCATGCAGCATAACTTCCTCATTTTTAACTTCCACAGAACTGCAGCTGCGTCTCTTAGTTCTGTCAGTTTGAAGGGTCGAAGCTTCCTAACTTTGAAAGATTTCAGCCCAGATGAAATCAAGAGGCTGCTGTGGGTCTCAGGAGACCTCAAACATCGGATCAAACATGAAAAACAGGTAGCTGGTGTTTGCTAACATCTGTTGACTGCAGTGTGCA